AGATTTCCAAAGCCTACCGGTCTTATCGTCGCAAGCCGCATGAAGAGCCTTTTCCACGTGATTGAAATCGGTTTTAGAGTACATCCTTTAGATGTTCTGATCTCGTATATCGCGGCGCTAACTTGGGCCACTTCTTCTCCACTTCTTCCAGGTAGATTGATATCTTAGAACCTTTGATTTCGTGCTCCTTCTCGACTTTGGTTAATGCAGTCAGAAGCTCTGTAGGTGGGCGGTTCAGTGAACCCGTTCTTTTAAAGGATCCGCCATGTTCGGCCTTCCCAAAATCCCACTGTACGACTCCACCATACTCATCTATTGGAGTGCTGATAACAACGTTACCTAGCCGGGCATACTTTGGAACACCACCACCTATCCCCACCATTAAAACGAATTTCATGTTTGGAAAGGAAGAAATCATTCGAGTTACAACTGTTGCTGCAGAATTATTGCCGATCTCTCCTTTCGGCAGGCAGGCGATAACCACATTGTGCACACCAACCTTTCCGACAGTATAGGCATTGTGATCGTTAGGCTATTTTGGAAGGTCTGGATGGATCTCATCAAGCATCGATGTGGCTGCAGTTAATTCCTTGGGGAGTGCGCATACCCATCCCACGGTATAGTCGTCATGAGAGCACGGCCTAGGTGATACTCCACTCGTAGTGGAACTAGTTCGTAGATTGAATGGAGAGCTCTCATGTACGTCAGCTTTGTACTGAAAGGAATTCAAGCTCTCTCAGGTGGGTTGAGTAAACAAACCTTGAAATTGATCAAAAATCCGAAAACTAGCTTAGAGAGGAGTACGAACGATGGTATCCAAGATTGTTCTAGCTCTTCCTGAAGTAGGCTGAAAATTCGAGTAAAAAAAAGCCGTTGCCTTTGGCGGGATAACCAAAGATATCGTCCTGTAGGGGCCAACCACGTGAACAATTAGCGTGGTGGGGGCAAAAAGGTTGAGGCAGTCTTGCAAGCTGCACTTTTAGTAGCTGCACAAATTTGTGAGCTGTACGCCCGATATTTTTCTTTTTTGTATACGGTAATGCTTGGCAGGGATGACTGCGGCGCTAGACTAAGATGAAGAGAGATGAAGGGAAGCGGCTGAATAGGGTGGATAACGAATCAAAAAAAAACCGGGTGAAGACGGACATATAACAGCTAGGATTCGCATGTGGTCACCCACCATACTACTAACTTACAATTACCTTGCTCAGTTCAACCTCGGCGATGTAGAAAACTTGCAATCTTGAAAGAGCTTTCGAGCGAGAACTAGTAGTTAATGGGACTTCGAATTTCTGTCTCTAGGAGAAAGGCTCGCTGCGTGTGCTAGATCTGCAATCGCTTTACTGTATCCATAAACAAATGGGGGCTATGTGCAGATGCCAAGAGACCGATCGTTTCAAGAGGAGGCTTCTGCCCAATGATAGTTAAAGCCAGCTCAGTTGGAAGGGTCAGTGCAGCGGTCGCTCGACAGAGTGTGGTTCTCACCCGGCTCACCCCATTCTCACCCTGTCTATTGCGCACTCACCCTAATCACCCTGATGTTTTATTAAGTGATGCTTCAATTTTCATGTTATTGAGGGGAGTTGATTGTATGTTGTGTTGTATGTCTTGTCTAAGATACAAGTGAGCCGAGAGATTGGTATACATGAATGCACGTGATCCCAGCCTCATTATTATCTCAGCAACCGGGATATTCCAACACACCCGAGTCGCGCGACGCTAAAGCGGCGGTCACCCCATTCTCACCAGGCGGCACCCACCGCACTACTGACTGTGTTTTAGCCATACGCCTAATGGCCGGGCTAGCCAATCGCCAGGACTAGCCTAGTGGGGAAGTAGCTGATCGCCGCTTTTCCATCGCGCGACCCGGGTGAGAAAAAAGTGAGAAGCTTGATGAGAATCGCCCTCGGTCGCGCGACTGCTGTGCGTCTCACTCCTGCTGTACGACAGAATGAAAAGTTATTGGCTCGTAACACCTCTACCAAGCTAACGAATAGGGATTAGATCTCATGGATTTGCATATGTGTCTTCCTGACGGTCAAATAAGGTGAGATTGTTTGTTCATACAGTCTGTGCTGTCTGTTCTGAAAGTGGTCGTGCCAGAGCACCAGAAAGTATATTTCAGGTTCCACCTTCTTTCCCATTCGGGTTGTAAGACTTCGAAGACCTCATAAGCTGAAGAGGGAGTAATATTCGATGGGATGCGATATTGAGTCAGTTGAAGTTAAGTTTTTGCTTCTCAGCCTGAGCTTGATCGAGTTGTCGCCAAGTGTGCTCTTGTCAATTTCGGACTTCGCAACCTCACTCGGGTGGTCCTTCTTGTCGCGATTGCACTGAACAAGCTGTCCTTGAACAGACAAAGAAGTAATCACGCTCGAGGGGAAAAAAGTCACCAACGGACCGAACTAAGCCACACTTCTTGCATGGTTCGCCCCGCTTGACAGCGAGTTCATCGCATCCAAGTTGCGCGCAAGGTCCATATTCGGTACCGAACACATCAAATGTGACGAAGGTCTCATGAGAAGTCCGACACCAGTCAATGGATTTTTTTCGTCTTGGGTGCAGCGTGGGACAAGTGAATACCATGGCGAGTGTCACCAAATTATATGGAAGGGGATCAATTTTTCTTGCATTTCCAAAAGCCCCAAACAAGAGAGGAAAGGAACAATGAGAAGGAAAACGTCGAAAACGTATGATATAAACCCGCGATGCACTAGTCCTGATTGGATTGAATCACGTGCATAAACAAACCAAGTAGTCCCACTGAGACTGGCAGTCATATATGTGGAAAGTTCGAATAGGCTAGCGAATGGTGGGATTTTGAAATTCATGCTGATCTTGGTACCAAGTGGATGTTTTCCGGTGCAGCGTTAGTGTTATCAAATATACCGAAGCCCCCCTGTCCCGCTGAAACCCGATTTACGGGATTAACGAAAGCTATTGGTATAATACACTGAGCCAGTAAATATAAGCATAACCTTATTCTTCTCGGTTATCAGAAACACACAAAATCTGACCCAAATAGACTACTTAATAGCAAGGAGACAAGCAATCAATAAAGTACACAAATCTCAGAATTTGTGCGCTACGGAGACCGTAAGACGCAAAATAGTCGCATTCGAGCTGGATCGCACGAGATCTATGACAAAAGTCAGGTAGTATGTGGCCTCACCTCTCCAACTCGAATAATTATCAAAGTCTCAGGAACTAAAGATAGGCTTCCTGAGGAACACTGGGAATACACGCAAGTCGAGGGAACGACTGCTTTAATGATAAAGCCATCACAGGAGACGTTACTAGCGAGTATCGATATTAGAAGATAATATGTAATCAAGACTGTTCACCCTTGAATCATGGTGGCCGCTGGGTACGGTGATACTGAAGTTCGATGGTACCTTACTTCGTTGAGAATTTCAATATGACAATCTACCGCAGATACAATGCACCTGGAAAATGGGAAATGGCTCCAAGAGCGATAAGCCGTAGTGAAAATACGCCAACCTGCCGTTGGTATTAGCAGATTTGCCTATATTTTGCGTCAAATTCGACCAGGAAACTGATTCATGATTCATAAACATCCTGAACCATATGCGCGAGACTGTTCATGGGTGCAAACCAGGTAAACATAGGACAAGGCCCTTCTTGAGCAAGATCTGGGGCCGATGGGGGCCAAAATTTCACGTGCTTGATTGAAACGCTGGTACACCGCCCTCACATTGGGGATTGGTGTCCAACCGTTACGCGTCCAGGGATCCTTATTTGGACACCAAGGATTCGTGGCACCCTTCCTTCTATGTGCTGGAGTCGGTGCTTGGTTTTTCGAGTGGTTTGCATCCCGAAGGAAGATGGTGGTTTGGAGTTAATTGACAGGCCCCAGGCGGCGGGGGTCCGTGGGTTGAGAGGGGGAATGTTACGAATGTATCAGCAAGTTCGAGGTATTGTTTACCTCACTGTAGATGACCTTCCATAAGAAATCTTCCTTGTGTAGTTGCTGTATCTCTTGGGAGGTGCGCGCTGGAAATTTTCTAGGTTGACAGGCAAAACAGGAAGCCAGGCCATTGCAACTTCGGTGTTGTTGGTAGTACACGTCATTTCGGCCCATTTCAAGTGGGGTAAAGCCAATCAACACTTGTCCATGCAATTACAGCGCTCTGACAGTGAACGAATGGAATGGTGGGGGTTCAAGGATCAAGAGGCAGAGGACACTTGGCAGAGGGAGAGGCTTCTTGCCCGCTCCAGAGCCTCGAAGCTTAGAGCGGCTAAAGAATGACTTTTTACACCGGTCTTTCTTGAATATTTGCGAGAGCTGGACAGTGCTTGACCCCACCATCATTTCCTACACTGCTGCAAAAAAACCGTATAAGAATAGCGTTCTTATTATCTTGCATGGTATTACCATTTGTTCTAGAAACTAATGCCTTATAAACCAAACAGTCTGGGATGAAGGGCCAGTTAGTTTTCGGGCCACTTTTGCAGCTCACATTCCCACTTTCTTAAATTAAGTCTGATGACAAGGGCATGCATCTTCGTGGGACGGCCCAAGTACATTCTTTGGGGGGAGTTCTTAAAAAACTTTTGTCCTTTCTTGGCTGTCGACTATTATATCACAATGCTGTTTGATAGGGAGCCCAGTAATCTCAAAGAATGTACTAGAGACGCGCCACCTCATTGTTCCACCTCCTCCTAGACCTTAACCCTCGCCTGCTTGCTGCAGCCTGACACAAGGGTCGCCGAGCCAAGAATTGTTGGAGGATTTGGTTCCATGATCGCCTCTTGAATTTTGGGACGAGCCTGTCTTCAGATCTTCGTTGCGCAATAAGAGGGCGAGGAATGATTGGTCCTATTAGCGCCACTAAAGCTGCATCTTTATCACACTCTTCGCCTTCCCCTCTCGAGTTGGCCTTTAAAGAGACTTCGGCCCTGCAAAATTATTGACTAGTGCAACAAAATCATCACAAGACAAAATATTTCTCCACGGGATCTCCTAATCTTCTCGCTAAATGGATGGACTGTCGTCTGCAGCTAGCGTGATCGCGATCATTCAACTCGCGGGCAGTATTGTGAAATTTTGTGGGGGCTACATTCAGGAAGTTAAGGATGCTCGAGACGAGATAGTCGAGCTACAGCAAACAGTTGCAGGTCTTGCAGGAGTTCTTCAGGAAATGAAAGTACTCCTTCAAGGTCCCAATGGCGCGAAGCTCTCCAGCTCTAACACCCTGAATGATCCTATTAATAAATGTCATTCAACCCTCAAATCCTTGGAAATGACGGTTGATCCGGGTAAAGGGAAGAGAGCGATGAGGAAATTGGGATTTCGGGCGTGGAAGTGGCCACTTGATCGCATAGAGGCGAAAAAGATTATCGAGGATCTCGAAAGATACAAGTTGTCTTTCATTTTGGCCTTGAACATAGATCAAACGTTCGTCTTCCAATGATTGCTTATATATTGACGGTTAGCTTATGTCTAGTCAGGGTTCTCCTCGCCAATATAAGTGACACCACCGAACGCTTACATTGCAACATGAACCTAAGACAGTTGTCAGTTGCACACGATGCTTTATTCGACTCAAATGTGAACCAGTATGAAGATGATTGTCTTCCAGGCACAAGAGGACACGTGCTTCGCCAAGTTGAGGAATGGGCTACGCTGCCGCAAGGGAAATGCATTTTTTGGTTGAACGGTAGAGCTGGGACCGGGAAGTCCACTATCGCACGAACGGTGGCAAAGTCTTTCAGCAAAGCAAATTTACTCGGTGCAAGCTTCTTTTTCAAGCGGGGCGAAGCGGACCGCGGCCATGCGGCGAAGCTTTTCCCAACAATTGCAAGACAGTTGGCGAGGAACATTCCTCAACTGATACCTGGTATCCAAAAGGCAATTCAGGACGACTCTGAAATCTCAAAAAAGGGGTTGAAAGAGCAATTTGATAAATTGCTCCTCAAACCATTGCTCAGTTTGAAGGTATCCACCGTCCCAATTCCAACTGCGGTGATCGTGATTGACGCATTGGACGAGTGTGAAGTAGAAAATGATGTGCCGCTCATTCTGCAACTGCTTCCGCTTCTACAGAAATCAAGCATGATACATCTGCGGCTTCTTGTGACCAGTAGACCAGATCTACCAATACGACGGGGGTTTTCAAGCATTGCGAACAATGATTATGAATTTTTTGTTCTCCATGAGATACCTACCGGTGAGATCCAGAACGACATATCATTATTTGTACAGCACCGGATTTCAGAGATTAAGGCGGAGCGCTCTTTACCTGTCGACTGGCCAACAAGCACGGATTTAAATAATCTTGTGACATTATCAGTCCCATTGTTTATTTTTGCTGCTACTGCATGCCGTTTGTTTCAGGACCCTCATTGGGATCCAGTGGATAGTCTGGCTGATATTCTTGCATATCGAAATGAGGGAACTAAGCTCGAAGGAATGTACGTTCCTATACTTAACCGAATCCTTTACAAGCAAAGTAAAAAGCAGGGGAAACGGCTAGTTCAAGAGTTCAGAACAGTGGTTGGTACAATCATGATGCTCGAGAGCCCACTCTCAGTCAACGTCCTTTCAAGACTTATCGGCTTCCCTGAGCGGCTGATCTATTTACGGCTGAGCCCATTACACTCAGTTTTGAGTGTGCCAGAAAATAAGGCATTACCAGTGCGGCTATTTCATCTATCATTTCGAGATTTTCTTCTGGATCCCGAAACTAGCAGCAAAACATCTTTCTGGATAAATACAAAAGAGACACAACAATTATTGACCACACGATGCCTCTTTCTATGTTACAGTCTGAGAAGGAATATATGTGGATTGCAAAATGACGGAATCCCGCGTACAGAGATCGATCTTCAGGCAGTTGACCGTTACCTGCCTCTAGAGTTACAATACTCCTGTCGTTATTGGGCACATCACCTAGTGAAAAGCAAAGACCTAGGTGCCAGCTTAGACGAAGCCTATGCCTTTCTCCAAGTCCATTTTCTGCACTGGGTGGAAGCAATGAGCATATTAGGTCTTATCTCCGAAGTTTTGGTAGCAATCAATTTGCTGCAATCAACCCTACATGTGAGCTAGGACGAACCTTATGAAACATCGCCTATACTGATTTATATAGGAGATGAAGTCTCATGAGATTTCGGACTTTTTATACGACGCAAAACGTTTTTTTCTGAAAAATTGGCAGATAGCTGATGAGATACCTCTCCAATTATATTGCACTGGGCTTGTGTTTGCACCTAAAAATGCAATAATTCGGAAGAATTTTGACAGAGAGCTTCCTGATTGGCTCTGTAAGTTCCCAGATGTCGAAAATACTTGGAGTGCGGAATTGCAGACTCTTGAAAGTCATATGGGCGCAGTTTACTGCGTGGCATTTTCACTCGACGGCCGTTTTATAGCCTCCGCCTCCTGGGATAAGACCATCAAATTGTGGGATGCCACCACTGGAGCTTTACAGCAGACACTTGAGGGCCACTTAGATTCATGCAGGTCGGTCGTTTTTTCACCTGACGGCCGTCAGCTGGCATCTGGCTCCTGCGATAAGACAATCAGACTCTGGGATACCGCCACTAGTGCTCTAAGGAAGACTTTTGAGGGACACTCAGATTCATGTAAGTCTGTCGCATTCTCGCCTGATGGCCGGGTTTTAGTATCAGGATCCGAGGATAAAACGGTTAGGATCTGGGATTCAACCACAGCAGCCTTACAGATGTGCCTTCACGGGCATCGTAGTGCGGTCTTCTCGGTGAAATTCTCCCCCGACGGCCAATTTCTGGCGTCTGGGTCCGAGGATGAGACAATAAAAATATGGGATCCTACTACAGGCGCTCTGCAGCAGACTCTAGAAGGCCATTCAGGTTGGGTTTTCTCTCTAGCATTCTCCGCCGATGGTCGATGCCTGGCATCTGGCTCCAACGATAGAACAATTATGCTCTGGGAAACCACCACAGGGATTCGACAGCAAACTTTGAAGGGTCAAGATGGATTTCAATCTGTGGTTTTTTTATCTGACAACCGTACATTGGTATCTGGTTCCCTGGATAAAAGTCTTCAACTTTGGGATACCGCCACAGGCACCTTGCAACGGGTTCTAAAGGGCCATACAGTCGGCGTTCGGTCTGTGGCATTCTCACCCAATAGCCATCTCTTAGCATCCGGTTCCCAAGATGGGACTGTTAAACTTTGGGATATAGTCACGGAGACTCCACACGAGGCACTTCAAAACCCGTCAGATCGGATTCGATCTATGTCACTCTCCCCTAATAGCCGTCTTCTGGCACTCGGTTCAGACGATACAACAGTCAGACTTTGGGATATGTCCACAAACACCCCCCTACAAACTCTTCGGGGCCATTCAAATTGGATTTGGTCGGTGGTATTCTCAGCTGATGGCTGTCTTCTTGCATCCTGCTCTAAAGAAATAATTAGGGTCTGGGATGTAGTAACGGGCAATCTGTTCCAAACTCTCAAGAGCCAACCAGGCGAATTTCGGAGTATAGCGTTCTCTGCAGACAGTCAAGCCCTGGCTTCTGGTTCTTGTGATAAGATGGTTCGAGTCTGGGATGTTGTAGCGGGCACTCTGAGACAGACTCTCGAAGGCCATTCTGGTTGGGTTTGGGCTATTGCCTTCTCTGCCAACGGTCATATAATAGCCTCCGGCTCAGATGATAACACAGTTCGGCTATGGGATGCTGCAACTGGAGCCATACGACAGACACTTAAGGGTCATTCAGGCTGGGTTCGATCTGTTGCATTCTCCGCCAACAATCATACCCTTGCGTCCGGCTCGGAAGATAAGACAGTCAGGCTCTGGGATATCGTCACAGGCGTCCTTCAGCAGACCATTAGTGCGCAGGAAACAGTGGTTGAGCTGCAATTTTCAGATGATGGAACACACCTAACAAGCAATCTCGGATATATTGGAGTCGAATCCAGATGCGTGGATGAAATATCCAAGCCGCTTCCCTCAAATGCCCAGATATTCATAAAGGGACATCAGTGGATAACGCTCCACGGCATAAAGGCACTTTGGCTTCCTCCTGATTTTCGGCCCACCTGTTCGGCGGTTCAAGACAAAACGCTTGTTCTCGGACATGAATCGGGACGGATTTCAATTATAGAGTTCATTTTATAGAATGCATTAGTGGAATTTTTTCAAAGAGAAATGGGCGAGCGATCGTCGGAACAAAAATGTAATTCCATGGTCTTTAACGTTTATTTACCGACTGTTAATCTTAATAAAAGCTATGTGGAGCAAATGGCCAGGCTCGCCAATCTATCGGCCTAGCCTAGTGGGGAAACAGCTGATCGCCGCTTTTCTGTCGCGCGACCTGTGGTGAATAGGCTGAGTGCTTGACAAGAAAATGAGAACCTGGGTAGGAATTATCACCCTCGGTCGTACGACTGCTGTTCGGGCTACTTCAGCCGGACGGCAAAATAAAGAGTGATTAGCCTGTAATACCTCTGCTAAGCTGCCCGATCTAAAGCTTCTATTACTCTAGAGATAGCCTCTGTTCACGACGTTTTTAAATTAATTATAAGGGTATGGTGTTCCGGGCATTAGATCTCATAAAGTTGTTTATAAGTAGATCAAGGTATCTGTTGAGTAAGTTACTTAATATAATCGCCTATTATATTTAGTTTTCTTCCTTCAGTATTTAGAAAGGTTAGGAAACCACTATTAGGACCAGGTTATAATAGGTTCTACCTAGATTTCTAAGTTTTTTAGAAGCAAAAATATTTGTTCTTACGGGTTATTACTGTAAAGAGTAGTATAGGCTATATAGGTAATTAAACATACCAGAATTTTGAGTATTTATCCTAAGGATCGAGGGTCTTATAATGTAGCCGTGATAAGGTTAGGGCCAGACTACAGTTATAGACTCCTATATATACTTGGGTTAGAGGCTAGGGACTGTACGTACTTATATACAGAACCCTTAACTGATTATTGCTACTTTAGCTACTTAAAGGATATTATAATCTCTAAATAGTTTTGGATGATTCTGACCTAGTTTCGCAGAGTTAAAATAGCTGCCCTTACTTAAGTATTCTTAAGGATCTCTTTTATAATGCAGTTTCTGCCCTCGGACAGTGCTTTTTTACCTGCTTATTGATATCCTAGATAACTGTAATAAACAATAAGTTATAGATATAGTCTAGTACTTTGAAGACTTAGCAGAATAATATACAGCTAAAGAAGCCTAATTCCGAATCTGTTTAGTAATTCCTATAGTTCCTATAAGGCCGTCTAACCCTGAAATAGGATAACTTTTGCTAGGACTAGAATAGCTTTTGAATTACTTTATTCCGTCTTCTAAAATAATGTCGGGCAAATAGAACTTAACTCCTAAGTATAGCTTAGCCCCTAAAATAATTAAAACGTACCTTTACTATAGCGGCTGAGAACCTATATCTAGATACTAAACTAATATATGCGCCTCCCTTATTACTTAATCTAACGTACAAGGGCTGTCTTAGTAAGTCTTTGATTAACTAACCGGCAACTTAGCGTTCTTGCGAACCCTGACTTTATAACCTACCTACCTCTTTTCTAAATACGTACTGTAAGATGGGAATGCTCGTAGACAGTCTGCGTTGGCAGACGGGTCGATCGCGAAGAGACAACACCACCACACTCGCAGAGTGCAAGGAGACGATAGGCAAGCGTGACGCTATAGAGAATCAACAGAACGAACACCAGAGCGAATAACAGAACCTTTCATAAGCAGTATACCGATACCGCAACCTCAGTAACCTCAGTAGAACATTTCATAAGGGGGAACATGCCTGTTGAATTGATAATCTAGAAGGAAACTATTTATCCTCCTTGAACTAAACAGCAGCCTTGTTGCTAAGGCCCTAATCACATGACTCCGAGATACCGATGTTGAGAGCAGGAATCCCTACTACAGTACATAGTTGTTTATATAGATATTTTAGACCTAATTACCTCCCTGCATTACGTATAAACCGGTGAGTTCTGTCTCTTGAAGAATATAGCTTAAGGGGGACGTATTTAATATAACGTTAACTAAGTATTCTAGGACTATAAATATTTGTCCTAAGCTACAACCTATCGATATACTTATTAATAACTTTTATACTCCTTATGAGGGGTTTCTATTATTTTAAACCTCTCTACTTAAATAATATTGTTAATTAGGCTTTTAGAAGAAAAAGAAGTTACCTAGCTTATTACTTAGTGTTTAGAATAAAGAGAAATAGCCTAGGTAGCTCTATATTATATAACCTTATAACCTACCTGGTAAATTTAAAATTAGATTTACTAAGGTATATCTAAATTAATTTTAGTTTAAAACTTACTAGGTATACTATAGCGAGTTTAGATTAATTAATATAGAGTTTACTCTGTATAGTGAACGTATAATAAAGCTGCTATTAGATAAATTCAGTGATTACTATAAGTTAGAGGGGTATAACTGTCTGAGGTATGACAGACCTTACTAGGGGCTACTCGGTATTAATAAGAAAAGTCTGCTGAATAGTTTAAAGAAGTAGAGATAGTTTATTAAATCTCCTTTATACAGCGAGAGATTAGGTAAACTTTGGCGCCTAATAAGTTAACTACAGTAAAAACAGAGCTCCTAACTTACATTAAAGTCTTTTTCGGTAGGCTAAATTCCATAGAGAGCAACTATCACCTTATTTAGCCTACCTTCTCTATATAAGGCGATGAAGAAAGTTGCAATATTGAAATAGCTTTAGAGCGATAACCAGAAATATGTCCTTTGAGTTTCTGTCTCTTAGGAAAAGACTCGCTGTATGTGCTAGATCTGTATTCGCTTTACTATATCTATAAATATACTGAGGCTATATGCAGATGTTAAGAGACCGACCGTTTTAAGGGGAAGCTTTGGCCCAACAATATTCAGAGCTAGCTCAGCTTGAAGGGGTTAATGCAGTGGTCGCTCTACAGGGTATGATTCTTATCCAGTCTCACCCCATTCTCGCCCGGGCGGTACCCACCCGACTACTAACTGTATTTTAGCCACACGCCGGCAGGTTAGTAGTATGGTGGGTGACCACATGCGAATCCCTGCTGTTGTATGTTTTTTTTCCCCCTGGAGTCTTTCTTCATTGACACCAAGGCGGCTTGAAGTTTTAACTGAAATGTGGTGACTTACGATTTGAGGAATATTTCCGCAAATTTCCAACCCGTCTCTTTGGGTTTAGTCGTAATGCGTAGTTAAAGGTAGCTCGAAGTTGAAACCAACAGTAAATTACTTGGTATTGTATTTGCAACCCCCATCATGAAGTCCAACCCGAGGAGGTAGAGGGGATAATTCTAGCGGTAAGATATGCCATAACCTGTGATATCACTAAAGTGTCCAATAACAGGAACACAGTCACTCCGCTCGCTTTCGCTGACCAGCTGTTCGTGTAGGGAATCCAATTCTGCCCAAGCATTGGCATATTTCATCCCTCTGAGCCTTTGTTTTTCGATGACTTGGCTGTTTCTTGAGCTCACCAAGTTGTCGCATTCCTCGCTCAAAGTATCCTTTGTGGTTTTGGGCCCAACGCCTTGGGATTTCTCGTGAACGCCTCCAGTCACGACCCTTTCTTCTAACAAACCCGAAGCTCTCAGTAGTCGTTCCGGCGCCACAGTCAATCTTCCCTTTTTAAACACATATTTTGAGACCGAAGTTGCAAATATCACGGGTCGAGCTGATTTTTCCTTGCCAATATCGCCCCCAGCTCCTGAGAACTTTTTCGAAGTCTTTTTCGGCGGTGAGGTATGATGGTCCAAATCACCATGCTTTACACTTCCTTTCTGAACAAAATGTGTCACAATATAGAGCCATTTCTGATCCCATGTAAGAATCCGTGACCACACTTCATACTGTTGGAATATTCGGATCTCTTTCTTGAAGCTTGTAGTAACCGATCCGATTATAGCAGCCATCATCCCCCGTTTTCCATGAGCGACAAGCTCTTTATCCACAATAAAAATTCCATGGCCAAAAAGATATGACAGAAGATGAGAACGGCTTGCATCAAGATCCGTAAAATATGTACTATTCGACTTGTGAAGGTTGTAGTCGGCTTCAAGAAGTGGTGTGTATGTTGTTGTTATACACGGGAGGAAAACCAGTGGCAAGTCGTTCTCTTTATCACGAGCTGATATGACACGGTAGCTTGACTCCGTCCTGAAGAAGCTACGGACGATTGGTTGGAATATTCGATACTTTGAAAAGTCAAATTTCGCACTTGTGGCAGTTTTGAGGTGAGGGCGTTGGAATCATATGTATTTCGGTCGCGGTTGAGCCAACACTTACATGGAATACTAATGGTAAACTCTTGAGGTTGACCGCAAGGAAGATAGTGAGCAGGAATTTCCAAGGATTGATAGGCAGAATCCAATTCCAAAGCCAGTCAACTAGCTTGGCGAATATCATCGTTCTGAACACAGTGAGTGAAATTGAGAGATTCAGGCATCAATTGGTCGTGAAGCGGATGGAGTGAAATGTATGCGGGATTTGCGGGCAATGGCAATTCGTTTGGCCAGAAAGCCGATGTCAAAGAAAATCTATCGTTGTTTGCATAGGAATTGTGAGAAAATAGGAAGAGCTGAAAAATCAGCAAACCGTTTCTAAAAGTCGTGGCACTCGGGAAGCCGAGGCAAACTTGGCCGTGATATGATATGATCATCATTTTATTCCGAGAGTCAACCGGCCCACACTGCCAAGGCCTTAGCGCAATTATTGTCGTCGTGGCCAGACCGCAATAACTCAAGAGCCACCTTAAAATACTCCTTCCCTAGTACCATAACGATCAGTGTTTACCAATCTAGAACTCGGAGCAGGAGGTGTAATATTATGGAGCGCACACAGACATGGCGCACTGGCCCCCAACTTAGCACTAAAGATGATCTGTGCCAAGGCCTTGGCAGTGGGGCCGGACAAAGGCAGAGCAGCCACCAGGAGGGTAGCAGATTTAGAAGAATATATACGATCAAGCGCCGTGAAAAAGATGAGGAATAAATAATAATCATAATCACAATGTGAGTGGGTGTCTGGAACCCAACACCCTGCTAGAACTACCTCACTCGGTGACCAGCTTCTTAGTCTTAGTATTCACCCACTTGTCAATACCATCCACCATTCTGAAGACATAGTTATTGTCGGTAAAACCTGGGTACAAAGGCTTTAGCAGCGTCAAAGCCGTATAAGGACCTTTGAATCCCTCCTGTTTCAGGATCTTATCCGCCTCATCTGCGTCCATACTGACAGGCCAGTCAACGTTTGCATTACCCACAATAACGCCTGGTTTGAACTGCGCTGCGCCAAAGGTGCCAAATCCAGTAGACTTGACAGTGACTGTACCCTTCTGCACACGGAACATAACGCGCATATGTCCTAGGCCGCCAGGGGAAGTTACGCCCTCGCGCTCTGTCGTACTAGCCTCAACATTGTACAGAACAGCGTCCGGATAATGTTGCAGCACATCGCGCCGGGCAATATTGACGCGACCGAGGAAACCGAGGATAGCTGATTCAGCCTCAGCTTCACACTTGCCCTGTGTGATCACCGGGCCGGGTTCGAGAATCTCGGGGAGCACAAAGATGCGGACATCTTTGACGATCCGATAAGTGTATTGAGCAATTCCGCCATTGACACTGATGATGATTTGAGTGTTGCCGGTTTCGAGGGAGTTGAATTTCCAGACGATTTGCCCATTGTCAATTCCAGCAGCTTCGAGTTCGAGGAAGCGCTTGTCGAAATCGATATTTATCAAACCCATTTTGGGGACCTCAGATGCGTGCTGAACCTCGAAAGGTTCCTTGTACAAGACATTAAGGGTGTTCTGCGATGGCGCCGGAAGTTCTTGGAAGGCCTTCCCATCACTGCTTGACGGTGCGGCAGAAGCAGGCTTGCTTGAAGCATCTTTAAGGCCTCCGAAATGGATCTCAACTGGAACTCCATTGGGATGATTTGCATCAACAATGATGACATCCTTAGGGAATGGAACCATAGAGACCTTGAAGCTCTGATCAAAGGTGTAAGGCTGAATGTGGCCAGTCAATGGGCCAGTCCAAGCTTCGAGATAGAATTTGAAACCTCCCATCCAGGGGGCTTGTCTGAACCGGAAGTTGCCTGTGTATTGATCCACGGGGCCCTCAGCTGACAAAGTCAGTTGTTGGGTCTTTGGGTCGTAGAAAGCGGCGAGCTTGGATGCTGGGATGAGGCCAAGGAAGCCCATTATGATTGGATCTTGGGGGTATTTCAATTACTCAAGCAAATTATCCTAGAATTCTAGATAGTGGGCAGGTCCGTTGGTTTTTTGTCTGATGCTTGAGCCTGATAAAAGAATCGACTGGCCTACGTGAGGTATTTATAGCTATCTTCTGTGGTAGGATGCGGGGAAAGTAGCTTGGATTCTGCAAGTTTCAGTCCAAAGCCTTGAGGCAAGTCAGGTTACACACGGCGAAAGTAAATTTGTCGCTGAGAGCTGAAATACGTGCAGCTCTCTTCAATTGTGAAGTGTAAGCACTGAGCTGAAGAGTATTATTATCAAGCTTTATCTAACTTTTCACCCGTATACAGCTCGCTTTCCGTCTTTTGGTATATTTTAGGCGATGCACCTTACAAAGCCCGGCGTCGAGAGTAAGAGCCTAGTTCTAGACTTTGGCCAACATAAGCCAGTCAGCCTTATGAATTTTATATCCAGCCTTGTGGTGACAGACGCAAATTGCGACTGGGTGAGCGGCTTAAGGTAGACTGCATTCACCAATTGCGGCTAACCATGATATTCAATAAACATAAACGGAGTAGGCGAGAATAATCTGTAGTATATCTTTCCTCTTGAAAAGGAGTTAATGTAGGATGATAGAAGCTTGTAACCGAGCCCTCTGCGTTCCCAGCATTGAGACACCTGGCCCAGGAATCTACGGACTTGACCTGGAAAATGGGTAAGTTATTTGATGCAAAAACGCAAGCCATCAACCCAATCCTAGGCTTGACACTCTCTCAGCTGAGCCAGCGACATCAGGGGCCTGTTCGCAAGTCATTTCGACCAATGTGCTAGCTGAGATCTAGCTAACATGACCCGCGCTATACACCTTATAGGCATCAGAGCACTACGGAGTCACCGAAGGGAATAAAAGCCGATCAACAAGCAATGGAACAAAAAAGCCATTTCATTATTGAGGACCTCAGCGCGAGTGAATAACTGGCGCTCGGTCTAATAAAGTTTAAATTTTTGTTACGATACTGATAATAGGGCGAATTTTAGGAGAACGTGGCGTTCCCCAGCTCGGCTCCATATGCCACAACTATGTGCATTCTGTGATACGAGCTGAGAGGGGTGTTCTTAAGCCATAATATTTCTTGCACCCTAACCACATGCTCAAACAACCAGTGCCTTTCCAGTCTGCCTATCGGCTTTATATGCCACAGCTCGTGCCCATGTGCATGCTGGGATACAAGGCGACCAGGTGCTTTGGAGCAGAATAGATGTCTTCCAATCACGAACTCTCCCCTAGGTACCCAACAGACTCCCTCGAAATCTTCATCCCCAGATTAAAGATTAGGGAACAATTACTGAATCAGTACTTTTGTCTACTAGCCTTGTCACTTACTTGGAAGTAGTAGATGAAACTACAGTTTCTGTTTCTAAGCTCTGCATAGTCTATTAGATACTGGCAACTAGCTGAACTGAAAGGAATAGACATTATAGAGCAGTATCAGCAATGAGTGTAGAAGTTTTTGACACCTCGTCGGTCATGAAGTGAAATCAAAAGGACTTTTGTGCCAGGAAGAAAACTTTTATCAACTCCTACTGCGTGAAACTTTTAAGATTAGGCAGAGCAGGTTAACACCAATACATTCACGAAAATTAGCCTGATGAGAGGGGGCTTGATTTCTTCATAGTTAGAACCTAAGTACAGCGTACGAACTGAGAAGCTAAAACGAAGATGTAAAGGGGAGAGTTCACGGAGCTGAAGTACAGTGAAGTCAATGGCCGGACGAGGGTCTGGCGCGTAGTCATAAAAAGCACATATGTTTCTGTCAAAGGGTACACGAAGTAATAGAGGAAAGAAAGTGGTCATCAGGCGAGAGAGGAAACAAAGAGAGCGAGGCTATTCAGAGACGGGAGTGACGGTGCGGCGACCTTGGCACACGAGGCTGCGGATGCTTGAGGAACCCACGCTTGAGCAAATTTGCGCCATCTACCCACACTTGCGTGGTATTATTGTTCAAGATGTCGACTTTCTCCCTGTTTTGTGTTGTTCCAGAAGAGTCAATCAGCTGGCGATAGATATTGCGCTTAGTCGCCGCTCCATCAGGATCTGTGGGGATGAAGACTTGCGGCGCCTTCCCCGCCAGAATGGCCGCGAACCCACTCCCGGGGCTAATAGTCGATGGGCCGTTGATGTTGACGAACTCGACGAGATATTGCACCTGTTTGCCCTGAAGGTCTGGATCCGGGGTCTGCTTGAGCCATGTCTAGATGCAGTGATACATTAGTCCAATATAGCTTCCAAGCGAGAGAGAGAGATGGTTGTGGTGGAGGGCAAGGATAAAGCATACAGAGATGGTGGGGGCGGCTGGCTGCTTTGGAGGCATCATCGCTTTCACTTTGCCTAAGCTTGCGTTCCACTCGTCAATTGTCTTCCTGTGATCTGCGTATTTGACTAGGAGAGCCTTATCGAGGTCCGACAGATAATTGTTGCGAGTTGCATTGACCTGGTCGACGAATGTTTCTGTGTGTAGAAGTTGCGGTAAGTATTACAGTAGTTGTATATAATAATATTACCAAAGTCCGGACTTACCACAATGGTCATTTTGGTGGCAACATCCGCTTGACCAACGGTTGTTTGGTCTGTAAAAGTAGATTCAAGATTAGCCTATCGATTTTATGCCCACGCAGGAACTTCAAGTGGCTAACATCATAGCAGCGATTGTGCCAAGGAAAGTATCTTCACATTCATAACCGTCCTGGCCCGTTACATGGCAGCTAGTTCCACCAGCGGGCCCACCTTGACTGTTGCATTGGGTGCTCCTGTTGTCATAATAATGAACTTGTGTCACACAATCTTTGCGAGATTTGACCAGCTCATCGAGCTTTTGATTCAGTGTGCCGATCCATGTTTCAAGGGTTACCTGAAATTCGGTCGTGAGTATGTAAAACTCGCCGGCGTTGAGGTCATATTCATCGATCTTATTCTTGCTTTGCGCAAATGATGCTAACAATGAATAAAGCTGACAACGAAGACGGTAAGAGAAGAAAAGCGAGCTTGCCGCCATGAAGGCTAAGCTTATGACCTCGTCTCTCTGAATAGTGCATAGCTCCGGGCTCGTGAGGGCGATTAGATCGTTTAGTATGTTACCGGTGAAACTAGGGTTATTCACGTCACCAAGGGTGTCGAGTGTTTGGTTCTATGGCGAAAATGGTACAAATTAGCTTCTGCGCTGTGGCTCGGCGTGGTCTCGTAATATGCATCGACTTACAATCCAGATTTCGTTGTCGGAGGTCAGGTTGTCAAGCCCAGTTGTGGCAATGGACACCCACTCAATGAATGCGTTGATAGAATTTGTGGCCTGGCGAACGGCGTCATCTAATAAGAGATTCTTCATAGCTTGGACGGTTTCCTCGAGAAGATTTTTAATAACCAAGGCAAGATTAGGACCGCTTCCGAAAGCACCAAAGATCTCATCGAGGATCTGAAACCCTGCAGCACCGATGACACCCCAAGGCGGAGGCATACCGAACGCTAGCGTCTGCGCAACAGGGCCTATATATGTCTTGAAGAAATCGGCTTCGTTCATGTAAAGCTTATCAAACCGCACCGTTTTGGTGATTAGCGGTTGAGAGACCTAGAAATTCCTATCAGTATTCGAAGATATTACCCAAGTACATCAAGAAGCAACGCTCACCTGCGTGGTCTGTCGATACACAAGGGCAGGATGGCCAGTAGACACGTCAAACCGCACTTGGTGGGCAATAAAAACTGTGTCCGCATAATTCGTTGTGCGTACGTACGCAATAGCTCCTGGGACGGCGTAACGGTATGATGCCGTAAGCATTGCAAGGTGATGTTCAGTGATAGTTTCTCCAGGAAGTAGAGGATACGTGGTTGAACACATCGCCAAGAATCGATCAATGATCTGCTGCAGTTTTTTTCTGACAGTGGTGTCAGGGATTGTTGCCAAGACCTTACTGGACTTCTCCATTTTGAGCTCGTCATTGATCAGCTGTTTTGGTGGATTGTGGAGGAACAGATCGCGCGTAGGGTCATCCTTCTGCGAGATGTGCATCGTAGCGTTCCAAGCCTTGGTGATGAGTCGTGCGTAATCCCGCAAGTCTAAATAAGGATCACGAATTTTCTGGAACACAAAAATAGGCTCGAAGTGCTTGGCTGGGCGATCAGTAGCCTCGCGAATGGTCCCGTCTACATCAGAACGCAGAAGAAGTGCAGTTCCGCTTTTAACCTGCAGGTGTTCGATAACCAGCGCAAGTGCAAGTGAAACACACCCAAGAGCAACAACTCGAGGCAGTGGTTTACCCTCAATCTTGTATGAGGTCACTGAAAGATACATCGCTCGCGATCCCTAGAGTCGTCCCAGCTTCAGCCGATACGCTCTCCATAACGAACGAATAACGAGCGTACAAACCTTGTTGAGATACGTCTTCGACAGACCTTGCACGACGGCCAGCTTCTCAGCCGCGTCCCATCGAATTACAGGATTCAACTTGGAGCTGCCACCAGCGACGTACATCATCATTTGGGCATTGTTGATCTGCGCAATTAACGAATACTTGGTCTTCGGCACGTAGTAAGCGGCTTGTCTAAAGCGGTCAAAATTCATCAGCAGCAAGCACATAATTTATAAAATCAAGGACACCCACGATTTCCAAAACGAATCTTCGTCTTGGTTCACCCATTTAATTATCGCCTGCCGATTCTTCGTCGCCGGATCGTCTGTGTCATAGAGAGCTTCGATGGTTTGCAGAAACACCGAGCCTGTCGCAGCAGCTTGTAGGAAGCTTATTATTTGGAAAGTGTCCGACGTGAATGCATAGACTGCCAATCCCCCAGCAGCCAGATACTTGACTCTTTGCCAATTACGAGCTGAGATACCCAGCGGACCCTCGGGCTGCGCCTGGATCACTTCGAGCAGACGATTGACGGCATCAGTGAGTTCCTGTATATTTCCATGTATGACCTCGTTTGAATTGTCTTGTTGTTGGCGGTCAACTACCACTTCGACCTCGAAGGCCTCAGAAGCACTGACATCTCGCTCGAGCCGCTGCCGCATGACTCTGCTCAAAATGTCAGAGAATCAACACACGGAAAACGGAAAGGTGAGAATTACGAAATCTCGGTCTTGATCTCTTCAGGATCAACTTCTCTGTTGTTAACATCTTCTATGATTGAATGAAGATTCTCAGCCTCGTCATCGTCATTGTCGTGCTCTTCCGGATCGTCGTGCCAGGTAACTTCGTCCATGCCATCCATCGCTGAAATTGGCACACTTGTGTCCTCGTTATAAGCTGCAAGTGAGTAGAGTAAGCTCAGGGTAGAAGTCAGATAAAATGGGAGTATGAATCGTCTTATATGTGCTTCTTCTGTCGCATAAACCCCAATATTCTTACAGAACAGATCGCTTGTGATATGGGGAGACGGTGCATCCGTATCTGTTTCCTCATAGGCTGGCAAGGGTTACTACATTGTTTTCAATGCGGGGTTTCAGCTTGCCTATCACCGAAAGTTTTCAATTTTGTTGTCTGCAGAGAGTTCGTGGGATCAATCACACAATAGAAGCCCAATACGAGTCTGGGCACCTAAATCCACACCTAGATCCCGTTCTACAGAGAGTGGCGTAAAGAGTAACGGGTTGCCAGATCTATGTCAGTGATTGTACCTATAACGCTTACATCCACCCCAGGTCCACTGGGCCTATTGGCTGAATTGAAACTGGCATATCTTCCTGGATATACGGAGGGTTTGAGGGCTCTAATTCATGCCCCCATCGGTACTTGAAATACAGGAAAGAATTGCAGTGATTGGTGAAAAGACTATATATAAGGCAGAATGATGTACTTCTTATGTCTATTTAAGATTATCGGTCGGCTAAATAACCATGTCAGAGCCAAACTCAAAAGGCATGCACAAATACGAGCCCCAATGTCTGGTGGCTTGAGAAATGCAGGAGAGCGGGTCTGAAGTGCTCGGATGGTGAGTTTCTGGCTATCACCTCAACAGAAAACGAGCTGACATGGAGACGCCCATTCCCATTCAGAACGCGGTAGTTGAATATGTTGTATTTTTATGTTTCTATTTTACCCCCTTTTCGGTTGGTAGCTCAAGGGTTGGAATTTGTATAGCCCATGCAAGTCAGTGATTCAGAAGCGTATCCATTTCACAGGCCATATCTACTGTATAGTTACGTAGTAAGGCTGGGATGGGCTCGATGGAGGTACCTGCATAGATGGCCAGGGATCTAATACAGCTTTCGTCACAGCAAGGGTCCAAGTTGCCGAGAACGTGCACTTCAAGTGTAATGATGCGAACCAATGATTCTACGCCATTTTTCAGCTGAGAGGGTCCGTGGGGTGTTTGTACGACTCTGATGAGTCTCACCCTGTCTCTCATTCTGTCTACTGCACACTCCATAGGGCGGTATTCTCACCCGAGTACCAGCCACTGAAATATTAGCCGCACCCGCCATAAGCCACATGCCGGCAGGTTAGTAGTATAGTGGGTAACAATATGCGAATCCTTGCTGTTGCATGTTTTTCCTTTTTTTTGCTCTTTCGGGGTTTAGTATTTAGTTTGGTCACCATAACTCACGTTCTCAGAAGAGTTGCGTAGTGCATTTTCATCTTCTTCTTTATCTCGGAGTTGGCAGCTCTCACTTTCTCGTTATCAACAGCTTGTTGGTGGCACAAAACTCCCGATAATTCCGAATTACCCCATGAGTTGATACAAAAGATGGGTGGAAATGTTGATGAGAAATATTGAACAGCCCTTTAGGAATATCCAGGGCATGGAAATACAAGTTGCCAGTTTGCCAACCTCTCTTCATATCATCTGTCTTATAAGAATGAGTGTGGTCGATACGCGGAAACTACTTCTCCTTTGCCACAAAAACGCTCACGAAGTCCTCGTGGGCATTCTCAAAGTAGAGGTTGTCGCCTGTGGATCGGAGAACATCCAAAGTGCGACCTGTCAACCAATATAGAGGACGTAAAGGTTCGGCCGGTAGTGAACTAGCCCGTTCAAGATTTTATCTTGGAAGTTCCAATGATCGATATATAGGCAACTTGAAGGCCCTTGGCAAAGCTCAGGCTCTGCGGGCGAAACGCGGTAGAAGCGCTAGGACAACATTCACTCTAAGCATTTGGGCTTTCCCATCATCCTCATCGCTCATCGAGCTCGGTTTCAGCTTAAAGGTTGGAGAGCCCTGGAGTTCAGGTTGCAGCTACCTAGGTAGTAATTACTAGATTGGAGCTATATATATGCCGTGGTAGTCGGGCTGATGGGAATGTTCAACAAAAACGGCAGGTTTATCCCTGGGTCGGGGTTATCGTGGTTAATTTCACCTAAAACGGTGCCTACAATTCTCCTAAACCAAAAAACCGCCAATCTGAAATCGAATCAACTCATTCTCACTTCTCCTGAAATTTCCGAATCATCCTGCAGGAAGAACGTTGAACGTTGTCGATCGCCGGCGGTGGCACCGGCCCTCCGCGGGCGACAACCGTTCTGGGCAGGCGGTGGCAATAAAAATGAGGGGTGACCGGGCGAAAGAGGCTTAGCGTCCCGTGATCGGATTGCAATTGCGCCAAAAAAAAAGTAGCAAGTCGTCAGATGGTGACTGATTTGATTCTACAAGGAGTCTTATCCCCTCAATCATCCTGCTTGACCAATTCATATCATCTTTGTGTCTGAATCCTCTGCCCAACCATCATGGGTTCCGGTTCCCCCCCATCGAAGCCTTCGGCAATCCCGTCCCACATGATCAACGGCAGCTCCCCATTACAATCGTCCTCGTCCCCAGGTGGCGGAACTCGTGCTCGCGATGCTCGTGAACGAGAGAGTCTGAATACTTCCATTCAATCTTCATTTGCTCCTCGCGTACCGGTTGGTTTTGAGGCTGAAGAGGAGAAGCAGGACCCTGAGTCAACCCAGGCGGGCCCCGCCCCCGCGGTTGATGCTCCCGCCAGTACCAGCCAAAATACTCCTACTCCTGCTCATCACGGTGCCTTGTCGGTTCGGTATGGAAAGCGGCTCCACATTGATGTTGTTTCTTCTGTACCCTCTGCTCACAAAATATCAGCGGCCGACCCAGTCTAAATGACCCTCCCCGTGACCCTCGGGATGAAGGTGGTCCATTGACCCCTCCTGCGACAGCGAGTCGCCCAGCTAGCCCCTATACACTGGCTCCTCCAATTGACTTTGACGGACTGAGCTGGCCTTGTGAGTGACCTCAATCAATTGATTAGAAGTGAACATCCTACTAATCATTTTCCGAACCAGGCCCCGGAACACGGCAGCGATTGGAGTCGACCCCGGAGGAGAACGAAGCCCGAGTTAAGAAGCTTGCCGGTGCCGTGCGAACAATTCTGGAGTGTGTTGGTGAAGACCCAGAGCGTGAGGGTCTTCGTGAAACCCCGGAGCGTTATGCCAAGGCTATGCTCTACTTCACCAAGGGCTACGAAGAGAATGTCCGGGATCTGGTCAATGGTGCCGTTTTCCACGAGGACCATGACGAGTTGGTCATTGTGAAGGATATCGAAGTTTTCTCTCTGTGTGAACACCACATGGTTCCCTTTACTGGAAAGGTAAGTTGCGCAGTATCTCCTCTGCTTCTCTCCCCTTCCCTCGCCCGCATGGTGCTGATCGCTTGAACAGATGCATATCGGATACATCCCGGATCGCCGCGTCCTCGGCCTCTCCAAGCTGGCTCGTTTGGCTGAGATGTTCTCTCGCCGACTGCAAGTTCAAGAGCGCTTGACGAAGCAGGTAGCCCTTGCCATTTCCGAGGTTCTGAAGCCCCGCGGTGTCGGTGTCGTTATGGAATCATCCCATCTGTGCATGGTTATGCGCGGCGTGCAGAAGACCAGCAGCACTACGACCACTAGCTGCATGCTGGGATGCATGCGCTCGAGCGCCAAGACCAGAGAAGAATTCCTAACTCTCCTCAACAGGAGATAGGCTATCTTCTTCACCTTCTGTCATACCATTCAGTACCGAGCCCAAAGCTCGATTTAAAGTTACGCATTCGGAGTTTTGGCGGTGACCTTTCAACAGGTTTTTCTTTTTCTTCTTTTCTAATCTTGGTTCTTTCTTGAAGATATCCGTGATCTAGCATTTATGGACCTTCATGCGCTTTTAACCTTTCAGATTCTCTTGCATATACCTTGGCTGTTTCTGTTCAAGACCCATTCTCTGGCCCTGGTGTCAACTTGAACTGACCTCTTGCACCTTTTCCGATCGCTCTATCTGGAGGGCTAGGACAAAAGTCCTCCGTGTTCCTCCCTTGTTCCGGAGTTTGAACCCTCTTTCATTTCATGACCTTTAGACTAACACCCCTACGCGGGACCCTTTTTCAACCCGTGGAATTTGTTGGAGTTTGATTTTTGGAGACTCAAAACCTCTTGGCGCGCCGGCGAGGCTATTTCAACACATGATGTTTCACATTCTTTGTACTCTCAACACCCTGACGATAGGCTAATCTTGCCTGCTATGTATATGTCTCAACCCAATATACCGAACACATGTAAAGATCAAATCTTTTCTAAACAAAATGTGTCCAATTATCTTCATGCAATAAAATAAACCCAATAAGGATCAACTCTAGGCATTAGATATAAGAAGTACCCCGACTATCATTGATCCCAGCGGAGTGGTACTTACCCTAACCCTACCTTGAACCAAAACAAAGTGACTGAAGGATCGACCATTCACTCCAAGTCCTGCCTATCATGGGTATCAATAGGTCAGGCAGTCCCTGGGGCCTGCCATGGCGCAATCGACCAGGGACGCTAACTGTTGAATTATTCTTGCACCGTAGTCAGTAGAAAGTCTCCCTCCAAATTGCATCGCTTCAAAAGACCCATCCTTGTTTCTGATCTCATCCGTGACCTCCATATATCGCAAGTCTAGTCCAGGCTTACTGAAACGGAGCCTGCCGAATCTCGTCAAGTCCTGCACACGTTTTGCCCTTGGGATGTTCCTTATGTGAGTGATTTCTGCTGCAATTCGGTGCTTGCAGCGATCAGTGACTGAAGAGAATCTCCAGTATCCCCTCGACCGAAATAACAACGTCGAAGAACGATACCGGGGATATCCAAAGCATTGACAGATCCCACTGGCATTTACAGAGCGCAAGCAGATCCAAGAGCTACGCCGTGAAGTCAGGATTTCCATGAAGCGCACTCCCAAGTACTACTTCAAGATTGATCAACGCGGAAGAGAAAATGTACTAACTGCTTCCTTTAGTTCAAATTCACTTGAAACTGTCTTCGAGGCCCCAGATTCCTGGATTTCACCCGCCTTAGAGACGTCGATGAAACTCATTTGACGCCAAAAACTTTTACAAAATGAGCAGCTCCCTCGAGACCATCGGGCATGGCGCCCTGAATGACCATTTCTCGAGCCTCTCGAGCGCTGGAATAGCTTCCGGGAGTTCGAATCACCCAGCTCATATGAAGTGGACCTTTAACGCTGCAAGGGTTGATCTGAAAATGATGCAAATCCTCAATGATGAGCTGCAGACCCCCAGAGCTGACATTACATCCATCAGTCCCAAGTCCACTCATCATACACCGGGTAACTGGAATACCAGAACATCCCCTCAAAATGCCAAACAGCTTTTCGGGAATTCGTCTAGGGTCCCAATGGTCAAACTGACATCTCCCATGCCCGCAGAATTCCCTGACTCTGCTATCCATACACCGGAAACTTCAGCTTCCACTCTCGACCCTGCTCCCAAGACCCAAACCCGAGTTCCGCGAGAAAAATGCAATATCATGAAAACTATCCCCACACCCGAATCTCCAGACCCAACGAACTCAACCGGATGTCTAATCCCAAACCAATTCGACTTCATCTTCTTGGACAGAAGGCTCCTAGAATCAGAACCCCACACCGAATACATGGACGCAGTCCCTCGATTCCTCGATTCCCTCGAGACCACCGTCCGCAACATGGAAGATACAGCCTTTCCACTACAAACATTCATGATTCAACAACAACTCGTTGCAGGAATTCCCCCCCGATAAAGTCGAGCCTATGTTTTCAGAAACGTCGTCGAATGCGAATGCGAATCACTACCGGTGCAGGGAAATGATAGTTGAGGAAGGTAAACCTGATATCACTATCGCTAGTCCCCGTTATCCTGGTCGTCCGAGATATGAAGGAGCTCCGCCGCATCTTTCTGATCGTGTTCTTGCGAGCATTTTGACGGGGCCTCGGCGGATGTATTTGGAGCGGATGAGGTTGGTCAGGTTTTATTATGAGAGTTTTCGGAATCTTTCTGGGATTAAGCCGCTAGAGGAGGGAGATGGGTTAAGTGGTCTGAAGGGAGTCGATGTCAATGAAGACTTCGAGACGGAGGATTGCGATAGGACTGAGGATTTTCATAGTATTGAGGATCTTGGCGAGGCTGATGGGCTTAACGGGGTTGAGAAACTCAACGGGCCTGGGGATCTCAACGACATCGAGGATCTCAACAGCATCGCGAACCTCCACGACATCGACAATCTCACCATCACTAATGATCTCAACGGGGCCGAGAAAGACAATGATATTGAGATGGGGGATATCGACACATCCGATGACCTGGGTTCACTTTTTGAGGACGACGGAATGGATTGTGGATGATTACTTGATTTTACGGATGCTGGTACATTAGGCATGACGGATAGTCATGAGCTATGTCCGATAGCCCAGGCCTCCTAATGGTACCATGTCAGTTAACCGATGATCGTGGTCGGATTTAGCCAATAACAAGTTACAAAAAATGGCATTCACTCAAAGTCTCATACAGAGAAGATATTCATAGTGTTGTAGGCTCCTTGGATCAAGTGTCCAGTAGTGTCCACTCCACCTCAAATATTGACACGAAACCAATATGACTTTATTTCATGACGAAAGCTGCTCTGATGAGTGATTCGAAAGCGGGGTATGTGGTTAGATACCTCGAGAGCCGCTTGGACCTCAAAAAAAATAGCGATAGCCACCAAGCTTTCTCGCCAAGCTCTCCATTCGGAATAAAGTCCTCCAAATACCCGTTCCGCGGGAGGAAATGCAGAGGTTGATCTTACTCTTGATGCGCCTTCCCGCGGGGAAAACATGTCGATCCCAAGCCATTCCCCCAGATAAAAGCTGATACTTGAGTCTGAGCGAGATATCGGCTTCTGACGAAGGGTTGGCTCAATAACCGCTCTTTATTGATATATGAAGACCCCATGTCGGCAATTGCAATTTGAAACTTATCAAGAGCGATGTAACACAGCTTTCAGAGCACAGACATGCTGCTATTGAGGTCGAACCTTACTCTGAATACTACCCCGTGGGGAGACCGCTAAGTATTTAGAGCACAACTATAACCTTACCTCGCTCTTAGTCTGGAGTAATACTGAAATCTGCCGGGGCAAGAAAAGTTTTGTCCTTCGAGATAATCAAAGCTTGCAGTTCAAACAAAGTTATCATTGTACCATGAAGCCCTGGTACCTCCTTACCTGGGCCACGGCCGTGGCCTCCTACGTTGTCAACAACAACAATACTTGTACACTATATCCCGAATCCCTCACCCACAATGGAGAGGATGTCGATGATGCACCATCCATTCACCAGGCATTCGACATTTGCGGTAACGACGGGACAGTAATCTTTTCCAACCACACATTCAACATCAATTCCATCCTAAACACCACCAACCTCGTCAACTGCGAAGTCCTGCTCCGCGGCGAGCTTCGCTTCTCTGACGATATATCCTACTGGCGCTCCCACTCCTACTCGGTTGTTCTGCAAAATCAATCGACAGCGTGGCTTTTCGGCGGTACCAACGTCACTCTGCGCGGTGAGGGAGGCTGGTACAACGGAAACGGACAGGCGTGGTACACAGAAAACCGGAATGGTGCCAATCAGCCGGGACGTCCAATCAGTATCACTTTCTTCAATTCGACGAATCTCTTGGCAGACCATTTGACGATCATCCAGCCACAGTTCTGGGCGACATTTGTCTGGCAAAGCAAGAATGTCTCGATAACAAACTTTTTTGTCAATGCTACGAGTGATAATCAGTGGGATACCACCAATACCGATGGCTATGACTCCTGGAATAGTGATACTCTGCTCGTTGAGAACGCATTTATCACTAATGGAGACGACTGTATCGCTGCCAAGGGGAACACTACTAATCTGCTTGTCAGAAATGTTACTTGTCACGGTGGTAATGGTATAACTATTGGCTCTGTGGGCCAATATCCGGATATGCCCGATTACGACGTCAATATCACCTTCGAAGATGTCAAGTGCGTCAACTGCATGGACGGCGCCTATATCAAGACGTGGCAAGGTGTCTCCGCCGACCATGATTCAAATGGCGATGTCGGAGGCGGAGGCCGAGGATTGATCAAGAATATCACCTTCCGAAACTTTGAGATGGAGAATGTCGGTCTTCCGATTCAAATTTCTCAATGCATTTACACCGAGGAAAGTAACAAGTACTGCAATACGTCGAAGATGCAGATCGAGGATGTCACCTGGGCTAATATTCATGGTACCTCGAGATATAACATTGCTGCTTCGATTTATTGTTCCGACGCACACCCTTGTCCGAATATTTCTTTTGAAAATGTGGACCTTCGAAGTGTCAACCAGACAAAGGGACTACCGGCGTATGGAACAACTTTGCAACATGAAGTTTTCCAGTGCACGAATATCATCGGGGAGGGTAGCTCGGGTATCCCATGCAATCATGTCGCGCCTAATAATTTTAGCCAGGGCGTTTATAGTAATGTCAAGAACTAAATGGGTGACGGAAGATGTTGGCGGGAAGTTCTTTGGCTAGGATGAGGCCTTCTTATGTGAAATGGGATCTCAAATCTCAAATAGCTATATACTCTTCGTACTGCAGAATTTATTCCATCACTGGCATCACACACAAGTAATGATTCGAGCTTTCATGCGATGCTACTAGTAATTGATGCACAAGGTGCTGGTCTATAGTTCCTCGGATCGGATAAACTATCTCCAAGGGTAAGCTTGCAGATGGGCGTCTCATCACGTGGAAACCCCTTCCTCCCGAACCTCAGCCTGACGTGACATCCAGCAGCAACTCAACTCCTTCATCCGCCCCCCGGGCTGGGTATATACTATTTCGTACTGCCTAACTTGATATCCAGAAACTTTGAAGCCGGCAACAGAATATTCTCTACTTTTTCTTCCTTACCCGTCACGATCTCCTCTGGCATCCCATGTTGACGCGCCCGATGGTGGGACCATCGTGACTGTTCGTTGTGCTCGGTCGCAAGTTGACGCCGGGATTTCGATTTGACTACACAGAATATTGGAAGCTGCATCCCCTATTGTATATTCCTCTCCGAGACTGGGAAAATCTATCCATGTGATTCTCACCCGGAGGTCCCTGGTCGCTACTGACTGGCCCAAAGCGGGGTGGATAGAGGCCCATCGACATCGAATCGCCAAAACATGAAACTCAAAACCATAACGAAGGCAATTCTAGAGCTCGGATTCTGACCTTTGCTTACTGAAAGAACACTGATTTGCCCCTAACACTTCCCTGACACCGTTGGCCATCGCTGCACTGCGGAAAGCCTGGACTGATAGCCGGTACTCACTGGCCTAGAGTCCGAAAGGAACATATTGGTTAAGTTTGGATTCGGAGAGATCAGCTACAAGCATGGCTTGGTTCTGAAAGATTGAGACAAGATTACTGCCCATCTTCCTCGCCTTATTTAGCCGTGGTGCGGTACTTGTCCTCTCTTGTTTTGATGGATTTGCACGAAGCAATGTCCATATACTGTAAAATCATCAGCCAATCTGGCGAAGCAGTGCATCTGACTTCGGATTCCGATCCAGCAAAAACACGGTTATGGAAACCGGAGCTGTGAAAATCGCAATCCTCGGCGATCAAAGTGGCCCAGACACCTGTCACAAAGAGCAAAACATCACTCACAAGGCAATGAAAATGGGGGGATAGCCCCTGGACCATGGTGCCATTTCATCGACTACTGCACACGCTCCCCACACGGTGATGCAAGGAATATCCTGCTTGTGACCAGAGGCGGCAAATGATTGGATGGAGCTTGTGTTTTCCAAGCCAAGGCCGTTGCTTGGAAGAAAAGGCACTGCTTGGGTCTTATTCAATACGTAGATAGATGAGTCTATGGGCTATCCAGTGACCCCATTCGGACTTTCAGTCGGAGAACCGGCATGTCCGATACCAAAACCTTGGCCCAACTTGGCCATAGGAATGAGGCTTCGCCAGGGCGACTAACATGGCTGTCCTTGTGCTCGAGCTCGTGGCTCGAAAGACCTACTCGGAGATTCAGCGCAAGCAAAAGCTGAGCTGAACTGAGCTGAACTGAGCTGAACTGAACTGAACTGAACTGAACCAGGTCCAAATAGAGCAGTTGGGACTGTCGTTCAGAACTCCGTTGTAGAGCCGCATCCGCGCACCCGCCACCAGTCCACACGCCATTTTCTTACGGTGAACAAAGCCAGCTCATTGAAATCCCTATTCACTTGAGCTGGAGAACCTGTAGTCAGGTATAATTTGGACTTGAGCCTTTCCTACTGCAAGAATGCAAGAAAGCAAGAAATGGTGCGTCCATCCCAAGTCCCTTACTCACATTGAACAGAACCCGGAAAAAAGCTCCTCCGACCTCCCCTCTCCCTCCCCAAAAGAACTTCCCAGAAGAAGCGCGGACACGAGAATCGGCTCCACTCACTTTGCGACTACTACCTACGTCCTTTATCAACTTGCGCTCTCAACACTCTGTCTTTCTACGAGCGAAAGCCAGATGCTGCTGGCGACTTTCCTATGGCTGGGTCCCGTAGGAGTCCGTCACTGAAAGACCAGTGGAACGCCGACCCAGACCGCGATCATCGTGATCGTGATCGGGACAGGCGTAGAGGTCGAGGACCAAACCAAAACCGAGGTCGCGCTCGCTTTCGCGACAGAGGGCGTCACTCGCGTGGCAATGACCGTCGCTATGACTATCACGGAAGGTCGCCTCCTCCACGCGCCTCCCGCTTTGGGCCCGATTCGTCTCACGATTCGACCGGGTTTGCCTCCCAACGCTCTCCACCGCGTGGCTCACCTGGCGCTTCCCCTGGATTCCATGGACCTCAACGTTCAAGTAATACACGACCGCCATCCTCTACCGACCGGAACGCCCATTCATCCGGATCTCTAGATCGAGACAACCAGGGGCCTCGACGAGCAGACTCCCCGTTCGGACCACCATCAAAACGCCAAAGAACACGCAGTCCATCGCCCCGTGGTCCGCGTGCGCCATTTGCCAACCGCCGATCTTCATACAGCAAGCATAGTGACAGACGCGATCGAAGCCCTCCGTTTCGAGGACGAGGTCGGGGCTTCTCAGGTCGCGGTGCCCCTAGAGGACGGTCTCCACGTCGAGGTCGCGATCGCCGAGGAGCTGACCGTCGTCGTTCGGACATCCCAAGACACGGCCAATCAAAGTCCCCCGTGCGCGATAGAGGCTCTCACCCATCACCCAACAGACGTTCTCGCTCACACAGTGATGATTACAGTGATCGAGACTCTCGATATCGTTCTCGATCTTTATCAAGGAACTCCGTTCGCTCTTCTGGGTCGCGGGGCTCTGTATCTCCTTTTAATCCACGTCCTGAAGAACCAATGAATTCAACCCGATTCATCAAACCCGGCCATAATGATACGGCCCGTTCTCCCTCGCCCTCACGCCCTATTTCCTCTGGCAATTTAAGTGGCCCTGGCGATGGACCATCTAACGTGCGCGATGCACTTCCTCTGCATGGAGTGCGAGGGTCAGATGTCCACAAACAGTATCCACGGTCATCTCGACAGCATCTGGATACACGGCAATACTCAAAGTCACCACAATACGCAACACCAACAACCTCTCATCGGGGCTCACCTCCACCCGGTTCCCCATATCGCAGTGGACGAGGGGGTCGGAGTGGTGAACAGTCTGGATATTCAGGTCATGGGTCAGTTAGATCTTACCCAGCCTATCACATTCTCTTAGAACTGAACTCAACTAACCTCATATGCATGTTTAGTCACACGTCTCCTTACCGACAAGACAATTACTATTCGAAAAATGGTGACCAAGGGGAACCATATGATCACAGCCATGGTGCCTTTGATAACCCACCGAAGCCCTCCTCTCAACATGCCCAGGGCACACCATCCTTCCGTGGAAACTACTCTAGCTCTCGCGGGAACCACGCCCATCAGGGCCCCGACCGTCGTTTCTCGGGCTCGGGTCCCTCTTCGAGCCACAACAACAATCGAACTTCACATATGGACGACAATAGCCATTTCAACAATTCACAATGGACAGCCCCGGGGCCCCGTGGCCGTGCTGGGCAAGACAGCCCAAGAACGGGACACAACTACCGATCCCAAACCCCTTCCACACGGCCCCCGTCTGCCAGCGATCCACAATCTCCAAGGGCAGTGGATAGTGGTATTCATCACCGACCTGCTCCCAAGGCATTCTCAAGAGAAGAGGATTATGCCCCGCAAGGGCCCGAAGGCGATGGCGCACGAAACATGCCCCCGCCTACCCGTGATGCGCCGCCCACAACCCCAGCAGAAAACCGTGGAAAAATCAGCTTCACCTTCAAAGCCAAGAGCACCCCGGCGCCTGCCCCCAAGCCAGTGCCTGACCTCGCACAGCGTATGCAAGTTCGCGAACCGCCACCCCGTGCTCCTCCTCTATCTGAAGTCCCTTCCCCTCGCAACCGTTTGACGAATGGTCCATTGCCCAAATTCAAACCCGAACCACGTTTTGATCGCTTTGATCGAGATCGCGGGCGGGATCGGGGACGGGATCGTGGTCGAGACCGCGGACGAGATCGTGGACGAGACAGAGAACGAGATTTTGACCGACGAGATCACAGAGATCACCGAGATCCCAGAGATCACAGAGACCCCCAAGACCCGCACGGCCGAAGAGATGATCGTCGATTTGACCAGCGTCGTGATCGCGGAAGGGGAGACCGACGCCCAGACTTCCGACAAGAGCGTCGTAGAGACTTTACTCCAGAGCCACCGAGGGAACTCCCACCAAAGGAACTACCACCGAAACAAACGAAGATTGTTCTACGCCCTAAGCCACGTCCCAAGCTATCCGAAGAGTTTGCTAAAGCCGATTCCGTCTATTATCGCAAGCCGGGCAACGAATCCGTTATTGGCGCAGGCACGTACGGAAAGGTCTTCAAGGGAATACACGTGTATACCCAACGCAAGGTTGCATTGAAAAAGATCCGAATGGAAGGTGAAAAGGATGGATTCCCCGTGACAGCTGTGCGCGAAATCAAGCTCCTCCAACATCTCCGCAACCACAACGTCGTGAATCTTTTAGAAGTTATGGTTGAGAAAAACGAATGCTTTATGGTATTCGAATATCTCTCACACGACCTCACTGGCCTTATCAATCATCCCACCTTCGCACTCACTGTTGCCCATAAGAAGGACCTGGCGAAACAATTGTTCGGAGGCCTGGACTATCTCCACCACCGAGGTGTCCTTCACCGTGACATTAAAGCCGCCAATATCCTCATCAGCAACCAAGGTCTCCTAAAATATGCAGACTTCGGTCTAGCTCGATTCTTTTCAAAGAGTCGGCCACTGGATTACACTAACCGGGTGATCACTATCTGGTACCGTCCACCTGAGCTTCTACTCGGTGAAACTCGCTATGGCCCCGCAGTCGATGTATGGAGTGCCGCGTGTGTCTTTATTGAAATGTTCACGAAGAAGGCCGTGTTCCCCGGCGAAGGAGGCGAGCTCAGCCAGCTCGAGAAACTTTACAATTGCTTGGGTACTCCGACCCGCGCCGACTGGCCGGACCTTGTCGAAATGCCATGGTTCCAGCTGATGCGTCCCACCGAACGGAAGAAGCGAGTCTTCGAGGATGTGTATCGGGAAATTTTATCTCCCGCTGCCCTGGACCTCATCTCTCAGATCTTCCGATATGATCCAACAAAGCGACCGAGTGCGGAAGAAGTCCTTCAGCATCCCTACTTCACGTCTGAAGAACCCGCTCCGCAACAAGCTTTCGAGTAAGTCTATTACACACCCACACCTCAAAACAAGTCACGGATCAATACTAACGAGCTACTTAGGCTGGAGCACATTGAAGGGGATTGGCACGAATTCGAATCCAAGGCTCTACGAAAAGAAGCCCGGCGCGCAGCCGAGTATCAAAGTCAAAAGGATCGTGAAAAACGCAAGGCCGATGCATCGGTGACGTCGAGTGATCGAGATTCCAAACGCGTCCGGGAGACTTAGTGCGGACCAGCAGAGCAGTGGGCATGATGTGCATTTTGATTATTCTTCGCTTATAGCATGGGGCATTGGGTAGGGGGGAGGATTGCATTCACCTCAGGGTTCCTGGGAAGGGGGGAGGGCGGGTATGGCTTACTATCGTACGGGAGATATCAGGGCCTATTTATTGTGACATATTGCCCACCAATTTATGGAAGAAAATATCTTTGTAATAATTCAATGAAAAGAAGTCGTGTACGGGACTCGGATATGGCAGTGTATTTGTGGGTAGGAAGAGTTTTCAAGTTCGTATGAAGGAGCAGAGGGTGTCAAGTGTCAAGGAAATCGGGGATAGGGACGTGGAGATAGTTACCGCTGCAGGGGTATCAGAGCTAGAGCTAGGTACAACTAGGTAGTAACTGTGAACACAGGTTAGCAGGGTCTCTTATCGCAAAATGCCCATGTTTTCTGCAATGCAATGCGCTCGGGAGATGTTCATATCAGACTTTGCCAATCGACCTCACGCCCGACCAGCCAGTAGAAATGAAGGCGGTTGGGGCCTCGGATTACCAGAGAGCTCAAAGGGTATCATCATTTATAGGGAGTGGGAGTGGAAGAAGTGGGAGCTGAAGTGAAATGGATATGGATATTGGATTGAAGCTATTCAGGACGTACCCTACGACTAAAGGATAATAAAAACAGCGATTAAGCGTGGCAAGCTTAGAGTAAGCTTTGTGTCTCGTCAATCAGGTCATCAACGTATCATGGGAAGCTGTAGAGCCCTCGTGATGATGGTTTTAGATGCGATTGTTAATCTCGACACACACATCGGAAACACCGGAGCAGGAGAGTAGGCGAAACACCGGTGTTGATTTGAGTTGGTGGTCTTGCGTAAAGAAGAAAAGAAAAAGAAGAAGAAAAAAAGAAAACGGGGGCTTTTCAGCGGTCGTCGGGAAAAAAGACGGTGCGGGCAGTCAGGCGAGAGTTGATGTGATTGGCTGAGCAAGCAAAGATGGAGCTTCTTTCTCGAGTCTCCAATTCCACTCCATCTTCACTTGCACTGCACTCCCCTCTATTCACTACTCCCACTTCCACTCCGACTCCCACTCTTCCCCTCTACGTCTCTACTACACGAATTTCCTCCTCTCTCTATTCAACATATTCTTACGCCTTACTCTTTCATCCCTCCTTCAAAAGATACCCCTCCCGCCACCTCATTCCACCACCTCCGCCCTCTCCATCCCGATCTGCCTCTTTTTCTGCGCCCACCTGTCGCACGACACTACTCTCATACCTCGTTGATCACCCAAGGTTATTTGTTCTGCGCATATCAACTTGTGCCCTGTCGTTCATTTCGTCTTTCCCCCTCTTTCCTTTCTCCCGGATGACCGCTCGTGTCCCGGGCCGTCTAACCCGCCGCCATGGATAATGCCAACCTGTGGACTCGTCGAGCAAAGTAAGTTCTCATTGAACCGATCGCCTAACCAGAATCTACCCCAAAAACAACAAAAGAAGCTAACATCTTCCCCTTCAGCTCTTCCAAATTGTCCCTCTCCATGTCCGGGACAGACGGCAAGGACGGTGCCCGTGTCGACCTGCCCCGCTCATCCAAACGTTTCGGCCCTGACAGCTCCCACGGCCGCTCGAATCCCTTCAACGCCATATCTCCCATGTCCGCGGGTGTTTCCTCCCCGTCCACAAACGCCACCAACGCCTTTGGTCTGGGATCTGGCGCCTTTGCCTCCTTCGGCGCTCCCAAGACCCCCGGCGGGAGTACTGCAGATGTGAAGACCCCGGAGGAGAGAAACGAGAGTTTTCCGGCGATCATGAAGAGGTTTTTCGGGCTAGGGAACTGGTTGCTGCCGCAGTATCCGGGGCCGTGTCCGGTGGTGGTGGTCCTGGCGAACACCCGCTCAAGTCGACCTGGATCGTCTGGTATCGACCTCCTACACCCAAGTACTCCGACTACGAGAAATCTACGGTACCACTCGCGTCGATATCGTCGGTGGAGAGTTTTTGGGGCACTTATTCGCATCTTAAGCGGCCTTCTCTTCTTCCGACGGTGTCGGATTACCACATCTTCAAGAAGGGCATTCGTCCGGTGTGGGAAGATGAGGCTAACAAGCGGGGTGGCAAGTGGATTGTTCGATTGAAGAAGGGTGTCGCTGATCGGTATTGGGAGGATTTGCTAATGGCGATGGTTGGTGATCAGTTTGCAGAAGCCGGAGATGAAGTCTGCGGTGCTGTGCTGAGTGTTCGCGGTGGCGAGGACGTCTTGAGTGTCTGGACACGAAATGACGGTGGGCGGAACATCAAGATTAGGTATGCAGGGTTATTTCCTTTCATTCTTAATCGCTTTTTTCTTTTTTTTTTCGCAGAGCTAATTCTTTTCTTTTTTGTCTCCAGAGAAACCATCAAGCGACTGCTTGCATTCCCTCTGGACACCAACATATTCTGGAAGAGCCACGACGATAGTATCGCCCAACGCTCCGCCATTGACCAGGCACGCCATGAAAAGTCAACTGCAACCGGATCCACCCCTACCGGGCACCTAGGAACCGAACGACGACGCAACACCGGCCACGACGACTCGGACAAAGTCAAGGGCGTCACTCTGTCATGAACTCTCTCTTTCTTACATATCCCCGACCTTGGCCCTTGGGCCCTGTACAGTAAAGCCATTCCAAAAAAAGAAAGGGAAAGGAAAAAAGAAAAAAGAAACCATTCACAATTACTCATTGGGACGCGTTTGGGTCTGGGGGACTACTGGACTGGTGGGTGGGCATCGAGGCGAACTTGAACTTGAACTCAGCGGTTTGATTTGATTTGGGATTTTTATGTCTTGAACTTATTCATGTCTGGTTCCGTTTTTTTCTTCCAGTTTTCTTTTTTTATGTGCCTTCAAGCTCACGCGTGATGTTTATTTCCTCTTCTCTTTCTTCTTTTTTTTGTTCTATCTATTCGAAAAATGCCCGCATCTGCAGATGGCGCAGATGTTAGTGTTAGTGTCCATGATAGTTAGTTGCTAGCAAGTTAGCCCAGTTGCTAGTACATGTAGGGGATGGCTCCTAATTAACCATCCCCCGAGTCGCATGTGAATGTACTTGATGATCTCTATTCTGCTAGTCTTAAGTGACTAAAACAATAAATAGAATATCATGAATATCATGAATATCATGAATATCATAACCTAGGGTACTCCCACTCTCAATGCGGCAAAAAGAGCTTATCACTGACCGCCCACGATAAACCAACACGGCGACTCTCCAAATCCGCCAAATCCACCTGGACAATCCCCGCAAACAAAGAAATTTCTATAAAATCCCTATTCAGGATGGGACCAATGCTGCGCATGGTCTTGGTCCTGTCATAGCGGAGGTCACCATCTGAATGCCTCTCTTTGACAGTTTTTCCAAAATCTTCGCCAGTCTGTCTCCGCATCGCCCGCGTCACCGTGACCCAGACCTTCAGGCCGACGATCGCCAACGAACTCAGACCCAGCGCCGCAATCTACCCTCACGACACGATCGCTCTCTCGCCCAGAGTCGCGAGCTTTCTACTTCCCCATCCCCGTCCAAGGGAATACCAAATCGACAGAATCAGTTCTCTTTACTATCCGAAGACGAGGAGGACGAGGACGACCTTGACGAATCTCCGCGCGATACTGCTGCGCTCCCGCAGGTGTGTTAGCCTAGCAAGCTCCCCCAGCTTCGACTTTGCCTTGCTTTGCTTTGCTTTGCTTTGCTTTGCTTTGCAAGCTGTACAACCCTTGGCATTTCTGGAACCCTCTTCGCCCCATCCTACCTTGGAGACCCAAACGATACCCTAGGGTACTCTAATATCCCTGTGTCGATTACTGTTCTTATCGCCGACAGGGCCGCTTTTTTTGCTTTTTTTTCGCAGCTTCCCTTCTAGCTGGATCCGGGCTGATCTGATTTCCCGTCCTCACTCAGAGCCCTCAGAGTTATGCGAATATTTTTTCCTCCCATCCTGGATCTACATCTACACTCACCCGTGGACAATTACAATTGCCACGGGATTCGCAGTCTGTCGTTGATTCCGGTGACCGGTAGATATGCCCTCTCACCACGGCCCCGCCAGCGAGCCAAAGCTGATTTCGATTTCGCGCCGCGCTAGCTCGGGTGACGCCTCGCAGATGTTAGGTAAAGATCAGAGCCGGAAGCCTCGTGAAGAGCAGCGAGAGGAGGATCGATTACTTGGAGGTGGAAAATATCGGTATGTTGGACAATCAGTTCGGTTCGGTATTGGGGGAGGTGTCAGCTTTGAATGAAAATTATTTTACTAACAAATGTGTCTCTTTTTCGATATAGCGATAGCAATGCTGTACGAATTCGTCCTGGTGAAGGGAGGAAGAGGGTTATTCCCGGGTATGTTTTATATCTCCTCTACGCTGGAACAAGCATGAGCATGTTTCTGATTCGTGAACAACAACAGAGTTCGGCCGCATTCAAACCGAAAAACAACTTTGACATCCGAAATGCACGGGAAAGCGGCCCAGTTCGGGCCCAAGGGAAGGCCCAGACAAATACATTACACGAAAAGAATCGCCCTCGTCTAGATGAGCCTTTCGATTTTGAACAGGCAACCCGTCCGAACAAACGGCCACGCAATAATGAACACGCCAGACCTCCTGTTGCGATTGGGAAGAGGGCCACTCAGCTGCCTCTTCAAACTTCTCCCCAACGTCGAGTCTCGCCTGTATCAAGTGAGACTTCAAGCAAAATAGAACGAAACGTTATACCACGCCAACAGGAAGAGTACCGTCAAGTGGAGGAATGCATGAAAATGCCCAGACCCCATCCTCGGAGTCGGCAAAATCGACGCAGACCCATCCAGCCTGAAAGTCCAGACGAAATCTTCACCTCACAGGCTGCGAAAGAGAGACGTGCCGCGGTGGAACTTGCAGCGGACTTTTCTAACTGGGAGCACGGGCCGAATCCGAATGTCAGATCAAAGTCACCCCAAAGACGCGCACTTGCACATTCACGAGAAAGTCCCGATATTTTACAAGGCGATGTCACGATTCCAACATTACCGAAACCTACGACCACCAAACAAACATCGGGTCGCCAGAATCCAAATAATGAGCCGTCTCCGTCCCCTTCTCGAAAACGCTCGCCGAGTGATATCCAACCTACCGATTTCACCAGTTCCCCCATTCAAGGCTCTAAGAGGGCCAAGCGCAGTCACACATCTTCCACTGGGTTTGAGGTTAAGTACCTTCGATTCGGCCCTTTCAAAAAGCAGCCCCATGCAGAGGGACCGCTGGTCATTCATGTTGACCAGAATCGGGAGAAGATTCAGCTGGGTAAATTAGTTTGCGACACTGATGAGCATGAAAATGCCAGTATCGAACTGCGCCGCATCATTGCGGTATTGCTGGGGGATAGTGACAGTCATAAAATCCGATTGAAGCTCGCTGTGAGGTCTGAGCTCCCGCATGACACGGTGGATATCGAATTCAAGACAATGCCAGAGAAAGATAAATTCTCAGCTTTGGTTCGAGAAAAAACCAACAGGGTACAAACTAAACCCTCGGTGTTTATGGATCGAGCTTTTGATATTTATGGGATCAGAATGGCGGAACTCAGCAGAGAACCCAAAATGTCTTTTATTGAAGATGTTCCCTCTGAACGCGAACGCATCCGACAACCGTCTACCCGTCAAAAGATTTCATCTGCCCTGCAGGGTGATAGCGAAGATCTCCCAGAGAAGACGGATCACGACAACAGGTACATTCGGTTCAATCTGAAATTGTTGGAATAAGCTGACAAAATAACTAGGTACAAACCGGCTGAACCTCTCGCAAAGCGTGACGTTGAGGACGATGCTTCGAAAACCCAGCTAGACGAAAACGAAACAGGAGTGGAAATTCCGGTTAAAAAGTTCCAGCCAAAGCCTGAAACAGAGAGACAGACACGTTCGACGGGCCGACGCTCGACTCGACTTTCCGACTTGTTCAAAAACCACGACGACGATGACGACAGCACCGACTTGTTCAGCAAATATCCTCTCAAAGAAGACCCTTTTCGAAAGGAATGGAAGCAATCCTTGGTATATCCTCCAAATGGAAAGAAGAAAGCCGAAGTCACGGTCGAAGACCGTGATCGACTCCGTGATGACGAATTCCTTAACGACAACCTGATCGCATTCTACATGCGCTTCTTGCAAGATCATATGGAACGAACGAATCCCGAGGCCGCGAAGCAGGTCTACTTCTTCAATTCCTATTTCTATGATACGCTCACGAAGACACCCCGGGGTCAACGTGGAATCAACTATAGCGGCGTCGCGAAGTGGACACGAAACGTCAATCTGTTTGAGTATAATTTCGTCGTGGTTCCGATTAACCAGAATGCTCATTGGTATGTTGCTATCATTTGTAACCTGCCGAAGCTACTGGGTGAAACCGAGGCAATTAAATCCAAGCCCGACGTGGAAGAGTCTGCATCTTCCAACGGCAAGAGTCCCCCCCAACCAGACAGAGAGCGAAGTTCACGAAATCCTCGAGTCGCCGGAGCCCGAGGCTGGACATGGCATGAACCAGGCAGGAAGATCAACGGAGTCTCCACCTTCGCAAAGCGCACGTACTCGCCTTGCCTCTCTCTCACTTGAAAACGAGAGTGGGCCTGGAACAACCGAAGACTCGTCGGGAGAACCGGCTAAAGAACTTCCACAAGAAGAGAAGCAAGCCAACGAGACCGACAAGTCTACAGATCTAAAGGAACCCAGTTCTGCCGACGAATGGCCTGTAGAAGACGACCACCACCCCCCACCCCCCAAGCCTTCCACAACATCTCTCAGTTCGAAACCCACCGGCCCGAAACCAGATCCTATCCCCGCATCCCAAAGCCCAACAACCAAAAAGAAAGGAAAAGGCGGCCAAAAATACGACCCGGACCAAACGACAATCATCACATTCGACTCCCTCGACCTAGCCCGCTCACCCACAGTCCGAATACTGCGCGATTACATCTGCGAAGAATCCTCCTCCAAACGAGGCAAAGGCGTAGATCCAAAAGACGTCAAAGGCATGCGAGCCCGTCAAATCCCACTCCAACCCAACTTCTCCGACTGCGGCCTCTACCTCCTGGCCTACTTGGAGAAATTCGTGCAAGACCCGGATCAATTTATCAGGAAGCTTCTGCAGCGCGAAATGGATGAAAAGGATGACTGGCCTCCTTTGGGCTCGGGTTTGCTTCGACAACGTCTTCGCGATTTCCTTGATCAGTTGTATCGTGAGCAAGAACGGGTTAAGGCGGGTGAGGGTGGTGCGGGTGCTGGTCCGAAGCAGGAATTTCTCGCAGATCAACAACCGATTTCGCATCTACTTGGCCCGTCGGATTCCAGTGAAGCGGACGTTGAGAAAATGGTTGATCATACGCCAGAGAAAACTAAGACTGGTGATGATGGTTCTGAGAAAAAGGAACCGAGCGAAAATCTTCCCGAGAAGTCTCGTCGCAGTGATTCGGAGAGTGACTCGGAGGACAGTTCAACGGTCGACCAGCTTCAATTGGTACCTACAGGTATGGCCCCGACTGTGTCGAAGACTACATCGTCAGCGCTCTCTTCTGGCAAAGATCGTTCGAAAAACGACTCCCGTCAAAAGAAAGATGAAGATGTCGTCGAGGTACCGGATAGTCAAGAAGCGAATCGGGAACTGGACCCTTCTCCCAACTCCTCCGAAGTCCAACCTTCCAAACCCGAGAAGAAGAAAGGGAAAACGGACCAGCCTTCGAAAAGCAAGAAATCTGATTCCATGAGAAAGAACCAGACCCCCACTGTAGAAATCCAGATCCGGGCAACACCCCCTCCTATGCCCTCAAGTCCGGGAAAAGTGAGAAAGAGTCCTCGTGGGGAAAAAGAGAAACATTGATTTCGTCCGATTGATCCCCCCCCCCCCCCCTCTTCTCTCTTCTCTCTTCTTTCTTGTCCGGTTCCTCGGTCCACGTTCGATGTCTTTTTTTGCATTCTTTTATTTCCTCTTCATTTATTTCACATGCATCGCCGAATATCAATTCGGTTCTTTCTGGATAGAGGCGTTGGCGAGCGACGACCTAACGTGTTTTCTTTTTTTTTGTTCCCGCTGTTTTTTGGGATGCATGAGATAAGATACCAGCATCTTCAGCACAATACCATTTGTTTATTTCTATGCACCTATCTAGACCTTTATCCATCACTTCAGGGGCCGGTTCAAGTTTAACTTATTCCTTCCAAGCTCAACCCTTCACATTATTCTACCAATTATTCTCAGGCTATTCTATCCATTCTACCACATACTCTCATCCGCAATCCACTTCGCCATCTTCTCCTTCTTAAACGTCTCAAGATCCCACTCCACCTCATCAAGTTTATCCACACCAGCAATCCAGACATAAGTAACAGCAGCAACTTCCTTCCCCGCTTCAAGGTCAGATTGAGCACCACCACCACTCTCCGCAGTCCCAACCACACCCTTCAATACATCCTGCAAACTCCCCTGACCATCCTCATCCCCATCACTCCGTAACGCCCGAACAGTAACTTCCTTCTTGATATACGGATCGCCCTCGAAAAGATCTAGGCGATAGATATCTCCGTCTGTGAGGCCGGAGACTAGGGTGCCTAGCACAGAAGCGCCAGCGTCGGCATTGGCATTGGCATCGCCATCTTGGATTACAGGTTCAGAGTTCACAGCCACGATCGCGGGATAACTATGATTCCGAACGCGATGACGCTTGAACCCGTGTAAGATTGCGGGTTGGAATTTCAGGAGCCCTTTTTGCCAGGGTTCTGGGTCGGGACGGCCGTGGATGACGCGGTATAGGATTTGGGGGGCCATTAGGGTTCCTGGTTTTTTTCAGTGAGGGTTCAAGTTTCAGTGAGGTTTTGTGGAGGGTGCTGGGGTGTGGTGGGTTGGGGTGGACTTACCGTAGAAGAAACATACGTGGTCGCCCATCTTGGGATGTGAGAGGGGTATTGGATGTCTGAGTTTTCAAGGAGATGGACAAGTTTAAGTTGACTTGGGGCGAGGTGTAGATGTTGGCATTGATTGTTGTTCCACTTGAAGTTTATCAGTTGTCGTTGGATTGCGGGGTTGTTTCCAAGGATCGCCGGGTACTTTAATATGTCCGAGTCTGTTCGTGCTACTAGTACTACTAATTCTAGAATGATAGCGGTGAGAAGCCTACTATTAGTACTAGTTGTTAAATCATTCAATCTCATTTTCGAAATATATGCATTTCTATTTACTGGTAAATTTAAAACCATAGTCCCACCGAAAGCAAGTTTATAAACACTGTGCCTGTTTATTGTGGGCCCCCACCAGGAGGCTTTAGAGAGTTCCTAACTTCCTCAGTAATAGGATCCTTCTCATCGAAAGCGCACATTGCACGCCTCTTAGAGGTCCATGCTGACACATCTAGCTGATCACCACCAACCTGACGTGACGCGAATCCAAGAATCGATATGGTGTAGTTGCGTTCATAATCCCTCAAGGCCTTGGCCCAGTTCCAAGGGTCATTCTTCTTAGCGTCAGGTGCAGGGAGCTTAACCTTATTAGCCTTCACTAACACAACTTTCTTGAGGGGGTCCAGGTCTCCTGGATTCGGGAGGGAATATCGTATTTCGTGGCATAAGCCAGGATAATACTCCCCAATCGGCGAGTTCCAGCAGATTCCTGCAAGACACCAAATATGGAGCTGGGGTCTTCGGAGAGTCGTAGCCAGAGCGCCATCATATGGCCGAGATTCTTGATCTCTGAATCCGGTTTCAGAACTGAGTTACGCTCCAGTGTAGCGAGCATGGTCAGGAACATAGTCTTGATAAGTCGAGAAATTGTTTCCGCGCCTTCACTGTCGTCGATTCTATTGATGGAGGTCCTTTGCATTAGACAATGTGTAGGAAGGTATAGTGGCAAAGTTTTATAAACTTACTGCATCATTGCATCGGCCGAACCATGACGGATAAATAGACCCAGTGCTTCGCAGAGTGTCCACTGCTCTTTCCAATTGCTCTTCGCCAGGTCGAAGTCCAGCATGAAATTCTCAACAAGCTCGAGGGTACCGTACCCGTAGTGATCGTTAAATGTGTACATTGCGAGCCCGTCCGGGTCGCGGGTTATACAAAGACGTTGAGCCGACGCACACTTTTCAAATCCAGCGTGGGTGATAATCCAGGAATTATCTGAACTTTTGTCCAGGGGCTTCGCGCCAAGGAAAGTACCCTCCTTGGATTCTCAATTAGATGGGCTGTATCTTTTCGTTGTCATTGTTTAGTGGGAGAGGGGGCTAAAAAAAACACACCTCATCTTCGCCTTCGTCTTCGTCTTCTTCATCCTCGTCTTCGAAGTCCTCACCGTCATCCCCGGGGGTGCTTTTGTTTCCGTAGTGCAATGGAGCTATAGATACGTATTCGAAGGCCTTGGCAGGGTCTTTCCAAAGTTTGGTCCATGCGATATCCGCATCTGAAGTCGTAGACCCCGGAGTCAGGCGTAGGTTACGGGGAAGTTCAAGCTTAGAGGGAGCGGTGTCCTGGCCAGATCTGGCTCGTTTCTGGGCTTCCGCAGACTGCACTGCGTCTGTGGACTTTCTTTTGGGTGGCATGGTGATGGTAGTGGTGGTGGTAAAATACTGCGCGCAAATCAATGGTACGAGAAGTAGTTATAGCCCCTGAGACTTCCAAACTCTGAATGATATAATGCGATCGGGCACTCGTAAGGTATGGGATCCCATTACTGACGCGTCGTTATCTTATCGGACGCGTTCTGTTTTTTGGCTTTTATTTTCTGGATTGGACACATCGATTATGACGTTAAGTTGTGGGGTACATTCGGTTACTCGGGGCTCAAGTCGAGCAACATAGATTTGTGAATTAATTGGCAACTTGGACTGTTGGCAACCTTTGAACCCAATGCGTTATAGCACGCCAATATCGGCAAACAATAGGTAAAGAATCGGTTTGCCTGTTTCTCGGTTGATGCGTAGCTATTGGCTGAACATACACGAATACGCCAGAATTTCCCAGGTGGGTTAGTCTTGTTTGCATTCAGGGATTGATCTGCGAATTAAGTCGACTTGGTAAGCGGAAGGAGTAAAAGTTGAACATTTCACTTTTAATCGAAGATAATACATTCATTGGTAGTATATTTAGAAAAATCCTGCTTTAGATCCGATTGAAACCATGGAATTACCATGAAAAAGGGGCATCTCTAAGATTGAATGAAATCCCTTTCGCAGGTTTAGGTTCGGATTCTTTCCATCAGGATCTACTTTTAACTGAAATACGATACTGAATTGAACTATTACTTACGAAAAACTCGTAAAAGCTTCCCATTTAAAAAATTTGCATATATAAAACATGATAGCTCTGGGCACTTCATCTTAGTTTCATATTAGAAATTATCATTTATTACGCTGTCTCTTGGTTCTTCGCTCTAAGAAATGTGCCGACAGGCACCTCAGTACAAAGTTCAAGGGGCTCCGTATATATCAAATATATCCGGCAGCCTAGGATCTAAATTCTAGGATAACTTAGAAAGTTTCACTTGATTTAGTGTGGCGGGGTCTTCTGACGAATGTGGACCCTTGAGCCCCAGCATCGTTCCAGCCAGTTCTCAGTTCCAGAGACCATCTATGCACTGTGCTCCCGGGGTCATGCCAAGCAAAAGAAAATAAATACATTTCAAAAGTAAAAACGAATACGCCCATTGGGATCCACATGTAGGCGCAGTCATATAAAGGGTCGTTGAATCTTCATCCTCCAGGGCTCAACCCATTCAATTGACAACCCACGAACGACTCGATCTTTTTCAGAATGCGCGGTCTTTCTTTCTCACTCTTGTGGCTGCTGTCACATGGAGTGATTGCCTCTAGCCCACAATGCAAATGCGTAGGACTTTTACCTCACTCTTGACAACAATGCCTGAATACTCACTAAAGAATAGGTACCCTCTGAGCCCTGCTGGCCGTCTGATGCCGAGTGGACCTCCCTCAACGACACAGTTTCCGGTAATTTGATGAAGACCACACCGCCTGGCTCTGTCTGCTATTCAAATGAGCCCAACTACAATGAATTTGCCTGCGAGACTCTGCGCAAGGAATGGGTTAACTCGAAATATCACTCCTCCAACCCGGTTACAGTTTCGGATCCATTTTGGTCTAACAGTAGCTGCACCCCGATATACCCCAATGGCACTAGTCTATCTGGTGATCCTCTTGCCGGAGAAAAAGGGTGCTCTTTGGGGTATCTGTCCCCATACGTTGTGAATGCGACTGCCACAGAGCATGTGCAGGGGGCTTTGCGCTTCGCAAAGAAACACAATTTGAGGCTAAATGTCAAAAACACCGGCCATAACCCAGAAAAGAGGTATGCTGCCGCGGCCATATTCCGGAATAATAAGTACTAAATGTCCATCGTCTAGTTCGGCTTATGGAAGTTTGTCGTATGTACCACCACCACGCACGAAAGATACGATGTTTGACCGAGAAATCTAGGATATGGACACATCACATGAAGAGCATTAGTCTCCACCATTCTTTTAAGCCCTCGAAATGCGGTCTTGCTGAAAGTCACCAGGCTGCGACTGTTGGTGCTGGGGCCCAGGGTGGTGAGATCCTTGATTTTCTAGCAAAGCATAACCTGACAACTGTCGTTGGATCAAGCCAGGTACAGATTTTATCACAAAATATCACTATGTCCCAGTTTCACTAACCAGGTCTAGGATGTCGGTGTTGCTGGGTGGTCTATGGGAGGTGGCCATGGCGTTATGAGCGGATTCTACGGCATGGGCGCTGATAATATCATCGAGGCCAGCATTGTCACCCCTCAGGGCGATCTCGTCATTGCCAACGAATGTCAACACAGTGACCTATTTTGGGCCATTCGCGGAGGTGGAGGTGGCAGCTTTGGCGTTGTCCTGACTCTCACTCTCAAGACCTACCCTATGCCTTCTCTATCGGTAGCTAACGTACAGATGAACGCTCGAAATGGGACGTCTTCCATTACATGGTGGAAGATTATTGCCAGCATCCATCAAGAAATGGTCAAGCTCCAGGATGCTGGTGTTATGGGCTATTATACTGCAAGTGGATCACCTTACAGTTTCCAGTATACCATGTTCCAGCCCAATACGACCAACACGAGCTCGATCGATCGCCTGATTGCTCCCCTCAAGAAGCATCTTGAGGCGCATAATGAAAGCGTGAAGTCCTCCTCGTTTACTAATTGGATACCTGAATGGGTTTCTATCGAGAAGCTGTATCCGACAGGAAATGATGCTGGTACAAGTCGTGGAGTCAGGGCGACTCGTCTTCTGCCGCGCAAGGTCGTCGAAGATACAGACATGTTGGCGAAACTACTTAGGCTTATTGGAGACCGAAGCGAAAGCTTGCCGGTAAGGCTTTCCCTTTACTGTGCCCAATATACGATGACACCACTAACATTGGCTCAAAGCATGGGGTCACTAACCCTTCTCTCTCGGGGACTATGACGATCAGTCACAAGAAGGTCGACAGCTCCCTGAATCCGGCCTGGCGAGAAGCTGCTGTTCATTTGATCAGCAGTGTATCATGGGATGACCAGCTTTCTGACTCTGATGCCGAGAAGGCAATTTCTACCGTGACCAATGAGACTGGCTATGCTCTGCGACAACTCGCTCCAGACTCCGGAGCATACTATAATGAGGTATGCCTGATCTTTCTACGTCTTGTATCTGTATAATAAAACGCTAACTCCGGCCCAGGCCAATACCTATGAGCCCAATTGGCAATGGGCATTTTGGGGCCCCAACTACCCCCGGATCCTGTCGATCAAGCAGAAGTATGACCCAGATAGTCTGCTGTGGTGTCACCACTGTGTCGGAAGTGAGCCTTTCGCGCAGCAGGAGAATGGCTCTCTTTGTCATTTTTTCTGAACGGCTTGCTCAGGACATCTTTTTGTATAGGAGAACATATTAGATCTACTAGATTTCCTTTTTTTGAAACTTCAATTCTAACAATCTTTCAAAGATCGATTCTCAAAAGATCCTCAGGGCTCTTAGTAAAAAAGAAAAGATCAATTCCTTTAATGATCCACATCATCTAATTACTATTTTTTAGTACATCGCCGCCGGCCCAAGCCAAGCATTCAACATCTCCTCAATGGTAACATCTTGAAGATTCAACCAAGGAAATCCAGCACTAGCATCAGTCTCTTCCGAATCATAAATATTACCAGTATTATCAGAAATCCCACCTGCAAACGCAACCCCATTGTTCTCCCCAGCACTATCCGAGTGCGCCAGTCGATACTGCGCCTCAAACCACTCACTAAGATGCTGCAACCAATCACGATAAAAGAAAATTTCATGCTGATCCCATTTTTCCCCTTTACATTCTTGATCAATTGTGTTCATGCGTTGAGAAAGCCTTTGAACTTCGCCAGGCATGTCCAATGCTTCTCGCAATCCTTTGACTTGATCGTGATGTCGAACGGATGGCTCCAATGATGCTAGGACTAGTTTGCATGAAGCTGCGACGCAGAATCCAATACTTGTCCATTGGGAGTAACTGAATTTCTTCTCAATGCCGACTGGTAGTTCGTAATAGTCGTCTATACATTGCTTTGCGGCTGCGAGACCGTGGCAAAGTGCATCAACTCGTAGTAGGGCTGCGGATTGATCAATGGATATGGTTGATGCTGGGAATACGTCGAAAACGACGGTTTGGTGGAGATGGATCTCGAATGTGTGTGACTGTATGCCGGTGGTCACTGCTCGAGTGTTAGGATTCAGATTTCCCGTGGAAATGATAATGATACATTGAAGGGTCAACTTACAGTCACGGTCAACAGGAAGACGAGCTTTGCACTCTTGCGCATCGCTTTGAAGAGAACGGACTATGGCTTCTATATCTGCAGGCCTGGCTTGGCTTTCACTGAACCCTCGCCTGACGAGTGAATCAATTCGCTCAAGCATATGTTGAAGCCGAACCTGGCCTAACAAATATCGATCGGCGGGGAATTCGCATGCTTGCGACAATTTTTCGGCACAGGACTCTATGAACTGCGACCAAGGCATTGTACCGGTTCGCTGGCTTATGACGGTGTGACTGGAATCGTATGGAAATGAGTAAGACACGGCTTTCCAAGTCTTGAAATCGAGTGCGCAATAGGGAAAGGAAAAAGCTCACGTGGAATCGAGGAAATAATATCCAATTAACGCTCTCATTTCTTGGTTTTGCGTAGAAATCGATTTCGCTGGTGGTTCTGCACATTCCATGACATCGATTCTTTCTCTTAGCGCTCGCAATTTAGTCGGTTGATCCATTCGAAAATCCTTAATTATACTATTCGCCAGGTGCAGGTACACAGAAAATCGCATTAGATGAAGCTTTTTCTTGGTTCTGTCTGTTGGTCAGCTTTTGCAAATCGTATTCTAAATACAGACACCTTGTGTGGAACATCAACATACCCGGCTATCGTTACCAGCAGCCCTTGTAATAAATCGAGAGGCAGTGGGTGCTCTCCCCGTAAAACCGGACCCCCAAGGTAAGCGGCGGAAACTTCCTCGAGGGCCAGATGGAGTGGGACATCCTGAAACGAGGATACTAATAGGATAGAAAGCAGAAGGAACGGTTTCTCCGATCTGAGATCCTGGCTTGTGGTTTCTCTTGGAAACTGCACATAAGGAAAATAGGGCGTTGTATCGTGAAATCTGTCTAGCAGGCGATTTGCTTCATCGTGGGTGATTAATCCCTTCCCGATCACATCGCACGGATGTAGACTACTATTCGGGTCGGAGCTCTGGCTTTGTGGAGACGGCGACGTCTTTTGCGGGCTCGGAAGAGGTCCATGATTTATTTGACCCAGAATTTGATCCACCTTGTCTTCAAGCACGCCTATTCGACTGGATTTAGATGCGCGGTCTGGTCAGCTTGGCTAATCATTCATCATATCTGCCTGAACAGGAGTGTGTGCTTACGTTGCCCGCTTCCTGGGATTACGAGCCTTTGTTGGACGGAAATAACAATCTTTATGCAAACGTAGACACCTTTCAAATATGAAATAATTAGATTCGTCTTGTACAGTAGTAGTAGTAGAAGTAGAAGTAGAAGCGGACGTCGGAATCTTCTTACCGATCGCAACTTTGGGCAGGAGGCGCTCGCGAGCACCTAATTTTAGCTCGAACACAGTTCTCGCAGGTCCTGACCCGCCCTAAACTATCCGATTCCGATACTGACATCGTGAGTAATTGGAAATGCAAGAGTCGGAGGGCAGCGGATACGGCGTGGACTTTAAGTGTCCGTCGGAGTCGGAGTAAGATTAAATGACTCGTCGGTCCGCGGAGTCGGAATTGGTCGCAAAGTCCGTATCTCCGTATCTTGGCAAGGCTCCCGCCAAGCCGTAATCGTAAGCCAGAAGTATAAACAAGCCAATCGTAGTTCTGTATTCAATTGGATTCCTGAAACTTGTAGGCTCGGAGATAGCTCAGCCTTAAAATGACAACTCGAGCTTTTCATCTAGGTAGGTCGGAGATGACATAGCCTCATTGATTGAATTTAGGCACGATTTTTGTTTTTCTTTAGAGTCAGGCTGTAGTCAGATTGTATAAAGAGATTGAGGGTTGCCGTAAAGGTGTAGGATATTAAGATATAGACTGATCTAGATCTACATTTCTATTCACATTTTCTTTTCTTTTTTATCTCATTGTCCTGACTAAAAAAAAAGACGAATCTGCGCTCAAAATGTCAGAAATCAACCCCGACGACTGCACGCTGGCCACTTGCCCAATTGATCTGGCCTATATCAATTACCAACCTAACTTAGCGGCAAATATCCTATTCCTCGCTATTTTCGGTTTATTTCTCATCGGACAACTTGCCATCGGATCATGGTATCGAACATGGACTTACATGGTCGCCATGTCAGCAGGACTTATCCTGGAAGTAATAGGCTACATCGGACGAGTCATGATGCATAGCAACCCATTCGAATTCAATGCATTCCTTCTGTACGTTCCAGTGCCAGTACCAGTGGCCTCGACTCCAGCCCTTGGGGTTCTTGTCTACCTTTCAAAAAAAAATCAAAAGTCAGCTAACCAAATCATCACCTTCCTAGATACCTCATCTGTCTAACGATTGCCCCAGCCTTCTTCACCGCAGCCATCTACATCTGCCTAGGAAGAATCGTCATTATCTACGGCGAGAACATTTCCAGAATTCGCCCGCGCACATACACAATCATCTTCATAACCTGTGACGTAATCGCATTAATCCTCCAAGCCGCCGGCGGTGCCATCACGTCCATAGCCGACTCCGACCAAAAAGACCTAAAGAGATATGGGCGTCAATATCATGATTGCAGGATTGGCATTCCAGGTTGCATCTTTGACGCTGTTTATCGCTATGGCCTCGGAATTTGCTCTGCGCGTACGCAAAACTCCGGAAGAAATGAGGAACGCATTTACTGCCTCTATCCGGCGTGGTTGGAAGTGGAAGGCATTCCTTTTTAGTGAGTTTATGTCATGTTCTGGGAAATAGTTATCCCATTCATTCCTGCTAACACGATGCAGGTATTGCCGCTGCCGTTCTCACGATTTTCATCCGGTCCTGCTTCCGTGTTGCTGAGTTGCAAGGTGGATTTGATAGTCATTTGGCGAATGATGAGATTACTTTGATGGTTTTGGAGAGTGCTATGATTACTATTGCGTGCTTTTGTATGACGGCTGCGCACCCGGCGCTCGTCATGGGTCGGCGATGGGGTAGTCTCAGGGCTAAGTCTGCGCCTGTGGAAGCGGCTTCAACTAAAGTCTCGATTGCTTCTTCTGGTTATGAGATGAACAGCGTGCCTTATGGTCATGGTTAAGATCACACCAAAAGGGTGCTAGTAAACGGCGGGATATCCATGGATATTATGAAACATTATATTATAAGCGAGACTTTTGGCATTATGAATTGGTATTGATAGAAAGTGGAGCTCTAGATCTTCGGCGTTACGTCTCATCTGAATATCTGTTACAGCGAATTTATACTTTGATCTGCTGGTAACCCATGTGAGTAGACTGTGGATAAACCCCCATACTAGTGGTGGGCACAGGCATTATTAAGAATGTTAAACAAGTATCAGTGTGTTAATAAGCCTCCGAATGGTCTAATGTTATTGGCCTTGGTCATTCGGGGGGGAAGAGTGAGGAGGCTTTGAAGAGACGCAATGGGACCGGTGCGTGCCTACCTTGTCTTTTTGCTTTTTTGGTGCTTCCAGGTCGAAGGGTCAAAACCAGGACAAGACATTCTTTCAATTCATCTTGGTTCCTTCCCTTTCGTTTTGTTTGTTGTTGTGCTTCTGCCTAGTCCTTCGTGCCTTCCAATGTGTTGGTTCCAAGGTTTGTATAGCCACCTAGGCACACTAGGGTATCTATAGTGACACGGGGTACTAGTTACCTGTATAAACTCCAGCGGTACTGGCTCTATTGTAATACTTCGTTACAGTAATTCTTGAGTCAACCTTGCAAGACTTTTTGATCACTATCTAACCAAAAAAATTTGAAGTTTCCCTAAGAGTGTAGATGTTACTAGAAGTATATATCCCGGACCTGCCAGATGGAAGCCCAAATTCCGGATGATATATGCCTTAGAACGGGTGCAAATCATAACCTAGCTGCTCAATTGAACGAAGCCCAGGCCATCAAAGAATCTTGCTATTGTATGAATAATAAACCAAATTCATTTTCTACGTAATCGCGAAGTCCCATGCTCAGATCCAGCCCCAACTGCAGTTCGGGGCCCGAGGCCGGCGCGGCTCCATAGATCGCTTATCGATAAGCCAAACACGCCCAGCTGGCTTCATCGCCCTGCCACCACCCCGACAACTTGGACTCAACACCTCCGAGTCTCCACGCGCAATGCATTCCTCCCTCAACCGCGCGCAGGCCGTCTTCGGCTTCTTCACCACCGTAGCCCTGGTGGTCGCCGGACTGGCCGCACTATCAACCCTCCTTTTCCCCACAGACGCCACAACAGCTTCCGTACAGCTGAAGAACGTCCAAGTGTAAGTGCAGCCCCAGCCAGCAAACCCGAGTCGAAGATCAAAACAAAGGGTCGAGAAACGAAGCAGGAAGAAAGAGAAAGAGAGATCGGAGTTATTATACTCCGTCAGACAAAACGCTGAAGCTAACACATCCCAAAACAACAGAGTCAAAGGCCGACCACACTACTACTCCACCAAACGCGAAGAATACGCCCAAATTCGCTTCGACCTAGACGCAGACCTCTCCCCCCTCTACAACTGGAACACAAAACAACTCTTCGTCTACGTGTACGCAAGCTACTCCTCCTCCGACAACCCCAGCACCGAGAACAGCAACCTCCGCCAATCCGAAGCCGTAATCTGGGACACTATCATCTCCGCACCACAATCCCCATACTCCTTCGACGCATTGAAGGAAAAGGCTCTACTGAATTTACCGGCTTCGATTACCGGTGCCGCTGGGAAGAAAGCTAAGCGCAGCGCCAGCGCGGCGAAGAAGAATCAGAACAAGAACAAGAACAAGAAGGCTGAAGAGGAGCAGGCAGGCGTTCTACGACTACGTGGTCAAAAGGCTAAGTATCAGATTAGTGATATTACGGGTCGTCTTGCGGGGCGTCAGAATGTTACGCTTGCTGTTGGGTGGAATGTTCAGCCTTGGGTTGGGGCGCTTTGGTGGGCTCCTGCTACTGGGGCGGTGCCGAGGACGGAGGGGAATGTTGGGAGGAGTGAGGCTTTTGAGTTTCCTGCGCTGAAGGTTAAGAAGAGTGAGGCTGGGAAGGAGGGTAGTGCTAAGGCGGGTGCGGGTGCGGGTGCGGCGTGATGGGGTGGTGATATGTGGTACATTTACCTGAATTGAAGTTATCTCTTTGTTTTTTACTTGGTTGGGACGGCATTGGCTGTACTTGTGTATTCAATGCCTTTTGTTTTGATCTTTTGGAAGTCGATCAAGACTCGGTGTACGAAAACTCTCCCGTTCAAGCTCAAGTTCAAGTTTATTCTTGGGACAATGATATTAAGGTTCGGGTTCATTTAATTTCAGTAGTGATGATGCGATCGCTTGGCCAAAGTCAGCCCATGTCCTCTCATTCCATCGGGGCGCTGCGCCGCGCCGTACCGTAGAACACCGTATGACACTAGCATATGAGCGGAACCAAAAAGACTAATCAAAGACATTCACATAAACACGGTCGCTGAGAATAGAACAGAACAGAACAGACGCGCCACGGCCGGGGGGTATATCAGGAATTCATTCGCCGACGAGCTCGGGGCTGGACTGAGGTAGCTTTAAATGGTTCCATAGTTCTGCTGAGCGTACGGCTGAGGGGGACCGTGATGGTACGGCTGAGCGTGATTGTGACCGTGGCCTCCATTCTGGATGCGATCCGAGTAGACGCCGGGAGCCGGACGCTGCGAGGCGCGGGTCAAGGGATCCCGGTCGCGACGCTGGTAGTAGACGTATTCGAGGTAGAATGCATGGATGTGGCCTGGGAAGTACCTAGAGAGAGAGAAAGTAAAGATGGTTAGATTCACGGTCGCGGATCGCCGGGTTAGGATGGTGCTTTGTTTGGAACTTACCCAAGAATGGTGAGGAGGACGTTGATCCAGAAGTCAGCGCCACAGCCGGAGATGAGGAAAACGCCAAGAGGAGGGACTGGATGGTGTGTTAGCGCTGGAAGATTAAGATATGGGTCTCGACCGAGGTAGCCCCGGAGGGACCTCTGATGAGAGTATGAGATCAGATCTTGGCGGATTGTCCCCGGGTTGCTCTTGCCCGCGCTGAGAAATGGGGACGGTGTCTCATGAAGTTCTGGAGAGTGGAAGAGAGACGTACTGAAGATAGTGATGATAATCAAACACAGCATCGAACAGGCACCAGCCATGGTGGAAGGTGGAAATAGTGGGGTGGGGTGGGATGGTTGTTGATATACTGATATGCTGGTACTAGCGGTAGCAGTAGCTAGTGAGAGAGGTCGGGTTTGCGAGTCCGTTTGTTGTTGGAACTGAAGTCGGTGGTGGCCAGGAAGCTGAGGAAGAGGATGGTGAAGAGGAGAAGAAAGATATAAATAGGGATGTAGTCGTCCTTGGCAGAATTAAGTCGTTTCATGATCGGCAATAGACGTCAGCACCGAATCATGAACTCTGGAGTAGGTTGATTGGGTTGATTGGCAGAGTATCCGCAACCTTGAGGAAGTATCCAATCTCAACGAGGGAGAACCCGCCGGTAGGGCTGGGCCTGACGTCATTCGGATCAGTGGGGGGAGCCACCAAGTAAACTCCCACTTTACACCACAAAAATGGACAGGGAGTACCAAGTACACTCACGTATACCTCGTGGCTTGGCTGGAATGTGCAGGTTTTCACAAAAAAAGACCACCCTCACACAGCATCAATCGCCGCCCGAGTGGTCACCTGCTCGTTCTTGTTGCCTAGCTTGGAGATCTGCAGAAATGCATCCACCCCATAACCCTCCAAGCTATGAAGCTCAAGACTGCCCGCCCAATACTCAGCATAGACCCTACTCATAGGCAACCCCATCCCCAACCGAAGATTAGGATGTCGCGATGTCAAAGTATCCAGCGACCCCTCATGCCAGGTCTCACGATCATGCTTTCGCTCTCGTTCCGATACCTTGAGCTCCTGCATAGTCGCAGCCATGGCGGGCACCTTACCTGGATTCTCCAGTCTTGTCTGCGTACGCGGCCCCTTACTGAAAGACCACAAATATGGAAGAATTTCCCGCGGGATGCCGCCGCCCTGGTCCGATATGCGCATGATCACGTGTTGTGGGGTTTCGCAGACAAGAACCTCGATGGGCGGCGGCGGTGATGACGAGTCGTGGTATTTCTCGACGACCGCTTGTACCGAGTTTCGCAGGAGCTCGCCGATGATATATTCCAGGTGGCTCAGTATATATGGGAAGGTGGCGTCCACATGGCCCCTGACGTTTATGGCGGGAATCTGGGCCGATTGGGAGGTTTGTCGCATCAGTTCTTGCGCGACTTTGCCGCATCGCTCTACTACTTCCTTTGCTTTGCATTTGAGGAATACTTCACCGACGAAATCTGCGTTCATGTCGGTTCGCTCGTGCGAGTCTGGGAAGTGCCATGGTGAGTTGAAGGTATCGGTAAGGGCGAGGTGTTGCTCGGCAATGACTCGGCGAGAGATTCTCTGTTGGAGGTCGGTGTTAGTTAGAAAGAGAGGTCCTTATTTTTCGTTCCGAAGAGGGGAAGGGAGGCCTACCGCTCGTAGCAAAGTGTTCATAAAACGGTCCATATCGTCCGGTGGCATCAGTTCTTGGCATTCCAACACCCCCATGGCGAGATTGGGGATGATGACCAGGTGCTCTTTGAGCGTTTGGCGGAGAATATCACAGAAACGGTCATTGTCGTCGAGGCTGCATATTTCGGGCACGACTCGGAATCGCTCAAAGGCTTTATAGTACAATTCGTAGACTGGGGACAGGTGCGGGTTGGAAACGATCACGTAGGGGAGCTGCTGAATATCACGCAGCCGATGCGCAAGGCTATAATTTTCGGAAAGGGGTTTACATTAGCTACTGGCCTCCTCGCCGAAATTCTGGTACAGCGTGCAGGACGGGGTGGGGCAAGCTGCGTGCTGTGCTGATGCTGCTGCTGCTGCTGCTGCTCCCGCTGCTGCTGCTGCTGCTCCCGCTGCTGCTGGATCGTAACATACCGGGTGGGCAGCTCGGTCCGCACATAATTTGCGGAGCTGATGAGACGCGGTTCGGTCAAGGTACGGCCAAAAAAAGTCAACTGGCGAAGACTTATGGGGCGGATCTGGCGTTCAACCCATCTGGTTCAGACGCGGCAAGGTCAGCTTTGGGCACACGATCAGATCAGAGCTCTCCGAGTCATCATACTGGTCCAAGGCGGAGACGGGTCGCCAGGGTGGGGGACCGCCGGAATAGAAGCGCGGCTTAGGAGCACATCGTGAAAGCCTTTCAGCTGAGCGACTTAGCAGCATTGTGCTCCATGTAGTGAGAATGAGAGGAGGTGAGAATCATGAGATAAGGTTGGCTGTTGGTGGTGTGGTGGTGGTGGTGGTGGTGGTGGTGCCGGTGACCGTTTTCAAGCATGTGGGCGGTGAGGGGGGAGCAGCAGTGATGGCTATGTAGTGAAGAGTATTTAGTTTTAGTTTAATTTTAGTTTTGAATATGAGGGTAAGTGTATTCTCATGAATATAAGTGTATAGAAGTAAGTCAATAAAATATGGCATGGCTAGTTCTATAAGCAAGCACTTGAGTAGTACTTACTGGACTACTATGGTGGTCGTATACTTCGGGAGACTTGAAGAATCTGATCTGATGTTGACTTCGCCTTAGGAAGTATCTTAGGAAGTATTAATGACTTGTAAGGGGACTAAGATTACAATTAAGAGGTGTAAAAATGTAAAAGTAAAATAAATAAATAAAGTAAATTAGTTTAAGCTTAAGGCAGATATCAAATCCATAGTATAACCTCCCACCATAACCGACTACTCCCTCCAGGCTGACCACTGCCACTCTGCCACTGACCAAGCACATGCCCATCAATGAACCAACCCACGAATCAAGGAAGTCACCCTCATCAAAGAACTTGAACATATTCATTTGGGACTATTTTCAGACGATTAGATCGAGTCCACCTGGGCACTATTTTATTTTTATTTTTATTTCGCCAACCCTGTTTACCCTGTTCCCTGTTTACTGTACCTCTGTACCTCTTTGTGCCGAGCACTCGAGGGCTCCGCCACCGCTAGCTCCGGTCCTCGTCGTTCTGCGGGTTCAGAAGAATTTCAAGTTCCGACAACCCCCCGGGCCTTCCTTGAGCCTCCTCCTCCTCCCCACCCATTTCTTCACCTCTCTCCTCCCCATTTCGAACAGGTGCCTTCCGGCTGGACGGGAGGGCCCTTTTCGCTATGGAAAACGTGCGTTGCCGACCGTGCCCCTCTGTGTGTCGTCATTGCAGATCTAACCGTCGTCCAGCTCGCGGAGAACGATATGCTCGTCGATGAGTACGACCAATACCCCAATGAGAAGACTACCGATGTCGTTGTCTCGAGTCCCGGCTCCGACGAGCCTACTCCTCCCTCCGCCGCCGACCGTACGTTCCTATTCAACTCCCCCTCCCCCTCCGTGTAGACCACGAGCGAGCGAGAATCCCAATCCCAATCCCTACCCCTACCCCGGCCAGTGGAATCATGCCTGGATGCGATCGCTGGTCTTTCCAGCCGTCCCTCTTCTCCCCTTCATGACCAACCTGCTGGTTATGACCCCGCGCAGATCCCAGAGAATGTAGCTGACCCATCTTCGTCCGGACCTTCAGATGAAGCCATGATGGCTCGAGTGCTCCCCAAGAACCCCGATCATGAGACGGTAGAGGAAATTCACAACACATGGCATATCCAGGATTGGAGGAAGCTAGAGAAAAAGATCCATGGCCCCGTCTTCAAGTGCGGCGAGACCCCTTGGTGAGTAATATTGATATCTTTGTCTTTGCCTGTGCGGTACGCCACTGAACCATGCCATGCATGTGCTGACCGAGAGACCAGGCGCATTCTCTTTTACCCCTACGGTAACAACGCCGAACACGCTTCCTTCTATCTGGAGCACGCCTGGGATGGCGAGCCCCCCCGAGAATTGGTATGCCTGTGCGCAGTTCGCTCTGGTCCTGTCGAACGTGAAAGACCCGTCAATCTACGTGTCCCATGGTAAATATGCTCTGAGAAACTACTTGCACCAGCGGATTTAGACCCGTTGCTAATCTTCCTCTTTCTTCTACCTTTAGTTGCGACTCACCGATTCACCGCCGAGGAGGGAGACTGGGGGTTTACCCGCTTCTATGATCTTCGAAGTCTCTTCAATGAGGCGTGGGAAAACAAGGGCGTCCCGCTGGTCCAGGACGATGAGGCGAATATCACCGCCTACGTTCGCGTTGTCAAGGACCCGACCGGTGTCCTCTGGCATAACTTCCAGAAGTAAGCTAATGATCTTAACTTATTATTTCAAACACATAGGCAATAGCTTGATTCTAATTTTACTCGCAGTTACGATTCCAAGAAAGAGACTGGCATGGTTGGACTGAAGAACCAGGGTGCTACTTGCTACCTGAACTCACTCATCCAGTCGCTCTATTTCACCAACGCTTTCCGCAAAGCTGTATACCAAATCCCCACTGACGAGGAGGCCTCGCGGGAGAACAGCGCCTGGACTCTTCAGAGACTCTTTTATAACCTGCAGACTAGTGATTACGCCGTCTCCACGACAGAACTGACCACGTCGTTTGGCTGGGACTCGCGTCAAGCTTTCGAGCAACAGGATGTCCAGGAGCTGTCCCGAAAGCTCATGGAACGTTTGGAAGAGAGGATGAAAGGCACTGTTTCCGAAAAGGCCCTACCTCAACTGTTTGTTGGAAAAACAAAGACCTATATCTCTTGCATCAACGTTGACTACGAATCCTCCCGCGTGGAAGACTTTTGGGATATCCAACTGAATGTCCGCGGTAACAAGACCCTGGATGACAGTTTCCGAGATTACATTCAGGTGGAAACACTCGAGGGCGAGAACAAGTACGATGCTGGTTCCCCCTATGGCCTGCAAGACGCCAAGAAGGGTGTCATTTTTGAAAGCTTCCCCCCCTGTTCTGCACCTTCACCTCAAACGATTCGAATACGACCTCAACCTCCTGACCATGATGAAAGTCAACGACCGACATGTTTTCCCTATGGAATTTGATGCTGCCCCTTACCTGTCTGAAAATGCCGACAAGTCCGAGCCCTGGACTTATGAGTTGCACGGTGTACTTGTTCACAGCGGTGGTTTGGACGCTGGTCACTACTACGCTTTCTTGAAACCCACCAAGGATGGTGACTGGTATCGATTCGACGATGACCGTGTGAACCGCGTTACGGAGAAGGAAGTGTTGGAAGAAAACTACGGTGGCGAATACGAGAATGCGAATGGCGGAGTGCGTCAACCTTACACACGCACGTATTCGACCAAGCGTTCAATGAACGCCTACATGTTGGTTTACGTCCGAAAGACGAGATCAGACGACGTCCTTCTTCCCATTGAAAAGGACGACGTACCTTCTCACATTGGTATGGTCTATAATGAACTCCAAATCCTTCCCTTTCCTTTTTCCCACGAGCTCACTAACATTTCATAGCTTCCCGCATGGCCGAGGACAAAGCGGAGATGCTTCGCAAGAAAAGGAGAGAGACGAGGCTCACCTCTATATGAATGTTGGCGTCATAAATGAGCAGACTTTCCAGTCACACCACGGATTCGACTTGTTCAGTCCAGACTCGCAAGATGACGACCCAGCCTTGCCTGCGCAATACCGTGTCCTGCGGACCAAGAAGATTGGCGAATTCGCAAAGGATATCGCCGAGGAGCGCGGTCTCAAGGAAGAATCGATCCGATTCTGGGCAATGGTCAATCGCCAAAACAAGACAGCTCGCCCCGATCAAGTCATTCGCGATTCGGATCTTACCGTGGAGGAAGCCTACACCAAATACGGTACAAAGGGACACTTTTTCAGACTCTGGATGGAGGTTGCAGCGCCTGGACCCGATGGCCAACTGGCCCCTTGGGAAGAAGACACAGTCCTAGTTTTCCTGAAGAATTTCGATGTTGTCACCCAGACTTTGTCTGGCGTCGGCGCTGTCTACGTCCGCAAGAACCAAAAGGTGTCAGAGCTGGCATCCCCTATTCTCGAGAGAATGAAGTGGCCGGCGGGTACAGACTTCACATTGTATGAGGAGATCAAGCACAACATGATCGACCTGATGAAGCCCAAGCAGACCTTCCTACAGTCCGAGATTCAAGACGGTGACATTATCACCTTCCAGCGCGCATTGAAGGAGTCCGAGATTCCCGCCACGGCGCTTTACACGGATGCCCGACAATTCTACGACCATCTTCTCAACCGCATGGATGTTTCATTCGCCCCCATTAGGAATGGCGAAGGCGGTGAATTCTCTCTGACGCTGAACCGGAAGATGAATTACGATCAGGTGTCAAAGAAGGTTGGCGAGTATCTGCAAGTGGAACCGACTCATCTGCGGTTCGCGCCTGTGATGGCTACTAGTGGTAAACCCAAGGCGTTCTTGAAGCGATCCAGCACCTCAACCCTCAACCAAATCCTCAGCGGCCAATATGGGGCCTACGGCTACTCCATGCATCGGAACGATGCTCTCTACTACGAGGTTTTGGACATGAGCCTCAGCGACTACGAGAGTAAGAAGAGCTTAAAGGTGACATTACTTCCCGAGGGAATCACGAAGGAGGAAATTGTCGAGGTCTTGGTTTCTCGCAATGGAACCGTCGCCGAGCTTCTGGAATCGCTCCAGAAGAAGGCCAATATCGACGATGAAACCACTCGCGAACTGAGAATTCTCGAAGTGCACAGCGGGAAAATCTATAAGGTGCTGCGTGACGACGCCAATGTCGCAGCTATCAATGAGTACTCCACACTTTACGCCGAAAGGATCCCTGCCGAAGAACTCAACCTGGAGGCCGATGACCGGGTTATTGGAGCCTTCAACTTTGACAAGGAGCCTACTCGTACTCACGGCGTCCCTTTCAAATTTGTTATCAAGCAGGTTCGTAATCCCATCCCCTTACTTATGCTTCGATTTAACTTGTTGCTAACATGATGAAACAGGGTGAAATTTTCAAGGAGACCAAGGAACGCTTGTCTAAGCGGACCGGCATCAAGGGCAAGCCTTTCGAGAAGATCAAGTTTGCAGTTGTGCCGCGCGCTTCCTTCTCGACCCCTAAATATCTTGAAGCTGGTAAGAACTTGTCCCCCCTTTTACGGACTACTAGTGCCACGGAGGAAAGAAAACTAACCAACATTACCAGACGACATCCTCTCCGACATGGCGGGTTCTGATGACTACCTTGGGCTCGACCATGTCAGCAACAAATCTCGAAGCTTCTGGTCCAAGAGCGAGAGTTTCTCCATTCGATAAAGTGATTAGCGGCGCAGTGGGGTTTCTGTGGGAGGGCTTGATGCTGCAAATTCGGTACATGAGCAGTGACAGCCCGATGCGATGTTTATGTTTTCCTTTTCTTTCCTTTCCTTTTTTCCTTTCCTTTTCCCTTCACTTCTTCAATCGTCCCATTTTGTGTCCTTTTTTCCTCTGTCTCTCTTCCTTTCCACCTTTTATCCCAAACCCGTTTTAAGAACGAATTGGTATTTTAGTTATTTTCCATAGTTGGAGTAGAGTGGATACAAATGCAAAATGCAAATGCAAACACAGCTGAGTTAAGTTGTTTGAGTGCAAACAATACAAACACCAACTGGCCCGATGGGAACAACTCCTGACAACACGCGATTGTCTCCATCTCCGTAGCCTCGACCACCCCCAACATCACATCACATCCCCACTGCCAATATGCGGTTCGCTCTCCTAGCCGGTCTGGCCTCCCTGGCCTCCTCCGTTTCCGCAACTGCTTTGACATACCGGCTTGAGGCGAACGAGAAGGCATGCTTCTACACCAACATTGAGCAGGCCAATGCCAAGGTGGCATTCTACTTTGCGGTTCGTCTTAGCTTCTCCTCGTGGCCTATTGTTTATTGCTAGTCAATTCGACACTGCAATTGATTGATTAATTGATTCGATCTAATTCTCGCTCCTCATTAGGTTCAATCTGGCGGCTCCTTCGATGTCGATTACTCCGTGACTGCGCCGGGCGGCAAGATCGTTCTGGATGGAACGAAGGAGAGACAGGGTGATCATGTCTTCACTGCCCAGAGTCACGGCGAATACTCCTTCTGCTTTAACAATGAGATGTCGACTTTTGCTGAGAAGATGGTTGATTTTGAAATCGCTGTATGTGGTCCTGCTCCAGCTCCTGGCCCTTTTCCCCGCGAAACGCAACACCCCAAAACAAACACGCCTCCACATCAATTATCTCCCCCTTCTCCAACTTTCCAACAATCTACTCACATATTGTACTCTCTCTCTAGGTCGAAAACGAATCCCGCGCCCAACTCCCCTCCCGCCAAGGCGCAACCCCAGAACAAACCTCCAACCTAGAAGAATCCATCTACAAACTCTCCGCACAAGTATCCACCATCTCCCGAAACCAAAAGTACTTTCGCACGCGCGAGAATCGAAACTTCAGCACCGTGCGCAGTACCGAGCGCCGGATCTTCAACTTTAGTGTCATCGAGGGTCTGATGATGGTGTCTATGGCCGCGTTGCAGGTCTTTGTTGTGCGGTTCTTTTTCCAGGGCGCGAGGAAGGGTATGTTACCTTGTCTACTCTACCTTCAGAAATGGATAGGAGGAGGAAATGAGGGAGGGAGGGGGGTGGAAGGGGGGGATTTTGGCAATGGGTAGCATTGGCTTTTTCCTCCTTCTCCTTCTCCTCCTCATTTTCTCTTCTTCTTCTTTCCCCTTCTCCTTTCCAGTGAACGACCTCGCTAACAAATCCCTTCCAATAGGTTACGTGTGATGAGCATAAGCACGAGCACGAGTATGAAGTCTATACGATGCATATTTCATTTTTAATTTTTCCCAAATCCCAAAATCTTTGGCGTCGTTCCGTTCCAATGTACTGTATCAGTTCAATCAGTATCAGCTTTGTTTGCCATAGGCTAGAAATCGCATGCCCATTGGTTCGAAAACAGGTTTCATGTCTCTTGATGACATCTCTCTCTTTTCACTACTACTACCTTAATTTAGGGAAGTCACTACTCCATTTTATACTTTCAGGCATACACCCCACAACCAGCGCTTTCTTTGCGTCAATTGGCACGGGCAACGAAGGTGCGTACTGTACTAGTGCTGTAGCAGGTTTTTTTCTGCGCGGGGACGAAGTTGTGGATGCGGTCTAGATGGCGATGGCGATGGTACTAACGCCTTCGTAGAAATGAATTGCACACCCTGATGCGCGAGTATAGTACTATCGAGATGTCCGAGCGAGAGAGACCCAGGCCCTTTCTAATTGGCGTCTGCTGGTCCTTGGTCTCAGGTCACACATTGCCTCGTCATGGCGAAGTCAAGACAAAGCAGGGAACCCACACGAAAGTCCATTGCTAGAGCTGGTAACTTCAGCCCGGGTCGGGGGGTTGTCCCATCCTATCACCTTATCGATAGAACAAAGTCGAGACGGGACAAAGTCGAGACCGATCAGGGGTTCTGGAGACATTTACTGCGACATCGAAACCGGCTTCAAGGCCGAGATGAAGTCAATACAAAGCAGGGATCTCGTACGAGAGTCCATCGCTAGCGCCGGTGGCTTCAGTCCGGCTTCAGCTGAGGCCGGGGGATCGTTCCATCCTATTACCTTCTTGTCGACAGGACAAAGTCGAGCGAGACCGATCAGGGATTCCGGAGACATTTGCTAGCGACATCGAAACCGGCTTCGAGGATGAGAAATGGCGCGTCTGCACCGACCAGCACGGTACATCACATCACATCCTGTCTTTGCTCTTCACCGACATGACAAGAGTCGAGACCGATCAGGGATTCCGGAGACATTTGCTAGAGACATTGAAACCTGCTTCGAGGTCGAGAAATAGTGCCGTCTGCACCGGGTACATCACACCCATCCTGTGACGCGCTGTCTTTACTCTTCGTCGTCATAACGAAGTCAAAGCCAGGCCGATCAAGTGTGCAAAAACATGTCCATCCCTAACGCCGACGGCTTCGAAAACAGGTCCGTTGTCGGGATACTGTGCACAATATCGAGTCGAGATCAAGTCTTCGCGCCACCGCTACCCTGTTATTCCCTCTTAGAACACATTACTTCTCTTCTTCGTCATAAGAATTCTCAACCAGAGATGCATACACTACAGTATGCAGTTCCCCCGCTAGTTGTCTAGAGAAACCGGCTTCGCGATGGGAATACGGCGTTTCGAAGGAAAGGTAGGTCGAGACATCGAATATGTACATCACTAGTATTGTCTCGGACATCAGGTCCGGTGAGTCTCGTACGGAGTAAGACTCCGAAGCTCTGCGATTAGATCCGGCTCGATGGATCAAAACAGGTTTGCTGCACTTTCTGCGTTCTAGAACTTCTCTTCATTTAGGTTCACTCACCTGAGGTACTGTAGCGGTTGACCAACGACAGTCTGAGATTCAATGGTTCAGGGTCCAATATACGTTCCATCAGACCACAGGAAATCTCAGGGCAAGAAACAGCACTTGAGGAATCCATAGGGTGTGTTTCCAAGAGATTGCCGCAGAGACGCGTTACCAGGCCTATGATGCAACAGGGGGCCTCGGTAAGAGTCAGACCAGGCAAGCCCATCGCATGACGTTGGATGATGACGGCAATGGCCATTTCCAGCGTAGCGGGCAGGTAATTCATTTTTCAGAATCGGGAGAGTGGCTACTCTGAAGTGAGTGGCCGATTAATGCATTCAGCGCCTTCATCGGCTAGTTGGTTGCCTCGGTGGTGCGTACTTCTTGAAAACCCAGTCGGAATGTCGCCGTTGAGGCTGGGAAGAGGAAAGTGATATCATCGCAATACGGCAGTGACGGACTGCCGTGGTCTACGAGTACAGTACCAGATGGGGATGGATTTTGGCAGATCGACAAGACTTTCTCATGAATAATTCTGTGCTAGGTACTTTCAATTCTTGAATTCGCTCATTTTTGGGCTTCATCCGAGAACATACTGGCGTACATAGGAAACTAATTCTTTGAACCTTAGATTGTGTTGCCATCGTAACACGAGGTTGAGATTGTCAAATTGAGATGATCAATTTTTCCGAGATATCATATCTCCAGGTGTGGATCTAAGGTTCGCGGCAGCATTGCTGTCCTCGAAAGGATCTTCTAGCGCTACTCGGTTTTTTCCTCCCTGCATGACGCAGTTTGGGGAGTATGCGCTGTGCAGCGATCAGACCCTCCGGAGTATGTACGATACGTGCGTATGTCCATGCTGCTGGGTTCCGCGATGGGCTGGACTAGATCAAAGGCTCGGGAGGATTGTCTCCGCAAGGTTTCTTTGAATTGATGACATCGCGCAGGGCATGTGTCTGCATTGATATCATACATCATCGGTTGATCGGTTGGAGGACAGCTGGCTGGCCCTCTTTTCTTTTTCCTGACTCACCCGACACGATAATGGTTGCTTCTTTTTGATCCATTTCCCCCAATATAATGTGGGAAATTGATAGTATCCCTCGATCACGAGTGGTTAATGCATGAATTTTGCGGATCCTGGGCTTTGACTCTCGGGTTTGTTTTCGTGGTTCCGTAGAAGTTCCACATCGTGTGAATTGCTGCGCTGATGGCCAATCTGTGTAATCACTGATCATCTCTGACGTCTGTACATATGGGGCCCCAATGTCATGAGATATCTGTTTGGTCTACATTCGACGGGGACTAAGTACGCTAGTGTTAGTAGTGTACATCTCGTACACAGCAGTTGGGGCCACTTGGGAATAACCATCGTCCTTCGAGCCATTTTCAGTGGAGAACTCGGTCAAGATCCTTTAATGGTCCTATCATTAACGACGTATCTACAGTACAGTACATTGTTAAGGCGGGTGGCCTACTGTACTCCGTGTGGACACGAGATTCATTCGCCTCCCCCGCTGCGATGGCAAATGAACGATCTCCCGACCCTTGGTGCTATGCTCCGCTTGACCCGTGATCGTGCTTGTCAGTGGTTCCGAGATTTCCATCTAATATCTATCTCCACCCCGGACGTTGTCTGTGCTGGACCGTGACGGGGGTGTTCTTCAGCGAAGCCTTGGGACCCCATTGTTTCGTCGCCCCCATTTCCCAGGGGGTGTCAGTGATGGTACTTTCGCCACATGTTGTGCCTTTCATTTCATATCCGATATACGTGCTTGGATCCTTCTGCGTCTAAACTTTGCCCCCCATTCCATTTCGGGGATATGCACTGTCTAGGAGTAATCTAAAGCAATCAACCTCAAATTATTAGTCTGCAATAACATATAGATTTGCGAGTGATATGTACTCGAGAGATCCATTCGTAATGGCCTTTCTTCCCGTTGAGGGCTCCCTGACGTCAGGTGCCCTTGCTGCCTGAGGCCCATAACTATAAACTGTCTTTTGGGTCTTCTCCGTTTGCACAACGCTGGCTGGCTCACACTTCTCAAACAGATCCACTACGGCCATTGGTTTAATTCCCATGGCGTTGGGACAGGCCTTCGTCTCGTGAGAGGGGTCGGACCTGATGCTACTGTAGGGTTATGGGTTTGTTTTAGTCGACTCTTTGTACGGAGACACTAGTTGACATATTGTATACAGAGATACAAAAAAGAATGCACATAGCGCCTGTACTCCGTACGCCAGCCGATCCTTCACCCACAATAGCTTCAGCCACAAAAGTCCCTAAAAGTCCGGTGGGGACACTCGTAGTGGTTTGATGCCGAATCAATCCAAAAGGAAGCTCGGATCGCCCCGATTCCCAAAACGATGACGACATGGCTGACTCCACTCCCGAGAGCCTCAGCGCCTTTTCTCTTCGACTCCACCACATATCACCTCCATCAACAACCACTCTTCTACAAGAGATCCCAGTTCACATGAATGCCAATTCCACTACTTTAAAATGCATGGGGATAGGGGGGGAAAGAAAAAAAAATTGAAAAAAAGCCACGATCGTCCCCCTTCAGGATCGTCCGAGGTTAGTTCTGTCTCTCATCGAGTCGACTGGTCTACCCCAGGCTCCATCACAATCACCCAGGCTCCACCGAAAACTGCAATTTCTCCACCGGGGATATCCACTTTTCGCATTCCGCTGTCTTTATGGTCACCCTATCCCGGCTCGATACAGAGGGCTAAATGGGCCTCGACGTTCGCAGACCCTTCATCGACAGGATGATTCGTTCGCCAGACGTCAGTCAAAGATCTGCAGGGGACCGGTCAAAGGCACTGCCGATCTCACCGCGCCAGCGAGTGTGGTCCACTCACGCATTCCCCAGTGACCTCATCGGGACTCCCCCCAGCCCAATCCGCCGTGATAGGGAGTGGACCAATTGATGCTACCGGCTCCCCAGTTGCACCAGTCTCGTCGAAGATGTGGAGATTAGTTATTTCATGATGATTTAACCTTCCCACCATCCATGAGCAGCAGCGACTGCGATTATGTACACCCCCTCGAGCAGCCAGCCGGTGGATTCCCCTCGTTTTTATGATGTCGCCCAGCTGCGCGCCCCCAGCCCCTCTCTCAGCCAATGATGTCACTGCACTTTTCTGTCGTCTATGGGTTCCATCGATGACCCATTCGGCCCCTCTCAGGAAAAGAACAGCCTCTGTGCGTGAGCCTATCAACCGTCAGCCGCGCCCCGCAGTGCCTTTCCCTTCCGCGAACACAATGATTTCATACGCTGAGAAGTGGAGAACCAGCCATGTTCGATGCTCTACGACAATATAAATCAAATCGGAAACGCTCCTCTGATTCATTTAAGTCCCGTAATTGCCCTAACCCTGTCTTTCCCCTGCCCCATACCCAGTACCCTTTTCAGCCCAGACGCCCCATCCCATTCTTAGCCATCTTGCGGGACCTCCCACAAGCCAGAAACAAAAATTTATTATCCCCAGAGATCGCTTGATAATATTCCTTCCCTGGTTCTATCATCCCTCGGGCCCCTACCTTGATATACCTAGTTCACTATTACAAAGGTAAGCGCGCTCTCCTTCCCCACTTGTGAACTGCCGCCGTTATTTCAGTTGCTCCCTAGCCCAAGGGGCTGCGCCTGTCTGACCTCTTGTGTGTGGGATCATGTACACCCAAAAGACCCCACGAAGCGCTTTTGAGTAGCACCAACGCCTCCAACCCTGCTAACATTCACCTCCCATCTTCCTAGACACTTGCAACCATGAATGCACACTCAAACATGGAGCAGCCCGCATCGAGCATCGAGGGCATGTTCACTGCTGACCACGGATCTGGTCCTCCCGCTGAGAGCCACGTTGAATCCCAACGAGCGATCGATCCGCATACCTCTCTCGAGGACTACAACCGTACCATGCTCGAGTATACACAGAAGCAGATGACGTCTTTTGTTGACCTCGACGACGGTAACAGCAGCGGCACCAGCAGCCGCAGTAGCCAAAGTAGTGGCAACAGTGGTAACAGCCGTTCCGGCAATGGCGTACTCGCACGTCAAGCCAACGGCCCTCCTCCTACATCCGCAAGTGCGCAGCGCTCTGCTATGCATCGCACTGGACAGATTCCTGCCAGTCCGAACGAGGCCAAGCCGTCCCGCTACTAGGGTCTAGTAGCTTTCAGGTAACTGTCTCTCGGCTCTCCAGATCTCTGCTAAATCGTTATGCTAATACTCCTCTCGCTGTAGCGGTCCTAAATTCTTATCGATCGCATCTGGCCTCGATTCGATCCTCTTTTATCGGAGTTCGATGGTGCGTCGTCGATATTGGCAGCTACTAAATTCAATATCGATGATGTCGCCCGGAGGCGGAGTTTTCATGGAGTTCAACGAGATTTGTTTCCGCGGTGCTTGTTCATTTTTGCTTTCCCAGCCCGCGCAGCATTTCCAAGCGATGAGTTTTTCTGTGTTCCAGACGAGAGTCGATTCACTGTGAAACTGGTCACTCCTTTTTTACACACTGACTCGACATCCATCCACATACCCCCTACTGCCCACCCTGTTTGTGAACATCTTATACTTGACCCCTTTCGCAGGAAACAGTTAGGTTCTCCCAAAGATTCGTCGTCCAATCTATATTACCAGCCGGCCTGATTACAAAACTGTCGGGCTTCACCGGTATTCGGACGTGTTGACAGGGAACTATCGTTTCAATGCACCTCTCCCCCTCACCGACGCATTACCCAAAAACATCACCAAAAAAAAGTGAGGTCCAGATTGGATCTTGACCCCTGCCCCACTTCATACCCTACATTCCCCTTCGCTTCTTAAGAATTGCTATCGTCACCCTGCACATTAGTTCTGCTGTTCTGGCTGGTCCAGTGTTGTTCGTCAAGGCATATGCAGTCTACAAACGATGTTCCATTCACTTTCACACGGTCTACGCTTTCTTCGGGGCCCAGTCGCCCCTTGTATTAACTACTATGCCCTTTTTTGCCATACACTCCGCGAGGTCTGACGACCTGTGCAATCTTTGTGATTTTTTGCATCCTTTTTATTTGTTCAAGCGAAGCGAGCGCGATTGGATTTTCTTTCTGCTTTTTCTCGGCATCATGCCTGCTCCCTGTGACTCTACCAGCCCTTCCTTACCAACGTGGGAATTACCTTGACCACTTCCGCGAAATCCTTTACGATACGATGTCACCCACCTCAAACAACAAATCGGGCCCTGGTTGGTACGAGCTCACGAATTGTACAATTACGAATATGATGATATGGGAGTATACAAAGTTTTTCTATTTTTCCGGTTAGAATCTTGCGCGTAGAACTGCTGTAGTTTTGATAGATTACATAGCCTCGTAGGAAATTTCATTTCCGCTTCTGTTTGATCTTTGAGAATATTGTAGAATTGTGTTAGAACTTTGTTGTTTTCTAGACTAAGACGTGGTTTTTCTCGATCTTCCCTATGCCATTCTCAAGTTCTCCTAATACAACCGGTAGTACTAGTAGTGATTAGTACTAGTGAGTTGCGCTGGGAGGTGATAAGAAAACTTGAAGTGATGATATGTGACTTCTGGAGGAACTTGAACCTTGGAAGCGGTAGATAGTACTACATTCAAAGTCTTGGGATGCAACTTTGGGATGATATTCTAAGGCTTCCAAGGTTCGATTCGATTTATACTACGAGTCCACTGGCACGAGTGCTAGTACATCATGATCGACTCTGGAAAGTACCTACTAGGTAGCAGATTCTTAAGTTCAAGCTTCTTCTTGGATAGTATATATCGCCGGGCGGGGATGTTCCAAGTCCCCAAGAACTCAGCCGTCACGGTGCTCTCCTCCCTTTGATTCAAGTTTGTTTAATACTAGTATTCCACCCATTCTAGGGAAATTATGATGACTGCATCCTCGTATCTGTCGAATAGTGTAATTGGAGTTGAGTTGCAAACAAGGCAACGTTCTCTAGCCATCATTGTGATGACGCTGTGGCTTCAGCTTCACGTCGATTCTACACCGATACGGGTTATCTACTACGATAGTTACTAGTTACCAGCCCCACACGATGTTGGGCCTGGAAAAAATTATCAAGAAGGGCTTACCATAAAGGGCCTATTGGGTGTCAATTTACAGGAGTTTCTTCTTGGGAACAAAATACTCTTGAGAATCTCCTAGCGTTAAGTCCTTCCCAAGAAACTTTGCTTTTGCTGGGTTCGTTCATGTGACAATTTTCATCCCAAGAAAACTGTCGTTAGAGTTTCTTGCGGTATTTAATACAAGTTCTGGAACAGAATTAGTTCTCGAACGCCGGTTATCTACTTCTGGGGCTTCAGCTCAAGAGTTCCAGGACCGAAAAATAATTCCAGAACTAAGGCCATATACCCGCGCTGCCAGCCCAGCGGGGACTATTATGCCGAGCAATGATGCAACGCTTGGGATCAAAGTAAACTATAGCGCAATATTAGATAAGAAAATAGAGGTTATTACGAAGGAGGATATTAGGAAGGCATAGAGAAAGCAAAATACAAAACAAACAAGCTTACCAGAGCGGTCTTCAAACACCACCTACCGCTTCAAGTATTTCCGCAAGTTTGCATTTTCTTGCACGATATGGTACATAAGTGTATAACCAACCGTTCGTTGCGATATTATTTTGGGAGACATGGGACCAAAAAAAAGAAGCCGTGAGACTTAGAACACCAACAGGGCGAGACCATACAGTAGCTATGTGATGCATGTGCTTGCAGGTGCATTCAAGTATCTGAAACCCCAATCCAGAGTCAGTAACGGCATCATTGGCTCGCTGTACCTCTAGGTGTGACATTTTAATCACAAGTCCGTGCCGTCGTCGTCGTCGAGAATCATCGAGAATGTTTCAGGTGCAATTTGGGGAGTAAACGATGGAAAATTCCTGAAAAAAAAAGGTAAATGCATGTTGCGACGAAGGGGCAGTAGTGGGGAGTAAAGAGATTCAAAAAACATACCACATCGACCTGACCCGTCATTTGTTCCAAGATCCATGCAAAAGGCTTTCTGTTAGATTGACCCGCAATTATTCTATTTGATTTTTCACTGAGATCTAGATGCGTAGTGTGGAAAAACGGCGTGTCGCCCAGTCAATCAGACCAAGAGATCTTTGTCGGGTCCATTGCCCGCTTATCAGTCTTTTCGTAGGCCTTCCAGGAATATATTACGACCGGTAGCGAAGCTGAGTGCTGGAAATGCTGCCGGGAAGACATAATCTCTTCTATATAATCAGACATTAGTTGACTGAAAAGGTCTGATGATAAAAAGAACTGAAAAAACTTACTATACCAAGAGACTGCATTTTTTATACTCGCCTGGTCTGCTAGATCAATCATGATAATAGCAGCATCGCAATTTTCCATCCATTTAGCCCTATCTTGAGTTGTACTATTTGACCCAGAAAGATCCCAGATATTGAATTCGGCAACCCCGATATTCTATGACCGATGCATATTAGAGCATGTTCAAGTTGGTGGTGGTGGAGTATGCTAGCAAGAGGGAAATGAAACTTACAGTTGGGAGTATGATTCTCTCACTTTTGTAGCCACTCATTGGGGTATATTCAGATTGATAATAGAAGCCATCTAACAGGTAGGATACCCAGCTTGACTGCAAAATTGAGGGTTAATCGTCTTTTTATGACCCAGAAGAGCGAGTCAGACCCAAATCCAACAGCTACGTATGTATCCTTGTTTTTTATTTTTATTTTTGTCTTTTACATTTTTATCGATGTCCCTTCTCAAGGTGATCTCGATCGTATTGTTCTCATCCATTTGAAACAAGTCGGGTACAGGGCTATTGGGGGAAGGCTTTCATTATTTGGTTCAAATTTGGATCTCTCCATACGTCTATTGGATATGAACGCTCATCCAGCCTAAATCGCCAAAGCAATAATTAGGAAAAATTAAGTGAGCTTTCTTTCTAGTAAATACAATATTTGGTACCTATGTATCTGAATTTCTGTATTTATCGTTTTTGTCCTGCTATTGACCGGCCCCTCTAATGAAAGACGAGTCGCCATAATAGATTTTTTTATTGTTGGACTGATTGGTAGAGCTAGCAGTAATATCTTTTGTTTTGCTTGTGGCCGCGAGGAACTGTTAGCTGGCTAGTCAGAAATGAGTGAAGTGGGTCTGAAGAAGATTAGAATAGATTTTGTTCCAAGGTTATATAAATGCGTTGATTCTTCCCCGAGAAATTTTACAACTAGGCTGTTACTTCCTTTCTGTCGTTTAATATCACTATTATTACTATACTATTGCTTCGTAGCTGATGAAAGCTGTTTGTGAACCTCTTCCTGCTTATAATCGAATTGACTTTAGCTGTGTTTGTAAAATCCAACTTCACTTCTCTTGCGGAATTTTTTTAATGTAGTTCGAGGCTTTCTGAGTCTGTCTTGTAAGATTCGTGGATAATGAACGCCTGGCAGCTCGTGCTTACTAGAAGCAGGTCTAGCATGGAAAGCTTTATTTTGTGATATAAGCTTGGGAGGGACGACAAATCTCTCTCGAAGAGAGAAGTAAAATACTTCATCTGTTCTATTACCCTGGCCAAAAATAGCTGATTCTCTTATAATTGCGCATTGAGACTACTCGTATGATAAATCCTCCAGATTTTTCCTTAGCCAGTTTCATCTTCGGGACGATTCGATGGGGGCCATTTGCATCAATCCTACCTTCAAGTGAAGGATCGACACATTTACTATTTGGCCCCAAGCCCCAAGTCTTGGCCCCAGGAATAACATCCGCACTACGGAGTAGCTATGTATACCAATCAACTGTTACATGCTTATGGACTATAGATTCCTCCTTGAGAATAAGGTCAACAGAGACACCTTAGACAGTCACTTCTCGGAAGATTTGAGACCCTGTGATATCCGTAGCCATATTAACCAACCGCTCCGGTGCTGTGGGTACGCTGTGGGCACTTATCACTCAGGACAGTTGGTATTCTAGCTCATGATACGACTTAATATCTACACCACGAGACGATTCAGGATGGATCCTGCATTGATTCGTCACCTATTCTAAAGAAACCCCTGGGAATTGACCCCTTAGGGGCCTGGGGCTTGGGGCTTGGGGCTTGGGGCCAGGCTGGGGCCGCCACTATTGCAGATTTTGGGGCCATGACAGGGAGCTGGACTTGTTTTACGGAGTATAGCTTAATCCTTCACAATAACTTTGCCTCTCTTCAATATAATAACTAGCGAAGGCCCTTCAATCTTGTCATCCCTTGGCAGTATCACTCGGCACTTGGCGAAGAGAACTGCGCTGCGGAAACAATCCTTCGTACTTTTTAGATGTAGTTATTCTTATCCAGTGGCCCCAATCTGTCTTGAGGCACTGTTTCATAGAATTATTCATCATATGTCATGAATTGGCCCCAACCGAGACATTTTGTATAAATTAGTTGCACTTGGTCCTCCGGGCTCCTCAATCAATGAAGCTCCATCAGCGACCCAATTTTCCCGAACATGGCTATCAAGAACAGTCTCTTGTTGGTGCTTCCCTTCTTGTATGGAGCTAGTGCGGATTGGACCACGACAGTAACTACCACGCTTGTTGTCCCCAACACCGTTACTCCTGTCGTTGACTTTGTGACACCTCCGCTGGCAATATCAACGCCCTCATCGTCAACTCGAACTCCATTGTCATTTACGTTTGACCATGAAAAGAGCCATAAGCTGAAGCTTACCTCTGTCGTCACTGTGCCGGACGGCCAAATCCCCACTGTTCATTTCAGTCTCATCACCTCGTCTGGGGCCGTTGATCCATCCGTCACTTCATCGACTCCACCCGCCGAGGCAGGCGGGGGCTCAGAGACCGAGGAATCTTCCGGGGCCACATCTTCAGCCCCAACACCTGCCCCTACAAATCCAACTGGACCAAATGCCCCAGGCACCTCCCCTGCTAGTTACACAAGCTCCGAGCCACTCATCCCTGGTGGATCTACAACACTAGGCTCTGCAGGTGGAACGTCAAGCTCTGGACCAATAATCCCAGCCTCAGCCGGATCAAATACAGCAAACTCCTCTCCTAATGGACACACAAGCTCTAAGCCACTCATCCCTAGTGAATCTACGACACGAGGCCCTACAGGTGAAAAGTCAATCTCCGGACCAATAATCCCAGGCTCAACCGGATCAAATACAGCAAACTCCCCTCCTAATGGACACACAAGCTCCAAGCCATTGATACCACATGGCTCTACGACATCAGACTCCCCAAATAGGCCTACAAGTACAAAGCCAGATGGTGTAGGCTCGACTGCTTCAGGTTCAACTGCCTCAAGCTCCACTCATCCTGGACCTTCTGGCGAAAGCTCAACTTCAGACTCCTCAGACGAGTCATCCAGTTCTCGACCTAATGGCCCGGATTCAACTGGCTCTAATGCGTCAAGTACCAAGCCACTCATCCCTAGTGGATCTACGCCATCAGGTTCTGCAGCTGGAACCTCAAGCTCTACCCCGGAAAACTCTGCAAGTAACTCAGCATCAACAACTTCAACACCTCTTTCAGATGACACGTCAACAACCGATGGAACATCCTCTAGTCAGCAGACAACCACCTCTGGGCAGACTCCTTCAAGTGGAGACCTATATTCCACCACGACGGGCCGTCCCAGTTCAATACCGTCTGTGAAACCATCTGATCAGGTTTCCTCGGTGAATTTGGCATCCGAATCCGCTATAACAGAGGCCACGGGTAGCGATACTGCTATTGCCGTTTTTGCACCGACAGCATCGCCGTCTCAGGAAGAATGGGCAACCATTCCGACTACCACCGAGACTGGAAGCGCAGCTACCACTAGCTCTGATACTCCTATTGCCATTATTCTGAGCAATCCTTATAACAATATCGAGGATCTCAAGAAGGACCCGAAAAAATATAAAGACCACATTGAAGAGATTGACGATAAAACTTCTGAATATCTCTCCAAAACAAATTTCGACACAAGCAAAACCCCCTGCTCAGGCTCCAAGAAAAGATCGTTGACAAAGAGAGGTCTTTTTGATGCTGTTACCAGTATCGCGAAAGAAGCTGTCGGCGCTACTGTGGATACTGCTGCGGACATCGCTAATTCTGCGCTCAGCTGTGTGGCACCGATTATTAAAGACATAAAAGATGTGATTCCTGACGATGCCGACGGTATAGAACCTGAGATCGAGGATCAGATCAAGAAAGGAACCGAGTATCTTGATGAAATCAGTAATATCGTGGAGAATATGGAGGAAAAGAAAAACGACCGACATACATCAGAATCTCAATCTGATTCCTCAACTTCTGAATCTCAATCTGATTCCTCAACATCTGAATCAACAACAGCTACTTGTACGTCAAGTACTACATACTCTGATTGTACCTGGGATACAGTTGTCAGTCAAGTGCCTCACTCAGACACTACTACAATTAGTATAATTACCAGTACTGAGTCATGTACCACAAGAACCGCCTGTGAAGCTACCCCGACCACATTTGAAACAACATCCACGTTGAAAGCATGTACTCGTCGTGCTAGAAGTTCATCTAAACTCTCAACCGCAGCCACTGATGACAGTGATACCGCGACACCTGGCGCTGGTGGATCTACAGCTTCAACTTCAACGGCGCCTATGACATCTCCTCCAGGATCATCAACCAAAACAACAACTTCTGACAGCTCCACTACCACCACAGGACCTGAATGCAGAATGAATCATATTGTTAATCGGAAGGCCGACGAGGAGTATTGTGTTTTCGACTGCTCAGACTATAGCGGTACCTGGATGACTGCCAGTTCCACATCCGGTCAGGAGGACTATCAATTGTGTCCCTACTCTCGACCTCCTGACCCGAGTCTGTCATGGAATCCAGAAAATAAGGGCTCCTTTACTACGACAGCCGAAGATGGCATCGTCTACTCCTGTGGCGACTCTGGCTACCTTGACAATAATGCCGGAAACGCCAAGTCCTGTGTGACCTCGATGGAATCTATTACTCAGATTACCTCCATATATACGGCATACACTGCCTCCCTGGAATCGGAAGCATCCGAATCGAGATCCAGTGTCAGTGCTTCGAAAGCGAGTGCGTCGAGTGCTTCAGCGGCGTCGGCAGCATCAGCGTCGGCGGCATCAGCCGCTGCAGCTACCCCGAGTAGCTTTGTTTTCATTTCCGAGATATCAAACATCGGTTTTGACGCTGCGTCAAGTGGACCGCCTGGTTATGCTGTTACCAGCAGTGAATATTACGACCCCTATATTTGTGATCTTGAAACTATTGGGTCGGATAACAGTTTTGGAAACAGTCCACCGGATCTTGACATTGATGGTGGGGATTTCGAGGACTGCAAGTATGACAGTGACAGTGACACCATTGAGTGCGACAATTTCAGTCTGCCCTGCAGCAGTGATGATGAATATACAGGAGAGCCTTCCACGAAAAATTGTGACTCTACAGTGGTGCGTGTTTGTCATCGTGACATATGAACAACCTGAGACAGCTGGTTCGAAGATTTTGAGTTAGTTGGAATACAGTGATCAGATACAGGAAATACTGAGGAAGACCTCCTTTACAACTTGAACTTTCTATTATTGCTCAGGGCAGCCTGATGAGATAAAACAAATGATGCGTTCTAGGATAAACCTGATTATTCGAGGAGAGAAACTATTGTCAAGTATACTGGTTGATGTAGGGTGATGGCTAGACGTAATAAGGTCGTTTTCTTCATCGAGAAAAAATGTCCTCAGGCGACGGTCTACATCGTAGGGATCGTCGCTAAGTTTGAGGACCATGACTCACTCTAGGAAACGGAGTTTGAGTGACCATCTAGACTTTTGATTCTTGCTGGGTACGAAAGCCGTGGCTTAACACAGGAAATAGGAGGGACTGGATAACAGTCGAACGAGCACCAATTTCGTTGCCAGAGGGTTGACTTGGGGCGCTGGGTGGGTGCAGAATAGAAAAGCGGCCATTTTCGGCGTCAATTGAATAGGTCCTTATATTCTAGTCGTAATTAATTAATTTAGTTGTCTAAAATCTTTGTCTTCGATGTCGGTCCCGAAATCTTAACTACCAACCTAACTACCACGGAAGTCAATCGGTGTTGGAAGCTCAACAAAGCCCGAGGTGGAGAGGGTACCTGTGTTCTACATGAATCATGGGTACGAGATTTTATCCCTTTATTACGTAGGCCAATCGATCGAAGGGCTGAGCATTCCTCGAACATTTAACTTGCCCCCTTGCATAGCCAGAATCGTGGTGTTTCCTATCTCGCAGGCTTTTACCTCATAGGAATGGCTTGAGAAATAGAATAGCATAGATAACTATTCAATATATTATGAACAGCAAAGCTGCTATATGAATACGTGAACCAATTTGGCTGAGAGAATCAGATTTCATGAAACATCTGGGCATGTACCCACAAACTTCGCCGAAGAGAAAAGGACCATATCGGTATGTCGAGCAAACGAGATGAACGGAAAAATAGCCCGGTCTCCCAGCCTTCCGCATTCCAAGTGGCTCAGAAAGTCCAACGACTGGTCAATACAGGTACTGTTGCCCCTCTCGACTGAGGTGAAACCCCTGGAATCCTAGGCCAGCCAAACGATGTAAACAAGGCCCAATGGCAAGACAAGGGAGGAGAAAAGGACGCAGGAACGCGAGACCACCTGGAAGCCTTAGGCGAACGCTGTCGGATTTGCTACAACGCAATCTCCCTTCAGCTAACGCATCGTGTCGTGTCAACAAAGGGCTCTCTTCCCTTCTTCTCTCACACTTCAATCCCGCCGACACTACGCAACACCGTCAACACTCATGACGGCCTAATATCGCCCAGCTCCTGTCTTTCCTTTCTTTTCCTCGATAAACCGACTATTTTTCACTCTTTTACATTGATAGAACGTGCCCAGCGGCCTTTCGGATAGAGAGCCACAGAACTATACACGCCAAGTTGAACCTTTCGAACCACCTACTCTTTCACCTCGCGCCAACGCCAACGCACCTGAAGACGCATACAAGGAATAAAACAAGAATAACGAACGTTCAATACCTCAAAATGCGTCTCGAGGCCATCTTCCTTACCTTCGCAAGCCTAGCTGTCGCCTCCGCCGTGCCTGTCTTGCAGGAATATCCTGCAGTCCCAATGCCTACGCCCACTAAGCCTGTTATCGCATCCTCTTCGGCAGCCTATTCATCCCCTTCAGCATCGATTTCTGCGCCAGTGGTTCCCGTCGGCCCTTACTCCTGCCCACAGAAACAGTACAAACAGTGCTGCCAGTCCCTGGCGCAGACCTCGCACGATATCATCAAACCATTGGGTGAACTTGTGCCTATTCTTGGAGGCATCCAGATAAGTTCGGCAGTGTCATTCCAATGTATGTCAACGTTCTCGGCACTTTGATGCAAGCGGAGTGTCCAGATTGAGATGGATCATTAATCATATCATTTTTACTGTATAGGCCGGAATATGCGACCAAACGAGCCGCCGGAAGAGTGCGATGAACCCGAATACAGGCCCATGTGCTGCTCTGCTGAGAACACGGTATGCCAACGAATAACTACTTTCAATGTCAGAAGAGGAGTGAAAGCTAACACTATATTTATCTGAAAGGGAGCCGTCAATTCGTGCAAACTGTTCGAGAAAGCAAAGGAAGACTACTACCGCTCCTTCGGATTTGGGGAAGAGGACCAGGTCGAGTTGATCAATGACGTTCTCACATAAAGGGGCCGTATATGCGGCACTGGCGGCCATGAACCTATCAGATCGAATTTGGAAGTCTTATGTTGAGGATGAATCTGTGGGGGAAAGCGTGGATGCATCTCTGGGTTTCTATTTTTTTTCTACTTCACTTGTCACGACATTGGTATATGGCCTTAGATATCGTTGTATTTTTTTTTCTGTCGAATACTAGTATTCATGACGGTAACGTCACTATCACTTCAAGCAACAATTTCCTTCTGTTAGCCTTTCCGGTCCAACTTTAGTTCCCCTTATATCTTGCCTTGGGCATTTCGACAGTAACATCTGCTTATGTAGTTTAAGGGTGCTACCTTTGGCCGTCCTAGAATCATTGTACCGGCATGAAGCCAGAGATGTGAATGAATAATGCCGGATAGATGCAGAAGTTTGATGCTTCCATGTACATTTGAAAGCTAGAGTATGGATGACTGAGTAGAGTATCGTAACTGAATCAGATGTTGAAATGAAAGAACAAGGAAAAGTAAAACAACCACTACATCCGTGAATTTCCGACCTTGGCTGCCTTCCAAGTGCATATCAATGAGTAAAGATGTCAGGACAACGATATGTAACTGTACTTGGTCTCGGAGAAACCACCGGTTCAGATAATGGGAGGTTGCGGTGTCACTGAATAATAAAGACACGAAAAAAAATGATAAAAAAAAAATAGGATTGCAAAGGCAGAAAATCAGACACACTGATTCTCATGAGAATTTCCCTTGACTCCAACGCTGAAACACATTTCCCGGGTCACCGTTTTCTAAATCGCCATCAAGATTATCCGTCTCGATGGCGACAAGACTGGGTGCTGCCTAGCGCCACAGATTGTACCATCTGTCTAATTCTTCCATGAAGCTTGCAACAGTAGTCCCCGACGATGGTTCGCTGACGTTTCCTCGGATCGGGATCTCAATCTGGTCCCATACTGCGTGTATCTGGTGCCAGACAACTGGGTATTCGTTCGATTCCTGGGCCAACCGCAACATGTTATGAGCCCACATGACCAGAGAGCGCTGGGATCGAACGTCTGCCCAATTGTACTTAGACCGTTTCAGAGTCTTCAAGGCGTGAGAAGGGGGGTTCTTGAAGCGCCTGGTTAGAGTTTCGATCCATCCTTCCTCCAGAGAAAAGCTTCGGAGCTTCTCTCTCTCGTAGTGCGAGAGCTCGGAGATAAACCATTCCAGGGCCTCACCTCGCAGGCAAGAGTGGATGTTCAGACGGATAGTGTTCTCGTTCTTGAAGGCGGACAGGGCCCGGATATGGCCGACAAACGCATGGGCATTGCTGAAGTAAATGGTGTCTTCCTTCATTCGTACCTGCTCGTCACGAGTGGGGTCAGGAAGGAAATATCCAACCTCAGATGTGACCCAATTGTTTGCCTTCGCAATGTCGAAGATTGGGGCGGTCGATGGAACGGAAGGAGTAGCAGTCTCAGAGGGAGGAATAACATTGATCTGCGGAATCAATCTCGCATTCTTCTTTTGGCTGGCCTTTGAAGGAATCACTTCCATTCGCAGTTCTTCAATAGCCGTATGTATGCAGGTCATCATCTCCGCCTTTTGCACGGGACTCAGCCTGAACGAGCTGGGTGAGTCCATCTTTGAGAGAACGGGGGTCATTGCTGGATCACTGCATGTCAACTCAGAGGGTCTTCACAACAACAACAATCACCCTTTACTCACGAATCTGGTGCGGATAAGATGAATCCCATCACAGGATGGGCCTGGGTGTTGGTGCAGCCAACAAAGAGATACAAATGTTGAACTGACTATCACAACAATGAACTGGTGATAGGTGAGAGATGAGAGATGAGAGACGGATGGATCTGGAGATGGAAAGGAGGAAGAAGATCGAGAGCACTGAAGGAAAGAATGAACTCGTGAAGCGCGCGGTGGGCGGCTATATCCGCCCTTTCCCTGGGAGAGCAGCCATGACAGTCGCTCCTGCCGATTACGGAAATCTTCGTCATCTGATCGGCTTTTAGCTTATCGGATACCCCAGGAGGGTACCCTAGTATATCTCACGATGATAAAACTTCCATGGGGGCTCCTGGCAGTGTTCCAGTCTGGTTGGTTTGATGTCGCTATACATGCGTTCCAAGACTATTAGTAGATATCTGTAAGGTCACCAAGTGTGGCTACAGAGAGAATAATCTTGAAACCCCATGACTTCGGGGCTAGACAAGCATGTATGCGTGGTGTTGCACTGCTCTCCAGTGTTACCAGTTATAGCGCCTAGTATGTAAATGAGACAGTGGAGAAATTTGTCAGTAGCACTTCTAGTAATAAGCATGAGGTAAATTTTGCAATATTTTTTAGCATTTTGGAAATCATATCATCGTTGTACTGGTACATAGAGCTCTCATCGCCAGTTTTTTCCACCTGGAGGACCCCAGGATCCCCCATGCTGACCACCAGAGTGTGGAGGAGGGAAGTGATACTGCCCAGGAGGAAGAGGTTGTTCAGGCGGTACAGGCATATGAGAAGGGTAGCCAGAGAAAGCTGGAGGGAATGCTGGGGGGTTATGGTTGATACCCGGCCCCGGTGGGGGGAAGGGCATTCCCGGCATATGTGGGGGTGGGGCAGGTGGCCAGGCGCCAGGGTAGGAAGGTGGAGGTGGGGGAGGGAAGTTGGCATTGTAATGACCATATTGTGCATTGTAAGGGTGGTTTTGATGTGACGGCTGGGGAGGGTGGTTGGCATGTTGTGCTGGAGGATGAGGAAGAGGGTGAGAGGGTTGATGAGGAGGCGGGAATCTGGGCGGCGATGGTCCTCTTGGCGAGTATGGGCTTTGAGATCGTGACTTAGACCCGTAGCAATTAGGCTCACGCCTATCTCCACGAGACCGAGATCGACTCCGAGACCGTCGGCTGTCATCACTCATAGAGCTGTCGCTGTAACGTCGTCGCTTGGTATCATGCCGAGTCCCACTTCGGCTTCGGCTGCGGCTGCGGGAGTCATCTGGCCTTTTCTTCATCTGCTGGCAAAACGCACGGGACCAGCCGTAGTATGTTTCACCGTCGATGATATCGCCCGTTATCTCGTCTCGAACGACCCTTTGACCCATTTCATCTACATCTGTGTTTCCATCGTCTTTGACAAGCTCCTCTATGCCATATATCTGATCGACATCCTTCAAAAAGCCTTTGAGTGCCTGAACCAGTGTTTCGTCGGCAGGACCTGCCATGAATTGTAGTGGCTTGATGCTCTCGGCGCGCAGGGGAATGGTCGAATTGGGAATGATATGCGGAATCATGTTACCTGCCGGAAGGTCATAGTACGGAGTCGAGGGGTCACCATGTGTCAATGGCATGACAAAAGGTGTGTCTTTCCCGGGCAACTTTTTCGTGGTATCTCCCTCGACAGCCAAGACATCAGTCGATGAGGGTGGGGCGGCCCCTGTCAAGGCCGAGTTCTTCACCACCTCTCGTAACTTGTGGATCAGGTCGGGACTGAAGTATCCGTGCTCGGACCAGATATCTAGTAGATCATCTAGCCGCCGATGGTGTCGGGGATATTTCTGTCGATCATAGGCTGCCGCATGCCCAAGCAGGTCCACGACATGTGGCTGCAGGGACCCGCTCACCGTGGAGAAGATAGCCGTGGTATCCAGGTGGTACTTGCTGTGGTGGAACAGATCGTTGAGGAGGTATAGGATGTGGAGTCTCCGGCGCTTCGGCGAAGGTTTTGGCAGAGGGCCTGTTGGGTCTTCAGCGAAGGAGCCAGCCAGTGTCACCAGATATTTGGCCAGGCCTGCCAGCCGGTTGGCCGACGAGGCTACATATTGGAGGAGCCATTCTTTGCAGGTCTGAATTTGTCGGATGGGTTTAGTAACGGAGGGATAGCAAGAAGTTGCAACGGATCAGACCTGGATGTTTGCTGAGGAACAACGCGACAGCGCCCGGTCGAGGGCAGAGTGAAAGGCGGCGATGTCGTCACGCGGCACACTGGTGGGATCGGGGCGCAAAAGGCCAGCTGAGAAGGATGCCTTTGCGATGGCGAGCTGATGGGACGCCATCGCCAGAGAGGTACGTCAAGGCGAATTAAGCTCCAAGCTTGGGGGAGAGCTCGAATTGCCCTGCGCTGGACCCAAAGACAATACGGTTATCACACGTGACCTTCGCGTTCAAGTTTGGGCGGAGCTCCTCCTTGTTGGTCACGTGAGAGTATCAGTCCATACCTACGATTAGCTTTTTTTAAATATGAAAAGTATAGAAAACGGAGTCTCTGGATTAATGGATCATATCTGTGGATCTATTTAAGTCAAGCAGACTCGCTACTAGTAGTTTAATGCAAAGTGGACTGAAGTCCCTGATGTCTCTCGAATATGGTACGTATACATCCAGTTACATAGTGGTAGTAGTACACATTCCCCACACTGCTACCATAGTCGATAGCATGATAACTAGTAGTACTACAAAAACTTAGCGAACTAATACCAAGTAGTAAACTTTGAACACTGAGAAATGTGAAAGACATCCTCAGACTATGACGAGTCTAGCCTTTGAACTTGAAGTGCCACCAGACCTCGGGAATATCAGGTAAACGGAAATTGAAACCCGAACCATGAGTGCTTTTCCAGTTGAAGGGTCCCGAGGACCTTCGTATAGTTAGTTAGTACCTAGTGGCTGACTAGTTCTGGTCGTCACCCTGTAAATGGTCAGATGGTTCCAAGGTTAAGGGCGTTCATATTGAGAAATCATGTTACATCCATGATTCATCCATACTATTACTTTGCCCTCTCCCCCTCCCCGGCAAATCTGTCTGGCGTCTATCCGACGATCTACTGTTGCTGGACCCAGATGATAAGATTTACCCACCGGTAAAGCAGACCGGCTATTCGTGCTCCGCCCTCAGTCTACTCGTACTCGTACATCATACACAATACTCATCGAGGGGGGAGCTCCTTTCTGCCTTGACGATCCTCCACGCGGTGACGCCTGACGCCCCTCTTTTGTCTCTTCTGCCTTGTGCCATTAGCCCTTGAGAGGGGCAAATTCCGGCCCCACTGCTCACTGCCCACTCTCACAGCCCACTGCGTCTTTAATGTGATTTCTATTTGGGACCCCGCGATGGCGTGAGTTGGCCGCGATTTGCGCGCATTGCTTGCCGACCGCCCGACGCAGTTGTCGCAGATCTGTCTGATCACCCCGGATGAAGGCTTCCAGCTGGGTCCCCTCAGGCTCCCCTGGAAGAATCAGCCCATTTGTTTTGCAGCTGCAGTCCCCGCAGCTCCCCCCACATACGGGTCACTTGCGCACTCGCATGGCCTGACTGCCTCTGTGTGTTGTGTGATGGGATGCTTCTCGGAGATCGCGCAATCTATAAAAAGCCTTGGCCCCCTGTCGTTCTTCCCCCAAAACCTTACAAGCCCTATTACATTCAAGTTACTGGTACTCGCGTGATCCAACTGAGCCTGAGGTTCCCGGCTACATACTCCTACATACTACAGTACTACTTGCTAGTAGTATAAATACTCGACATCACGCCACCCACCCAACAATAACACTCCACAACCACTCCACACCCTTCTTCTTCTTCTTCTTCTTCTTCTTCTCTCTCTCCCTCATCAACCATTTTCTTCCTGCCCACAATGGCCGCTGTCGTCGCCGCACAACTCGCTCGCCCTACTATCCGACACTTTTCTGCCCACCGTCCACGTCCCGATAGCCGCGCAGCTCGCGCCGTGACTACTTCCTGTCTGGCCGCCGCTGTGGCGCTGCCTTTTATTCCACCAGCTCTGGAAAGCTCGCGTCAGAAAAGCTCCGGGTTCCCGGAAGGCAATAAGTGAGTTAAATTATCCACCAGCAAGAGTCCTGCATGCCACACGATGTATGCATGCGTGGAGTAAGACTGTACTGACTGACGGGCTCGATAGGCCCCACCCCCCGCTCTGCTTCCATGCACGCTAGACCGATCGTCATCGAGTGCAGCCACGATGTTCTTTTTTTTTTGCTTTTATTTCCGCCTAAACGGGTTCCGCTGTTCGGTGCGGGCGCCAACATGGGACTTTTGATATGATGCATGAGGTCGGGGGTGTTTGGGAACGGCGTTTTTTTATATATTATTATTCTATGTCTTATTTTTTTTTAACTACTTTTTGTCGTTCTCTTCTGGACGAGACAGATCGCGTCCACTGGGTATCATCTTTAATCATCAGTGATGAGATGAGTTGTGGCGTCGTTGTCAGATAGCAGATCCGGGCAAAGCTTGTCGAGACTTAGATATTGTGTCTAGCTAGACAGTTCTCTCAATCCACACGCATATTCATCCAGCTGGGTACGAGTAAATGACAGGGGCATATAAGGAGCAACCATCCGCCATCTACTAGTAGATCGAGATTGATCGACACGGCAGTACCCTCGATCCCAGAACAAAGCTTCATATGACAAGAACACGGGCCATCTCGGGCCATCCAATAAAATAGAAATCATCTCTAATGTGCCCGCAGGGATAAATAATTTACACAACCAAGAAATGTACAAGGAGAGCCAAAGCCATATCCTCAACTAAACCGGTTCCCGCTAGGAGGACGGTACGGCTGGGCCGCTTCATATTTTCCCTTCTCCAGCACTCGATCGTTCTCCGTCATAGGTTCATGACGTGTCGGGGCCGGGTCGTGCGAAGCTTCGGCACTCGGCGAGGCGACATCGTCCGCCGCATTTTGGAATCGTGTCATATTGGCTCGTTTCAAGCTGGCGTCGTCGGTCGGATCCGGTGCGGGTGCAGTCATGGCGGCTTGCCGCTTGTGATCGTTTTCCATCGCTTTCAGTTGCGCCTTGCGCTTCATATCGGCTTCAAACCGAGCTTGTCGATCGGCATTGACGGACTGTTTGGCAAAGTAGTAGGCACCGCCGCCAGCTGTGAAGGGGGGAAAGTTAGAATTGGCGGGGTCTTTGAATTCGAGGCGAGCTTCTCCAAGCTCCAAGTACCTACCGACACAAAGGGTGCCCCAGCCAACCCTGTTCCAGAAACATCCTCTATCAGTATGGCAATATCCAGCCGGGGTTCCGACAGCTTCAATTCATGGCTGGACGGTGGGGTTCTCACCAAGTAGAACGGATCTAAGGATGAATTGCGATTAGATTAGGCTGTTTTCTTCCGAAGGGTGTCAGACATACTGTATTCATTGTTGCAAAGTGGTCGAGTTAGACGGGGAGGAGAATAGAAGTGCTGTTCTTCTACGTCAGTCAAGGCTCCGCGGCCGAAACTCGGCTGCGCAAGGCGGTGTGGAGATCGCTGTCTATGGGGATTTGGGCAATAACAGCATCTTATAGCAAAAGTCTTGACTAATTTGCTTATTTGAAGGTGTATATCTTTAGAATGCACCCAAGATATATCAAAATAAATTCGAACAGTTATGTTATCCAACGGCGTAAGTCACGATTTGCTCAGGAAATCTACCAGGTATGGGATGTCTCCAGGCGGCTCTAATCGGCAGTTTCTGCCTAAGGCGGCTATCAACCCGTCAAGATTGAAGACTGGTCATCATCACCTTTTGGTTTGAACTTCTTTCACATCCCACTACCGACACCCTCATTCTCTACCACCATCTCTCCGATCTCTAGCTCCTTCCAAATCTCATCAAGCCCGCTATTAGGCCCACCTACAAGTCCCTGTTTGGTCGCATCTTCAGTCGGCAGACGCCGCCTGTCTTCCGCGACCCAGCACTCTCGTGGCATGCAGGCTTGAACCTTTTGCTAAGAGGCAGCTCCTGCCTCATCCTATAGCACCTCCCACCGATATTCTTACCCTGGAACTCAAACCCGGCCCTTCGACTCCGCAAAACATCCCGCACGATGCCTCCCAAGCGCAAGGCGACTGACAGTAGGTGTCTCCAACACCCACGGCAAACAACCAATGACTCACTTTGAATAGGCGGTCGGTCTAGCAGCACCTCGAAACGCCCCACGCCAGTTCCAGACCTTGAAGAAATATCCAGCAGCGATGAATACTCGGATCCGGAAGACGTGTCAGAAGGGAAGGATAACTTGAAAGGTACAGTGTGGCAATCCGCCCACGCCGAGTGAACCCGGAATGCTAAAAGGATGATAAAGAGGTCGTCAGCAAGTTTTCCTTGGAGTCATTCAGCAAGCGATCGCAAGTCAACAACAGGACCGATCCTAGATTTGGCTACAAGGACCTGTCTGCCCTCCCTCTCAAGCGCGACCACTACAACCGCCCGTTATGGATCGAGCCGGTAAAAGGCACGATCACTCTCGAAAGTTTCTCCCCGCTGGCACCCCAGGCCCAGGATTTCCTCACAACCATCGCGGAACCCTTATCGCGTCCGACCCACCTGCACGAATACCGCTTGACGGGTCATAGTTTGTATGCGGCGGTGTCCGTTGGATTGAAACCGCAGGATATTGTTGCTTTCTTGGACCGTCTCTCGAAAACGCCGTTGCCGGAAACTATCCGGACTTTCATTATCGAATTCACCAAATCGTACGGGAAGATTAAGATGGTTCTTCGACACAATCATTATTACGTGGAAACAACGGATCCGGAAATGCTGCAGCGGTTGCTCAAGGATGAAGTGATTGGACCCCAGCGAATTGAAAGCACGGAAGGAATTATCGAGCGAGCCGCTCCGAAAATGGGAGGCCTTGTCATTCCCGGAACAAAGGATGCAGCTGGTGTGAGAGAAACTGGCACTCAACAAGAAGCCGCTGCCGCCCCTAGGGAGGAGAATGCAGAGGTTGCAATGGACTATGGAATTGATGACGTTGGTGAGGATGACAATGAAGAAGCCACCACATACAGCTTTGAGATTCCTGCAACTGGTGTCGAAGTGGTCAAGGCTCGTTGTCAAGCAATTGGATGTCCTGCCTTGGAAGAATACGATTTCCAAGGAGATACGGTCAATCCTAATCTTGATATGGACCTGAAGCCCGCTGCTCGAATTCGTTCATACCAGGAGAAGAGTCTGAGTAAGATGTTTGGTAATGGACGAGCAAAGAGTGGTATCATTGTTCTTCCATGTGGTGCTGGCAAGACCCTAGTCGGCATTACTGCGGCAGCGACAATCAAAAAAGGCACGATCGTGCTCTGCACCAGTTCCATGTCGGTCGTTCAGTGGCGAAATGAGTTCTTACGCTGGACAACGATCGACCCAAGTGACATCGCCATTTTCACTTCGGACCACAAAGAGAAATTCAAGCGGTCAACCGGTATCATCGTTTCCACCTACTCCATGGTGTCGCAAACGCGAGCGCGTTCCTACGATGCCCAGAAAATGATGGACTGGCTTCAGTCTCGGGAATGGGGTATGATGATTCTTGACGAGGTGCACGTTGTGCCAGCCTCCATGTTCCGAAAGGTCACATCTGCGATCGCTGCTCAGAGCAAGCTTGGTCTCACAGCCACTCTTCTGCGTGAGGATGACAAGATTAAGGATCTGAATTTCCTCATCGGTCCAAAGCTTTACGAGGCGAACTGGATGGAACTAGCCGCACAGGGTCACATTGCAAAGGTCCAGTGTGCCGAAGTGTGGTGCCCAATGACAACGGAGTTTTACTCCGAATACCTACGCGAGAGTTCTAGAAAGCAGGCTTTGCTCTACATCATGAACCCTCGCAAGTTCCAAGCGTGTCAATTCTTGATCGACTTCCACGAGAAGCGAGGCGACAAAATTATCGTGTTCTCGGATAACGTCTACGCCTTGGAGCGATATGCACTGAAGTTGAACAAGGCATACATTTACGGTGGAACCCCGCAGAACGAGCGAATGCGTATTCTGGAGAACTTCCAGCACAACGAGCAGGTGAATACCATCTTCTTGTCAAAGATTGGAGACACATCTCTCGATTTGCCAGAGGCCACCTGCTTGATCCAGATCTCCTCTCACTACGGTTCTCGCCGTCAAGAGGCACAGCGTCTGGGTCGTATTCTCCGAGCCAAGCGTCGTAATGACGAGGGCTTCAATGCCTTCTTCTACTCACTCGTGTCCAAAGATACTCATGAGATGGTTTACTCGGCCAAGAGACAGGCATTCCTGATTGACCAGGGTTACGCATTCAAAGTCATCACCCATCTACAGGGTATTGACAACTACGAAGGGTTATCGTACGCCACTCCCGCCGAGCGTCGAGAATTACTCCAGGAAGTCATGCTGCAGAACGAATCATCAGCAGACGTGGAACAGGTCACGGATGATCTATTCTCAATGCGCTCTGCTAAGGGTCGCCCGGGCAAGAAGTCGACGGCCAAGCGCAGCGCAGCTACCCTTAGTGGTCTGGCCGGCGGTGATGATATGGCGTATATCGAATACAACAAGAGCAGAAATAAGCAGCTCAAGGACAAGGGTACTCATCATCCATTGTTCAAGAAGATGCAACGAGACCGCGAGCGGGCGCGGAAAGCACGAGAGCAGGCATAAGATAGTTAGAGATGCAGGCATTCTAGAAGTTGATTACTGAGATATTGGTCTAGATTTTGACTCAAATTGTTAATACTAGTCAGGGAAGAGGGCTGGACTGGACTGGACTGGGCTGCGCTGAGCTGAGCTGAGCTGAGCGATGCTTATTTTGCCATTCTGCTACGTGGATCATATCATGCACGCTTTGTCCTTTTTAGTTCCCCAGAATGAGAATATACCCAAAATTCAATATTCCTAATTTCAAATTCCTACCGTATGGCTATTTCCAATCAAGCCAAACCTAGCCCAGAACCAATCCTGGAGTTTGCTAATAAGTATGTTTTGAATACGAGCTCTGCAACCCCATCAGTCAGCAAGGCCGGTCTAGCTTTAGCTTTTGTTGTTCCGATGACGTGTAGTTCGTCATGTCGGAGCGCCCAAACACCGACGCGCTCCCCGGAAGGGTACGAGGTCCGAAAGGGTCCAGTATATTCCCACTAATCCCCGCCTGCTGATAGGTCTGCGAGAATGGGGGTCTGAAGAGCTTACCCCAGAATCTCTGTCCAGAACGGGCTTTAGGCATTTTACCCCCGACTCTCGTAATGTGTCATGCTGCCATCATTTCGCTATAAAGTCCCCCCTTATCCTCCTCCCGAAGTCCCATCCTGGGGATCTGAAAATCAGACGTGGAGGAATGATCTGTTCGCGATCTTCTCTCTCAATATTACTCCGAAGGCGTGCTAGCTCCCAGACTACTAGTCTTTCAAGTTTCTCGATCCCACCATCTTTGCCGCTTCTAGCCGGCTATTCAACACCTCGATTTCGGCCCGTTTCATACACCTCTTGGGACCATCGCGGCTACTTTTCAAATATGGCGACTGCGACTGAGATCCATTTATCGCCCGCTACGGACTCGGGGGTTTTCACGGCCGGGACCACGGAAGAAGCCGCGCGCGCAGCGAGCGAAGTCTTGCAAGAGGATATGGAAAATCACCATGTCTTCTTCAACGATGAAGGATTTCATAGTACGTGAATTTGAATTCAAATTTCTATTCATCTTGTCTCTCTTTTTTTGGATTGGGCTCACGCGTATAATGCTAATGGTGAAATAAAGACCACATACCACACGGGGTTCTGAGCATTTTTTCTCTCGGAGCATCACCGGATGATATTCGAAAGAATTATGTTCGGAATAGAAGCTATCAGAGACCGGCTCGGCCTGTTGATAGGAATGTCGTTGAGGGTTTCCATGACCCGATCAAATTCCAAGAGGCCTTTCATAAGGAGGAGAATTATTCTAATTACTTAGTCTTCTTCCAGGAGGAGATTGATGCGAAGGGTGTGGGTGCTGTGCTGAACGAATACGTTTTTGCTGGTGACCAGCGAGCGGAGAGTATGCTGTCGAGATTATTTGGAGGTGCGTTTACCCGAGTCTGATGCAATCTAGTGAGGGGGGACTTGTATAGACATACGAGGAGTCCAACCCCCACTTTTGCCGCCCATTGAAATTGAAACTCACCAAGAACCACCCTAGGCCTCGTCCACCCTCTAATCCATCTCGGATTCGGACTGGAATTCAACCAACCAGCCATCGTGGCCCAGGCACTCGCGCAAGCTGCCGTTCATGATGACTGGATAGGTCGTGAGTATTTCCTGCCGGCGGAGAAACTAGCAGGTGGGATCGGGAAGCGGGGAGAAAAGTCACTACTACAGCTTCTGAACGAGATTCGGGCCGACGAGAAATTGGCGCACAGCACCAAATTCACTGATGGGAATAAGATTCGTGAGGGGCCGTTGAGTCGGGCTGGTGATGAGATGTTGAAATATGCGGCTCAGTATACCGTTTCTGAGGATCAGATTCAGGAGCGGATTGCTGATATGATTAATACCGTTGGTGAGTTTCCCTTGCTGTGCTTTGCTTTGTTTTGAGTACTTTTGCTGTTGCCTTTTTGCACGTGCAATTGCAATTTCGCATCTTTGAAGCCGTGACTGACAAGAAATCCGACGTGACTACATAGTGTACTACACGAGTGCCGCCCAAAGACCCGACAAGAAAGTCAAGATAGACTTCTTCTTCATCCACTGCGTCAACTCGTCGATATTCTTCTCCAAAATTGCCCAGCTTCCCTTCCTAGACACACAGGCCAAGCTCCGTCTACTGGAATGGAAGGGTCGTATGGATCTCGTGATGTATGTTTCACGCGGCTCGCCTGAGCTACGCCGAAACGAGGTCACACAGTACCCCGTGACGAACGATTGGCCGACTTTATTTTCACGGGCTGTCAAACATCCCGGTGATGATGGACATCTGGTCAAACTTGTCAGAGCGCTGGCGCATGGGGAGGAGGTTTGTCGGGTAGCGGATAAAGACTCGCAAATGCCTGTCTCTGGGGATATGTGGCTGAGAATTGGTAATATGGGTGAGTTCAAGTTTTCTAGTAACTTTATTTTCTTGACGTGTGAAATGTCATGTCCCCTGTTGCTAACTTTACTTGTTGCAGCTATTGACTCCACTGTTGATGGACTTGATCAGGGGGCGATGTGGATCCGGTCAACTGGGTTCGATGAGGCGTGGACGAATCTGTCTGGAAGATCTCGTCTGTGAGAAGTAAAATATGCCTTTTGGTAAATTGAACATTACTTTTTGGGGGTTGTAATTATTTAGTTCATCTTCAAGTTGTGTACTGAATACCTCAGAGAATGCCATTCTATCATTTGAGTGTAACCAATCGATTGATTAGTTGGTCGAAAGCGAGTGACCTGAAGTAATGAGTCCAAATATCTTCATTTTCGTCAGTAGATTCAAATTGTCAATTCAAAGACACTCGTCGGCCATTCAATATCTCGTTTCGGCCGAGGCCCGCAACTGTTGGATCGGGCCCGCTTGGAAGTATGGGATTTCGCCCTAAGAGCTGCAGTGGGTCGAACTATGACGCAGGCGATCTCAACCAAACAAGGGGCACTTAAAAAGGAGGATTTGGTGAGAATAAATCATTAAAAGGAGGAGGATACAAAAGTACTATTAGCATTAAAGTAAGTAAATAACAGGCAAAAGGATCATAAGATATTCTTCCACTGCAGGACGAAAAAGCAGCGAAAAAGAATAGGAACCTTCTAAGAAAAGCAAAACGCAGTGGGGCTCACCTCGCCACGTGAGTGGGGCCTCCCCAACAGCTTCTCTCGTCAACCCAACTTGAACTTTCTTACCTTCTTCTCCATTTCATCATCATTATGCCGAACGATCAAGACACAGAGAAACAAGACAACTCCAAAGACAATAATAACACCAACAACCGAGATAATAATTCAAACATGCCTCGTGATCAGGACTGGCACGACGAGAGCAACCCATTCGTCGTGTTCCGGCGCTTCGCCGATGAGCAGGTCTCTTCACTACTCCAGTCCGTCACTGGACTCCCATCGAATATATCGCGCCCTCAATCAGACAGATGGACTATATTTAACGAGGACAATGGCTACGAGGAAAGAAAATACCGGGAACGCACCGGTGGCGACAATGCTGGACATGGCAATTACGCGCGTGACCAAGGCGCAGAAGGATCTTCCTCAAGTGGCCAGGACAACAACAACAACAACGGAGGCAACACATCCGGGCCATCGCAACCTGGAAATACGAACGATAGACACCCCCGAAACCCTCATCAAGAAAGAAACCACAGTCCCCGCAACGCGCACTCCGACTTCTTCGGCATCGAGTCCGTCGTCGACCGATTCGAGGATCGATTCTTCCCCTTCTCTCCATCATTCCTCCACCCCAGCAATCGATACTTCTTTCCCGACATGTTTGAAGACAGCAGCTCCCCGACCTGGCCCCTCACATACATCGCGTTTAGCCCCTACTCGCCTCTCCACCTCGAACACCAAGCCCATTATCGCGCACAACGGGACCAGGGCGTCTTCTCGTCTATAATGTCTTCTTTCCAACCAGAATCGGATCGCGATCCAAATGAGCCGCAATGGCGTGAGGCATTCGAGGATCTGCTCCGCTTAGAAAACGGCAAGCCGATGCTTGACAACGATACGCTGCAAGCCGGCAAGACCGAAAATGGATCAGAATGGCTGCATGGCCTCGTGAAACGCGGTAGTCTGGGTGATCGTTGGAAATACTCATCCGGAGGCTCGGTTAGCTCTCCTTGGTCTGGTATCACTTTCACGGGTACGAGCCACAGTGATGATAACCGTGTCTTGCCTGAATCACGCTCCGAGACCAAGACCGAGACCGAAAACAAAAAGCAGCTCGAGTCGGAAAATCAACAGGCCGACACGGAATTGGATATGTACGAACGTTTCTTACACGACATCGAGGAACGGGAGCAACAACTCTTACGGGAGAAGTTGGAAGTCCCCTTGTTCGCTTCCTACTCGAAGAGCGCCGTCGAGAGCAGGAACAGGAGCGCCGACAACTATACGATGACGACCAGGGCACTGAGGACACTGAAAGCTGGCTGGATCTTGTATCTGGCGGAAATCGAAAATCCGTCCCCGAAAGTCCGCCCGACTTGACTGAGAGGAAGCAGGCGGATCTTTCGCAAGAACCTACTCCGTCTCGTGTTATATCGACCATGTCTCGGACCGAACGAACGCGCCTGGCCGATGGCTCTGTTGAAACTAAGATTGTGAAGACCAAGCGCTATGCCGATGGCCGTGAAGAAACAGACGAATCGGTTGAGGTTACTCATCCACGCTCGAATGTTGAGGGTTCTGGCGGGCCCGGCAATCAGTCAAAAGGTGGCTGGTTCTGGAAGGACTAAGAAGTCTTCGTCTTTGTCTTCGTTTCCCCTATAGTTTTATGATGCACGAAACATCTAAATTGAGCCGACCTGGCAAATGATTTGAACCACGACTTTTAGCAGCTCATCAGCGAAATTTTTCTCCTTTTTATTTCTTTTTGGTATTATTTGGCGTTGCCGTTTGGGCTCTTGCTGTCATGACCTCTATCTACTATGCATCTACTTGTTGTATCTATTGCAATTCAACTACTTTCAAGTTCATTTATGACTGCACTTGCCATCCAATTAGAGTTTTTCTTCCCTGAAAGTAAAAATAGTGAGTAGACAAGTTTTCATATACCCAGGGTACATACCGGATAATGTTTGGCAACTTGGCCTTCTCTTTCCGTTCCAGTGCGCAGCCCCTACCCGCTTTTACTCAGACCTCGTAACGTTTCTCTCTTTTGGCATTGGATACGAGAAATATGAAGATCGGCATTGGTGGGGCCCGTCTGCCTACGCATCGTACACATTGGGAGACGTTTACGAAGGCTCGCATTCAAGGTATCACGAAACCCTCTAAATCTAGCAGAATCAATGACTATAAAAGCCAAGGTTCTTTTAGGATATGTGTGTACTAACAGTTACATTCCTTTCAACTTTTCTTTTTCATTTTTCACAAAAGCTCAACATGCGTCTCAGTCCCCACGTCCCTTTACTGCTCGGGATTTTGTCTCTTGGAACTGCGACATATACCGCGAGCCATCAGGCCAATGAAACTATTTTAGAGAAGCAACTCGATGTTTTTGAATGTCGGTGCGGCGCTTCGGAGTTTCTAACTCTACCCCATGCCAATATCACCACCTCGGAAGAGGCGTTGAAGTGCTCTGAGTACAGTTAGTACTACCCTATGCGCCTGCATCGATTCCTTTCCTCTCAATTTTTTTTTCTTTTGGATATGACGTTGTCCTAAAACATAAAACACATGATAGAATTGATCGATGCACGCGGCACCGCAGAGCCGCAGGGTATCTCAACCATGTTCCACATCATGATTAGCAACATCCTTGCAAATACAACCGGTGGAGTCAGCCTGCCTGTTCAATACCCAGCAGGTCCAGATCAAAACACGACAAATGGTGAGAATTTTGTGTCGAAAGTCATCCATGAAGGACTTCATCGTTGCCCTGGTCAAAAGTATGCTCTTTTCGGCTACTCTCAAGGAGCTACCCTCATGCTCAAGGTACTCAATCGTCTTGATAGGGACGCTATCAAGATGGTGAAATCCGTGATTCTTGTCGGAAATCCTTATCGTCTCCCTGGAAAAATGTCAAATGTGAATGAAAAAGGCCTTAAAGATCACAGCCAATCGGTTGGTATGTTCACTGCTGCCGCCAGTCGTCAGAATAGCAGCGCGAGCAACATCATTCCACAGCTTTCTGATCAGTTGGATAAAAGTGGAAAAGTACTGGACTATTGTCTCGCTGTGAGTTTTGTCAGATATCTATCTTCGACCTTTATTGAAACTAAAGCTAATATTGGGCTTTGTCCCTTGTGTAGGGTGATGGGGTGTGCTCATACAATCCCGCGTGTCCCTGTCAGCTGCCCGCTGGCCATCTCTCTTACGGACTCACTGAAACGGTACAAAGCTCAGCTTTTGAGCACGTTGTCTCTCGGCTCGGCGGTAATGCCAACTAGAGCGAACATTCGATGGACAAATTTCAATCCTCGCGAGACTCGTCATCACTAAGCGAGACATATTGCAAGGCTCTTGAGCCTGCAAGAATTTCGAAACTACAAGTACGATCCTTCCAACTTCACACACTGCCTTTACATATCACCTCATATATTACTTTCTCTTCTTCGATTCGTGATTCGATCTCTATTTCAACAAATCTACTCTTTTTCTTGACAATATAACTACTCCGGAGAACCAAAGTCTTGCATGCAATGCCACACTGCATTGGATTGCTCTAATGGTTACCAATTAGAAAACTTTTGGGAACGGGATGACCTCTGCTCTCAGAAATCCAATTTCAGAAGCTTCCCGTTCAACTCAGAAACTCAGAACATTGGTGCAACTAATCGACGTACCTATCTGTGGCGGTATTGAGGTAATTAGATTCATGAAGCCAAATATCTCACCCCTTCTCCATCAATTGGTTCTGTAGTGTAATTGGTTATCACTGCGGATTCTGATTCCGCCGATCCCGGTTCGATTCCGGGCAGGACCTCTCTTTTTGCATTTTTTAATGGGTGGTTGAAGGGAAAGGTTTTCGGGCCGGCTTCTGTTTTATTGTTATCAAAAACTTGTTGGGTAAGGAAGGTTACCACTCTGGATGGTTCAAGTTTGAGAGGTGCCGCTGTAGAACCTTTCAATTGTTGGACATCAAACCACTGCAGTAACTATAAAGAAGGACTATGGGATATTATAGCTTCAGATGAATTATCCGACTTCAGGTCATGGTTGAGAGTAGTAACTTGAACCTGAACTTGAGTGGTGGGAGTAGATGATATCTACCTAGGTAGGTAGTTAGGCATACTATATATCTGGCCCGGGCCCCGGGGTGCAGTCAATTTTCCGCTGACATGAACTTCAAGTTCAAGTTACTTCCTTCTAGTTGGAGAGATTCCAAAATTGTGCTTCGATCCGGGCCGCAGTTGAAATCCATGGTGAGATACTCATTATTCAACCTGAAGTTTCTAAATAATAGTATACTTCAAGTTCTAGTCACGGTCACGGTCTTTTGATAGAATAATCCTACATCGATGCCCTGGGTCACATGTGTGGGGGTTCCCAAGGTTTCCCCGCCCTGGTTATTGTAATACCGTAATTCAACCACTATCTTACCGTTCCACACGCATTATCGGCTTAAGTCCGACGAAAGATTGGTTATTCACATACAGGAAATCGCAAATGCCGAGCTGATTAATCCCCGCGATGTCGCAAGCATTGAGGGTTACGGAGAACCGGCAATCCGAAATCGCCTTTATCTCCCTTGCATCCCTCCTGCATCACTCCTGCATTCTTCCTGCATAGTAGATTCGCCCAAGTCGTGGACGGTACAGATTGACTCGACCAGCATGAGCACTTCCTCCCAACTACCTACTCCGGCCCACACGCTCGCCGATTCCATGTTGTCGCGGCGCTTCGGCAAAGAGACTGTGAACTATTTCTCCAGTATGATTGACCCGGCAAATAAAGACAGAAGGAAAAGAAGCACCGGAAAACAGAATAACTAATCATCCATTCCAGGCTCGCCCATCAATCGACTATCCTTCCTACGAACCGAGCACTCATTCCTTTCCTCGGCCCTCAAGCACCCCTCCACCAAATTCGTGCTACTGAACAACCTCGCCCCGCTAACCCGCTCCCCTGCCGAACTGTACACTGCCAGATACGATGAAGTGCGCCGACTCGTCGCCCCCGATTTCTTCGACCGCTCCGAGGAAGACATGATCAAGAACTTTGACTCGCGCAAGACAAACCCCAATCTAATCTTCCTCGGTCTGGACGAAAGTAACAAGGAAAATGGCATGGCATGGAAGACCTACACCGGTACACCATTCTTCGCATTAGATGTTACGCCCCGCGGCTCCGAGGCGCAACAATCCGCCGCAAAGGATGTCGTCAGTGCTTTGGAAGAGCAGGGTTTGTCTTTCTTCCAGACTAGGGTTATCTCAACCTTCACCCCGGAGGAAGGTATGTAACCCCAACAATTGCTTTTGGTGACTCCTCAAGAACGTAGAGATCAACCAAGGCTAACACTATTCTCCATATCAGCTGCCATATACGCCCAATCCCGCGCCCTAATGGACTGGAACAACAGAAACACCTTCTGCGGCACCTGCGGCAATCCCACCTTATCCGTGAACGCCGGAACAAAGCGCGCCTGTCCACCCACCGACGCAGCCATCACCACAGAAGAAGGAAACCCAACCTCGCGACCACCTTGCAGCACCCGCACAACAATCTCGAACCTCTCCTTCCCGCGCACCGACCCAACGATAATCGTAGCCGTAGTCTCTCACGACGGCAAACGCATCCTCCTCGGCCGATCGAAGCGATTCCCGCCAAAATGGTACTCCACGCTAGCGGGCTTCATTGAGCCGGCCGAGTCAATCGAGGACGCTGTTCGTCGCGAGGTGTGGGAGGAAGCAGGCGTGACGCTTTCTCGAGTCGTTATTCATTCTTCGCAGCCTTGGCCTTATCCGGCGAATTTGATGATTGGGGCTATTGCGCAGGTTAGTGAGCCTGCTCATGAGACGATTAATCTGGAGCATGATCCCGAGTTGGAAGATGCGAGGTGGTTTGATGTTGAGGAGGTTGAGGAGGCGCTCAGGATTGGGACTAGTGATTTGAGTGCTGAGGCTGGGGCGGAGTATAAGGGTGGCTTGAAGTTGCCGCCTCCTACTGCTATTGCTAATCAGTTGATTCGGTCTGCGGTTGATGCGGAGTATTTCCGTGGTGAGAAGTGTTCGCTTTAGATTAGACTAGATCTTGATGGATGGATGGGTGGGTGGGAGGGTTGGTTCGTTCCATTTGCTTCAAGTACATATCATCAATGTTGGACATAGGTGGAGATAGAATAGAGGGGAGATTTGCCGAGGCCGGAATACAGAGTATAGGGACCTAGAGGTACATATCAAAGAGAAATGTTCATTTTTCTTATGTTTATGATTCTTGTACATCACAAGGTAAGCCTGATTGAATCAGTTTACCTCACCGAGTAGCATAAACGGTCCCGTCACGCAGTTCATGAATACTATCCCTAGTGCTGGGAGAACCCACTTCGGTGTAGCGAGTACCGTCTCGAAGTTCATGGATAGTTACTCGCCGGTGACTATTCCGTGACCGACGCAGGCCACGAGAGCCCGATTCAAAGCTCCCTGTTTCACTGGGCACCGCGCTGCCAGGACTTAGCTCCCGCCCCATGCTGTCCCTCTCGATTGCCGCCTGCAGCTCACTGTCTGCTAGCATGTCTATGCCGATATCACTATACCATGTCCGCAAGTCAGATGCGCAAGCTCTTTCCTCAGCGCCGTATTCAACGGGTGGCCCATTCATCTGTGCATGAGGGCCAGTGCCATCGAATACAGCCCAGGAACTAGACTCGACGCTGACAAGCATGATGGAGTGATCGTAAGTACGAACTTTGAAATCGCGTAATAGGATCGCGTTCCCTGGGACGATTGAGGGCATGACGGACTTTCGGCGACGGAATATTTGAGCTTGGAGAGTTGTTCCGGCCATGGATGGGTCGGTGAGCTGGATGGTTATGAAGAAGTCTTTTGAGGCGGAGGCGGCTTTGGCGATTGGAGTCGTCTCGTGGACAATTGAGATTGTATCCACGAGAGAATTGTAATGATCGATGAGTGTAGCCAGGGGAGCGAAGTAGGAGAGTTTGCTGCGCAATCCAAGGCGGTGGCGGTCAGGTGCCCGAGGTGTTGTAACGAGGACCTTTGGGGGTTCGGGTGTCTGTGGCTTAATTTCTAAGCCATCCCTTTCCGTATCAGCCTCGTGGGTATCGGGTGCGACTTGTTCATCCTCTCTAAGCTGCCTAGACCGCAAAGAGCGACGTGGAGTAGACGGTGGTAATGTGATCTGGTGCTCGGAGGAATCTAGTATAGCATTGGGTGGAATGCCTGTATCGTGGGTTCCCGGCGGCGCTGACAGTGATTCCTGGGTAGGTTCTGGGGTTGGGAGCTGTTGGCTTGTTGTATTTAAGACTGATTCAAGATTTCCATCAATTGAATCCTTATTCTCCAATTCTCGCTGAAACTCCCCAGCCTGAATTTCCAAGGATGGCGGCGCGTGTTTATCATCTGTCCCATCAATGCCGTAACGGGGTTCTCCATGGTTGGGTTGAGAGAGAGCTTCAGGGTCGATGGAGAATCGCTCGGCCTCCTCCTCGGCCTCCTCTTCAATCTCTTCGACTTGCTCTTCGACTTGCTCTTCGACTTGCTTTTTGACTTGCTCCTCGACTTGCTCCTCGACTTGCTCCTCGACTTGCTCCTCGACTTGCTCCTCGGCCTCTTCATCCTCGTCCGAACTCAAATCAAGATCGATGATCTGCTGTGGTCGTTCGACCCTTTCAAAACCGTTTTCGGGTTCATTTTCCGCCTCAGCTTCCGAGTAATCCTCCATTTCTTCTGCCGCCTCTACCTCCGAGTCTTCCTCATCGACTTCCTGGTAATCATGTTCTGACTCAACAGAAGGTTCGGCTGTAGAGTGAAACACGGAGTCTTTTCTGGCCAATACGTCCACCGACGACTCGTCATTCAGATCGCTGTCATGAACTCGATCATCCTCATCAAAATTTTGGTCTTCGTCGCCTTCCAATTCTGCGCTTTCCATCTCATCATAGCCTGCCTCCTCTTCAATCCCAGACCATTCTTCTTCGTTATCCAGCCCGGCCAACGATGAGAGGGTTCGTTCTGCTGGTGATGACATGTCAGGTCTTCGTCCTTGATCCACTGGACGTGACGGCGGTGGCGGTGCATGGACTTGATCAGAAGCAAGTTCGTCATCGCTGTCACTATCTAACACTATTACTTCATGAGGGGGCTGCGGTCGAGGCGGAAGGTTGTCCGTCTCGAAATCTTCCTCTTCTTCTTCTTCTTCTTCTTCATCCTCCTCCTCGTCATAGTGCTCCCCCTCAGAGAAATCTTCGTATTCGTCTTCATAATAAGCGTCGCGTGACCCGTCATTATCATCATCGTCGTCGTCCGCATCCTCGGCAAGACTTCCATCCTCTGCATCTGATTCTGCATCTGATTGCATCTCGCTGCTTTCCCCATCGACGTCGAGCTGTGGCTCATACCGCTCCGAACGCTCGGGGGATGTTACACTGGAGATTTGATCTGGGGTTTCAAAACCGAGAAGGGTATGCACCCCTCGTTCACGCGTCAATTCAATACCGACCTCATCTCGTGAGCCAATGCCTTTGAACACTGCATCAGCCATTGGCACCGATCTGGGACCGTTGTCTTCTTTTTCATATGTGGGAGCTGCCCCAATGTCCTCTTCCACCTTCGGGTGGCGCATGGCATGGCCCTGCAGTTCTCCCGTAACAGCCGTTTCATCGAATTCCTCAATATTCCCCGCATCGACATCGAAAATGGCCCTCTCCGAGATATCGGCAAACTGTGGAGCGAGAGAGTCAAGTAACTCCACCGGGTTGGTCGATATCGATATATCGGTGTTGTTCTGCAAGTGTTGGTCTTGCTCTTGCAGACTGGTGACAGTTTGATTAATTGTGAATTCGCCTTGACTGAAAGGCAATTCATTATTCTCTGCATTCTCCATTACCATGGGAATTGCCAAGTCGTGGGGCACACCCTGGTTGGTAGCGTCAATGTTGACATCGACAGATAAGGATTGAGCGTCTTCGGCTTGCGGGACGGCGTGAATAGGAGAGAAATACCCCTGGCTGCTATTTTGATCGGAAACGATAGGAGACGGAATCGGCAATCCGGGAGATGGGATGGGTCGTAGTTGGGGTGTATCAGTAGGCAAGTGGGCGGCTGGCGTAGGAGAGGTAGAGGTATTTTCGAATACATTATTTGAAGGTGGTGCTCTTCTGCCAAATAGTCCGCCGGCAAGCTCGAGAGGAGGCTTGACAAAACCATCCGAACTTTCAATAAATGGGTCCTCATCAGTGACCATTTTCTCGGGCATTGAAACCACATGATCCGAGGGTTTCTCGCTCGGTTCAACATCGGCGACTGAGGTTGTATCTTGTTCCAAATCCATGTCGTCATCAAGAGCCTGATCCCAATCAACAGTGTCTTCACGTTCACGCGGACTTTCAGGTTCATCTAAAACCCGCCATTCCTCTCGGCGCAAGCTGTACCTCGGGCGCTTCCTCCCTTTCCCACGAACAAAACCATCTTCCTCGGTAAAAGGGTCGTAAGCAGAATCGAGTGTCTCGCCATACGAGGATCGCGATGAGCGTAAGAAAGCGGGCGATCCCCAAGCACCTGTTCCATTTGCGACGAAAGCATTGTCCGGGTCTATCGAGACCATACGCGGAGTCGAGGGTGGCAGCAATTCGGCCTCATGCGTCGCAAGGGGGGTTTCGTCTATGTGAACTTTCGACTGGCCCTTCGAGGATTCGATCTGTAATTACATCCATCAGCTTAGCGCATGGCCAATTGACAACTTGCACAACCGGCCGGACATACCTCAAGTGACACGTTATTATCGAAATGTATATCCCACGCAATAGATCTCCCAGGCGTCTGGCCCGCGGGGCCATTTTCCGCATAGTTACAGCCTTTCAGCGCAAGGCGAACAGTATCACCGATCCCAACTAGCGACCCGGCGACTTTCTCTGCGATGCGCCCATGGAAGACCGCTTTCACTTGTCCATTTAGCCGGCGTAGACGGAAGTCCGGTTCGGCGAGAAGCAAGGCAAGGGATTTGGTTGAAGACGAGTATGGCCATACTAGGGTAACGGTCGCATGTATGCATTTCTCCTCCGGTTGTTCGAGAGTCGGTGACAGCTGTGCGATCGGAACTTTCGTGCAAGGCGGCCGCGTATTCGGCGCCGGAGATTCGTCGGTCGCGTCCATCATTGCGCCCGCGTTTTGGTGACTGTGATAAACATAATCATGCCGTAGTGGTATGTGCGCGAAATGGTGATAGTACGGTTGAGGGATAGAAATAATATCAGAGGAGACGCGAGTTGACAGCTGAGGGCGAGAAAGGTTGCGAGCAGCAGGCTGAGCAAACGCCGCGGTTTTGGAGCTTTGTGTGGTATTTAAGAGGTATTAATACTGGTAAAGAACGGATATAGCGGTGTAACATAGGTACTGCAGTTACATAACTTGCGCAGGTCGATCTACTGGGTTTGACAGAACTAGAACTGACTCTTCGAGCAAAGTTAAAGAATTATATTTAGACAGATAGCTCAGCGCATTTCCTGGCCTAGATTTACAGCAGTTTTGTGAAGCTCAGTCAAGGTGTTGTCTCATTTCATGCTCCGATAAGTTCAGGCACCGGTCCACTATGGCGAATGCGCTTGGCTCCCCCTCTTCTCTCCAACAACCCCTCGTGTCTGAGCTTGAGCCTGAGTCTGAGAAATTAGCCATGGCTCTTGCGAATTCTGTGCGTCGAGTGGCGGTCATTGGAGCTGGACCTTCAGGTCTTGCGGCTGTAAAGTATGCTCACATGCTAGATCCCCGTTTTGCATGAGATGATTGATACCTCGGGTACATGGCGCTGCGCTAACATCTGTAATAGGTATCTCCTCGAGGAAAAACATTTTGAACAAATCGATGTTTTCGAACAGAGAAGCTCTGTGGGTGGTGCCTGGAACTATAGTCCCAGTTCAACCAAAGTTGGATTGACAACAACCGTTCCACATCTCAATCCTCATGAGCCGGTCGAGAAGCCAACATGGACTCAACAACCGGGACGCAACCCAGAGGCTGTGTTCGTGTCTCCACTATATGATAGACTCGAGACCAATATCCCGAAGGAACTCATGCGCTTTGCGGACAAACCATTCCCAGCTGAAGCTCAGCTTTTCCCCAAGCACAAGTCGGTCAAACAATACTTGGAGGAGTATGCCGAGGAAGTCAAGAGCCTTATTCAGTTCGAAACCCAGGTCGTCGATGTGAAGTTGAGAGATCCAAAATTGAGTACGTGGGATTTAACAACAGCGAATCTTCACACCAATATTGAAACCACTCGCACATATGACGCAATTGTGGTGGCCAGTGGACATTTCACAGTCCCATACCTCCCGGATATCCAAGGGATTGACCCTTGGGATAAAGCATACCCAGGAATTATTTCCCACTCCAAGTTTTATGACACGCCCGAGACTTTCCGGGGCAAAAAGGTGGTCGTGGTTGGAAATTCTGCCTCGGGACTTGACATCGGTGCTCAAATCAACGAAGTTAGTAAAGGCAGCATATTTGTCTCTCAGCGCTCGGAATCATACATGGCAGCTTCTGCCCCAGGGGACAAGATTATATGCCCGGAGATTGTCGAGTTTCTATCTCCAGGTACTCACAACCGAGCCATCAGATTCGCCGATGGCCGAGTGGAAGATGAAGTCGATGCCGTGGTGTTTTGTACAGGCTATTTCTACTCATACCCATTTCTTTCGTCCCTCAACCCCCCCGGTCGTTACCCATGGCTGGCGAACCAGAAACGTTTATCAGCAACTATTTTATATAGATCACCCCACATTGGCCTTCCCTGTTCTCGCACAAAGAGTGATCCCCTTCCCGATAGCCGAAAACCAGGCGGCTGTTTTTGCTCGTGTCTGGTCAGCAAGGCTGCAGCTTCCGTCGAAAGCCGATATGCATACAGCGGAGGATTTGGAGGTGAAGACCAAAGGAGATGGGAAAACATTCCACTTGCTGCCGTTTCCGATGGATGCGGATTACCTCAACTTCCTCTACAACTGGGCGGCCGAGGCAGAACAACGTCCACGACTAGATCGTGATGGGCGAGGAAAAGTTGGAACATATTGGGGTGAGCGGGAGAGGTGGATGCGAGCGCATTTCCCTGACATTAGAAGAGCTTTTGTTCAAAAAGGTGCTCAGCGAAGTGAAATTAAGACTTTGGCAGAGGTTGGATTCGACTTTGACCAATGGAAACGCGAGCAAGAGGAGCAGGAGGCGCAACTGATTTGATAGATTTGTGGATATGGATTGAATAGATATAAGGAAAAATAGAACATATAGTTTTCTTTTCCCCCAATTTCAGGCATTAAGCATCTTCATTGAAGAAGCCGAGTTAATTCCGAGCGCGCGATCGCCCATTGACTGCAGATCCAGATCACGTGAAGGGGCGTACATGATGCGCTTGGCCGCACGTCGCCGCGGCGATAATCCTCTCTTTCCTCCACCACCCACACTCGTCCATGCTTCGACTCTTTCGCCAGTGAAACGAAAGAAGAATCCACTGAAGTTTTGGATTCACTATCCAAAGGTATGATCATCCCTTGATCGAGCATCGTGCAAATGCTCCTGTCATGCCATCCCGTTGTCCTGATGCATACTCCCGATAACCATGGCCGCTCCGCTTTCCCCTATATTTTATGTTCCGTTTCAAGAGTTTAGATAATAACATAAAATAACAGGCCTCTAAATTCAGCTCCATTTATTTTCAGCTGGCTCTTCATTGACCAAGGCTTGGGATTGGTGCCTTGGTAACTTGAACAAATCCAAGCCGAGTCCACAGGAACTCTACACCTGGCAGTGACTGCGCTGTTTTCTTTCATCCAGCCGCTTGATCTATAGCTGACCGGGCCGCCCTGCTGGATCGAGCATTTGACAATTATTCAGTGGTATTCCACAAACTGGCATTTCCTGTCGATTTCTCGAGCATCCAGGCTGGGAAGCGCCTCCTGGATTCGACTGGAATACCTACTCCAGCCCAGTTAGTTCGAAAATATTTGACACCAAGCAAAGTATCCATCATACGGCCAGGGCTTAGTTCTTTCTCATCCAGTCGACGCCATGGATGACAAACAAAACAAACCTTTCGTCGACACTCCATCCTCTGTGAGCGACATTGAACCTTCAGTGTCCCAAGTACCCGAGCGAACAATACCACTCAGTGTTAGGCCCGACACGGAGTCAATCGCGCATGCTCACACCTCTATTCATCACACCCATTCCGACTCATTACTGCATGCATCTCACTACGACCTCCAGGGCCCCATGCAGACTATTCACCCTAGCGCTCTGAGCGTTGGGAACGCCGAGGAAGATCCACCCGGATCGGTCCGCCTTGGGCCATCCGAGTTTGCCATTACGCTTCCCCTGGATTCGCGTTTGAAAGATGAGTATGACAGAGTATTGGGAGGCGCGTCCGAAGAAATGCGCCAGTTTCTTGTGATGTCCAACCCGGCTTCGCAGATCTCTGATACTGATGTAAGAAATAATATTTCTCAAGGCAACTTATGCCCTGGCTAACGTCGCCCATAGCGGGAATACTTGATTACGCGGATGCATGAAGTTACTACTCGATTAAACAACGTCACTATTCACCCAGATCTCAACATATCCCATCACTTGACCTTCAATGACTCGAAGATTGAAAACGAGGCCTCTTGGGCTGAGTATTCGAGCTCAAAGTTTTATTTCCTCGGTCACTTGGTGGAGGTGGCAAGCCAAGATGATCTTCATATAATCCTAGAAGTTCGCAGCGAGATGAAGCAAAAGCTAGTCGAGCGATACTTGCTCGGCAAAGGATTCACCTACACTCGGCCCCGCGAGGAAATGGGTGGTAACGTCGAAGTTTTTCTGATGAAGGATTCGCTGAGTTTCGGAATCCATTCCCACGATGGTGTGCGAGACCTCATCAAGTCACCGTCCGCTATTATCGTTCTAGACACGGCATTTGAACCAAAGAGTCCTAACGTGCAACATCTACGGACAACATACACACGCAACAATGACCTCCTACCAGTCATCTGGCTCCTTGTATCAAACACTTGCGAGCACATTGAACGTTGTCTTCCGGATTTGTCTGAGCCTGATCGTCTACGGTGGCTTTTACAATACACAGCCCATCTCCATGATGATGTCGGCGATCTTCAAGACAATGCATTGGGCGTGTACGAAGATGTGGATGAAGTTCTCGTTTATCTGCGAGATACTTTGACTAGCTGGCCTTTACCTATCATCGACCCTTTACCGGTTATATCTCCCGAGGACCTGGAGTCTTCAACCCCATCAACCGACGACCAAGCGCCAACTGCCCAAAAGCGTTCACTGGTAGGATCTTTTATCTTCCCTTTAACTGTTTCCAGTCCTGCTTGATATTGACTTATTGCTATAGGACGAAGAAAGCGAGGATTATTCCTCAAAACGAACGCGATTCGATGAAGTGAGCCAACTGACCGAATCGACCAAACCCCCAACGCAAACTTTGGGTCGAGACCTCCAGTCCTTGGAGAAACATATCATTCAAATGCAAAGTGCGCATACCTCAGAGAAAGAGCAAATACTGTCCGACCTCTCACGGGTGTCCGAACAAGCCCAGATGCTTGAGAAGGCCCTGAGCCGTTTGCAACATCGCTACGAGAATCGAACCAATGAGCTGCATAAGGTTCGCCAGGAGCGGGATAATGGGGCCGAGGGCAAGGCCTCTCTTGAACAGCGCATCGAGAGACAAAAGGAAGACATTTCAAAGCTCAAAGAAGATCGTACGAATCTGAGGCGCGAATTGGAGGAGTCTCGCCAGGAACTCAAATCGGGTGGTGGCACCTTAGCCGAGCTCGAAACAGCGCGGGAAGAGATTCGTCGTTTAACCAAAGAAGCAGTCAATCTCGAGCGCAAGGCTGATTACGAACGCAATCAAGCTGAGTACACCCGAGAGCAGTATCAAAACGCATCTACAGCAGCAGCCCAGTCTGGAAACGAGTTACGACAACTGCAAACCGAAAACGAGAACTTGACGCGCAAAGTTAACGCAAATGCTGCACAGCTCCGTGAGCTTAATTTGAAAAACGACTCTGCGATTCATCTTGCTAGAATCAGCGAGTTGGAGTTGACTCTAGCTGCTAGGGATGAATTTCTGCACAGAAAAGAGGAGGAACTGCGAGATATTCGGAAGAATCGGCCATCCACTCGCTCGACCAGCACCCAACCTCGAAGCCCTAAGATCACAGCCAGCAGCCGTCCTACTAGCCCCGGTGTCGGTTACAATGGAAATGGTAATGGCAATGGTAATGGCTTAGCAGGTCGTGGTACAAGTGCTCTCAGATTTTCGGAGATGCAATTTTGATATTTTGAGTTGGAAGCCCAAATCTAGTTAGCGGTCGCCACCATCTTCTCATGGTTTGCATTTTAGCGTCTATTTCCCGAACAGCTTCCTAGAAGGTGCTAGCCATTTTCAACCATCCAATACTTTCTCAACTGATTTCCAGTTTTTTTTCTCCTATGTTCTTTTTCTAATCCCCCCCCCCCCCAATTCCTATGGGAGGCGCAAGTGCATGACTTGTCTACATTGCTATTCAAAGTCTTTCAAAAGTACTTTCCCACCATAAGTAACCCTGCCTACCCACTGTAACATTTCAGTCTTATCGATGACGTATACATTTGAATGAAACCCTACAATATGGTACTTTTACTTTCAACGCGTTTACAGATTTCGCAATGTGAGGTTCAAGTTCAACGATCGTGTTCTGACATTAAGTCCTAGATGGGCTAAATTACAAAATTATGTGTACATGATAGTAGAAGACAATATAGAAAAGACAAGAAAAAGAAAATAAACCAAACACATTCCCAAAGTATTATAAACGCCAGTAAACTCAGGTAAATGAAAAATATGCCTCGTGTTTAGACAGTTTTCATAGCACCAGCAATGAAAGCCGCAAGCTCCTGCGCCTTCTCGCCGCGCGTCATGGTGAAATGATTAGCTCCCTCCATGACGGTGATGCCGCCCACATTCTTCTCTCCAACAAGGGTATCCCATCCATTAGGACCGAGATTCTCGCGGTTGTTTAGCAGCCACAGCATCTCGCGAGGATCGGGACTTCCATCCTCCGCAGGAGCAGGACGGGGGTCATCGGGTTTGTTGCAAACGCCGTCCTTAGCCCACACCATGAAAGTCTTGGGGATCTTATCGGCGTGTTCTCTGTCGTTGAAGGGGAACGGAGAGGCCTTGTAAGCATCAAGGGAATTGATGAAGGCTAGGAAATGCGGTAGTAGCCAGCTTGGCGGGGGAGCCTTGCCCTCTCCGAAGAGACCGATGGTATCAAAGAACCCGTACAGACGACGAGGAAGTTTCTCAAGACCAACCGGGAACGGCGAGTCGAGGAGGAGTAGCCGCTCGACACGCTCGCCCTCGTCGAAGATGAGGTGGCGGGCTGCATCGTAGGCACAGATACCACCCGCAGACCAGCCGCCGAAGTTGTACGGGCCCTGTGGTTGGCGGCGACGAATTTCAGCAACATAGGGGTAGGTGAGCTCGTCCAGACTGAAATTCAACTTCTCGGGAGTTCGCATGTATGGGCAGTTGAGTCCATACACGCAGACATCGGGAGAGATTCCGGGAATCGTGGCGTACGAGGTGGCAGATCCGGAGCCATCAGGGAACAGGAAGAGCTTCTGGGTGGCTGTCTTGGGGTTTCCTTGTAGCAGGATGGAACTCGCAGGGGGGTGCTGGATGGCAGTCTTGGATATGACCTTGGGAGCTTCGGCCGGAATCTGCTCGGGAAGTTGGATTGGCGCAGAAGGAATGGCCTTCGGCTTCAGATCCAGAGCAGTTTCGATTTCATCGAGGGTTTGGTTCTCGATGAAGAATTCTCCTGGTAGGTCGAAATCGAGATCCTCGCGAATCTTACCCAGAACTGTCAGCGACATCAAAGAGTCGAGGCCCATCTCGGCAAGGTTGGCATCGCCCTCAAGCTCATGGGGCTCAACGCCAATCTCCTCGGCCAGAATCGCGCCTATTTGCTTCATGCTATCGTTTTGCTCGAGGGTCATTGTCTTCTCATTAGCGGGAGAGGGAAGACCACTCGAGTTGGGCGATGAGATGTCGGTGGAGGATGCCGCGGACGAGATATCATGCTCACTGCTAGAGCTATCGCTGCTGCTTTCACTGGGGCACATAGTGAACAGAAGCTGCTTGAAGTCCTTGATGGTAGGCTGGTCCACAAAGACGGAAGACTCCAGGTCAATGCTCATCTCCTCCCGGTAACGACCGGTGACAGTCAATGAGAGAAGAGAATCAACGCCGTAGTCTGCAAAGTTCAAGTCGTCTGTCATCTCACCGGTAGACATTCCAACCTCTTCAGCCAGAATTGCAAGGGCACGAGTGACAATACTCGGGCCTGCAGACTTAGGAGTAGACGCCGCGCGAGGAGCTTTCTTGGTTGGCGTTGGCTTTGCCTTCTGGACATCAATTGGTGCAGGCTTGGCCTTAGCGGCAGGCTTAGCAGCAGAAGCACCAGCGGGAGGCAAGACGGTGTCGAGAATCTTCCGGGCCAGTGCCTGGAACTTAACTCCACCGTAAACAGCAACAATATCGTCGCCCTCGAAGAGATAGACATCACCAGCCCAGATAGAGTCTTTCCATGGCTGCATACGCACGTAGGTGCGATAGGTGACACTAGGATCAAACTTCTTCAAGCAACGCATCGAGTCCCAACCGTGGTTGACAAAGACCTGGTTTTTTGAATCAGTCGCGTCGCTAGCATTCATGATGAAACCAGACAGATGGCCAATGCTGTCAATCCAGAATGGATTGCGGTGGAAGTTTCCAGGAGGAGCTTGGAACTTAACCAGAGCAGTGGCTTCGTGTTGATCACTGTCCAGAATGACTTCTTGAATCGACTTGTAGTTCTCATCGTAATCAACAAGGCTGGCAAAAAGCTTGTACACCATGCCTCGCTTCATACGGTGGGCGTCACCGGTCTCGGTGCTCTCCTTGAGATGCTCAATGCTTCTCTTGATAAGGTAACTGCTGCGTTTCCACTCCATCTCTGCGACGCTTGTGTTGAAGAACTTGACAGTACAAGTGGCATGGTCGATTATCTTCTTTCCTTCGGGAGTGACAGACCAGACCTGACAATGGGCACTCTCGTCAGCCCAATTGGCTGTGGCTGAAACACGGAAGAGCTGCTTGCCGCCCTTCGCAATCATGGGCTTGGGGACAACGACATTGCAAACATCGAAGCCTCGTTCTTTCCAGTCGGGCTTGTACTTTTCGACCAGGAACTCGCCAAGAGTCTGTGCAATATCCGCGTAGAGAGACTGCTACTTGTTAGTAATGGGTGAAGATATGGGGTGACAGGTGTTATAAACTTACCGATGGGCAAAGAGCCGCTCCGTTGACCTTGTGGCCTTGAATGACGCGGTTTAGCTCGGGGTCCGCAATATCGTTCTCAATAACCACGGTGGCAGTCTTATCATCACCGCTAGTCTCCAGGACCTTTTGGGCTGAAGTCGTCAAGTAAGTCGTAACAGGTGCAGACTCAGACTCAGTCACAGGTTTCGCAGGAGCGCCCTTCAGCAGACAGAAGTTGTTGGTGTACGGGATCCAATAATTCTTCAAATCCCACTTGTAAGCAGGCAGAGGAATCACTTCGTGAACAGAGCTGAACTCTTGGTGATACTCCTTCCAGCGGAGATCAATACCAGCCATATAGAGAGAAGAAAGACTGTTAGACAACACCTTCCAAGTATCCTCCTGGCGGCGAAGAGATGAAACTGTTGTGGTTTGAGGACCGAAGGTTGACTTGACCATTCCCGAGCAGATGGGGTGCGATCCAATCTCAACCCAGACAGTCTTATCATTCATCAGATTGGCATGACGAGTGGCCTCCAAGGCAGCAAGGAAGTTCACTGTCTCGCGACAGTGTCTGGTCAGGTAGCTAGGGGAGAGCACATCAGGGTTGGCTTCCTTGATGACATCTCCAAGCAGAGCCGACACAAATGGAATCGATGGCTCTTGGAAAACAATACCCTTGGAAATATCTGCCAGATCTTCCAGAATTGGGTCAACCTGGGCAGAATGGAACGCAAAAGGCACCTTGAGCTTCGTGGCCTTGAATCCCTCGTTGGCAAGCTTGTCTGCAAGCTGGTCGATTTTGCCATTAGGTCCGCTGATGACAGTCTCGCTGGGCGCATTAATGCAAGCAATCTCGGCAGAATCGTCCTCAAGATATTGTTTTACTTGTGCGAACGAGGACTTCACGGCAAGCATTGCATGGGTTCCCATCTGGCATTTCTTAGTGAGTAGCTGAGCACGACGACCAGCCAAGAAAATTGTATCACTGGTGGTCAACACGCCAGCGGCATTCAATGCTGCATATTCTCCAAGGCTGTGGCCGATGACGAACGTCGGGTTGACTCCGAGGGAAATCCAGTACCTTGTGAGTGCCATCTGTATACAGGTGGTACCCAGCTGAGTAACGACAGGACCGAGTTCCTCAACAGGAACACTGCCATCAACAAGAGGGACAATTGAAGGAAGGCCCTGGCTCTTGGCGATGCGATCAAGGTGCTCGATGTGAGCCCGGAATTCGGAGTTGTTCTCGAACAGCTGGCTGCCCATGCCTGTGTACTGAGCTCCCTGGCCAGTAAAGATGAATCCAACTCCAGGCGCGGTCGCAGGCACGGGAGTGACACTCTCACGCCCGACGCTTGTGTTGAGGCCGTTCTTGATCTCATCCAGAGTAGAACCGACAGCAAAGGCTCGGAAAGGGTGATGGATGCGTCGCGCCGTAGTAGTGTAAGACAGGCTGGCGAGGAGATCAACTTCATTTACATTGAAAGAGTTCTTGTTAGTTTCAATGTATTGAGCCATGGCCGCAACGTTGTTCTTCAGGGCGGATTGGGAACGCGCGGAAACGAGCACGGAGTGAATGCCGCGCGGGTCTTTACCCTCGCGCTCCCGGATGGGGGCATCCTCAACCAACAACGCAGTGTTTCCACCTGCCGCTGAGAAGTTGTTGACGAATGTCTTTCGAGATCCACCAACTGGCCGATTCCAAGGGGTCGGTTCCAAAGCAATGTGGACGTTTCGTTGAGCCAGGTCCGTTGGGAAGTTGTGGTTGATCTTGGTCTTAATGCCGCAATGAGGAGGGATCATGTTCTTTCTCATCATCATAAGCACTTTGAGCAATGCACAGACACCAGAAGCAGATTCACCGTGGCCAATGTTTGCCTTGGCAGAGCCAAGGTGGAGTGATTGAGCTGGTCCACGGCGATAATCGGGCGCGAAGACATCCAAAACTGACTGCATTTCGACAGCATCACCTGCTTGGGTTCCAGTGCCGTGCATCTCGATATAGCTAACATCCTTAGGCTCAATGTTGGCCTCGTTGAGGAGTTTGTCAAAGATGAAAGACTGTGCGCCGACATGAGGGCGGGTAATAGACACGGCCTCGGCTGAGTGGTTTGTATAGGCGCCGGAGATGATACCATAGATGGGATCATTGTCTGCATAAGCATCTTCGAGACGCTTCAGAACAACTGAGCCAATGCCATCGGCACGACAGTAGCCATCGGCACCATCGTCGAAAGTATTGCAGTTTCCAGTTCTTGACAAGAAGTGGCCACGGTCCAAGCCAGCATGATTGTCCGGGTTTGTCAGAACATTGACTCCACCTGCAACGGCAGAGTCGCAGTCATTTCTCCAAATAGAATTGCATGCAACGTGAATAGCTGCGAGACTCGAAGAACAGGCTGTATCGACACTGACACTTGGGCCGCTGAACTTGAAATAATAGTTGATGCGTCCAGGTGTGAATGCACGGTTGCCACCAGGAATGAAATAAGTATCAATATCCTGGCCACTGTTGATCTCACGATAGTCATCACTAGTCATTCCGTAGAACACACCAACTCTGTTTTTCTGCGTAGATGGTGTGCTATCAGGGATGAAGCCTGCCATCTCAAATGCTTCGTATGCAGTGAGAAGGGCAAGTCGCTGGGCAGGATCAGCCTGCAGTGCCTCGCGAGGAGACATGTTGAAGAAACGAGGGTCGAAATGACCAGGCTCATTGATCCAGCATCCGTATTGAACCTGGCTGGTGTTTCGAGTCTTTCCTTCCATGTCGACGTGAGCCTTCACATCCCAACGCGAGGCAGGCACTTCACGGTGAACATCCAATCCTTTGTAGAGGAGATCCCAAAAAGCTTCGGTATCCTGTGCCTCTGGAAAGCGACCAGAGAGACCGATAATGGCAATCTTTGACTGCTCTGTACGACCGCTGCGATTGTCTCCAGTCGAATCATTCTGCACATTGCCGATTTCAGTGTCAATCTCAAGATCCGAGATTCCACTCTTTTTTCAAAGCAGTGTATAAGCTTTGGGTTGCGGTGCTGGAGATCGGAAGGAGAGTGCATTTGGCAGGAGTTATCTTCAGTGCCGAAGAACAGGCATCGATGATCTTGTCCCAGCATAGTTGACGTAGCAAAATCTCTCTAAGAGCAATCTTCAAGACCTCCTCGAGATTTTCTGCCTCAATTTTCTTGCCAGTCTCACTAGAGAAAATTGGAATTTGCGGCACATAGCTTTCAAACTTCTCTCTGGGCCATGATTCCAGGATACGGTTGACATCCCTCGAATCATAAAGGTGAGCTGCGTGATAGGGGCCATGAATCGGTACCCGAACAGGCTTTTGGTCCTTAGAGAGACAAGTGTCGACGAAAACCTGCAAAGTGCTTGGTGGACCACTAATTGTCAATCCATTGGGGCTGACAGCACTGATATAGGGCTGGGAAACCCGGGGAAGAGCCTTCGGATTGTTAGTATCAGATCGTTCTCATCAACGTGCTGGAGTCAACTCACCTTGGCTTGGCCAAATACTTCAATCAACTTTTGGCCTTCTTGCTCTCGGATTCCAGAGACCAGCACCGACCAACTTGGCGATGGGGATTTGGCTGCTTCGACAAGTCCTCGTACCTTGGTCACGCACATTCCCAATCGGAGGGCCAGAACGACAGTTTCAATACCGGCAGTAATCAGTTCTCCAACGGTGCTAGAGGAACTGACAGCCGCCGCGGCAAGTTGTCCAGTGCAGAGACCAACGATGAAGCTCTCAGATCCTGATGGATAGGCATGGCCAAGGTCTCCGTAGTAGCTATTGAAGTTAGTCTAAATTTCATTGAATCATGAGCTTCAGATAATCTTACTGGATGAAGCATCCCAACTGGTAAATGGTCGTCAAAGCGCTCTCTAAAGCAGCGCTTGGTCCAGACTCACGATACCTGGCCAAGAGATCGACGACACTTGTAAACCGAGGGAACATCTGCCGCTGCGATGGCGGCAGTTGACTGATCTCTTTCCGCAATGCATAATAGCACTTTTGAAAAAATGAACTCAACAGCGAGTCATTCTTGGCTTGCAACAACCGGCGAAGGCCCGAGTCGAAATTAGCAGTCTGATCTCCAAAGAGATACACGCGACTGGGACCCGCCATCTTCAAACCCGATGCTAGCCAGGGGTGTAAAACTTCACAAAGAATGAGTATCAAAAAAAAGTTTCAGAGCCCGCGCGAATGGATGGGCCTCATACTTTATACATGATCGTCTGGTTATGTTTTCCCAGGAGCTTGGTTCGATCAGAATGAATCTAGACGGCCTATGGGTCCTCTCCAGTGGCACATGGAATCAAAGTACTGAAAATTTTCAATAACTTGCTTGTACTCGAGAATGAGGGTAACGTGGAACAGATGCTCTTCAGAGGTGGAGCTTCTCTACGGCCTGGTGGGTTAGCTTCGGCTCGGGTAGTACTCCGTTCAAGCGGGATTTGACTCTGCCATGTCTGCTAGAACTTGACCAATGGAACGGTTACCATGGTCAAGGGTATGTCAGATGGGAAGCTGCGATGTTTTTCCTGTTAAACTGGGCCCGAACGGCGGAAATATGAGCCGAGGCATCTCATTTCCTTGGAATCGTGTCGAAACCTTGATCTATCTCTTCAGGTCGACAGAGGTACGAGTGCTCCCGCTGTCAAACTGCTGTTTGCGGATATAGCTACCACCGGCCCAAGGAAGGATGATTGGAAAGGGGAATCCGGGATACAGTACCCATAGTGTATGAGCTAATTAAAATGGGTATGGGTACCTTAGACAGGAGTCAGTTACAACTTCTCGTCGGCGTCGCTGGTTTCAGAAGGTTGCACCCGCAGGCTTCCTTGTATGTCACGTGATCGACAAGCCCTTCACTTGTACCTACAACTTTTCCCCTGTGTACCTCGCAGAAAATGAAATTACTGGATAGAAGCCAGGATAATAAATAATTTCACTTTAATTGAATTAATAACTCTTCTACACTTGGGAGAAAATCACAATTTTTATTTTCAGGCGTTCAAGTTCATCAAGGATAGTCTACGGATAAAAATATACATATGGCTAATACAGGGTCTAGACTGGAATGAATGCAACGATGAACTGATGTAGTATATCAGATGTAGATCTTCTAAACCATAAGCTATGGAGATAGCTCTATTATAATATTGAATACGTCATCATTTAAAATTTTATCGTGGCTTGAGACTTGAGTGGTTGGGCGAAGCCCGGATTTCATCTAATTTAGATTCGGCACGTTTTCTTTTCCACCAAAAAGAGCAAAAACAATGCAGATATTTTCTGAATACTTAGAACATGGGAAAATACAGAGAGAGAAAGTTGTAAGAAGGGATATAAGCGGGGACAAGAGGCTTATTCCAAGGAAATCGCCGATTTAAAGCGAAATCCAGGTGCTTAGGAGCGCTAGCTCTTTGGGTTGTAGAAGCTAAAGTGATCTTTAGACTGAAAGTCAAAGTTCTAGCGCTAGGTGCGATAAAGAACAGGAATCAAGCACGTCAAGGAATCTTCCGTTAGACGCTACAGCGGATCGACATCGATCGACGTGGGTGGGGGTTGGGTGGGTCCGGGGCTGCGGACCGAGATTTCAACTAAAATAGTAGATGCTACGAAATGTAACCAGAGAGATACCACACGCGGACTAAAATACTGACGATAATTTATTTATGATATTGTTCTAGTGCAGATTTGGCAATGTAGCTGGGCTTGAGGAGAAAAAAATATTAGTATAGGTATTATGTTTTTGAATGGTTTTGTCAGAAGTTTGAGATCTTGTCATATCTCAAATGATTTAGATGTCGCGATCAGACTCTTCAACTCGCTCAGAAATCTTTTGACCAATAAGCTTCATGAGTCCGTGGCGAACCTGGTGCCACTCGCCATAGTCCTCAATCTCGGATGTGGCTTCCGGTGGTGTGGGAGGGGTGGCTTGAGCCGGAGATGGCAGGGGGCTTTTAGTTGACTGAGGGTTCTGAGGAGGAGGTTTGGGAGAGGTTGTAAACGACTGCTGAGGCGTCTGCGGGGCACTTGGGGTCGCGAGGGGAGTTGAAGCTGCTGTTCCACTGCCCGGTGTGGGTGTCTGGGCGTGGCTCGACCAGAACGAACTCATACTCGCACTCTCTTCTTGATCCCCTGCCTGGTCTTGACCAGAGGCCTGGCCCTGACCGGAAGTCTGGTCTTGACCGGAAGCCTGACCTTGACCCCCGCCTTGACTTTGACTGGCACCCTGACCAGAACCTTGGCCAGCATCTGGACTTTGATCTTCGCCGGCTGGAACCCGTGGCCACGCATCAACACCATCGAGCAACGCGACCGCCATGCCATTGGACATGTGCGTCTCAATGTGACAGTGAAAGAGGAAAGGACCAGGGTTCACAACCTGGTATCGGATGATCATCCAAGTCGGACCGTTGGCACCCTGAGTGACAAAAGTATCCCTCATTTGAGGATTATCCAGCTGGAAGAATTCGGGGTGTTGAGCGATCGCCTCGTCAGTGGTTGCCCAGTTGAAGGTACCAGGACCAACGCCGAGAATGAAAGCTTTGTTGGAGTGCTTATGCATGACATGCGGCGCTTGAGTGGCTGGCGTATTTGGCATGTTACCTAGCTGAAGAAGTAAATCCACCCAGGTGCCATTCTTAGTCTGGATGGTGACTTGGCTGGCAAGGTTTTTCTTGGCATTCAGATCATAGAGAATAGGGTCATCCCAATTAGCCATCATGTCGTAGAGAGGACCTCCAGAGGCGGTCCAAGTGTAAGATGAGCCCCAACGACCAAGGGTTAAGTTGACCAGTTGATCAGCGTGGCGAGGGACCGACACAGGAGGATACGGTTGAATAGCTCTGTTATTCAGAGGCACAACCGAGGCAGATGTGTTTCTGCCACCATAGTCCACATAGGGAGCGGAGGGGCTGGTATTATCGGAGCCTTTGTATCGCATAGTGGCAAAACCGGAGATGACTTGGTCACCCTGTGTGTCGGGAATGCGGATGGTGTAGTCTTTTGGGGGCTTGTCCAGCTTGATCATTGCAGCGTAGCGCTCTCCACTGAAAATAGAAAACGTCTCTGCAAGTTGCGGCTCAATGTATGCGCCATCAACCTCATAGATGTACATTGGGTGCTCATCGATGGAGAACATCAATGCCTTCAGTGCAGCCGCACTAATAAGCTTGAGACTAACCCATCCAGCTTGAGGATCAACTTCAATGATTTCATGGAGGCCAACAGTAGGGGTACAGGCAGAGTTCAAACCCCCCTGGAATTAACTCTGGGTGAGTAGGAAAGTTGCCTTGAGTTTCATATATGGGAGGGAGGCAGCTGTGATTGGAAGGCACTAATTAGCAAATGAATCGGCGACAGTATTTTAGTCCGTGAAACTTACCCTTTATCTGTCAAAGGCTGGTTGTTGATTGCAGTGCTTAGGTACGGTAGCTCAACGCTGGAAATATTTGCAGTGCCAGGACAATACACAGACCCGCGACCGTTGACAAGGATACTGTCAGAGCATCTGGGAATCGTTAGTTGTGGATGAATCTAGACACTGATATGATGCGCTAAACTCACATTATGTTGACACTAGTATCTTCTTGAGCCTTCTGATACTCAGCTGCGGTAAGGTGATCCCAATCAGACAGCATAACAAGTTGTGGGTTCTTCTCTGCGGCTTTCATTGCATTGATATCGGCAGGGTTGCTTGAGATAAAATGGAAAGGATCGGGTGTTCCGGCAGCCGGACTAAAAAAATAAAATTAGCTTGACATTCGATAGGCGCACTGTTTGCATAATGGAGCTTCTGACCTGATCCAGATGGGTCCGTATAGCCCGTCCATGAGCTCGGCCTGAGCGTGAGCATGATACCAGTAGGTTCCATATTGAGTTGCCTTCCACCTATATGTCCAGCTATGACCCGGCTGAATTGGCTTCTGGGTAAGTCCAAGGACACCATCAGACCACGGTGTACCTCGCTGCTCAATTCCATGGAAGTGAAGTGAGGTATTGTAAGGAAGATTGTTGTGAACAACCACTTCAACATCGTCACCTTGTTCTAATCGTAGCTCTGGACCAGGGAATTGGTCATTCATAAACACCATCTCTCGAACATTGCCATCTGGGGCACCCTTTTGCCAAGTCAAGTCAAGATCAAAGTGGACTTGCTTGGCCAACGCCAGAGGGGCCAGGCCAGTGCTGGCTAGAGCCAACAAAGTCCTCATTGGTGCCATGGCAAAGAAACAGTCTGCAATTGCAGGTAGTATCAATGCCCACTGAGTGAGTGAACAGAGAGCTGGATACTTTGAGGAGGTAGGCGACAAGGCTGAGTTTGATCAGCTAGCGTTTAGCCGTTGAATTATTAGTACCACTTGGTAACTGGGGCACCCAGAAAGTTTTCGAAGTTGTGGGGATTATGATGATCGCTTTGAGGCATGTTGGAGAAAGAACGGAGGATATTTATCCGCCACGACATTAATTCCTGAGCCCCTAGAATCGAGTTTGCATTTTTTGGAAAAATTGACAGAAAACCGACTCCGGCCTGTACTGTTTGGTTAAATTGCAAAGCAGAGAGATAAGAGCCGATAATGGTCCCCTGCCCCAGGGTGGAATGTAGAGGTGGCCGATTGAGAATTGCCAGAAGAAACTAGCCCAAAGGCCAACTTGGAGATCCTCCGGGAGATCCAGAGAAGCTGTCCCTGACTAGGCTTTTCTGAGCGATACCCGCCGATCAACTCCATGGCATGGCTTTTTCTTTGCAAGGCCACAGGCTGCCCTATCCGATCGTGTATTGTTCGGAAGTGGCTGGGGATTCCTCGGCCACCGTCCTGGAATGTTCGCCATGCCTGATCCGGCATTGTAGGGCCGTGCAGCAAAACAAATCCCGGCTTGGGAAAGGATCTGCTATACGTGCAAGCATTTCATGGGCCGTGAGGTCTGGACTGGAAAAAATTCAATCAAATTGGCGCAACACACATAGTCAAGCGTGGCAGCGGTCATGAAAGCGGCTTGGAAAGCGATTGAGTTAGCTGTGCTAGGAGAAAAGTAGCTTCTAGAAGCGGAGGATTTTGAAAGAGAAGTTGGCGAGAGAGGCAGTATGGCCTGCCGCGCTATGTTCGACCAAGGTAGGACTGAAAAGTGTCGTTAGCAGATCCTTTCTGGATAGCCCTATGCAGGTGTTTTGTTAGTTTTAAGGTTCACAATGAGTGGTGATGTTCCAGTGAGATCGACAAGCAGAATGTTACCAATGAATTCTGGGTGGATGTGGTCGGTTTTTTGCATCAAAATCATAACAATCATTGGGCACCAATACTATGATGTTTGATACTAGCGGGGTGAACTAGTGGAAGCGGGCTGGGGGGGCTTGGTTTGCGACGAACGTGAACCATGGATCCGACGTTGAGCCGCGCAGGGGGGATTGGGAGGCATTGGGTTTGGGCTTCCACATTGCTCTTACAGAATAGTGTCAAAGTAGTGAGAGGCGTGATAATTCATTCCAGCGACCTACAGTTCTCAAATAATATAGAATTGTTCGAGTCACTGCTCAAAATCAGTCTATTATAATATATTGGTCCTATGTATACTGGTAAGCTGCCCCGGTTGCGCTGGAAACTTAAGCTTATCGCGATAAGAAGCCCTCCACCGCTAGACCCGATCGGGCCACCACGTAAACAAGAAGACCCTCGGGCCTCACCGAACCTCTGGAGTTCCCTTCTTCCTCCCCTCCTCCCCAGTCGCATTCGCCCTCTTCGTCTTTTTCGGCTCGGTTGGTGGGTCGGAGCCTCGTCTTTCTTTCTTCTGTGCGCTACACCGTCAATCATGGTTGCCTGAGTCGAACTTCCTTCAGCGGCCGTGCGTTACCTTACCCCATCTGACTCCCACTCTCCAGCTCCAGCTACACCTGCGACAGCCTTACCCCAACCTGCCAACAATTGACCGGCCTGCCACGAACAATTCCCTCGCGGAGCCCTATCCTGACCGCCAATTCTCTGTAATCGACTTGCGCCGTCCATTATTCCCTGTTAAGTCAGCATCGAACCTATCGGGATGGCATCCAACAGCGGTCAGTTGCCGCCGCGGTTTCCGTGTTGGTGTCGAGCAGTATACTCATGGGGAGGAGAGACAACAAAAGATCTGGGGTTTGTGGAAGGCGATCTGATCGAATGTCTGAACGCCGGGGATGGGCAATGGTGGATGGGTCGACTACGTCGTGACAGACGAGCTGTTGGGCTGTTCCCCTCCAACTTTGTCGAGCTCATGAGTGAAGATTTTGTGCCTATCAGTCGAGATACCAGTCCCATGGTGCTCTCCGGATCTTCTCCCATCAACAATCCCACATCGGCCCCGAAGAAGACGAAAACCGTGTTTCGCAAGCCCTTTCAGGCTCATAGGGAAGCATTATCGCCAGCCTCGAACTTGGCGCGAAGTGGATCGAACACACCCGTTAAGAGCTCAATTCCTCAGACACCACCTCGAGATGGAAGTACCCCTCGGAGTGTCAAGCCTTTGCGCACACATGCATCTGCCGTCAAGAATCAAGGTTCAGTGTCCCGGCCGTCCTCTGTATCTTCGCGACCCTCATCTCGTGGGGTCTCTCCCATTGTCTCCCCCCGTGCATCAGTAGAGCCAGAGAGGTCGCCTTCCGCTCTGATAGCCCGTGGAAGTATATCGTCGTCACGGCCATCATCGCGGCCCGTTTCTCGAGAAGTTTCCCCAATGGTATTGCAAGAACCAGAGCCCGAGCCTGAGCCCGAACGTGAAGACTCCCCCCCCGCCGCCGCCCCCTCCTCCGCATCGAATCGCACTGCAGCGTGGCCCGTCGCACTCTCCTCAGCCAAATCACTCTCCTCAGCCAGCTGTATATTACCAACAGCCCCATTCTCCACAGCCATATATGAATTATCAACCACCTCATTCTCCACAACCACCTGTGCACTATCAGCCGCCCCGCTCCCCGCAACCGCCTGCACATTATCATGCACCCCGATCTCCACAACCACCTATGCATCAACCACACCGACGAATGCATTCCCCACAACCTCCTCCGTCCAGACCTCGGCAGCCCTCTCGCTCGCCCACGCCTTTGAACATGAACGATCGATATGTGATATTTGCACGTACACCCTCCCCCGGGGCACGCTCAACGCACTCGGCCCATTCTGCTGTTTCGGCACAATCAGATGCAAATGGAAATACGCCCTCTCCGTTGAGAGATGCCATGGAGGATGTAATGACTTCCCTGCAAGATATGGGACTGCCTCGCCAAGCTCCTTCGCCTTCCCCACGCCAGGCACCCTCGCCATCACCACCGCCGGCTTTTAACAACCCTTGGTCAGGAGATCCTTATAATGAAATGAATGATCGAACGCCCCCAGCAACCAGACGCCGACCACTAACTTCCCTTGGATTTGATGGAGAGCCTGTACAAAGTGTGCCAGTACATCGCAATAGTGTATATTCTCACGATCATTACATGGATGGGCCTCCGCAACTCAACAATTACGTTCAACGAATGGAAAGCCGCTTGCGCCAGTTGGAAGACCAGAACCGGTCGCCTGAAGATGAAGATGGCCATACTGTGGATGATGATGTGCCTCCTCCGCCTCCCCCCAAGCACGCGACTTATCATCCACGCAACAACTCAATCCCGGCGCAATATCCCCACCTGCGTGGCCGCTGTTCTGGACAAGATATGAGGAGCGATGCCCTCAATCGTACTTTCACTACTAAGTCTAGTGCTACAAGCTCCAGTGGTATTCAAAGTATTGGAACCAATGTGACTACCAGCACAGACAAAACAAGCCAAAGTCTGATGAGTGGTGCATCTGCCGGGGGCTTTAGTGCGACCAGTGCCGGTAGCTACGCACGACGAAATGGTGGATATGACCGACCGAACACTGCCATGGACAGCTTTCGCTCTCGAGGATTTAGTGATGCTGGCAACCCAGAAAGGCCAGAAACCCCCATGACCGGTGTGTCTTATCATTCGAGTCACAACACGTCCCGCCAAGGAGCATCCTCTGCTATTCCGTGGTCCTCCGTTGATCATGATACAGGGGATTCCGGCGGTGTATTCGGTGGCCTTTCAACCCCAAAAACCAAAAAACAGGGGTTCTTCAAAAAGATTTTCGAATCTGCCAAGACGGGTGCCGCGAGTGCAAGAAGTAGCATCTCAGTTGGTCATGGCGGGGGGACCCCATCCCCAACCAAAGGCAACAGGGCGGCAGATGTAGTGTCGCCCCTCACCCCTCATTCTACTCGTGAGACCGCTCGTGATATGGGGCCTGGGGCTAGTCCTATCGATTGGGTTCAGGTTCGACGTGATGTCAACCGAGCATCATCCCCCAGTCGAAATGAGAGAGTTGAACGCGCAGAGCGATGCCAAATGATGGATCATCCGGTGATCTATTCAGTCGAGGAGTTGCAAGATACGGCCGAGGGCGACGAGAACATTGATGGCTTACCTGTCCACGAACCGACGAATTTCCATGCGGCTAACATGAATCTTGTCGACAAAAGTGCTCGTTTTATCAGCAGTCTTCCCCCTATGACAAACTCCATGAGCCTTGCGCAGGGTTATATCTGTCGTCCCTATAAAAGCGATGTTCAACGACTTCGCGCTATATTTACTTGGGTAAGCGAGAAGATTGCCTGGGAAGAGCCTTTGGATGGCCTGGAGGTTGATATCAAACGGGTCTTGCAAGCCAAACGAGGAACCCCTGAAGAAATCGCGCTGTTGGTACACGAAATGTGTGGTGCTGTTGGTCTGCATTCTGAAATAATTCACGGCTATCTCAAGAACCCAGGTGACGTGCTCGACTTGGAAAGTCTATCTCGTCCAAATCACTGGTGGAACGCGGTCCTGGTCGATGAGGAGTGGCGTATGATGGACTGTGCGCTAGCAAACCCAACGAACCCCCAAAGGAGCCGCTTCGTCACCACCAACTCTTCCATTGCGGAAAGCTGGTATTTCTTGGCCCGGCCGCTGCAATTCTGTTATACCCACGTCCCACTCTACCCCGAAGAGCAGCACATTGTTCCTCCGGTTTCGCCTGATGTTTTGCTAGCACTTCCTGCTGTCTGTCCGCAATATTTCAAGCTGGGGACCCAATTCCCGGACTATGATACAAGCTTGATGCGAATTGAAGGACTGGAGTGCATGCATATATGCCTGATTGTCCCCCCCTGATGTCGAATGCGCAGCTGAAGTTGAGGCACCTGCTTTCGCTTGCGATGCCGATGGTGACTTCTTTGAAAGTGGAGACATTTTGCGCAAGCGAGCACTTGTCCAGCCTGACTGGTTTGGTGGACAAAAGCGAATTACCGTCAAGGCCGTTCTCCCCGGTGACGAGGGCCAAGGTGTCTTGAAGCTATATGCCGGCAAGAAGGGCCTTATGCACTCGAGCAAAGATATTCCCCATCCCTTGGCATTGGCCATTCCGATCATGCACACAGGAGAAAACCCACCATATGACTTCGTCCTCCGCCATCCCACGCCCCATGCGCAGCGCCATGATCTTTACATCATGCAGCCGCAGTGCTCACGTCTCGCTGTGAATAACACCTTTGTCTTCGCTGTCCGCCAACACTCGGCCTCGCCGTCGACGCCACCAAAGGAAGATTATTATGCCCAAGGCCGTGCTTCCCCGTCGTTGTTCAACCGTCCCTCTAGTGCCCTCAGCATGGTATCTAGCACGGCCCCGTCCACCATTTCGAGTAACTCCAACGAGTTCTCCGCCTCCACATCGGCCATCTCATCTTCAAGATCTGCTTCTGGGCGTGAAAAACCAGCGAAGTTGGCCATCCAGTCCCCATCCGGCAAGATTCTTCGTCTCACCCGGAAGGCCGACCACATGATCAGTACTGAAAATACCGGCAACTCGGTTACCGACGCTGTGGCCGAAGGCAGTGTTTGGGAGACAGTAATTAAGATTGGCGAGCGCGGTACCTGGCGTGGCCTGGTCCTTGCTGACCGGGTTGCTCGTTGGTGCGTGTTCTGCGAGTGGGAATGCGTTTGATATCATAGCTTGGAGATGAAATTCAAGCATCAACTATGATATAACAAGTGGAGCGGTTGTTTGATCTTTTTTTTTCCTTTTGAAAGTTTTGCATCTTCTGCGTTATATTCTTAGGCGATCATTTGCGTTTCCTATCTCTTTTCCTTTTCTCCTTCCATACTGGCATTCGCATCAGGTCGGCTTGGAGCGTTGCATATATTGCATTTCCATTTTGTGTTCTATTTGCAAACATATTTGCCTCGCCTGTTGGTGTTTGGTGTTCGGATTAATCGGAAATTTCATGAAAAAATCAAACTACATTACACTGAAAACATATCGAATTTCCTCAATGTCTCAGAGTGCCTATCGTCCGTATTCGTAATCTCTTACAATCTCATATTCTATATTCGTATTTTCGTAAAAGCTCATTTTTCAAAGCTTTGCCACTGTCGAACGAAGCATAGGAGCCACCTGTTTCCTGCTGGCGGTGGAATTTGTCTGTAGCCAGAGTCGACTCCAGAGATCAGCCTCTCCGTCTAGACTGGATGTAATCTCCTCGTCATGGAGCTCGGTTATCTCCTCATTCACTGATTTCCAATTTTCAAGGCCTAGTTCCGATGAGGCCTGTTCAATAAAAGCATTGATGCTATCAATGGCGATGCTTTCATGTCCGGCGGCGCCAATGAACAGTTCACGGGAAAATTGGTCATTTGCGGATGTAAAAGAGGACATCACAACCACAATATCGAGTTGCTTGTTATCTGCAGTGGCAAATTTCTTTGTTCTTTCCAAGAATTCTTGAGAGCCGCCGGCTTTTTGGATAAGCCAGGAGATTGGTTTCACCGAAGAGCAAAAGCCCAGTTTGAGACTCGTCTTCGATGACCGTGTTGTCTCAGTCCAATCCTTGTAATCACGGTCCAAGATCTCCTCAAATGTCAAAAGTTCAAGACTATTTTTCTTCGCGGCCAGGATCTGTTCATAGAAGCTCTCCATCTCCCAATTGCCATGGACAGAATCCACAAACGTTCGCAGGAATTCTACAGATCGAACATCGACATCCGTAACCTTGCCCTCAGCAGTCAAGTTTGAGGTATCAATAAGTATGGCAGCCAAAGAAAGCTTTGAAATCTGCACCATTTCCTCCGCAGACGAGGTCTCCAAGCATGCAGTCCAGAATCCACTCGACTTCAACTCATCCGTGATCAAGGAAGAGCATGATCCCGGACCCGGCTTAATGATCATCGGCTGGCCTTGCGGCAAGGCATCACGCGGCGGAACAAAATCTTCATCAACGTGGTGATCAATACACCCCACCGTGCGGAAAGAAACCTCTTCCAACCCCGCCACCGACCCTGTGCCCTTCTTCTCCCCACCGCGAATCGGCATAGCATTCCAATCGACCATAGTCGCGTCCGCGATAATTTTATCCACGCCCGATCGCCCGTTTATGCCTTGCGCAAAATCCGCCACCGTCACAAGGTGTTCGCGCAAGATCTTCCCAGCAGATTCGGACGCGTTTTCAAATCGCTCGTCGCTGTTCAGCGCGGGGAAATTCGTCGATAGCCATAATGCGGTGACGAATTCTGGGCGTAATCGGTAAAGCTCTGAGCCGGCGGGGACATTTGGGAGGTTAATGAGAGGGATGTGGGGTCGTGAGGTTGTGGTTGGGCAGCGGTTGTTGGCGCAGTAGGAATAGATGATGCTGGAGATTATCGAGTCGAGGTCGGCGGAGGGGTTGCCTAGTACGTAAATTGGGGGTTCGGGCAGGCTGCCTGCGAGAAATGCGAGATGTAATTGACGGGCATTGCGGAGGAATTGGAGAAGAGTCATGGCGAGGGGGAATTGGAGAAGGAGGTGAGGAGAGAAGAGGAGAAGAGCAAGTTAGGATGGTGGAGGTGCAGTTGAAGTTGAGTTGATTGCCTCGGCTGAGCTGTTCTACGTCATTGCGTCAACTGGCCAGTTTCCAACCCGATCGATAGTTACTATTAGTATACCACTCATACATTTCCAACCCTTGCTTTTATTTATCTATTATTATCCCCTTTGAATAATTTCCTTCTAAGTTGCTAACTATTCATATCGAAGTACCGGAACGTTTTGAAAGAGAACATGGAATTGGCACTAAAGGCTTGAAAGGACATCTTATACGGAGTAAATATAGTCTAGCTGCAACTAATAATCATGCGCCAATGGGCTTATGTTCACCTTGGGAGGAATTTAGTACATCTGGTTGAGCTTCATCAGTCCCCTGGGTGTTGTAAATAGAATCAGCCGGATCCTCAGACCTGTCGAGAACAGGTCCGATATAGTTCTTTTGACCCCATACTAGATACCAAATGGCTGAAACAGAAACAAATCCCACGAAAACCACTGAGGCATAATTCATGGTATCTTTTGTCACCACGGCTGATGTTGGCATTGAAAAAAGCGGGAGAGCGAGAAGGGACCAGCCTAGGGAGAAAATGATTAGAAAGATGGTACTTTGGACGGAGGGATATGCATTTTCTTACATATACAAACGATGTTGCAGAAGACCCCGAGAGGACCAAGATTGAAACGGCCTTGCATGACATCGCGGCGCTTCCGAAGAAGCAAAGATACAGTGACCGGACAAGCATAACTCAGCGTCAGAAAGATCACCCCGACACCAGAGAAGGCGTTGAATGCCGCACTCGAGCCAAAGTATATCAGTCCAAGAAGAATTTCAATCACCATTCCCAGAATCATGGCATTGAGAGGAATGCCGAGACGTTCATCGACCTTTTTCCACCATCCAGAGCCAGGAATCGCGCCGTCTCGTGCGAAGGCCCAGGTGCACCGCGATGTCGCCGTTACACAACCAATCCCACAAATCAAACCCAGAACCAGGAGTGGAATGAGAAGACAAAAGGCGCCGACCGAGTTTCCGGTGGCGGACAGCATGATAGTTGGAACCGGTTGTCCGGATGGAATGTTGGCCAGCATGGGGATATCAGGAAGGACGAATGCAATCGGTAAAAGAAAGGCAAGACCAGCGAACATGTTAAGCAATACTCCTCCGACGATTGCTCGAGGGACCTGAATTGCCGGCTGGCGGACCTCCTCACACATGCTGGGGAATTGCATTAGCTCAACGATTCGGACATTGAATCAAACACTAACGGCGAGAGGGAATACTTACGATGTCACCATTCCTGAAGCTGAAAGACCATAGGCGGCTTGAAGAAGACCAATACAGAAGGACCAGCCATCTGGCCATTGCGACTGAGGCTCGAAGGAAGTGAAAACCCATTTTGCGGACCTTCTACCGTTATGCGCGACAACGAGGATCGTGATGAGGATAGCGCTGACTCCAACGAGGGTCCAGAAGATAGCGAAGGTCTAATCAAGAAGGGCAATACAGAAGTTAGTCACAAAAGAAAGAAAGCTATTAAAAATTCCGGAGAGTGAAGCACACCTCAAGTTGGGTGAGCCACTTATTACCAAAAGCCGGGAACGCATGGCAGATAAGGGTAATAGCAACGAAGATGAGGAACGACTGGTAAGCCTGGAAGTCTTCTGCAATGCCAGCGCCGGATGAAGTTTTGAAAACATTAAGACTCTCCACGAAGAAGAGCGCGGTCGCAAAGTTGACCGCAAGTGTAATCGTGATATTACCAGCAACGTAAGACCAACCGCAAATCCAAGCTGTGACCCGGCGACACCATTTAGGGGAGAGTGCGAAAGTCTGATAGTAGACTCCACCAGCAGTAGGGTAAACAGATGTTATCTCTGCTAGAGAGCTAGCTACACACAGCATGATGAGGGAGACAAGAACCCAACCCCAAACCATGTTCGCTGAGCCACCCCCAATTATTGAGTATGACATGGTTGTCGAGAGTCCGTATGGTACTGAAGCAAGAATAAAGCACATGAATACCACCTGCCATGTTGATCGATTCCGTGATAGTTCTGCAGTGTATCCGAGCGCTTCCAAGTTTGAATCAGCAGTTGGCTTGTCTGACAATGAGCCTTTTCGTATCTTTTCTGCTGTCGACATGGTTCCTGATCGAAAAGGAAAAGTAAGCTAGCGAAGATTGTTGCTTCTGTTAAGTTTTGTTGAAAATAGGGATGGCCGGATAATGATTAACTCGCTAAGTTTTGGAGCATACGCCTCGGTATTAACTTGCCTTTGGTACACGAAATTTTCTCCGAATCTTTGCGCGAATTTTGGTAATAAAATACTGTTCTGGGGCAGCATGAACAAGAGGATTGATTAACTCCGCAGAGACCCACCTATTGTGAGGGGCGTATATGTATTGTAAAATCAAGATTTCGGTAGGATTTGTCTCACGAAATGAGTGGTTACTACTTAGGAAGCTAGGTCCGGGCCAGTTACTAACTGATTAAAATCGCTAATATTCTGATATGGCTTTGAGTTTCGTCATGCAAACATCTAACATTCATCTATTTGGGAATCCGATCTGACTAATCTGAGTGGATGGGAAGTTTTTGCCTATCAAAGTCTGGAAAAGGTCCTTTTGCTCTCTATGTCTTTATGATTTTGGTCTTCCATAGGGATTGTCAGAAGATTTCGTAATTTGGAGGAGAATCAGAAACTTCCTGGTAGCGTGGCAGATTTCCCGTGAAGATCATCTCATCAATATGAGCCTCGGCTTTATCAACAATCCTCAAAGGAAACGACGCGTTGAGTGCGGTGCGCATAGGTTTCCGATCCACCAATTTTCGACTAGACGCGTCAAATGTGTCCTCGCTTATCAAAACATCAAGCTTCAATCGATGCTCCGTGGTAAGGACTGTTCTATCTTTTCTCGGAAAGGTGAACTTTTCTTGCAGTGATTGCGGTAGAGAATCCGGTGACAAAGATTGAAATTCGGAAGTTGATGGCTCAATCCCCGGTGCAGGATTGACCACACTGGGGATATTCACTTCAAATGCAATGTCGACTGCGGAATCCTTCTGCTGGTGCGTTGGGTTGTTGGCCAGGATCGGATTGTGTAGTGTCCCCCAATACCCTTTTTGGATACCGTTTGATAACTCGCGGACGGATGATGTTTCTTCGACTGATTCGTTCTCTGGATAATTCTCGCCCCCTGGTCGGCTTTCTAGCGTTGCCACTTCCTCTATACGCCATCTGAGACCGCGTATAGCCACACATTTGAATTCCGTAGAACGCCCGGCCGGCGTGGCAGTCCAACGGAGAAATATCTTTGCAGTGATAGAGAATGTAGAGTCTGTCATTCCAGTGCCATTTTGCGAGAGAAGAATCTTGGTGATCCAGCTTGAGTTCGGATAGATTCGAGTATGTTGGATGGAGTCTTGCTCAAGCAACGTCCGGCGTCGGAGAAAAATTTCCTTGCTTGTTCCGATGAGATCATTTTTTTTCTGTTACCATCGTAGCAATAAGAAAATATGATATTCTTCCAATCCCTGTGATTGTCGTCCCTGGAATGTTGGCGAGAATTGGCATATAGAAAGGGATTTTCTGGATATTTTCGACATGGCAGCCCTCTGGTAGAGCAGGTAGCCGCAGAGACAGCTCCTCAATGATGGAGCAGGATCGAGTGATATAGGATTTGTTTGACTGGTGTTTTGACAAGAGATGGCTGTAAACGCGGCTCAAGATATCATCGCTACCATCAGCGCTATCGCTGACCCTACTCGACAATCTTTGGATAAGACAAACTCTGATGTGGCACGGCCGACTCAGAGCTGTTTTTTTCGGTCTTGAAATGATGGCGGAGGCGAGGATGGGCTGAGAAAGACTGTCTCCTTTGAAATTTGTGTAGAGATCATGGCTTGAGGGAAATTCCAATCCCAGGTGCACAGTTTCCATAGCTGTGATGGCTCTTTAGAGTCGGAAGGTGTGATATATTAGCAGGAATCAAGCTCATGGCGGATGGACGTGATTGATGATTGTTCGTATGTTGCGTATATTCCAGTCAAAAATACTCGAGATGGTCAAAGATCCATACATCATGAGGGGATATAAGGTCCACTCCTTTCGCTAGTCCGAAATTGGAAGCCAAGGTGCTTAATTAGAGTTTGAGGTGGGGCCGGCTCGGCAAGACGATATCATCAATAATACTCCGAGGAGTACTGGTCTGACACGCAGTATCTACCGAGTAGATACTTACCGAGTTCTCCTTATAGTCAAAGGGTCGAGAGAGAATTCGCCGGTTCTCGGCTGTAAATTGCGTTTTCTAGTGTAAAAATAGTCACTGTACTTGCTACATTATTCAACAGTTCAAATTGCGCGCACTAAGTGTCGTAAGCATTCTAACCTGTTCTTTCGACTAAATATTTTCCTTTTAAGTCTGTGCCCAATTTTCTCGGGCTCCATCGGCCTCATCCGCTCCTTGCCTTTGAACAGAGAATCGGAAGTACCCGAGCAATGGCACCTAAGCTTCACCTTATCCGACATGCCCAGGTATTTTCCCTCCGAGTCAGGTTCTAAATGGGGGTTAACAATACATAGGGCTACCATAACCTCGGTCCGGAGTATTGGAATCTCATCGATCCTCTGCTCACCGACGAAGGGAAAAAGCAATGTTCGGAATTAAGCCATAAATTTCCTACTAAAGCAACGATTGATTTGATTGTTACTTCACCCATGCGACGTGCTATATACACTGGCATAGAGGCATTTGGTTCGATTTTAGAAGGCAACCCGAAGAAGAACATCATCGCGCTTCCGATCCTGCAGGAAGTGAGTGATCTCCCCTGCGACACAGGGAGTGAATTGAAGGATCTGCTTGTCGAAATCGAACAAAAAGACCTCCCGGTGGACTTAGGCTTTGTGGAAGAGAATTGGTCGGGAAAAGTAGAGTCACGCGGCATTATTGAGAGAAACATGTGCTGATAGTAAGAAAAATAGTCCGGGAAATATGAACCAACCTCTGAAAGAATCCGGGATCGTGCTCGCGAAGCAAGATGCTGGTTGAAAGAACGACCGGAGTCGGAAATTGTTGTCGTCAGTCATGGTGGCTTCCTACATTTCCTGACAGACGATTGGGAAGACGGAAATAAATTTGAAGGTATCCTTCAAACTCATCATCTGCAGAAGTTCGCGATTTTCAGGCTGACCTGATATTTTAAGGAACTGGGTGGGCAAATACTGAGCTCCGAACCTATGAATTCGTGCCGCAGAAAGAAGATCCGGAAAATAACGATAATGCTTCAATCCAAGAAACTATGGAATCCCGTCAACGACGGGGTAAGTATGACTCAAGGCCGACGCCTGATTACCAAAAAGGATTATACACTGTGATGCTACAAGCTTGGGAAGAGCAAGGCTGCCCCATTGGCTAAGTTAAAATTAAAAGGGATTGTGGCAAAATCAGAAGCCAAATCATCATATCTCGTGTCTCTATGGCCTTGCACCCAGTTGGTGGCGGGGCATGTCCATATGTACTCTCCTTTGACCCCGACAGATCTTGCTTCAATGTCGCAAATATCCAATCACATTCGAATAGCTACAACGGAATTTAAATTCAATTTTCAATTTTTTTTATAGAACGATTAAGTGTAAAATGCTGAGCCAATCGTATTAGACCTCATCGGTTCCAGTCACGTGATCGGACGTCTCCAAGATTTGCGAGAACGAAGGACTCTTTTTCTCAGATCAACCCGAATACAGAGCCGAAACCCACATTTTGAGTCTCCGCACGGTCTTAGTGCACTCACATATTGCATACTCATGATTTGTCTCGCGCTGCGGTTCCAATTTCAGTAACCCCCGCATCCTAGGGCCGACTCGCATGCCCGTCCGCCGAACTACCCCTCACTGTATCAATGTCGAGGGTTCCTGGTTAAAACCTTCAGGTCTCTAGTGTCAAAGTTGTTCATATGCCCACAAACCACCCCAGCGGTGTGAGTGCTGAAAAAGGTATGTACGCAGACCCTTGAATGTTTGCACTGGTGATCGTTGCTTACCAAGCCAAGACTGCCCAAAATGCAGATCCAGACGCATAAAATGTGATAGAACTTTGCCAGAATGCAGGAAATGTACTTCTCGTGGGTTTCAATGTCCGGGTTACGGGCTGATTCTTCGATGGGATCAGGGTGTTGCTAGCCGAGGCAGACTAACCGGGCAACAACTACCTCTCCGGACATCTGGGGATCCCAGTCTTGATAGTCGGGGAGATCTACCACACGATGGATTAAATCACACGATCATTCCCACTCAAATCAGCCAATTTGATCCACACATCGACCCCGTGGCTTTGGAATTGATCTACCATTATCAGCAAAATGTTGCAGGGAAGCTTGCCTGGGTGGATGGCCCCGGGAATCCTTGGCGTCAAGTCATCATCCCTTTAGCATGGACATGTCCAACTGTCTTCCATGCTGTACTATCTTTGTCATCAGAAGATCTCGCCCTCAGATATGGAGATGATCACCAACGACGGCTTGACCTACAATGCACCTCACTTCGTTTTTGAAACCAAGCTTTGTCCATGCTTGCGAGGCATATAGGCTCCATAAGGGAGAAATCTGCTTTGGCCACTGGGAATGAATGCATATCTGAAGCACGTTCTGCTTTAGCATCAACACTCATTCTCTACAATGTTGAGCTTCTTGGCGCGGAGGGTGCGAAATGGAGAATGCATTTGAAGGGTGCTCGCGTCATAAATCAGTGGCTCGAGCAGTCTTTCTCTCAAGTTGCCTCAATCGGCGAAATTGACAAGTTCTTACTCTATGAGCACTACTATTCTAGCGTTTTCGCAGATCTCACAACATTTGACACGACGAACGAGCCACCCAAAGACAGCCTACAAAGTATGGGCGATGTTGCTGTCTTCGGCGACTTCGTTCGCGTCATTCAACTGGTGACCAAACTTGAAAGATCGAAATATGATCAAAACATTGCCATCAGTCACTGCCAATTTCAAGATATACTCCAGGCAGTAGAAATGGCAAAGGATTCTATGATCTCGTTTGGCCAGCAATTCTATTTTTGGAGTGACCGGGCTCAGCAAGACTTCCAGCATCTGGTATTCGTGTTTTACTATGCCATTCAGGTCTATACATACCGTGCCATTTCTGATGATTTATTGGCCGATCGTCATATTCAAGTCTCCAGGGATTCAATTTTAGTACATCTGGATCACCTGTCAGACAAGAGAAATTTTGCACATGATCTTGTCTGGCCTTTGTTCATCCTGGGTACGGAAAGTCGAGGGGATGAAAGGATACAGAATGTGGTCTCTATGGAAATGGACGCCGTTATGAAGATCAGTGGCGCTCTTGATCGAAAAAAGGTGTTGTCATTTTTACAACACTACTGGTCGGCTGATTTGGCAAGTGGCGTCACATGGATACAGTTCATGAGAGATTTTATACCCGAAAATAGCATGTTAATTCTATGAAAATAAATATTACAAGTAAATACATTTTGGAACACGGTCTCCCAGTCTAATTGATCACAATGCGGGCTCAGACTCGCAAGTTGAATGTCTTAGTAGTTGACGAAGGCGTAGGAGCGATACCCAAGCCGGTACAAATTTGGGGCGGACTCCAACTTTGTTACAGTGACAGTCCTACATTTAGTCTGTAGTATGGCGAAATTTGATATTTTTCAGGCGGCTCACAGACCCCTCTCACCCGACCTGCCATCTTTGGGCTAAGCTCATTATGCCCGGCCCCACTCCTCCAAGATAACCAAGGTAGACCCGCTTTACAGAACTTTGTACGGAATATGCCCAGATGAATTTTTAGCGAATACGGTTTATTTCAAGGGTCCTAATGCATTAGACGAGATTTCCCACAGTATCTCAAGTCATCGCCTAGCACTGATTGATTTTCCTCAAGTACCTTGCCAGTGTAGATTTCAATTTCGTGTCGACACTTAGCCATGGAGTCCGGAGAGGATAATCGAACGGCAACGATTCTAGGTACAATTGGAACCGTCTTCTGGTGTGTTCAGCTAGTTCCTCAGATATGGTACAACTGGAAACGCAAACGAACCGAAGGATTGCCTGTGATGATGGGATTTTTGTGGGCAGGATGTATGTCGCGATACACTTAAACTACGCAAGGGCTTTAGGCTGACGGAAATATTTGTAATAGGTGCAGTTCCAATGGGAGTTTATCTCATTCTACAGGTATAGTATTTAACAAGAAGACTTCGTATGTGGGAAAAACTGACTAGGCCAAACAGAAAGTCAATCTGTCATTACAAATCCAGCCACAAATCTTTGGATTTTTTTCGACAATCATCTGGGCGCAGATATTATATTACGATCAGTGAGTTCTTTCCCTGGAGGTGCTCATACAATTTAATTGACTCTCAAAATAGTAACTACAGTGTAATCAAAGCAACATTGGTCTGCTGTGGCATGCTCGCCCTGTTAGGGGGACTCAGAGGCCCTATTGATTCTCACATTAAGGGTAGGAGGAGCAGAGACAATTTCCCATATTTTTTTACTAAAATAAACTGCACAGATTCCCTATGAGAAAGGAATAACTTGGCCCGACCTAGTTGTTGGCGTTGTTGCAGCCATCATGCTTGGAGCCGGCTTAGTCCCGGTTTATTTCGAGCTTTGGAAACGAGATGGAAGAGTCATCGGGTTCAGTAGGTATATATCGACTCCGATTAAGTATATCAAAATACTTATGAGTTATAGATTGGGTCTTTCTATGCATAGACACTCTTGGAGGGCTATTCTCGCTGTTTGCGCTCGGTATGACATCCAATCTACAATATTTCACTCGACATGAGGCTTACTTATATCAGCGGCAGAGGGGTCATTTGACATCCTAGGTGGAATAATGTATATCATCGTGTAAGATCTATTGCCTTCAAGCTCCACCCTAAGTCCCTTTTATATCTGCAAATAGTCTGCTAACAAGCCGAAACAGTGTTGTCCTCGAGATGGGCATCTACATCAGCCACACAGTATGGCGCTACCGATTCAGAAAGCTTCGGAGGGAGGCAAAGGAGTCAGGAAAGAGCATCGATGAATTACTTACGCGTTCCAAAGCGGATACTTTATCAGAGTCAGTAGTATGATGTTGTGACTGGGTGCGAACTAAAGTTGAATCCATTGAATCGGTTCCTGGGTAGCTAACTTTATTCCAACTGCTCAAATTGAATATACTACCAAAATTTGACCCTATTAATAATGGAGCCATGTCGGGGTCTAATTGAATTCTATTGACAATGAAGCTCCTCGCTGTGAAATGCCCCTAGTGAATTCTGCGCTGGTTGCGTGATTGACGCCTTAAAAAGCAGGCACCAGTATAAATTGAAGCTGTTGCTCCAACTCAAGAGTACGCTGGACACTCTCATCTTTCAATAAAATAAAATAGAAGTGGTAAGACAGAATCCTGACCTCACTCATGTTATTCGATACATTTCAGCTTGAAGTGGAGGTCACTCTAAGTTGATGATCGACTTCATCTAAAGACGTCACCCGCACCTCCCAACTACCATCAACTCCAACCTCACCTCACCTCATCTCACCTCTGTGAACAAATCCACAAGAACATCATCATGTCCAAACCCATCGTCCTTCCAGAAATCTTCAGCCAAATCCCACGACACCAAATTCTCTACCCAAACCCATCACCAATCCACTCACTCCCAACACTCACCCCGCGGAGTCCCCCCACATCCCCAAATCTCCATCTTCGCGAAACGCGAAGACCAAAGCGCACCCCTCGCCTGCGCAGGCAACAAATACCGCAAACTCGAATACATCGTGCCAGACATCCTCTCCGCAACTCCACTACATCACAGTCATGAAAAGCACCCCAACACAAACACAACCACTCCCACTGGCCCCGCCACAATCCTAGTAACCGAAGGCGCAATTCAAAGCAACCACACCGTCCAAGTCGCCGCCTTGGCCCGCAAACTCGGCTAAAAGCCCTTGTCCTCCTCTCCCGCGGTACAGGCGGGGGTCTACGCGCCAGTCAAGATCCAGAGACATTCCTTCGAACAGGCAATGTGCAAATCAACCGACTTCTAGGCGCAGAAGTGCGCATTTTGGATGAAAATGACCCCCTCGCCTCAGACGCATTTCCTATCCTGGAAGACCTACGCGCGCAAGGTGAGCGTCCATACTGGATTCCCGGTGGGGCAAGTATCCATCCGTATGGTGGACTAGGCTACGCGCGTGCAGCATTTGAGATCGCAGAACAAGAGACCGAAATGCGACTCGGTGGAACGGGCCGATTTGATTTTATTTTCGTCGCGTGTGGGAGTGGGAGTACGGTTGGTGGACTGATTGCCGGATTCCGATTGTTGGAGGCAAGGCGCCAAGAGGCCGATCGTCGAATTCGACCGCGGAGAAGTGTTATTGGCGTGCTTAATTCGCCGACGAAGCCGCGGTCTTACCATGAAGAGCGGGTTCTGCGGTTTGCGCAGCGGGCTAGTGCGCTTATCGGACTTGATTCGCAGCGGTTTATCAGTGCTGATGATGTTAAGTTGGAAGATCGGTTTGTTGGGTCTGCGTACGGGGTTTTGGATGTCGAGACGAAAGAGGCGGCGGAACGGATGGCGACGATGGAGGCTGTTGTGCTTGATCCTGTCTACACTGCTAAAGTTGCTCGGGGGATGCTACAGTGGATTCAAGAGGAAGAGATTCGACAGTTTGCCCGGTTGCATTCTTTGGACAAGGTCAATGTACTGTTCATTCATACCGGGGGTCAGGCTGCACTAGGTGCATACGCAGATGTGAATTGAAGCAAACATGAAATGAAATATGACGTGTCATCAATACATTCAAATTTAAAACTAGGATGGGAGTCTCGTGGTGACTGGAGGTGTTATCTGGGTGCCTTAGAGGAAATTTGAGTTGAATGATGATGCCGAAGATGAAGATGTCTGTGGATATGAGAGAATCAAGTCGATTATGTGACTTGGAGATGGGTTTGTATATAGGGAGTAGGTCATTGAAGTTGATTTACTCGTGAACAAACGATAGAAAACTAGGGATTAAGTAGCCAGCTGTATCGAATTATAGTATCACCGTTGGTGGTTTTGAGAGAATTTGTTAACTACTAGTACTCATTTTTATTAAGGGTTTATCAAAGAAAGTGCTTCTCCTCTAGAAAATTGAAGAACACCGGATTCCAAGGTTGACATCAACAAATATTACGAACTGGGCCGTAGATACCCTGATCTCTGTCACATAATCCAATCACCAGGAAACACGTATACGGCGCTTGGAAGCACCTTGAGACAAGTCGGATCTTAGAAAGATATCGCTCCCCAACATCGATCGAATTTTCAATTCCAAGGTTTCACTTACACTCAGGCTCCCATTCTGTCAGAAATTGCTTGACTCAACTTGCCGGAAAATGTCAGACTCTGCCACCGAAACTAGGATTAAGAATGAATATTCTCTTTTGACGAAAAGGGAAGTCGATAACAAACATTTCGAAGTAGAACCCTTCATAGATGGCGATATAGTGAGTAAATCGACAGCCTCTATCAGGAACAAACTTGATCTCTAATGCTTAAATCTAGTACCATTGGAAAGCAGTGCTGTTTGGACCCGTACGTATTGATCCTAAACGCCCCAGTTGTTGTACTAACACCAGATACAGGTCAATGGCCCTTATGCTGGTGGGAGATTCAATCTTGATATTAGGTTCCCCCCGAACTATCCATCAAGGATGCCGCATGTGCTTTTTAAAACGCCTATATTCCATCCTAACGTTGAACCGCAAGGGGGCTTCATTAAAAAAGGCGGCATTGCCTCGTGCGACCGGTCAAGAAATTGGTCACCGGATAAGACTATAGCATTCGGTATTTATAAAGCCACTTTTTATAGTAAAAGTTTGATCAGACTGACAGATATTTCAGCTCTTATGGAAATTCACAAACTGCTGGCCGACGCAGACCCAGGGGATTCTTATTTTCAAGAGGCTACAGATCTCTATATGACCGACTGTGTGGGTTTTGATGAGAAGGCAGAGGAATGGACCAGGAAATATGCTATGGACCATACTGAAGACGAGGCGTGAGCGAGCGGAGATCTTCAACCTTGGAAGCAGGACGCAGGAAACGGCCACAGATTTACCGTCCAGAATTACAGATGAAAAAATAAGAAAAAACTGGCCTTTAAAATATGGCTGCATTCAACTAGTATTACAAGGCGACTGATAAAAGCAAAGTCGAAAGAAAAAGCAGACTGCCTCGGTCATCAAAACATAGCCTCCCTTGGAGGCTTGGAAATAGAACAGCATTAGAGAACAAAAAGCACGAAAAGGGTGCAAAAAAAACAAAAGGGGGGCAACGCTGGAAAATAAACCCAACGGACAATTCGCCGTGCCATGGTCATGTAGTATTCTCTTTGTGAAGGAAAATTGATTCAAATCAAATCAAGTCAAACCCGGAGTAGTCGAGAGGGGAGAGAGGATAGGGGGTTTAACAATAAGGGACATCCCGTATAAAAAATAGCCAGTAAGGATATTGAGCGAAACGAACAAAAGGAACAGAAGGAACAGAAGAGTTTTTTTTTATCGAGGGGTTGAGGAATTAAAGCTCCGACTCGGAATTCTCGGTCGTTTCTGCCGCCTGGGATTTGGCTTCTGGCGCATCTGCTGCATTCTCTTCAGCTGAGGCGGCAGCGGGAGCAGCATCAGGAGCAGTATCAGAAGCAGCAGCAGGAGCAGCATCGGGAGCAGCATCGGGGGCGGCAGCAGGAGCAGAAAGAGTTTCATCATCCGGGGATGGTTCTCGGCTGCTTCCGTTGCTGGCATCAAGAGCTTCTAGCGCCTCGCTGGCATGAAGATTTTCAATTGGCTCCGCTTCGGGGTCTTCGTTCGTGAGATCGGCGAAAACATCATCCATATTTTGACGAGGACTGCTACTAGCGAACTGGGGCTCGGGCCCGAACCGGGGCGGGCTAAAGAGCGAAGGTTCGATATTTTGTTGCGGACTTGGTGATCGAGGGAGGAAGGAGGGTGATTGAGAAGCGGCTGCGGCATGGGGGAGGAATGCGGATGAGGTAGGTGCAAAAGCCGGGGTCGAGTCACTAGCAGGCAAGGAGTAGTTGGCGGAGAATGGGTACGTCGCAGAGGCGGAGTCGGACATGGGTGTCAAGGTTGGCCCAGTGGTAGTAGGGGGGGTTGTTATTTGGCGTGGGCGGCGCGGGCTGTAGAGAAGCAGGACGACTTCCCTGAATATCGACCGACTTCCGTTTGGCTGCAGCCATGTGCTTGGCACGAAGGTGTTCGGGAAGATCTTCGGGGCGGTCAACGCCAAACTGGGCCAGAATCTTCTGTTGCTTGGTTGGGCGAGGTTTCCGCGTCGACAGCGATTGTTCTAGGATTGGCGGCGCCTCTGGAGCAACGGGTGCCCATTTGTGGATCTCCTGGCGGAAGAAGTTCGTTTCATAGGCCAGGAGAACTTCCGCACCTTCAATCTTTCGCAAATAGAAAATCAACGTCGGGACCTCCTCGGTGGTAGTGCAGGCAGCATTTGAGAAACCATGTAGGAAATCTCGGAATGCAGTCGCCTTGCCGACGATACTATCCAATACCTCCTCTTCATCTGGTTGGAAAGGCAGATTGGCGATCTCAGCCTGCCAATCTTGCAGATCCTCCAGCTTCGGACGGGCAGCATCACGAGGAATCTTTTGTCGCCAGTCGCAGATAGGACATGTGTACTTGTCGAACTCCTTGACTTTGCCCCTGGCAATTTTGAGACATTTACCATGATACCTGAAGATATTGTTAGTGGAACAAGTTTCAAATGGGGTCAAAAAGGAACTTCGGTCTTAGCTTACCATTCGTGACAGACTTCACATTCAATCATCATTCCCGCTTCGGGATGCCGACAGATACAAAAGACATCGCGTTTTTGTGACTTCGGACCCCATGGGTTGGGGTTAGGATTCTCAAGCAAACCTTCCGGGGTGTTGTCCCGCGAAGAGGGCTCCACCGGCGGCCGGTAGCTGTCTTCCAGGTCAAAGCAGTAGGAGTTGCGCTTGTCCACATACTCCATATGGGATTTCAAGATATGCAGAGGAGCATTGGCTTTGCCAAACAGCTTCTTGCCTCTTCTCATCCAATCTTCATGGCGTCTCTGCTCGCGTTCAAGATCGATTGCACCAATTGGTCGACTGAGATCCTGCTCCAGAGATTCGCTGAGCTCGCGAACTTCCTTGTACTTAGGGCGCTCTCTCAGATTGGGATCTTTGCTCTTATCGCATAGAGTTTGGATCCGTTTCTGGAGATCTCGCTGCTTTGTCAGAATGGCATCGATGGATGCCAGAGTTTCTGGGTTAACAGGAACACGGGTTGCCTGGGCGGAGAGTGCTTCCAACTGCGGGAAATGTACAGCTTCTACCGACATGAGCTCTTTGGCCTTGGCCTCCCAAGCTTCGCCATGTCGACTGAGTTCTTTGAAGTGGATCAAGTGCTCATTAGAATCTCGAATGCCAAGTTTTACGCCTTCGGCGACGATATCCTGGCAATCCTGGAGGGTAAGGCGTTGGTCCCGTTTGCGTAAAGATTCCTCGGTCCATTTCAGTTGGCGGAGATTTTGTTCCAGGTGTTCCACTTCCGGGATTTCCACGTTGAAGGTTCGGCCAGCTTCAACAAGTTCCTCGATTTCCTGGGTCGATCGGGCACGCGGGTTCATCAGGGCAACGTTAACGTCTTGGCGGAATCTCTCGATTTCGCGAGTCTTCTCTTCCAGGGCCGCCATCTGTGGACAGTCGAAGGAAAGTTTATCAGCCTCTGCCAGAAGGGCGTAGATGTTCTCCACTCTGCGAACTTCAGGGGCGCGATCGTCCAGCTGCGCGGCCTTGGTACTGGCGCGGCGCCACGCTTTCTCGTTTTTTCTCCGGTTTTGTTGCTTCCGGGTAATGTAGTTGTTCGCTTCTTCAACCCATTTATCGCAACGCTGGACGAAGGCCGCAAGATCTTGGAGGCCAGGTAGGTGGTATGGGATTTTCTCACCTTCACTGAGCAAATTGTGGAGAGCTTTCAGCTGAGGCTTTGGCTCATCCTCCAAGGTCTTGTCGAGCTTCTCCCCCATGCCTTCGGGATATTCGCTCGCTCTTGGACTCTTTGTACCGTTGACTTAAGCTCCTCATCACTCACGCGGTAGCGTAGGAAGTGATCTTGTCCAAACAATTTTTGGTGATAAAGATCACCACAGCAGTCGTAATCATAGACATGTGAAAGACAGACAGTCTTGCCTGACTTTTGACAGCGGAACTGGGTGAGGTAAGTGAAAGCCTTGCAGTGCTGGCACTGATAATCATCTTCCGGGATGTCCTCCTCCTCGACAACAAGCTTGAGCGGACATTGACTAGTTGATGAGTCAGCGGTCCCCACCGCACAGGCGTGAGCTGTAGTGGTCTTGGGGCTAGCTAACTTCCTGTGGTTAGCCAAAAAGTTGGCTCTTTCGCTAAGTTCACGGTTAACAGTTCTCTCCAATGCGGGTGCGAGCCATTTGGCAGTCTTTATGGATGTGTCTCGTGCAGCTGCGGTGAAAAGCAATTCATCATGCGAAAAGCATGGGTGCCTGCGGAAGGATTGAAGACGATCGACGCCAGCAGCGCCCCAAGGCTCCCAGTCAGCAGGTGCAAAGTTGACTGCCTCATTGAAATTGAAGCCATGGTTGAACCCTGCATGATACGCCTGAGGGAAAGTGAGAACAAATTGACCTGCGCGTTGGTCTACAGCGTAAACATTCACGCCCGCCTTTCGAAGTTTGTCGGGCGGCATCAAAGTAACAAGCTGGAACAGAAGATCTGGTTGCCCTTCGAAAAGCTCCGGAACTGCTGCCCGCATGGCAGACTCGAAAGCCTCTGCATCAGCTCCAGGAATACCGTACCAAGTTTTTGTCGCACCAAAATGTTGGTAGTTGGCGGAATAAGCGTAGTGGTCTTCATTATGCCAGCAGAAAGTAGAGAAGCACATGCCGACATAGACCCAGGGAACGGTCATCCCTGAGATATCGGACTTGATGTGACGGAAGAGAGAATCGCCATAGAAGGGGAGCACATTGAGGTTCCAAGGGTCAGAAGAATACTGATCGAGCGGGTTGCGCTCGATGGTCGGGAAGCCACTGCCGTGAGTAGTCGAGTGAATGTCTGCACCATACTCGACCTCAACAGTCTCATGCAAGTCGACAACCAGTTTCCAGAATTCAGCTTCCACATCATCCTCGGTCTCTCGGCGGTGAGTATTCAAAACAGGATCGAATGGCATCTTAGAAGCGAAGTAACCTTTCTTGAACTCGTTGGCTTTTTCTTGGAATTGCTTCAAAGAGTAAACGCCGCCATCTTCAAATCCAAATTCGCCGGTTCCAACTAGACACTTGGGACAATGCCAGTCATGATCCGAGGAAGCCGTAGTAGAGGGGTCAAGGCAAGCCGTGTGATATCCGAGGTCGCAGGCATCGCAGACGAGAATCGTAGAGGGGTTGTCTGACCTGCCACAAGACTCGCACTTCTAAAAAAAGATAACACAATTTAATATCTGTGGACTACATTCAGCACTCAAAGAGTAAAAGTTGACTTACATCGCCGATCCTTTGTAGACCTTCCTTTCGAACTTTAGGTGGCGCAGGGCGTAGGAGAGACATGTGTGATCCAGCCACATTGGGCACATCTGAAAGAGAAAACTGGAGTCAGAAAACAAAAATCTATCAATCAGCTCAAATGCGATACCTTTCTTGAGACGCTTGCTACGTCGCCCACTTCCACCGTCATCGCCATTCTCAGCCTGGGAACCGCTTTCATAACTGATAGCCCGCTTCATGTGTTGGTCGGATTGGCCATTCGGCACCGGAGTCGAGTGGGATGGATGTTCCGCAACACTTTGAGGCGTCGACGCTCCATTCTCTCCCTCATGTTTGATGGGAGGGGCACTGTTGACAGGAGTGAAAGGGGAGTGGTTGACGGCAGTAAAGCCACCGGCGCCTGAGTTGACAGAGGTAAATCCAGACGGAGTGGGACGAAGCGGAGGGGGGGGTGGGTTCGACAGATGGGGTTGGTTGATCAGCTGGTTTCTCCATTGGGGTATTCGAGCCAGTCGGCATACGCATGGTAGGGGTTGGTTCTCGGGTCCTAGATGGGGTGCCATTCTCCTCTATGAATGGTTTCTTCGTCATTGGGGAATTGCGTGGGGATGGGGTGAAAGGACCACCATGTTCCAGTTCAAGCTGTTGCTGAACACCAGGCTTCGCCCGAAGAAGATATTCCTCGTAGGGCTGCAAGTAGCGCTGGTATGAATTTTTGAGCGACGTGGAGAGTGAGGACATGATCTTGCCGCTGTAGCCGAGGTCTCGGCCGATCTCAGCCCATTTCTTTGTTTTGCAAACGGACTCAAATCCACCGCGAACCTCCACGGCCTTCTTCAGCTTGTATAAGTCCAACGGGCGTTTGTCTACACTGGGTAGACGACTGTAGTTTGTTCCGTGCTGTTTGTGAAACATGGCGAGTCCGTCAACGTAGTTCATGTTGGCGCGGTTTCCTGATTGAAAGTTCTGGTTAGAACCGTCCTGGGGAGTGGTTCCACCGGCAGCATCCTCAGCTGAGCGCGGGGCCATACCTCCTTCGACCGAGTTCAATTCTTGTCGACGGGTCTTGAAATGAAAACGCTATGACAAATCGATTCCGGTTAGCAAGGATCTATATTTTGTTCGACAAAAGCCAGAACCGTAGTCAAGTAGAGGATGTCAAAAATTGGCGAGGCCATTTAGGACGAGCCAATTCATGTGCCTAGCCAGGGAGCGGAGCACAGAAGACGGATAAGAGAATGTGGGTAGTATACCTCTGTATCGATCGCGAATGTCGGCTGCCAGTTATCCGGCGGGATAACTCTGCATATTCCGTACTTCTTGCCTTCTGGCGCAATCTTCTGGATGTATGCCACGGGGTCTTTGAATTCCTCCTCTGTTGGGCGAAAGGTCGGGGCTTCGGGGATGCCATGGGGACGCACTCGCTTCGACGGTTCGCGGGGATTGTTGGGCTGACCGCGGCGCTCCACTGTTGAGAGATCCAGAGGCGCGGACCTACGAGCGCTCAAAGGAACATTATGCGAATGCGACGGGTGCGTGCTGGCAGACCGGGTGGGCAGGCGACCCATAGAAGTTTGTCCAGCCATGGCGTTTGCTCCTGTTGAGGCCGGAGCCACCATTCTCGTGGATATCGAGGGTATTCAAGGGAGTTGATAGGTTGTCATGCGGGTTGCGCGCGCGTTATCGAAAACCGAGCCAAGTGTTACTGGTGCGCGACGGGGTTCATCGGAAAGATGAAGCGGGAGAGAGCAAGGGCGTGTGGGTAGCGAGTTTGGGGGGTGGGAGAGAGTGGGAGAAAGCGAGGTGAGGGAGAAGCGAATTCGAAGGAGGGGGTCGAAATTAGAAGAGATCGGGATAGTTCGAATAGATCCGACGAAAAGGCAATAATCAAGGAAGAGGGAAAATTAGAAGAAGGTTGATAGAGGAAGATTGCAGGTACAACAGAAGTCACTCTGGGCGGCGCAGCCAGTGAGCGAGAGACCAGCGGGTGACTCGGCCAAGGCGCGGCTGTGGTAATTTTGATGGTTGTTACCGATTGTTACCGGATGGTATCGTATTTGAAAATATTTTGCGGGTATTTGGGGTCATTTTGGGCCACCTTGGGCTGCTCCCGAGGTACAGCCTACAAAAATGCGGTAATAATACCGTCAGCGCTCGAGGGCTACTATGTGGACACCGTTTTTACAATGTGGATACTTTGATCTCATGTAACATGGGCGATAGAAAGGCAGAGTGGTGTCCATATCACACATCTGCAGGTTTATCTAGTAATGCCCAGTACTATAAGTTGACCGCAAACGGGACACATCATACGGTTTGTGATACATCGGCCCACACAATATCATTCAATGGCTATTGTCTGAAGTTATGGGGATTAAACCATTGAATATCCATGGATATTCATCTCTCATAATAGTAGTATGTTCAAGCGTTGTCCAGTATGAATAGTGACTACCTGGTAGTATGTATTGCTCTCTGTAGTGTAGTAACTGGTAGCTACTAATATCTGGGCAGGTAAGATTTCAAAACGAAAGAACAAGGAAACAGTAGAATGAAAATCTCGAAAATTGGACCAGGGTCGAACACATTGACCCCGGGTGGACCTGGCAAAGTGCAGTTTCCGATGTGTCGACGTCCCGACAAGGTAGATCGGCGAGATCTGCCGACCGCTGAGCCCCGTCAGTAAGCACCCTGGGGAATAAAAAGGTGGTCCACAAATCTTATACATCAATTAATTTTCCTCTCGTCAAAATACATTTGATCCATCATATTTCATAACTATTAGTAGTAGTATTATGTTCCTCATTTTCTATACTCCTGCGTATATACCGGATATCAAGATTAGATTGACTCTCGCCGCTTTGACTGAGTAGAATTGAGAACGCCTCTAATCAACCTTCCAAGGTTTCTATGAAGAAAACATAACAACTACCACCCCTATTCATGCCAAATAACTCTAGCCATCCCCTCCAATATGATTAGAGAGAATTGAATAGACCCAAAGGCACTGGCACTATTAGGGCTTCATCGATCATACGGTGTATATCAAGTCATGTGATCCCTTGTTTACCGCGGTCGGCCCATGCAGCACCAAAATAGACTAACCTGCTTAGACACAACAATTGGGGGCCATTGGCAATGACCGAGGCTGCCACGCGCCACATACACTTGAAGAAAGTGAAAATTTCAAGTTGAAACCATAATTTATACCAAAATTCCACTGTCATGGATATTCAAGAGGAGCTTCGACCCATCCCAGCTTACTACGGCTGCTATCTTCTCCGGTCCACTGTTCGACACCCCTCATTATATATCGGCTCAACGCCAAATCCAATCAGACGCCTAGCCCAACATAATGGAACCGCCAAAGGTGGAGCAAAACGAACATCTCGCGATAATCTACGACCATGGGAAATGGTTCTTGTCGTGGAAGGCTTTATGAGTCGCGTCGGGGCCCTACAATTCGAGTAAGTTCAAGTTCAAATTCAAGTTTCGATTCGACTCGGGTTTCCCGGTTTTCATCATGCACTTGGAACGCGCTAGTACATCCTCGCTTATGCCGTACTACACATACCTAATGTATCATGACCTAGATGGGCCTGGCAACACCCCGAAAGAACCCGGCACATCGAATCCGACGATGAAGTCTCCCGCTCAAAGGTCATCATCAATTCCAAAACCGGCAAGACAAAGCCGCGTAATTCGCGCTCGCGTAGATCATTGACCGCTCACTTGGAAGATCTTCATACCCTTCTTTGCTCCACCTACTTTTCCAGCTGGCCCTTGCGTGTTCGCTTTTTCTGTGCAGATGTCCACCGGGTATGGCGCGTCTGGAATGACCGCGTCAATGTACCTCTGCCCGAACAGAAATTGATTCTGGACGGAGATTGCTCTGGAAAAGCGACCGCGACCGAAGGCGAAGCCGTGGGTAGCATCGATAAGCTTACGGTGGACTATTCGAAACTAGAGACATATTTGGAAAAGTCCATGTTTCTTTTAGATGATGCGGAGGGACTGAAGTGTCACATTTGCAAAGCCGCTGTTCTTCCGCTCGCCAAGCAGATCGTGGTTTGTCCACGGGAACCATGCCGCGGTACAACCCATCTTTTATGCCTATCTACGAAATTCCTCGAAGCAGAAGGTGATCCGGATAGTCTCATACCGACAAAAGGCACATGTCCTGCATGCAAGGAAACTGTGCCGTGGCCATTGATGATGCAAGAATTGAGCCTTCGCAATCGGGCCGAAAAGGAAGCTCAAGCAATCCTGCGGAAAAAGGATAAACGTGACCGCAAGAATAAAACTAAAGATGTCAGTACTCGGCAAACTTTCGTTGAACCCTCATCACAGCAAGCAGGTGGTTTGGCGAGTGAGTTGATATTGACCCAAGATGATCCACAACTGGATGACGACTGGTTTGATGGAGGAGACGTGGATTCAGACTCGGATTACGATGGCCGACAACGAATACCGACTCCTCCCCACCTTCCAGACTGGAAATTGTCATCGAAGACAGTGAATGGGACGATGCTGAAATCGTGGAATGATGTGTTGATGTATTTATATTATTATGATATTGTAATTAGCTGCTGGAACTAATTGACCAGGGGTCCCAATGTCCTCAACGGTCCAATCACGCCCAGACGCCCGACACACTCCGAAACAACAACTTGAATATCCTTGGAAACATCTTCCAGAGACTTCCCCCGCATCGATAATGGAAACATCTTCCTGGCGTTCAAACAGAGTACGGAAGAGTTCACGAACGCGGGTTTGCATCGCCTCATTCTCGTAACGCTCAGCACCGAAACCTCCCCGTTTCGCAGCTTCCTCGGCGGATATGCTAAGGAAAAGGCAAATATCCGGGCGAGGAAGACCGATCTCCGGTTGCCATGCCCACTCGAGAGACAATGTGGGGTTGGCTTTGGCGGCTGAATACACGGCGCCGGAGTATGAATAGCGGTCCACAATGATCGTGATACCGTTGGCGATATCTTCTTGAATCGACTTGGCGACCTCCCAGCGATTGGCGGAGAAAAGCAGGTGGATGGAGTGATCTTCTTGATCGGTTGAGCCACGCAGATAACTATCTATGAGCTTCCCGATAGGTGTTGTCCTGTCTGCGCACGAATTAGAGAGCATTCACATTGCGATTGAGCACATTCATCAAAGTACCTGGGAATCGAATGTATTTCACGGTATGTCCTTGTTCGGACAAATAGTCTTGTAGCTTTTCACATTGGCTCGATTTGCCCGCGCGGTCGAGTCCTTCGACGACGATGAGTGCCCCACGACGCGTCGAGTCGTGTCCAGCCCGGCCGGCCATTCTAGATGTTGATTATCGATATTTGGGTGTGACTCAAGGGATTATGTGATTTCAAGTATCACAAGAAAAAGCGCCCAAGAAAAGAATGACTTGATAAAGGTGGCAATCGACAGAGGTGAAGAAGGAATGTCTCAAGTTGCAACCTTGGAACGCGGGCCCGGCCAGAACGGGTTCCTGTCGGTTCCTGGGGATTTCCCATCTTTTTTTCTGCCGCCCGATAAGGTCGCCAACTTCAACCCCGGCATGTCTCCGTTACAATGACCAAAACCACCATGGATCCCTCGCAGTCCCAGTCAGAAAAGATGACCTTCAGTGTCTTGACATCTTCTGCGCCCATTATGGCACCCCGGCTGGGTAAATTGGCACTCACCGGCCGCAAAACACTCTCAACGCCGCATTATATCCCTCTCACATCGCGGGGCACAGTGCCACACATTGCGCACGACATGCTGCGCAAAGAAACGGCCTTGAACAGTCTCTACATCGGATTAGAAGACTGTACGTATTAAAATATACCACCACTCCCACCCCTATCCCAATCCACATCCCCCAACCCTCATCTAAACCGAGCACGCGACTAACCCCAAATCCAGTCATAACCAAAAGAAACCCCTCACCAGTCTACAACATCCCCGTAACCGAAGACGAATCCCCCCTTGCGAAAATTCATCTGCGCAACCGACGACATACCCATAATCCTCGCCCCACGCCGCTTCCCCGCAATCCCCTGCCCACCCAATAACACCGACACCTCAATCGCAATCCTAACCTCAGTAGGATTCCGCCAACTCCCCGCACATCAATACCTAGACTCAATCCGGAGCCTGAAACCAGATATCGCCATTGGACTTGCGGATATCGTCTACGGCCGCGAACCAGGCGTCAAGCGACGGGCGAAAATGGTCGATCGCACACACGCATTTACGCAAGATGCGTTGGAAAGATTATATGGCCGATCCGTGGCGGACGGGCAAAAGTCAACAACGACTGCGTACTTCGCCCCTGTGCTACCGTTGGATAATGCGCAGCAGTCGCTTTACCTGGATGATTTACAGGATGAATTGAAGAGTCACGTTTCCGGTCTCGCGTTATACGAATCTTCTTCTTTGGCACAGATTCCTGAATCGCTGGGTGCTTTGCCTCGTCTATTACTTAGCCAACCGGGTGGTCCGCACGATTTACTTAGAGATGTTTCTCTTGGTGGAGATTTGTTGACTCTTCCTTTTGTTGGCGAGTGCTCGGATGCGGGAATTGCGTTAGATTTCACATTCCCCGTTGCATCGGATGTGAATGCTAAAGCGAATGGGTCAGCTTCGCAGCCCAAGGCCCTGGGCATTGACTTGTGGTCTGCAGATACGGCGAAGGATGTATCTGCTCTGAGTGAGGGGTGTCAATGCTACGCTTGTCGGAAACATCACCGTGCTTACTTCAATCATCTCCTTAATGCGAAGGAAATGGCTGCGTGGGCTCTTCTTCAAATGCACAATTATCATGTTATGGATGTTTTCTTCGCGGGTGTGCGGGAGAGTATTCAGCGTGGGACGTTTGAGGAGGATGTGCTGTCTTTCAACCATGTGTATGTGTCTGAGTTGCCTCAGCGCACTGGTGAAGGTCCTAGGTATGTTGATTTCCTCTTGATATTATATTGTTCCTTCTTGACTAATTCGGAAATAAATAGGTTGCGCGGCTATCAACTTCAGGCCGGTCCTCACAAGCGCGGACCGCGTGTTTACGGCCGGTTGGATGATGTTTCACAGAAATTCGCCGAGTCACAGTCTTCTGTTGCGACGCCGGATACCGATGCCAGTGGACTTGAGCACCACGGATTTGCTAAGAAGGTGTAGGTAATGAATGACCTTTCTTTCTTCAAGCAATTAGCATATTTTATTCCAATTTCCTTGCTTGGTCTATGCTTTTCTTTGTTGCATTTTATGAATTGGCGTCATTGCGAGTCATCTTGAAAGCGTGTGTATATATGGGAACTTTCAAAGTTCGTCGAGAAATGCATTGCATAAGAAGATCCGAAACCACGTTACTACTAAAAATTTCATAAAATTCATCCCATCGGTTTCCAAGCTCAAGAGTACTGTACAGGAGCCCAAGATCTCGTGATGGCATCATCCTTTCTCATAATCAAACTAGGTGCGTCACGCTGTCATATCTCTAGTGGGGGGGTATATCGAGTATATGCGGGATGTATAACTCTTCAATCCTGAGTCTCGCCCGCCAGAACTCGCCACATCCATTTCACCTCATCCTCTTCCTCCTTCGAGCCGGTCGGGACACCGGCGCCAAACTGCTGACCGACCACACAGACGAGCCAGGCGTCGTTCTTGGTGGTGTCGAGGAAGCGCTCGGTAGGCGAACCACGGGGGTAGATGCGACGCCACTCGTCCCAGATACGGAAAGCCTCCTCGCCCCAAGCGCGGAAACTGACTTCTTCGATGATGGTGGGTGTCACGATTTCCTTGCCGCGGAAGACACCCCAGGTAACAGCGTTCACGCTTTCGGGGTTTGAACCGAGGTCGTCGAGTTCGACGTCAGCGGGTTGGCTGGGGAGTGAGGACTCGAAGGCTCCGGTGGTATTTGTAGCGAACCAGCATAGCTTGTCGTGGCCGTGCTTTTCAAATAGTGGCTTGAGGATATTCATGTAGTCGTTGTTAGAGCAGAAGAATTCGACGAAGGGCTTTTGGAAGACAAAGCCCTCGCGCTGGGGGCCCCAGCCGAAGATATGGTGGTCGCTGCGGACGCCGTTCACGGCGGGCTGCGAGGCCAGGGTCCACCAGCCGCGGCCATCAATGAGCTTGAGGAGCTCTGGTCGAATCAGCTCAGTCTCGGCATTTAGACCAGGGCCATCCTCTTCGGCACCACCCTCTGACCAGGGTACCATGTGCAGTTCTCCGGACACGTGCCGACGGAAGAGTGTGTTGATATCCTTTTGATCAACAGGGTGACCCCACAGTCGACGGGCAACTGCAGAGGTAACGTGGAGAGAAGGACCGTAGCCATCGATTTCACCGAAAGCAGGAGAGCGGGCATCACCCCATCGACCGTTGGGGAAATCATCCCAGGTAGCTTCTCTACCAAGCGCACCCAGACCCTCGGAAATTTGAAGAGTCGTTCCACGACCCGGAGGCATGGCTGGTAAACCAGCGCCAGTTGCCAGAGCCTCATGCACGGAGTCCTTGGAAGATTCATGCGCAGACATCTTGTCGACGATAACTCGGTTGTAAGGCTGAGAGTTGGTGGATGACGCCCAACGTCTGAGATAATGAGCGAACCTGGGAGTCGAGAGGAGGGCCATCGAATTCCTCAATGGCTAGGTCGTCGTCGATTTTGGAAAATGGTGGGATTAGATCACATCGCTCCAGGATGAAAGAGACCGTCTTCTCCAAGTTCAGGGTGTAGAAGTGGAAACCGCGTGGGCCTGGGGATGGAAGCTCTTGAATGCCTCCGACAATATTGCTCACGATGTCAACACCGGCCCGCTTGACGGCATCATCGTCATGCTTCAGATCCTCCATGCGCTTCGCGATAGGTGGGGGAATCTTGACGTGACTGAGCTTTGTTACTCGGGTAAGAATCTTGTAACTGTGGACGGGCATCAAGCCCGGGATAATGGGAATGGTCTTGAAAACGCCAGACTCGTGGTTGCGAAGCATGGTCTCATACTTCTGGTACGCCTCCAGATCGTATGTAAGCTGGGTCATGATGAAGTCCGCGCCAGCCTTGGTCTTCTCAACCAAATAAGGAATATCACGGGCAGGGTCCTGGACATCCTGGAACGAATCGGCCGGGTGACCTTCGGGGTATCCAGCAACACCAAGACAGAAGTAATCACCATGCTGCTTGCGAATGTATTTGACCAGATCAACCGCAAAGGTGAAATCCTTGTTGCTATCGTCCTCCCCATGCATATTGTATTCTTCACTGCGAGGTGGGTCTCCGCGGAGGGCGAGGATATTGCGAATACCAAGGACCTTGGCCTCCTCCAGGGCCATGTCCACCAAGGCGCGACTCATGTTGGTACATGTCAAGTGTAGTACAGTGGTCAACTGCAGTTGGCGCTGGCAAACTTCGGCCAGCTCAAGGGAACGGGCCGCCGTGCTTCCGCCTGCACCCCAAGTGACTGTAACGAATAACGGACGTAGGGCCTGTGCCATCCGCTCCAGACGCGCAGACAGGTTCGCGAAACCCTATACAACAAGATCAATCGTTAGCAATGTAATCCTTGTACCTGGGGGCAAAAGAGTCGCCGCGGGGTTACCCCACCATCCGGGTCTTTGGAGGGAAGAACTCCAGGGAGAAGTAATTTGCATCTGGCGGCAGGGCCGCAATCTTCTCTGTGATTTTCTTCTCCATTGCGAAGGGTGTTGGAGGGCAATAGGAGGGGGTGGAAGAAAGAAGAGAGAAGAAGAAGTGGGTTTGAAGTGGACCGTCGTGGACTTTCTAAAAGTCACACCTGATCGCATCGGGAAAGATGATGTCGACGTCTGCCGGCCGCCCGCACGATTTTAGATCGGACATTGAGGGGGGGGTTTTCCGGGGACAAATGTGGGATATGTGGGATGTATTTGGTATTATTTGACTTTATATTCTATTTGATTTTTCCCTAGCTTCGTGGCATTCTGACTGAAAAATAACAATTCGTAGAATTAAGAATTAAGAAAAGGAAGAAAAAAAGATCGACCGGGAAAGGATTACCTCAGCGCGATACAAGACGCGCGATTAAACGGAGACTTGGAAGCACGACATTTCATTTCCTTCCTTCAACGGGGGTCTCGGGTTTCCATTGCCAAAGCGAGTCATGCTATCCGCTTTCTGCTGAGCCGTTCCTCCCCGATATCTTCCCCTGAGTCCTTTCTCCCTTGACCATGGCAAACCATACGAGTAGCCTGGCAAGCTTCAGTCGTTCAATGCGCCTTCGGGCTGCCCAATGGTCTCGACCACAGCCACGACGAGGTCTCTCCACGCCTTCTCCTCCTCCTCCATCACCACAGCCCGGGCGACCACCAGCTTCTTCCCCAAAAGATGTTCGCTCACGCTTGCGCCAGTTCAATGATCGTCTCCCTCGCTTCCTTCGAACCGTTACGACCCCATTACTGGGAGCTCCGATGACCCATGTTACATCCTTCCTCATCCTGCACGAAATCTCTGCTGTATTACCACTGTTTGGTCTGGTGGGCGCATTTCACTACGGGAGTTGGATGCCCGACCTTGGCTCTAGCTCAGGGGAGGGTGAGGGCAATGCGTTCGACGAGGGAGCGGCCCGATTCGGGCGATGGTTAAAGAAGAAGGGCTGGGTAGAGGAATCGGACGTGAGTGCCGTGAAGGAACATGAGACTACAGTAGCAGAACACCGGAGTGGACAACAACAAGCTGGTGTACGCTTAGTTCTGGAATTCGCAACAGCCTACGCAATCACCAAAGCTCTCTTGCCTTTACGAATAGTTGCGAGTGTCTGGGCTACGCCGTGGTTTGCAAGGTCGATCCTCAGCCCGACAACTCGCATGGCAAAGCGGTTGTTCAGTCGGAACTGAAGTTCGTTTGCATAGTTGCGAATACCACTGTACTATAAAGCATAAAGCATAAAGCAAAAGAAAGGGAAACATTTGTATGTTCATAAATCATATGAAGCTTGTGTATTTGATTTTGGCAGCCGTCCAGGCGTTTTATCTTCAGCTATCGCAACTTTATACTGCAAGCAGCCGAGGGCGAACAACCCATCAGGCTAAAGGCTCTATGGGAAACGAGAAACTTCTTACTCGAAGACCCAGTTGGCCTGGGAGTGCTTCCACTTGATCAGCTCGGTGGGAGTGAACCAGAGGGCAATCTCCTTCTTGGCGTTCTCGACGGAGTCGGAACCGTGGCAGACGTTGCGGCCGACGTCCAGGGCGTAGTCGCCACGGATGGTGCCGGGAGCGGAGGCCAGGGGGTTGGTGGCGCCCAGGATGGTGCGGCCGGTCTTGACGGCGTCCTTGCCCTCCCAGACCATGGCGCAGATGGGGCCGCTCAGCATGTCTGAAGGGGGGGTGGGGTTAGCTAAGGTCGCATCGCACTTGGGAGCTAGAAGCGCAGCTAGCGGAAGCTTCGGAGAGGAAACTCACAGGCGACGAGACCCTTGAAGAAGGGCTTGCCAGCGAGGTCAGCGTAGTGCTTCTCGAGGTGCTCCTGGCTGGGGGAGGCCAGCTTCATGGCAACGAGCTTGAAGCCACGGTTCTCGAAGCGAGAGATGATGGGGCCAATGAGTCCACGCTGTAGTTCGCATTAGATTTCAGGGTTCTCAATTGATGATTGGGCCGTTGGTCCGGGACTGCGTCGGCCTGCAGGATTCTATGCTCATACCTGGACACCATCGGGCTTGATGGCAATGAAGCTAAGGCAATTGATTAGCTTGACCGCTAGAGAAGGAGGGGTAGACCGTAAGGTAGGGAGGGGAAAGAGAGTAGGAGTGGGGTAAGGGAAAGGAAGAAGGCAATTGAAAGAGAGGAGGATAGCTTACGTCTGCTCGTCGGACATGGTGAAGGATTGATGATTGAAGATATGATAATCAGCAAGGGATGAGGAGGAGTAGAAGGAGGAGGGGAGGAGATTTATTAATAAATACCTGAGCCTTTTTTGCCCGCTGCTGCTCCGTTGGTGGGGCTTGATTGGTGATTGGTAGTTATGCATGGATGCCTTGGTGCCTTTGTGCCTGACTGCCTTACTGCCTGACACCACATGATCTTGCTGCCTTACTGCCTCATCCCTCAGGTGTCTTACCCCAGCTCCAATCTCCACCGTCAGGCCAGCCTGGAGCTTCCCTGTTGATCTTGACAGGTTATCCGCCCTCCGTTGCAGGTCAACATCTTACACGCCAACCCACCTACTAGTCAGAGAGGGGAGGGTCTCTGATTGCTCTACATTCTTCACCATGGCCCGGAGCCGGCCCATGTCCCGTTGGACACTCTTTCTGTCCTTCGTGGTTCTTATCGCATGCATTGTTGTACCCGGAGGTGAGATCCCTACTCCGCCGCGTGACATCGCTTCAATCGCTAATGACTTTGGTGTTTTGGTGTATAGTAACGGTCAAACATGAAAACTTCAAGACATGCCAGCAGTCCGGTTTCTGTAAGCGCAACCGAGCTCTCGCCGACAACGCCTCCGCCCAAGGTGCCTCATGGAGCTCACCCTACGAGCTTGACCCCGCTACAATTCACTTCAAGGATGGCCAATTGAATGGTATCCTCATCAAGACTACATCTACACATGAAAAACTTCGCCTGCCTGTCACGGTCTCCTTCCTCGAATCCGGTGCGGCGCGTATCATTGTTGACGAGGAGAAGCGCCTCAAGGGCGATATCGAAATCCGACATGATAGCAAAGCAAACAAGAAGAGGTACGACGAGACCGAGAAATGGGTTATCGTGGGTGGCTTGGAAGTGAGCAAGTCCGCCACATTGAATGCCCAGACCGAGACTGGTTTCACCAATATTTTGTACGGACCTGAGGACAAATTCCAGGCGATTATTCGCCATGCACCTTTCGAGGTTGAGTTCCAGAGAGACGGCGAGACTCATGTGCAGATCAACCACCAGGGTTTGCTGAACATGGAGCACTGGCGGCCCAAGGTCGAGCACCAGGAGGGCGAGTCTCCCGAGGAGGAGGGCACCTGGTGGGAGGAATCCTTCGGCGGCAACACCGACTCGAAGCCCCGCGGCCCCGAGAGTGTCGGTCTTGATGTCACTTTCCCCGGGTACAATCATGTGTTTGGTATCCCCGAGCACGCCGACTCTCTGTCACTGCGTGAGACTAGGTATAGATCCACCCCACCCCCCAATATGCTTATATCGTGGCTAACCATGACAAAAGAGGAGGACCGGGCAACCACGAACAGCCATACCGCTTGTATAACTCTGATGTTTTCGAGTATGAGCTCAACAGCCCCATGACCCTGTATGGAGCTATTCCATTCATGCAGGCGCACCGTAAGGATTCTACCGTCGGTGTGTTTTGGCTCAACGCAGCGGAGACTTGGATCGATATTGTCAAGGAGGCAGCGAACTCGAACCCGCTTTCGATGAGCGCTCACTCTAAAACCAACACAAAGACCCACTGGTTCTCCGAGGCGGGTAGAATCGATCTTTTTGTCTTTTTGGGACCCACGCCACAAGATATCAGCAAGACTTACGGTCAGCTGACCGGTTACACCCAGCTGCCTCAGCACTTCGCCATCGCTTATCACCAGTGCCGCTGGAACTATGTCACTGATGAGGACGTGAAGGAGGTCGATGCCAAATTCGATAAATACCAGATCCCCTACGATGTTATCTGGCTGGATCTGGAGTATACTGACGACCGGAAATACTTCACTTGGGATCCTCTCACGTTCCCCAACCCTAAGGGGATGCAGGAAAAGCTGGACGAATCCGAGCGTAAGCTTGTGGTTCTCATCGATCCCCACATCAAAAATAAGGATGATTATTTCGTCTCGCAGGAGCTGAAGAGCAAAAATCTTGCTGTTCTCAACAAAGACGGCGAGATATACGATGGGTGGTGCTGGCCTGGTTCCTCGAACTGGGTTGACTGCTTTAACCCGGCTTCATTCCCATGGTGGAGTAGTCTCCACAAATTCGATAAATTCAAGGGATCGCTTTCCAATCTTTTCATTTGGAACGACATGAATGAGCCCTCGGTCTTCAATGGTCCAGAGACAACTATGCCCAAGGATAACCTCCACTTTGGTAACTGGGAGCACCGTGACGTTCACAATGTGAACGGTATCACTCTTGTCAATGCTACCTACCAAGCCATGTTGGAGCGCAAGAAGGGCGAAGTGCGCCGGCCGTTCATCCTGACCCGTTCTTATTATGCCGGTGCCCAGCGCATGTCGGCCATGTGGACCGGTGATAACCAGGCTACTTGGGAGCATCTCGGTGCTTCTTTGCCAATGGTCCTGACCAACGGCATCGCAGGTTTCCCCTTTGCCGGTGCTGATGTTGGTGGTTTCTTCCACAACCCGGACAAAGATCTTCTCACTAGATGGTACCAAGCTGGTATTTGGTATCCTTTCTTCCGCGCCCATGCTCACATCGATACCCGCCGTCGTGAGCCTTATCTGATCAGCGAACCGCACCGCACTATCATTTCCCAGGCAATCCGCCTGAGATACCAGCTTTTGCCTGCTTGGTACACCGCTTTCCACGAGGCATCTGTCAATGGTACCCCTATTGTGCGTCCCCAGTACTACGTCTTCCCCGATAATGAAGCAGGATTCGCCATCGATGACCAGTTGTACCTGGGTGCCACCGGCCTCCTTGCCAAGCCTGTCGTGACGGAGGACACATTCACGACTACCATCTACATCGCCGATGACGAGAAATACTACGATTACTTTGACTTTACAGTTTACCAGGGCGCAGGCAAGCGACACACCGTCCCAGCCCCCGAGGACAAGATTCCTCTCCTGATCCAAGGTGGTCACATTGTACCTCGTCGGGACCGCCCTCGTCGCAGCAGCGCTCTCATGCGTTGGGATCCCTACACTCTCATCCTTACCCTAAACAAGAAGGGTGAAGCCGAGGGTTCTCTTTACGTGGATGATGGAGAGACCTTCGACTACGAGCGTGGTGCCTACATCCACCGCCAATTCCAGTACAGTGACTCAGTTCTGTCCTCCGAGAATCTCGGTACCAAGGGCGCTAAGACTGCCGAGTACCTCAAGACAATGGCTGGCGTCACCGTTGAGCGCGTTGTCATCATCGACCCACCTAAGGAGTGGAAGGACAAGAGCACTGTTGTTATCGTTGAAGACGGAGCCAAGACAGGCTCAACTGCTGTCCTTGAATACTATGAGCAGGAGAGTGGTAAGGCATCGTATGCCGTTGTGAAGAGTCCGAACGTTGGCATCGGGAAGACATGGCGGATAGAGTTCTAAACGATGTGTTTCCCATCGTGGAACATGGCATATATGTGAGAATTTAGATCCAGCATACGTTAAAGTATACAATTCAGTCATTTGATCTTGATTCCGAGTGCTCCGTACAGCGCAATGTTGAACGCGATAGTAAATTGCCGAAGTTCAAATTCCACTCCTTCCACAGAGTGTCTAGTCAAGAAATCCCGAGACTGGACAGTCAGTCTCCGACAAGCTAACTACCATAGATAGACCCGCGCAGATCAAACCGACCTCTGAATCTCACAAACACTCGCAGTTACCCATCAAATCCCATTAATAAGATGATACTCCACCTCAACAGAGCCCACAAACTCGATATTATTAGGATCATCCTTAGATCTCCTCCAAGCCTCAAGATCAAGACCACCTTGATCATGAACCTCCCATTTCACAATATGATCGAAGGCTTTGAGATCGCCCTGCCCCCGAGCCCAGACTTCAATATCACGGTTCTCGCCCGCGCGAGCCCAGTTTTCGAAATTGAGTGATTGCATGAACCACATTAGGTACTTGCTCTTGAAAAGGTTTGTGGCTTGTCGGTGGGCGACTATGAGTGAGTGATGGGTCGCAATTATGCTGAAATCTGGGTTTTCTTGGTCTTCGAAGTTTTTTGTCGTGACGATGTAGACGTGTGCTGGCGGTACTGGGGGCATGTCATCGTAGACATCGTTGAGTTGTTCGAGGAGGGGGCGTGGATAGTCGTTTCTTAGGTATCTCATTGTGAGGGTTGGAATGCAGGTTTGTATGGCTGTTTTTTGAACTTGTTAAATATTGTTTGAGGCTTTGGGACTCATCAAGTAAGCGGGAACTCACAAGTTTTTTGAGTGATAGAATCAAAAACTGCTTGTAAAATTTTGGAGTTGAGTTGAAAGGTAGAGATCAACTTTTAGATGCGAATATGTTGGAGGTTAGCCTAATACAGGACCGGGGAACAGTGAATAAATCAGGGAAGTGACGTCGTGGTATGAATTTACCTATAGGGCAATATTATCATAGGTTGTCCATACTTTTAAAGCAGTCGAAGTGAATGGACTCTAGTAACATTCGTAGTATAATCTAATTCCAAACATTATAGGCCTGATAGACTTTGAGTTGCAGAAATACAGCAAGAATAGTCGAGGACTAAAAGTGGATATAGAAGATCTTCCATGCCTGTGATATACTACGCAAAGAAATTGAACCGGAATAGCAGTTATAAAGACAAAGAAGATTGATGGCATCGGCTAATTGACTTACCTGAGGCTAAAGAGCGGCAAAGGCGTTGGAGCCCCACTGCAACCGAAGCCACCGTGTAGAAACAATCGACTAGTACTACTCCGTATTGAGACCTATACCCCGGTTATAGCTCCATAAATGAGTTACCATTTTGCAAATATAATTTTTTGTCCACCTCATACTGAACTAAATTTGTCATGCCAATTTGTTAACTTGAAGAAATTAGTACTTTCTATAATTCTAGTTCGATTGTATGGAATGCAGGAAGATGGAAGTAATAGCAATACATGGAGATCTCGTACTGTAATATATTGTCTACTTTAGGCAGGAAGTCACGATACCATGACATGTCACATAAATAGAACAAACGATTCCTATGTACCTATATAGTTTCAAGTAAACAGTCAATAGTCAATACTCCCACCTAACCAATGGCAAAGTGCCAACTGGTGAGAAACAAGCTTCCCTGGTTTGTTTGAGTGGGGCTGGCTGACTCAGCTGCGAAAAAAGCCGCGAGCGTCGAATTGCGCGTTACTTTCTCCCCTGGTTGATCTCCGATTTTTGTCTTGGTCCCTTGTTCCGTTGTTCCTGGTGATCCATTTCCCCGTGCACTGCCTCGTCGACAATTGTCCCCTCCTCCTTGTTCACGCGATCGACGAACTGTCCCTTTGACTTCCATCACACTCCCCTCCGGAAGTCGCGGAACATCCTCATCACCATGACCTTCGGGGATATCGTCCAGGCGGTCATTGACTATGGCGCGCCCATTTTGTACGTCCGGGATTCCACTATCGATATGTTTGCCTGGATATCGGAGCTAATTGCATTCTCGCTGAATAGTCTTGTCACTTCGCCCCTCACCTCCTACCTAGACCAGATTCTCAGCATTCATCGGAATAGGAGTTCGGCCGGCTTCTCCCTGGACATTCCTCTGATCATGCTAGTCGCGTCGATCTTGAAGTAAGACCCCTCGGAGCAAGTCGCTAGAGTTGAACAGCATAATAACATTGCCTCAGGGTCTTCTATTGGTTTGGAGAGTACTACTCCGCCGCGCTGCTAGCGCAGGCGGTGGTGATGATCTTTACGCAGGGGATCCTCTTGAAGGTCGCTTTGGACAACCGACCAAGAGAGACGGTGGAGCACACCCCTTTCAGCGGTGCCAAGGGCGGATTTTCACGACCATATAACTTTTGGCAGTGGCGGAGCACCAAGCCGTAAGCCTTACCCTACCCCCGGCGCCTGGAGATCAATTCCTGCCCGATATCAATTTTGTGCTGACCTCCCATTTCTGCAGGTATTGGGTCTTCTTAGGCTACTTCATTGCCGCCCTCTTTGTCATCCACCTTACCCCGATCTCCGACTTCAGCGCCTATATCAGCCTGCTGGGCTGCATTGGTCTTGCCGTCGAGGCCACCCTCCCCGTGCCCCAGATCCTCGCCAACCACCGATCGGGCTCTTGCAAGGGCTTCCGACTCTCCGTCTTGGCCGCCTGGATTATCGGTGATAGCTGCAAGATGGGCTACTTCTTCATGAGCTCGGACCCTATTCCCTGGGCTTTCAAGCTGTGTGGTATCTTCCAGTGCATCTGTGATGGCTACTTGGGCGTCCAGTACTTCATGTTCACCCGGGGCTATGTCAAGGCTTCGGGCAACCCCCAAGATGATGACGAAGAGGAGAAGGAGATCCGACTCAACCGCATCGGCTAAATTTTCAAAGCTCACGGTTGTGAGCACGTTCTGCATGACTTGTAGATAGACGGGATTTCATGGAAACATAGCGACTTATAGACTTGTAATACTGAATGAAATGACATTAATAATATATTCTAGACATGACCCAGCAATCAAAACCCAAGACGTACCACTAATAACGTGGATAAATACTCCCTGGAATAAAATGGTCGCCGTTTCGGGAAGAGCTGGAACTGCCCCGCGATGCACTCCGATCTTTCGGCTTATCGCCGGTCCCTTCCCCACGCCCAGTCCCAGTCCCATCCTAGAAACTTTCCTTCTTTTCCCTCCGTGATTTCTTCCGCGGTTACCCATTGACCAAATTGTACAGTCTAAGCACTCACAATGGCTACTGTGCCAACTATTCGGATCGGCTATGTGCCCGGTAACTACCCCTCCGTGAACCGTTCGACCGTGATTGCGACATCATGGGAGAGAACCCCAAGAGAAGCCTGCTGAGAATGGATACCAGCAGCTTCGCCTGTCAAAAGATTTCATGCAGACCAATAAGCTAACATTGGAGTTATTATAATACAGAGCACTATCTCACACCCCTTCACCTGGCGCTCCGCTCTCCTGCTGTCGCCTCTCTCCCATTCAAGCTCGTCTTGACCCCATTTCCTGCCGGCACGGGACATATGATCACATCGCTGCGCAGCAATGAAATAGATCTCTGTATCGGCCTCACCGAAGGCTGGGTTGCTGGTCTAACTGGCAAGACCCAGCCTCAGAACCCAGCAGAGGGCGGATACAAGGTCATCGGCCACTGGGTCGACAACCCGCTGCGCTGGGCAATTGTCACGGGCCGCAACCGTGATGAAATCAACGGAGTAGCAGATTTGCAGAACAAGAGAGTCGGCGTTAGTCGACTGGGAAGGTAGGGAAGGACTCACACACTCGATTCCCCGAATCAGACAGAAGCTAACTAACCTTGTATTCACAGCGGTTCCCACATCATGTCCTTCGTCCTCGCACAACAGCAAAAGTGGAAATCAGACTCACTGGAAACCGTCCCCCTTGGTCCCTTCGGACCCCTACGAGCCGGAGTCACCGGTATCGACAAGGAAAACCCCGATCAAGCACCGAACCCATCAGCCGAGTTCTTCATGTGGGAGCACTTCACCACGAAGCCATACTTCCACCCAACGATCGAAACTCCCACCCCGCCTTTGAAGAACATCGGCGAGATCTTCACCCCCTGGCCATCGTGGATGATTGTTGCGTCTACAGCACTGTTCCCAAACCCGGAGCAGGATGAGCGTCTTGCGGCGCTTTTCCAGGCCTTTGATCAGGGAATTAAGGACTTTGAGGCTGATACCAATAAGGTTATTAGGCTGCTTGGTACCGGCGAGCTTGGTTGCAATTATATTGAGGAAGATGCTACTGAGTGGCTTAAGGATGTCAAGTTCACGGATGCTACGCGTGGTGTGGACCGCAAGGTTATTGAGAATGTTGTTGATATTCTCAAGGTTGCTGGTGTTATTGATACTACTATGGAGAATGATGAGGCTGTTCAGAGAGTTATTGGTATCTCTCGGTAGACTCTGGGGACTATGTATGAGAATAGATAGAAGAATACACCGTGTAAAATTGTTTCACAAGTAGAGCTTCCCAGACGAAAATAACAATCGACAGGCCACGAGTATCTATTGATTCGGTCCCGTCAACTCGTGGGTTGAAGGAACCATATGGCAGTTGACTAGTCTTTCCACGAAAATGGGAGATTTCGCTATGGCATGGCTACTTGTTCCTTTTTATTCTATGGATTACAAAATGATGCCTGAGGCTTCGAGTGCCTGACCCACGTCACATATTCTCAATCCAAAATCATGAAGTATCCTTTCCCATCTACCACTACTCTCACATCGAAAAAGAGCCATCGCCAACATGGAAAGCATTGAAAGGGAATTCATCATTAAGATTAATAACCAATCCGTTGCTTTGCCCGAAAACAACGATGAACCTCGCGTCCACGCGTCGCTCGGCCCAACTTCCCCTGCGGTCTTCACACTGGTAGAGGGTTATTTGAAATCCAGTGGTTGGATCTTGGGGAGAGCCTTGGTTGAGGATCGAAGTCTGCTCCCGAAAAAGGTTTTTTGGTTCGATGAGCAGCATTCGGATCTGGGCTTGATCCAGAAGACTCGAGCTGTTCCTGATGGGGAGTCGTATGTGTTGGAGTTTGCTGGTAAGAGGTGAAAATATCTTATAGTTGACCAAACTGTATACTAATTATTCTTAAGGTGCACCGTTGATTGCTCCTGATGGACTTTTGCTTGCGGATCTGATGAGAGGTATGTGTGATCATTCGCGAAATTGTTTTGCCTATTTTGATGTTTAGGAGATTGACGGAGTATGCTTAGATGAACAACAGGAGGTGAAAATTGTTATGCAATAGGGTATACTTTTCGAAGGGTGACAGCATTACAGCTATTGAAATGCTCTAGTTTTATAAATGAATCTATCTTCGGGGTTCCTAGTATTCAAAGAGATGAATTTATACTGGTATCAGCTTCGTGAGTTGGGCCTCAGGCTCCGTAAAGGTATAATTAATTTCGAAAACTATTGTAGCTCTGTGGCTCGGGGATCTTTATCCAAAGACTCTGAGGCCGTCGTTGCTCTCCAGAACATTATGTAGTCTTGAGTTAGTACTAGAGAGAAATACATAATTTAGAACGACTAATGGCTCCTTGGCAAAATCTTGAGAATACTGTAATTTACGATGATTTACCGCAGGCACCTAGACAATGCAAAGCCGACGGATCTATATCCTAATATGGACTAGTGTGCGGGAGGTGGGGGCCCGGAGATAAAGAAAGAGAGATTGAAGGTAAATCTGATTTCGAACATTACTGTAAAGGAGTGAAAGAGCCAGTATAGAAAAAGGTTTTCCTTGCCCTGCCGCATGGAAAGCCGGGAGCCTGGCCGACATAACATCAATCCTTTCTTTCATCTTCACTAGTCTGATGTTGCATTGAGTCAACTCCAGCCGTTAAATGAGCACCGTGGCTGATCTATCATCGGTCGCATAGTTATACACTCTTCAGCGTGATGGACTTTCCTCGCCTGTAACATACAGGTCTGTAGTGATATCCTTGAAGATATAAACTTGCGGTAGAGTTGCCACATCTAAGTTGATTATGTCCATCGTTCTATTTTTACGAGATGAGGAACTTGAGAAAACCTGATGCGCGTGAAAAGAGACTAAATTCGATATTCATTTCGTCAGGAATATTTGGTACACTATTATGAGAAATTGCCTGGAAGAGTCTCTGGAAAGCCGGTCGAGACTATGTTCAGTGTTCTATGATCTGGACGTGGACCTGGTGGGTGTTGAATTGGGGACTTTCGGGTCGTAGTTGACGGAAAACCTAAATTAGATGCTTTCTGTGTTTTAAAGACCCGATATCGATCCTAGAAATCATTGTAATGCTACTTGAGCTGTAAAATTGATACGACTGGGTTTGATTTAGAATGCTTTGAACTTCTTTAGTAAGTGGAAGAATTCGTGTCAAGGGTTAACCTTGAAATTAATCAGTACCTGAGCATAAAGTCCGGATTACGCTAATGGCTTTTTGAAATATCTATGGGTTGATTCGGCTATTATTTCGAAGGGCTGAAAATTTCAATGTAGATCATCTCATTGTACCTTATTGAAGTGTTTCAGCATGATCATGGTCAATTATTTTCTAGGTAGATCTAGAGAGAACTATCAAATAGATAATCATCGAAATTTCTGTAATAAATATGTTGTTGATGCTAAATTAAGATCGGAGTCTTGAAAAATGCAACCAATTTCATGGCGAACGGTTTCATTGTTATAAATCCTTATAGCACATGGATTCCCGTTGTCTAGTTGCTGAAAGAGCGAAATTTAGGGAAGCAACCTATTTTCTCCAGAACTTAAGCTAAGATACCTGACGGTACTGAAGATATAAAAATTCAATGCCGGAAGAAATATACGAAGAGTAGCCTGGGTACTTCTCACAACCTTTCTCTATCGACCCTGATTCTTGTACACCAGCGGAATCCTCCATCACGGAAGCGACCAAAGACAATATCTCGCAGTATGCGAGTGGCAAGCTAAGCATCGACGAAGAGTATGACATAGATTACAATGACATCAATCATATGGCAGACGAAGCGCAATTCAGATTTGAGTCTTGCCAACAAGTTTTTGACCGTGACCGAAATATCCCGGCTGAGGAAATTATAGGTGATCATCTCGAAAGTGATCTCATAAGGTAAGTCTATGATAACAATCGGTGACATATTGTACAAAAAGTTCTTACACCATCTGATCTAGATTACATTTAAGAGTCAAGTTGGTGACTTGTGCACTATTTCAGTATCCGGTGGGCCATGCTAATGATATAATCCAGGGCCGTCGAAGATCAGTTCCTCTAGCAAAACATTCGGAATGAAAATATCCAGGATGGTATGCAACAATTGGCCGAAAGCTATAATGAAATACAAAATTTGAAAGAAATCATTTCCAGCCTAAAGAGGCAGTTGAAAGAGTTGAGCTCGGAAATAGAGATCAATAAAGAGACCAACAGAAGATATAAGCGGTACTGAAAAGCTTTTCTTCTTTACTATAATCTATTGCCATTAGTCAAGTCTCAAGGGCCTTTTCAGAAGCTGAGAGCCAGCTCGAATCTCTACTTTCAATGATCTAGCAGCTCATATAGTGTCATTCGGTCGACTCACCCAGTTAAGATATTTTAAGAAACATTCCATTCGTCCCCAACCAATATTTTTATCACGTAATATAGGGACCCGAGATTTACTACATGTGGTTGATTTTGCCCTTGCATAGCTCTCCAATACACGGTCATGGATGTGACCTCTCCCTTCATTGCCCACCCCCTGCTATCGCTGTATTTGCATACATCTCCTCTCATTTAAGCCCTCATCCAAACTACCCTCAAGACCCCTCGGCTCTAATTAACTGGCGCAGATCCCAAGCAAAACGCTCACAGTGTCGTCGTCCAGATTCCCAGTCGCGATGTCGAGAGCGCCATCTCTGTTGAAGTCGCCCACTGCAACACTACGCGGGGCCAACCCCACAGTGAAGGGAGTCTGCGCTGAGAAACTTCCTGATCCAGTTCCAAGTAACACACTCACTGTATTGCCGCCCGTATTTGCAGCCACAATATCAAGATGGCCATCTCCGTTAAAGTCGCCTACTGCAACAGCTAATGGCGCCGGCCCCACAGGAAAGCTGGTCTGCGGTTTGAAACTCTCTGATCCAGTCGCAAGCAAGATGCTCACTGTACCATCCTCATTTGAGGTCACAATATCGATCAAGGTATCTCCATTAAAGTCGCCTACTGCGACACCAAATGGAGACTGCCCGACCCCAAAGGTAGTCTGTGCTTGAAAGGTTCCTGATCCAGTCCCAAATAACACGCCCACGTTATTTTCGGCAATATTTGCAGTCACAATATCGAGATGATTGTCTCCGTTGAAGTCGCCTACTGCAACACTAGCCGGAAAAGCTCCTACAGCATAGGTAGTCTGCGCTGAGAAAGTTCCTGATCCAGTGCCGAGTAACACACTCACTGTATGGTCACCGGCATTTGCAGTCACAAAATCGAGATTGCCATCTCTATCGAAGTCGCCCACTGCAATACCAAATGGGATGGACCCTACAGGAATGATAGTCTGCGCTAGGAAAGTTCCTGATCCAGTGCCGAGTAACAGACTCACTGTATCATCGCCCGAATTTGCAGCCACGATGTCGAGATGGCCATCTCCGTTAAAGTCGCCTACTGCAACGCCTAGTGTACTTCCCCCCCACAGCATAGGTGACCTGCGGTTTGAAGCTCCCTGATCCAGTCCCAAGCAAGACGCTCACTGTATTGTCAGAACCACTCGCAGTCACTATATCGAGATAGCCATCTCTGTTAAAATCACCCACTGCAATAGCTTCAGGTAAGGCCCCCACAGCATAGGTGGCCTGGGCCTTAAAGCTCCCTGATCCAGTACATTGGCAGGAGCCTGATGAACAAGTCGATCCAGCTGGGCACTATAGAGACGTTAGCAATGAGCACATCGACCCAAAAGTCAATCTTGAAATATGGTATAAAAATATGGCCTAACTCACAGCATTCCCACAAGTACCACAGTTACTAGCAGAGTTCTGGGTGTTGGTGCAGGCTCCATTGCAAAACGTCAGGCCCGACGCACACTATCGAGCAGTAATTAGTTAGTATGTTGGTATTAATACGACCTGTTTGAAATCAACGTATCCTACCTGACAAGACCCGAGGAGGCAACCAATCCCGATCCCAATTTGCCCAATATCACCACCCTCAGTGTTAATGGTAAGCCCACCACCGTCGCCATTCCCAATATTGTTACCGCCATGGGAAACCTCGCTGCCACCTCTTGGTTTACCCCACATTTTCAGAGCATCTTCACTGGAGAGCGCAGTGACAAGAGCGCAGCACAAAAGGGTAAGAGCGAAGCGCATTTTTGCAGTGATGATTGCTCAAGATAGAAATAAATATATTTTCAGAAGGATGTTGATTTAATCCTGTTGTGCTGACCGGTGTTGTTGTGCTGGCCGGTGTTGTTGTGCTGGCCGGTGTTGTTGTGCTGGCCGGTGTTGTTGTGCTGACCGGTGTTGTTATGCTGACCGGTGTTGTTATGCTGACCGGTGTTGTTATGCTGCTCGGTGTGCTGGAAAAATCTGTCCTGGCTCGCGGGGAGGGCATTACACATATATTGTGTGATCATAGTCATTAATTCAATATCTAGGTTTGTTGTTCCTGAAAAAACGCTTGAAAATGTTTTCCGGTATGTTAATAGCTTCAAACTTTTTCTACACGGACGGCCATCATGGAATGTATTCATATAGGGGTTGGCATGCGTCTAGGCTCTGGAATGCTGGAATTATTTCCAACCTTTCCTATGTGTCAGTGATGTGAACTTACTTTGCATCCCAATAATAGTATTTGCACTGTGATACTTCCAGCCTGCGCCACTAATTCTCTACTGCTTGTCTTTATTATCTATTCATTCACTACTCACGAGCATACATAGTACGCGCTAATGCTCTATCATCAAGATGGCACTATACTTCGCCACCATTTTCCTTATTTCTGTATATGCTGCCTTATTGTATAGCACAGGGTACTAGATACGAAGGCTGAAATTGACACGCGAGACATCAGGCAAGATCATATTGGAATAAAAACACGAAATCTCAAGAGTTGATTGGCGGTCTCCCTGGAACATATCGGCTAGGTGGGGAGCGCGCACTGACAACTAACCAAATACCGCAGAACTCCATTCTGATTGTCGGAACGTTGTGCCGGAATCTTATGCCATGATACCCGTTGAGTTGGTTGGGAAAGTGGTGGCCAGTGGAGCTGGACCGGTTTTCTGGCCTTGTGCACTTGTCTTCGGTGGCGTCAAGCTTCTTCTTGAGGCGGCAAAGGGCGTCTCATCCAAATACGATGCCATCATTGAGCTCATGTCTTCCTTGAAAGTATTTACTCACCTCATTATTCCTTCATTTTACATTTTACCTGGTGACTTATGGATTACATACAGGATTTCACGAATCGCCTGGAGATTTATGCCAAGTACGAGATTTCACAGCACTTGAGACAAAAGCTTGCCGAGATCCTGGCCTCTTTGATCGAGGTGGTCGCATTTGCACGGCAGGAAATCAAACATGGATGGCTCGTTTCGTTCGGAAAAAACATACTGTCAGGGAATGATGCCGCCAGTGTCGCAATGGCGAAGTTTGTCAAGCTTGTACAGAGTGAGACAGCCCTAGTCGGAGCAGAAACTCTTACACAAGCAAAGGAAACGAGCTCAACCCTTGCCCGAATGGATCAAAACGTGATCAAGATCAGCCAGCAACTGGAGAACCTGGAAGTGAGAGGGAAAACAACAGCATGCGCAGCGAGTGGGATTAAACGGATCTTACAACCCAGCTCCAGTGCAGAAGACCGGTTGAACTCGATGGATCGAAGTCGCATTCCCGACACCGGTGAATGGGTTAAACACCAAAAGGAATTCGTTTCTTGGATCAACCGCACCCTCCCAGTCTTGTGGATATCCGGAAACCCTGGAGCAGGTAAATCCTACATTGCTTGCAGCATAGTGAATCATTTGAAAGATTCATTTGAAAACATTGACCCGTTATACGCGGTCTCCATTGGCTTCTTTTCTTCAAAGATGACAATCCAAAGACACGATAAGTACACCAGGCACTGTGCGATATCGCATTTCAGATCGGACAAAACAACCCCGTGTACGCCGAATATCTCGAGTCTTGCATCGATGAATCTGATAACTCATCGTCTCTTTCGCTATCCACCTTGTGGCAGAGACTTTTCATTGATTTCTTTGGCTTATTGCAAAATAGGAATCAAATCTTCTATATCTTATTGGATGCGCTCGATGAGTCCTTTGTGGAGGACCGATTAAAGTTTTTCGAGCTGGCAAGGGATTTACTTTCCACTGGGCACATTCAATTGCTGATGCTTGGTCGACCACAAATCGCAGAGGAGATGAATGACCTCATCGAGCTTCTTCAAGTACTTACCCTCCACGTCTCTGAAGCAAACAATCTGCAAGATATCGTGCAATACATCAACACGCGAGTTTCAAGGTCGATGTATCTAAAGAAGCTTCCAACTTCTTTCAAGAGTGAGATTGCAGAGAAGCTCTCCGCTAATTCACAGGGAATGGTTTGTGAAATGACGCCCTTCTTTCCAGTCTTGTCCCGAGAGCTAATGAATTGTAGTTCCTTTGGGTTGAGTTGGTAATCCAAGAGCTGACTCGCCTGAGAAGTGTTTCGGGTATACAAAAGGTCCTGCATACAGCGCCGAGGGGCCTTTCAAACATGGTAAATCGTATTCTGAGGGGTTTTTCCGAAGCCTTCCAATATGACCCTCAGCATGCGGACGAATTGAATGAGTTACTGGCGTGGGTTCTATCTACCCAAAGACCACTCACCCTGAAAGAACTAGAAAGCATCCTCAAATGGAGAAGCTTAGATGGAAAAGGTTGGATCTGGCTTGAGAGATCCTTGCGCATCCAATTTGCTTCTATATTTTCCGTCAATCGCCAAGATGGAATGACTACAGCAGATCTTCCAAAATTTACCAACGAAGAATCCACTCGCTCAGGAACAGCGTTTAGCAAAGATCTTTTAGATAGTGGATCGACGAGCCTACCTGGGGAACTTGAGTCTCACCCAGAGACATGTTCGCAGCCTAGAGCATCGGTCTATGCTGTACGTTGGTGGCGAATGGCTGACGGTGTATGACTTCAAATCCCGTCTTGAAGTAGAATACGGATTGTAGAAGTCAATAGTGCCTATAAACTGGTTTATTCTGAGATATACGAGGTATGGTCGTCAATGAGAAACTATCTAGGCTGTAAGGGGGTTCGGAGGTCGAAATTATTCTTTTTGGAATACAGCAGATTTGGTACCGGTCTTCAACGAAAGCCCCTTCGAGGCCTCCTCTATCCTAAATGTTGCATCTGTCGTCTATTACCGACAAATTCTGTCGCCGACACCCGAATGCCGCATCCTGTTTGACATGGCGTAGTCGGTAACTCTCAGACAGCTTACTGGAAGGAGGGCAGACCTGCTCATGCCTTACACTTCAAGCACAGGAGGATCTTGCAACCTAATGATATTAATCTCAGCTCGTTTTCCACTCCAGTTCGATAATGTCTGGAGGGGAATTTGTGAGGGGAAGAACGACCCAATGACCGTGTATGCTCCGATCCGAGCACCGCTTCTTGCAGCTGGCAGCTCTGGTTGGTGACTCGGGGTTTGCTCCATGACATCCGAATGTGGGGTTTTGGGGAAACTTGGGGATATACTTTCAACTTTCTCTCTGATTCGGGAAACTCGGTTACATGGACTCGCTCGATCAAGTTTTGTAAGCAACTGCGTAACAATCTAGAATGCTAAGGGTACCAAGTCGGCAACTAAGGAAATATTGGGCCTCTCCCCTTGATAGTATTCGGCCGGGCTGGGGAGGCTTTTGGAGAACCCGCACAAGAGTACAACAACTTGAAGTATACCCAGGTATACTGCTAACCGACCGACCGCATGGCTATAAATCAGCCTTTCCCCAACTGCTCTTAAATCGTGCATTACACATATTTCATCCATGCTGAAATATTAAGGCGCTTTAGCAATTAGCTTCATCTCACCTGATTAATCAAGGTCATCGACATGTCTTTCTCATCCAACAATCAGCTCCATGCATGGGCCTCCCTACCAGATGCACTCGGCGCATCTTTCACCACTCTGAACAACACTTTAAATCATGACAAACAATGGCAAGCTTTTATCGATACTGAGGCAATCCACGATCCGGTGACTATGGGCATCCAATCCACTGGCTCGGACCAGGCCATCCTCGTCGTTGTTGAGCCGGGCCTCCGAACCATTGTCTCTCGTGGCTCCTCAGCCTCTGCCGACTTTGTATTACTGGCGCAGCCGAGTCACTGGGAGAAGTACTTTTCTGCAAGCCCACAAGCGCCATATACTAGTTTTGTTGGCATCCAGGCAAGTGATAAAATGGGTGTTATTTTGGAGGTAGACTTCTTTGCTAATGCTATTCTCAGGGAATGAACATCGTGCAGGACGGTGCCGGCATCCATGGGGACCGCCTCAAATACAGCCAGTTCGCCCACCTAACGACACGTTTACTGGAATTGATACGTAAGGGCTTACATGGCCCAATTGCCGCTGACCAGCAACACGAAGTTTATGAAGACCACATTATTGGCAAATATGTTTTCATTGAACCCCCGGTTTGGGGTAAGACTAAGGTCTTTTATGAAAGCAGTGGTACCGGTCCTCAGGAGATCGTGTTTCTCCATACTGCAGGAAGCGATAGCCGACAATATCACGACGTTATGAATGATCCGTCCATGAGAGCAAAATGCAAGATGATCGCCTTTGACCTACCTGCCCATGGTCGCAGCTTCCCAGGTAAGAATCACATACCTGGGAATCATACCAATACTGAAGAAGCATATGTCGGTTGTATTCGTGAAATGATCAAGGTTCTTAAGCTCAACAAGCCCATCGTCTGCGGTGCCTCAATGGCCGGGCAGGTATGTATTGCGGTAGCAATTAGAGCAGAGGAAGTAGGTGCAGGTGGCACTATTCCCTTGCAAGGATGTGACTTTTTGACCATGAAGCGACAATTCGATGATAAGTCCCCGCTAGTCAATCAGTCCCTCTTCAACCCTGATTGGATTTACGGCATGATGGCTCCAAATGCGCCCCTGGTAAACAAGCAGCTCATCTGGCACCTCTATAGTGCTCAGGCATATGGGATTTTCCATGGTGATCTTGACTTCTATTTTGGTGGCTTTGATGCTCGAGACCGGGTTGCGAGCATTAATGTCAAGAAATGCCCTATCTATTTTCTGACTGGTGAATTCGACTGGAGCACTACTCCTGAAATGAGCCAGGCGACGGCCAAGAAGATCAACGGCGCAAATTTCAAAGCCATGGAAGGCCTGGGCCATTTCCCAGCGACTGAAAGCCCCTCTAGGTTTGTGAGTTTACCCTGAGTTTGAAATTTCCTTAATTTATAACCAATGGCTGACCCACCTTGTAGGTTCCTTATTTACTGGATGCAATTGAGTGGATCCAGAAAACTCGTGAGAAATAAACATCAGCCGAAGCCTCCTTCGGAGAGCTAACAATTTTTGAGCCTGGATGTGTTTTAGAGACCATGTTCCTTTGCTATCTACTGTATCTCTTTTTATAATTGCCTCAATTGACTTTTATCGTGTCTCCATGAATCAGAAATTTTTGAAAGTCTCAAGGGCCATATTTAATATGAAAATATTCCCAATTCTACTATAGATTTCACTTATGTGACACCTATGGGCATGCCTGTAAGGCCCCCCCAAGGTGGCGAGGACCCATAAAAACAAGGCTCGCACTCGATGGGTCCTTCCCAGTAAAGTCCGCCTATCTCCGCCGTGAATACCAATTGAAGAGTGACAATGAATCGCCAAATATCTTATCTCCGTTATCCAAGCCAGCACACAAGGGAGCCAGTTCGACACTGACTGAGTACTTGGAAGAGTGAGTAACATCGATTCATTGAGTCCGCTGATCCCCGCGAGTCATGCAACGACAATACGTCATCCCCGCAATCTTCTGGGGAGTAGCTATAAGTTTAACTTGGGACTCGACGACTTGGAAAAGACCCGTCAAATTTTTGAATCTTGCCTTTATTTAAAGGGGCTACACAGCAGAGCCTCGTAAAACTCCTAGTACTTTTCTCTGTCTTTCATTCGCCAGGTCCTAGCTCACAGGATATCATAATGCCTCTTAACGTTCTGGTTACAGGCGCATCTGGTTACATGTAAGTTTCCAGCATCTTTTTATCCTATCCTTACTTTTGAAATGCATTGACTTCAACATAGCGGGGGCTCTATTGTCGCTGAAATTTTGAGTCTCAAAAGAGGCGGCTCTCTTGAGACCTTGAGCATCCATGCAGCCGTGCGTTCGCTGGAACAGGCCCACAGCTTGACAAAGCTGGATGTCAGTGTTGTCCAGTTGAATCTCAGCGATGAAACTGCTGTAACAGATTACTTGCTCTCCAATGATAGTAAGCACTGCTTTATGTAAATTCTAAAACACTTTCTTTGTTCTGACCATATCTGTTTTATTGCCTACGCAGTTGATCTGGTCATCAACAACGCAACTTCCATTGACTCGCAGATTGCGTCGAGTCTTATTTCAGGGCTAAAGAATCAACGTGAAGCAACAGGGAAGGAGGTCTTTTTCATACAGACGACAGGTCTTTCGGCCTTCGATGAAAATACAAACTGGCCATTCGGAGAGGTGAAAGACACTGACAACGTCTTCGACCTTGAGAGGCAGTCCAGGGATACCTATGTCGTGCGGGAGGTTGATACGTTTGTCATCGAACAGACGAAAAAGGCCGGCGTCACCGGCTTCCTAATCTACCCCCCCAACGCTTCGTAAGCTACACTTTCTCCTATATCGTCAACTTCACATTATGAGAGTACGCTGACCGAATACGAGATGGCCGTGGCTCTGGCACATGGAACCAGCTCTCGCCTCAGATACCAGCTCTTATCCAGGCTAGTATCAAGTACAAGCAAGTATACAAATTTGGTAAAAGCCGAGTGAGTACTTCCTACAAAGTAATCTTCCCTACATAAGATGAATAGCCTAACCGGTGAGAAGGACGCTACTCTGGCACATGTTTCAGATGTTGCGAAATTTTATGGTCAGCTTATTGAGGCTATTTTCTTGGGTAAGGAGCTTCCAGTCGGTGAAAATGGCCATTATTTCCTTGTTTCGCACGTCGTCTCTTGGTGGGACATTATGGATCGACTTGCTGCAAACCTCCACGCACGGGGCTTGGTCACAACGGCATCCACTAAGGTATGGCCGTCTGACGAAATGGCGGCCGAGTCAGTTGGAGTACCGACTAGATTTGCCCACAGCATGTGGAACTCAAGGCGAGTTAACTAGCTCAATCATTGCTTTAGCTAAATGGTTTTACTAATGGGATTCAAGCCCGAAAGTACTATGTGAGAAAGGGAAAGTTATTGGATGGAAGCCCGTTTGGACGGGGGAGTCGTTTCTAAACAGGCTTGACCAGGAGGTCGATGACTTTCTGGAGTTGGGCTTACCCAAGAGCAGTCTCCTATCTTCACTGAAGCCAGTTTCTGGGCACGGTATGAACTGATAGCAGAATGCGATATACGTTACGTCCCGATCTCGCGCGACCGGGACTAAGCTCTTTTCGGGGTGGATGATATAACGAATATTGTGGTCAAGAATCCGGGTAGAGGATGGTACTTGGAAATATTTGGTCATTTCCAAGGTTTAACTTTCATTTCGCGTTAAATATTGTTGATTGGAACCTCAGAAGCCGCCTTGGAAAGCTCCGATATCCGAATCTAGACCAGACTCAAAGCATCACTCACTGGTACAACATACTGCTCCCAGTCATTTAAATCCGAGGTAGACGTTCGTACAGGCTCCGAGGACTTTGATATGCTGAAGTCTCGGGAATTCCAAACCTGCTCAATAACCACACGTGTCCGATGAACACTCGAGACACTACTCATGGCCATTGATTCGAGTAATTCCAACACAAGCCTTCTCCCATTGGTAAATGAAGCAGATTCTGGATTAGACAAAGGCTCAACGTCAAGCGGATCCGACTCCACAGCAGCAACGAAAAGAGGCCAGATAAGTTGGCATACTGCTTCCAATGCTAGTAACTCTTGAATCTCCGTCATTATCTTTCTTACCAAAATCTTGATCTCCGGGTCCGATGGTCGCCCGCCATATAGCGCGCATTTCAGAAAAACGATACAAGAGAGTTTCTTTACTTCGGCAATTCTAGTGATTGACTGGTCTTTTTCATTGGTACGGGGTTGTTGCTCGAGCCTTTCGAGCCTGTTTTTCAACGTGGCAGCTCTAGTCTCAAATGTCATCAGGTCATCACTCAAGAGCATGGACTGTCGTGACCGACTGAGATCCATCACCGAGAATAATATTGAGACAAGCGCAGGACTGCACCCCATCCATGGATTGATCGTTGTATCTGTTTCATCCCAGTATCTTGGGCCGAAAAGGTCTGCTTTCGCACAAGCTGTTCGCCCCATCACGTCTTGAAAGGCAAAGAAAAGCTCCACAAATGAAGACACTTCATCTTGCTGCAGGTCTCCATTTCCGCGGGTTGAAATCTGCAGTTGTCGTCTTCGAAGTCGAATAATATCTTTCGCTCCTTGGAGATGAACAATCCATTGAGGGTTACAGTAATCCACAATATCGAACATACATAAAAACATCACGATTACCAAGATTTCAGGGTCTGATGCTAACAAAGCGCCTCGGTCAACACTGATTTGTTTTCGGAATTCTCTAAGAACTCGCGACTTTAATTGTAGACTGATGTTGGTATATTGAGGGTCGTACTGGGCCCAATGGCAGGCGGCCAGGGCCTGGATTGCGCGTAGAACTGTGGGCGTAGCTGATGCGCAATAGGGAAGTATAACTGATGCAAATGGCGATTGTGAAAGAGGGCTATGCACTGTCCTAGGGCACATATGATTGATATAGTAGTCGAACAACGAGCGGTTTCCTATCTCATCCAGTGATGGGAAAATCGATAGAGATGATGGAAGGGTCTGCACTGACGCCCTGTCTACACCCTTTAACAGACCGGAAGGAGAACTTGACCTCGAGGTTGATAGACTTGGCTCACGAGGCCCTTGCTCACCAATTGCCAATTTGACATCGAACGCTGGCAAAAGCTGTCGTTTGGTGTGGCCTTGCTCTTCATCATAAAGTCGTCGGATTAAGGACACATCGTTGTTAAGGAATGTCCAGGATTGAATAGTCGGAGTCGCAAGCCATGTAGTCTCTTCCTGGACGGCTGGGTCTGATTCTGTCGAGCGCGTTGGAGACTGTCGATTCTTGGGTGCATTTTTGCCCCAGAGCCCAGACCTGCCAAAGGCGACCCCACGATCACGGTAGCTCGATTCCCATTTCAGTTGAAAGTTGCTCGAGCACTGCAGATCTTTCTGCCAGCACCGGGTGCAAATTGGCTTGTGCTCATCGCATTTGACCTTGCTTCGGCGGCAATTTGTGCACCCATGTTGAGAACGGGGAGATGTCTTGCGGTCGCTTTTTCTTTGTTGTTGTTCCATCTTTGCCTATTCCGCGTATACGGCCAACGGGAGTCTTGGTTGATAGTTCATGAATTTCATGCCCAGGCCTTCCCCTGGTCAATTTAGTGCTTTGCGCTTGATTACTCAGTCGAGGAATTTAGCCGGATCATCCGATTGTTGGAAGAAGTGCTCTGCCTCAGGCTCTCCGATTGGACGAGAGAGAAGGAGGGGCAATTTTTCCATATCATTCATGGAGTTGGTACACGCATTTTATGGAGAAGAAACATTCAAAGTGGATGGTTGAATTGACCTGACTCGGGCTGGTCGGTAGAACCCGCCTGTCAAGACTGATGTCAGCAATCTGGAGTGTGGCAGGTCGAGGCGATGGCAAAGTTCAAAGCGGGGCAAACCACCGGGTTATAATTGGTTGTAATCCATGAATGCATCGATTCCTCTACGGAGTGAGTACTCCGTAGTAAACTAGGCTTCAAATGTTTCTGGAGAAAGCGGAACAGATACCAGACAGGCCGATTGGAGATGAGCGTTCGAACCATAGTTGAAGTCAAAGCTCCAAGGTTTGCAGTCCACTATAAATACATTAGCTTGCCCCCTCTCTATTGCCATCAATAATCTTTCAGTCGTGGTGTATCAAATTAGCACAGATTCACTCAACCTCAGATCAATCTTCTAGTTCAACCATGCCTTTTAATCTTCGATGGGGCATTCTTGGTATGTCCGATAATCTTGTTCGAATTACCGGCATTGAATTGCTCTTACTAGTGCTGACTTCCAGTTTGACGTGCCTTAGCCACGGGCGGAATTGCAGAAAGTGAGATAAATAAACTCGATCAAAACTCCTCGCGAATAAGGAAAAGCTAACTTCGTTGAATTTTAGCCTTTGTGAAAGATTTGTTGCTGGATCCGACAAAAAGAGGAGTTACAGACGTCACCCATACAGTAGTCGCCGTGGCCTCATCTTCCTCCAAATCGTCGGCGGATTCATTCGTCGAAAGGCTCCAAGTTCCCGCACCATGTGCAACCTACGGATCTTACAAAGAAGCTGTTAATGATAGTAATGTGCAAGCAATTTATGTGGCTAGCCCACACTCACACCACTTTCAGCATGCAATGCTAGCACTCGAAGCCGGAAAACATGTTCTTTGTGAGAAGGCCTTCACCGTGAACGCAGCCCAGGCCAAGATTCTCTGCGAAACTGCCAAGGAGAAAGGTCTTTTTCTCATGGAAGCTGTGTGGACCCGATACTTTCCGCTTAGCATCCAAGTGCGACACCTGGTGCAGTCCGGAGCAATTGGCGAGGTTTTGCGTGTGGTCTCGGACTTGAGTATCGGGGAAGAACCTGAGACTTCTTGGGACTCTTCGCATCGCATGGTTAACAAGGACCTGGCTGGTGGTGCCTTGCTTGACTGTAAGTTTGATGTATTTCCCAGTTCGTGGGGCTTCATGTATAGTTAGCTAACCTTCTTACAGTGGGTGTTTATGCTCTTACCTGGGTATTCCAAATTCTTTACCACACTTTACCTCGCTCTCAGCGGAAAGAGCCATCCCAAATCGTGTCGCATATGTCCAAGTATCCTCAGACTGGAGCGGACGAATCGACAACCATGCTCATAACATTTCCTACAACAACGCCATCGGCTCTTTCCAACCGAACCTCCGAGGCTGTGGCAATGACGGCCTTCCGCGTGGCCACAGATCCAGACAACCGTGGCTCTGCGGGTCCCTCCATTCAGATTCAGGGAACTAAGGGCCATATCCTGATCTTCGGCCCTGCTTACGGTCCAGAGCGATACCGCGTGGTGCCGAGTAGTGGGTCAGGAGACCCGGCAACAATCCAGGATGTCCATATGCCTATTCCCGGTGGTGCGCGCGGCATGTTTTGGGAGGCTGATGAGGTCGCTCGTTGTTTACGTGACGGGAAGCTTGAGAGTGACACCCTTCCTTGGGATGAGAGTATCGCGATTATGAAGGTAATGGATGAAGTTCGGAAACAAGGGGGGCTAGTATATCCGGAGAACATCGAGTCGACAGTCTACCCATTGAATCTCTGATGCAAGAAGGAACCTTAGAAGTGACCTTGAAAGGATTATCGTGATTCAAGTTGGCAAGTTCCAGGGATTAGAACTTGAACTTGGAAGGGACACTACCTAGGTACTTAATAGCAGTACCAGGACTAGTTAGTATACTAGTAGAACTTCTGAATATATATTCGGCCCACCTAGGGGGACACTTTTGACTAAATCTATCACGCGATCACATCCAAGTTGACGGCTGGTACTTGTAGATAAATCCAATATACATGCATTTCAGATGATCTAGTTCTTATACCCCATTGCGAATTTACCAACGAGTTAAGCATGGATTTGTACTTCAAGGCTAAACCCGCGATTCTGCCCCATAATGAAAAAGGCCCTTTTTAAAAAAAAAAATTTACCCAATATCAATTCATCACCACAGACCGCCTTCTATAGATTGATCTTTAGAATTTCCGATGTGGGTCACCACTATCCGTAGAATGCGCGATAATTATCATTCCTAGCATACAGAAACCATAAGAAGATTTTGTAGGAACTGGCCCATGATTTATCCGCAATTGATCAATTTAAGGCCTTCCCCTCATTAATCTAAAGATACCGCCACTCTTCAACAAGCAAGTCTCCGTGGCGCAATTGGCTAGCGCGTTCGACTGTTAATCGAGAGGTTGGAAGTTCGAGCCTTCCCGGGGACGCTTACTTTTTGCTTTTGTTTTGCCATTATCCCGACCAAAAGGGTGCGGCGGTCGGGTTGTTTGTTGGTGGGTGGGGTGATGGAGATGAACTTTTTTGATATGGTTGAATTAGCCGCGGGGGACATAACTCTCTGACTTAACTGTCTGCGCAATGTGGATTCTTATCTACTGGTAGTAGCACCAATGTAATCTGTACCTTGGTTATAATGTGGAAGGTCAAGCAGAGGCCCCATGAATTACCCAGACAACACCACCTGGGTATATAGCACCACCTGGGTATATAGCTGCATGAAAATTCTCATGCTATCTGCATGCTAGTAGTGTTGATCAGTAGACTATACAATAATTGAGCCTCCCGGCCGTCTCCGCATTGCGAAGCTTGAACTAGCTAACTCCCAATAGAACCATAGAGGCTGCGTCTATAAAACGATCTATCCAAAGACGGGACTTCCCAGAAGAAACGAAAAGAAAAGAAGATAAAAAGATCTCCCTAGCAAAAGAAAACCAGCATATCTCATATCTACAACAGCAAAAAAAACAAACCCAAACCCTTTTTCCAACCTCCCCTAAAGATCCGTAACCAAAGGCGTCGTAACCGGCACCGCACTCGAAGGACAAACACAAGCAGTAACAGACGTAACCGGCGGCACCGTACAATGAGGACTATCCGTCCAAGCAACACTCGAACTCGTCACAGGACCCCGACCACCCCCCTTCTTCTCCGCCTTAACAAGAACAGGAATGACAGCACCAGTACTAAGCGAGAAAGTCCTATGCCCCAAAACCCTGAGGATCGAAGAAATTTCCCCCCGAATGCGCCGTCACCGAAACAACCGCCTCATCCTTCTCCGATGCAGATGTAAAAAACACCTCATTCAGCGCTGTCGTGCTTCGCACATCCTGCGCAGCACTCGTTTCACCCGTTACCCCGTTCCAAAGTTCATCGTCCTCGGTGAAACCGGCCTCAATTGCCCACTTGGGAAACAAGTTGTGAATATAGCTTCGACTAGAGCGGTGATCGCAGGTATGAATGCTGATACCTTCGCGGAAAAGTTCTTTGACGAGGGGGTTGAAGGGGGCTGCGGAGCGGGGCAGGGATAGATCTGTGAAGGTGTAGTTTGCTGTTTGGAGGGTTCGGGTGAGTGGGCTGACGAAGTAGTTATCTGGTGTGTGGATGTTTTGTTCGTTTATGAGCTTTTGCCATAGATTGTGTGCTTTTAGGGCTTGGGTTATGCCGTTTTCTGTTAGGGAGGCGTCTTTCCAGGTGGTTGTGCTGTTTCCGTCTAGTTCGGCCCAGTAGCACTGAGAAAATGTGTTAGGTCAATTCAATTCAATTATTGGCTCTGTGTGGAATTTGATAGGTGGGTTTATTTTCGCGGAGATGGAGGAGGTTTGTTGTAGATCGATACTACGTTCCCCTCCTCTCAATCCCCACATACGCGGGGAGATCGCGGGCAAATAAAGGGGGAAATGGAGGCGGTACTTACATTCCATGCCGGTGTGCCGTAGAAAGTCTCCGCGGCATTGTGATAGCCCTCGCCGTGCCGACCAAGGAAGAGGACCTTGTACTCGATATCCTTGTGTGAGTCTTGGTTGAGCTTCTGGACCTGGTGGTAGAAGCGTTCCCACTGGGAGTAGTCGCGGTGTTTCTTTAAATGGCTGTCTGCGGGGTATGTGCGATTGATCAGACCGAAATTAACAGCCGCCTAGACAGAGAAGAGAGAGAAAAGAGATTAGATATGATCAGATGAGGCCAATGTCCAAATAGCTTGAAACAAGCCCGACATAGTCGAAAGTTGGATGTAGTAAGTAGTAGTTATTTGGGAAGGTCATACATAATCAAAGGTCGATGCATCAGTTGAGCTCTCATCCTGCAAAAAGTATCCCGTCTCTGTCGAGTACTCCACAGTGTAGGCAGCCACCGAGGCAGTGAGACCCAATAGGGCCGGGGTAAGTGTTGTGAACTTCATTTGGCTAAGAAGTATACACTTGAGCTTCCGTTAAACGGTAGCGATAGTGATAGTGAAAGTGGTTGCCGAAGGGATGAAGGTGGAGGATGCCTTCGAGCAGGAAAAGTAGTTTTGAGTTTAGAGATCGGCATCGGCTCTTTATAGCAAGAGAAAAAGAAACGGCTCTTAGCTTGCAGGTTCTGTTCTTTAGGTAGTCCACGGGTATAGTAAATAAACGAGGATGACAGGTGATGACGAAGAGCCCCGCAGTGGAGTCGGGAAGTTGAAGTTGAGGGAGACCGGCAGTCCAGTCGAGTAGAACACGTGCTCACCACCCCCAGGTCGGCTGGATGAATTTCGGAGATTAAGATACTATCTAGGATTGGTTTACTAGTAGTAGAGCAGAGGAGAGGGCATTGGTGGAAACAGGACATATTTTGCTGAAACGACTTTATTTGACAGACATCACCCCCCCCCTTTCTTGGATTATGACACAGGGAAAACAAGAGATCAAAAAGAAACAAGAGAAAGAGAAGAAAGTTATAGACGTGACAGTATGTATCAAAGAGCCAAGTGCTGATATGCAAGATCCAAATCCCAATACAAAGTCCGTTCCAAAAAAGTGGGAGATAACCAAGAGCAATGAAGAATAAGAGGTGTTTGTGTGAGAAGTGAATAGTTTTGTGAAAAAAAAATGTAATCTTGAGTCGACAAGTGCGAACTCAACAGAATTAAAAGGTCGTATCGGACACCAAATATAAATTCCCAGGCCAATAAGCACAAATGCAAAGATTGCTCCGAATATGTAAGAACCCCGGTGGAACCACACCCAATAAACAGACAGAAGAAGAGAAAGCATATGTAGGAAAGAGTGAAGGAAAAATGGGTAAAAGTGACAGTGTTTTCTCCGCGTACGGAGGGTTGGAATCCACAAAAAAATACCAAGGGCAAAATATCACAGAAATAAATCAAAAAATAAACAATCGCAGGGGCGAGACGATGCGTGGCGGTTCGTCCCAGACAAAAAGCGTATTTATCGCGGCACATTTCTCATTCATATCCATCTAGACGAGGAAGACCATTAGGAGGGATAGTTGATCGGAGTCGTGTTGTTGGCAAACGTGTATGCCTTCGGCCTGTGGACCGAAGCCAGATGCGCAGAGTAGCCATCATGCTGCTGCTCGGCAAAGTCATGCATCCTGAACTCAGCTTGTTTCCTCTCATCCATCGACCCTGCCTGGTTAACGTCTTCAACCGAATAGATGAGTGACGGTGACCCGGACACAGGCTCCATCCCAAAGGCCTGGCCAGTGTGTTCAACAGCCGCATCGTAACCAATGGGGGACACGGTGGCGGAGTGTGGTACTTGCAGACCGCTCTGGAATTCCGGCGAAGAGAGCGAGCCCGTGTCTGCCCAGCTTCGAGCCGACATGGGGACCGGATCGCAGCTGACGTACTCCGGGAAGGTCGAGACCTGGGCCGGGGCAGACATCGGCGGGGCAACGTTCTGATATGTGAAAGGAGAATAGATGTCCAGCGGGGTAGTAGGAGGAGAGGCGATGTTGACTTGCATGGGCTGAGAGGTCGGGAAGAATTGAGTTGTGGAGTGAGCCGAAAGGCAGTAGTTACTCTCAGTCGGCGAGGCGGGCATGAAGTGTTGGAAGTCCTGAGGTGTCAAGGGGGTTGGCGGAGCCAGATTTGTGGATGAGACGGATGGCCGCAGCATCTCGGCCTTGCTGGACTTCATGGAGCCGGACTCGGCGAAAGTGAAATTCAACGGGGAGCGCTGAGCAGCAGAGGCCTTCCGCACACCGGCATACCGGTTGTTGAGGCTCTGGGCCGACTTGGAGTGTCTCATCGAGTTTCCGGCACCGGAGCTTGGAACCCGGTTGGTAGGCGACAGGGAAGACATGGAAGTCGACGCGGCCAACGAACGGGTGTTGGAAGTGCCAATTGCAGCAGGGCGGGGGCGTTTACGTCTCGCGGCGAGATCGAGTTCTTTACCGGACTTCTCCCAAGACGATCCACCGGCTCTGTTCAACGCTGGCATACCCGACTCAGACGTACAGATTCCAATGCCGTTCAGGGTGGTGGACAAAGCATCGGACGACTCCCGTCGAGAAACGGAGATATCGGGTGCCTGCATGGGGTATTGCATGTTGTAGCCCATGCCGGCATCCGCTCCCATGTTTTGAGGGGACATGTGCTCCTTATGGGCTTCCGTCCACTCCTCGGTCTGGTATTGGGCTCCCGAGTAGGCGTTTGCATTTTGCTGTATAGAGTGAGAAGAGGTGGGCACCTCAGGAATGGATTGGTTGGCGGGGTGGAATGAGGATGTCTCGGGCTGAGGCTGGGACTGTTCCCAGGAAGGTTCATCCTTGACGCCAGCCCAGTCGGCGTACCCCGAGTTGTAGATCGGTTGCCTCTTGCTTTCGTGTGACTGAGGGGCCGCGGCAGGCGGGGCCATGGTGGTGGGTGAGATGGGCTCTTCCTCTGGCACGGAATCCGGCTTGCGGGAGCCTTTACGGGAGAAACGGGTGCGCGCCGCACAGGCTGCATTGAGGGCCCGCTGCAGGGATGCGAACGTCGCCTCGCGAGCTGACTCGCTCTTCGTCTTGTGGTGCTTCCCCTTGGACGGGGAATCGGAGTGTGTGACGTTCTCGGGGGTAGGGGTGGGGGTAGCAGAGGATTGTTTTGGGGTGGGAGGCTGCTCGGACTCTTCCTTCGGGGCGGAGGACGACTGTCGCGACTCAGACAGATGTTGATCCAAGGTCTCGGACTTTCGGCGGGCGGCCTCCTCGGCCTCGGCCTTGGCCTTTTGCATCTTCTCGAATTCCTCCTGGCGCTTCTGCTGCTTGGCCTTGGCGCGTCGATTTTGGAACCAATTCTATGATGGGATGATTAGCACGGATTCTTGACGGGGAATGTGGTGGGCGGCAGGGGTGGTGACGTACAGCCACGCGTGGCAGGCTCAGATTAGTTTGAGCAGCCAATTGACGCTTCACATTGCTGCTCGGTTTGGGGTGAGCCTGGAATTGAGCCTCAAGGGTCTCGACCTGCTCCTTGGTCAAACGCGGGCGTGAGAGATTCTCTGTGTATTCGTCATAGTCCATGATGGGCTGGTGATAGTAATCGATCATCTCCATAGGCGGATGAGGGTAGAGGTAGCCATCGATGGGATGCATCATCGGCGGGGGCATCATAGAAGGGTCGTAGGCCATGTTGTGGTCCATTGGGATCCCCGAGTGGGCGGGATAGTTCCATGAGGGGTGGATATAACTCATGGCGGCGGGAAGGAGTGTTGAATAGATACAAAGGAGTGTATAAGTGGGAGGAAGGGAGATCGCTGTAGAAGGAGAGGGCAGCGAGGAAGGCAGGAGGCTATATCAGAGGGATAGAGACATGCGGTGGGTGTTTGACGAGGGTGGTTGTTGTGGTGTATTGTGATTATATGAGGCGATGAATGGTGGAATAAGTCGGAGCAGTTGGAAAATCAAACAGGAACAGCAGTATAAGAAACCCGGTAGTTAAGGAAAGACGGGGGTAGATCAGATCGAATCAAAAAGGAGTGTATGGCGTAAAAAAAGAAAAGAAAAAAGAAAGGAAATATCGCGAAGTGATGAAAGAGGAAGAGAGAAAGTCGGGGGGGGGGGGGAAAGAGAATGGGGTGTGCTGGTGGTTGCTGCGGTCCAGGTCCAGGGGTACGGTAATGGTAATTGGTACTGGTACTGTACACGATGGACAAGATGGACACGATGGACAGTTCGGAGATGTGTGAGATCTGATCGTCTCCATTTCTGGTTAGTCTACACAGACTTCATCCCCACTCGGGGCCCGTGGAGTGCGCTACCGCCCGCGCGGTTCTAGGGGGTGGCGTAGAGAAAGTGCAGACGTGCATACATGGCTGAGGTGAGTGCCGAGTACGGAGTATGCCTACAGTGTAAGTGTAGTGTATAGTGTACGGTTGACAGAGCCATGTCAGTATGTACTCCGTAGTATCCTAGCTTTCAGCTGAGATAGCTGAGCGATTGGGATCTGGCCTGCCTGCACACATTCCGATCTCGCCGGAGCACATGGGGGATGCTAATCAACGCTAGATCCAACCGCTGTTTGAGAATGCCGGTCCACCTGCTCCTGCTCCAGTCACGGAGATACGCACAAAGTCTAGTACATACATACTCATCAGCAGGATATAATCCGCAGATCAGTATAAGAGTACTACTCTATGCTTACGGTGAAACTAAAGAGTACAAGTATTATATACTCGTACTCGGGGTATACTATAGTAAGTCAACAAGTGATCCATGGTTCAGGTACCCAGGATATGGCGCCCGGGTACAGTTCCCGCGTATGGTACCGTGGTAATCTTACCGTCACGCGGTTTGTCTCCCTTCCCTTTCCCTTTCCAGTTCCTGCATTAGCGTCAGTTCACGTCCTCTCGAGTCCATTCTCCATCTCACTTGAAGACTTTCGGCTCTCCAGGCTTAGTGGGTCATGGTCGTGGATCATTTTGTTTCTTCTTCTTTTTCTTTTTCTTCTATTTTTTGCCTTTTCCTTTTTAGTATGCCCCAGTATGTCCTTGGCTCTGACCTTCCACGAGTCAGTCCAGCGTTATGCCAAACCTCGAACCAGAGCCTCGAGCCACAGCCTGCAACCATGCACTGCGGTACGTCGTCACGGTGATTGGGCCTGCATGATTCACGCCCATTGGGTGCAAAGGCGCCCTTCTCCCGTCGAGTACGAGCTCCCCCTTTCGAAACATCCAAACACCCTGCCACAATTCCGACCGACTGGGTCTGACGAGATCGGATGCGCTCCCCGGCTCGACGATGAGGGCCGATCACCATGCGGAGCATCGATGATGTCGACCCGAACGCACTATTGAGACCTGAAGCAACCTGTCTGTCAGCTATCTGTCAGCGTGCCCACCCGACACCATCACCCTGCAAAATTCCAGCCTTGGGAGTGGATTGGCAGCCCGCCAAGCCGAGCTAAACATCAATAGTTGCTGATCTCTCCAGAGGATCTACGAGCTTTGTTTGGCGTTTTTTCCCTTTTCTTCTTTGCCCTTGGCCCTTTTTACCTTTTCGTGCTTTTTCCCCCCTGATCCTCCTCCCCTCCGGCCGGTTCCCTTCCCCTCAGTGACACTCTCCCGATTTTCCTAGGCTCCATTGTTTGACCCGCAGCGTAACACAAATCGTGACTCTGCCGGCCCAGCAGTCTGGTTGGCCCTGGTCAACTCGGCGCTAAACGCCCTGGATCAAGAGGCTCCCTGCACTTCAAGTCACGAGGGGTTACGCCACAATATCTGGCTCGCCTTGCCCTGTCTTGCCCTGTCTTCCTTGCCCCTCATGCAGCAAGACGCACATGCAACCCACTCGAGGTCGTCCTTTAGACCTACGGGCCTGCAGGAAATGACCTCAAGACTGGCCTTCCTGACCCTGCGGTGTATTCTCGATCGAACGTCAAAAACGCTCGAGCCTTAGCCTCGCTGCATCATCCCAGCTTTCTCTCAACGGTCGCTTGGATCTTCCTTTCATGCCGCTCTCCGGGCAGGCATACGTATCCTTGACGTCGATTCCACGAACTTACCTACCTTCACCGGCTTCGTGATCTACTTCGTGACAGGAAAACGTTGCACAGCACCCCCTGTTTAGAAACCTTAAAGAACGGAGTCGGCCATGTTCCGCTCTGATCATTCACAATCCGGATAAAATGGTAAGTATGTACTAGTATGTATGTGCCGTGCCACCCGATACTTCGTACCCTGTCCCAAGTTTTGGTGCTTCGAGCTCCATATAGTCCGGCATTGTACGGATAAAATTGGGATTGGGGGAGAAGTCCCGGTCCAAGAGAACCTTTGTTCAAGGCAAAAAGCACACACCTACCTTCTCTCTACTACCCCCCTCTTGGTGATCCTCAGGGCGATCTGCTGTTTTGCTACCCGAAGCACATCCGATGCACCATTAGGCTCCGTTTGATCGAGTCGATGCACCACTCATAGTCCGTCCGGGGACCTGGAGTGGGGGGAGTTCTCTCTCTCCCCGGAGAAAATGGAGGAAGCCATCTCGAGAAGGATCCTATTTAGGTAAGAGTAGATCCACGTCAATCCGATGGAGCAGACAACGTGGCTACGGGGCTCCGTGCCCTCGAATTCCAGAGCTGCGAACTCTAAACAGCGCACGTCCTGGATGCACCGTACCACATCGCACCATCCAAACTCCATGGCAGTCACGGCCGGAAGCCGTGGAGTGAGTGACGATGCCGTGATCGACTTGACTGATGATCGCCGTCAGTCCTATTCCTTCTTCACGTGCAGTAGGGCGGCTATCATGTTGCAAATCACATCTAACTCATTCGGTCACTCGAGTGCTAGTGGACAATTGTCAACCTTCACTTATCACCCACCACTCATCACCATTCCACACGAGTTTGGGACCATGGCTCAGCGAGCAGCCGGATCCACTGCGCACATGGTCACCCGAGGTGCCAGAATTTCAACTCCTTAGCTCGAGTATAGCCAAGCCTCAAAGACCAGTAGTTCTCTCGATGTAGACAGATAGTCCCCGCCAAATCGAGAATGACCCCCCTCCACCACCTTCATCACTCCATCACCTCCATACATTTTCATGGAAACCCCCACCTGGTCGGTGCTATGGAAATCCCTGCGGATCCCATGGCGTGCATGGTCACTCCATCCCTCCATCCCCCCACTATACCGTATTCCGTTCGTTATGTGATCTCCGCCAACTCCGTCACCCAGGGAGGATCTGCACTTGACGTCCCCCTGGATTGATCTGCAACGCGCCCGCTCGGATCCCTTCGCCCCCATCCGACTATTGATTGGATCTGGCGTGAACCGTTGCGGCGGATCCTAGTATCTCAAATATCGGAGACTCTGAGTGTGTATTCATGCTTTCGTCGGCTAAAGCAAGTCCCCTCCCTCCTCCCTGTCCTCCCAAAAACGCACGGTGCAGATACGGAACACCCAGAGGAAGGGGAGAAAAGGGAAATAGAACCAAGACTAAGGCCCAAGGCCCCAAAATGATCGCCAGAAAATTCCCCGACTTTTCCGCACCAGCATGATCGATGAACAAGTGTGACGACAAGAAACTTATTTGCGCCCGTCGTTGCTTTGCCCCCTCTCTCGCGGGTCTTGTACTGTACTGCTCTGGCCTGTCCTGTCGATGCCTAAAGAAATATCACGTCACGGCTTGGCATGGCAGAGCATAGCCTGGGGGATCCTCAGATCGACTCAGATCGACTCAACCCGACTCCTCTTCCCCGTCCGCAGCAATCGACACCGATTTGCGCCAAGTACTCAAGCGCCGCCCGCGATGGGCCGTGGCGGTACTCCGTAAAGAAGATACCCCGTCCATACTCCATAAATACATACAGTTTTGTATATCCGTACCTTGGTGCCTGGTCACCCCTGGATCAGAACGAGCCAGCGAGAACGAGCGAAAAAAAGGAAGAATAGGACTCGGACTCTTGTCTGGTCAGACCCATCTGGCCCGTCTACAGTACATACATAGCCCACCCACTTGACTCGTCATTTTCCCTCCCTTTCTGCAGCGGGTTCGGAGTATTTCGGTGACAATAGTGCGCGCGGTGGCTGAGATCTCGAGCGCAAACTTGAAATGTGATCGATCCACCATCCACCACCATCCACCACCCCTCTTCCTAAATTAAACCCACAGCCCACAACAGAACAGAACACAACCCCTTCCCTTCCCTTGGCTGTGGCTGTGGCTCAGCTGAATCGGATTCGGAATCTGCCTGTGGCGGTGCGCAATGTCCCGCGCAGATATCATCATGCAGCTACTGTGCTCCATACGTATCAAACTAATGCACTGCTAGGGGCTTGTCAGGGTCCCAGGCCATTGTCCCGCGACCAACTATTTGTCAAGACTCAACCTGGGTAGACTAGATCTGCGCGAGGGTTCTTCTTTGCTAAGTACCGGGTAAACGCTACACATGCAACACGATGATCTGGGAAGGAGATCGAGGTCTCAGCGCCACAATCCTACCTAATTCCGGGAGTTTCATACGCTACTCTACCTGCAGGGATTCCTTTCGAGCCACTGCTGCCACTGCCACTGCCGTTCAAATCAGAGCTGACCCGATGCTGTGGTCCAGATCGGAATCCGAGCAAAAGGAAAGAAGAAGAAAAAACAAACAAACAAGGTACTGTAGCAAAAGGATTAACAGAAACAGAAACAGAAACTCTGTTCATGTATGTGATGAAGGTGCATCCGCCACCACCGCCATCACGCATGCCATGAGAGGTAAAGGTAATGAACGAACGAGTCGGCTGGCAGGCGTTGACATGTACGCTAAAATGATCACCAAGTGATCACCAAAGACGCCTTCTTTTGGCTACCGTAGGTAGATCTGGACAGCAGGTGGTGGAGATCTCTCCCGCTTTTTACAGTCTGCACAGTATCCGTACTTCCTTGACAACCCGATCGATTCTGACATTCAGCAGTCTGCGTTTTACCTACTCCGTATGTAGAGAGAGAAGCATTTTCCGACCCGTGCGCCGCACCGCACCGCGCTGTGCGCAGATGCAACCCTTCCTTCCTTCCTTTCTTCTTCATCATAATCTCCCCGCCCGTCCCCCTTGCATGTCCTTCTCACCGAGAAGCTCTGCAACTGGACGATTGGGGAAGCTCCAGCTCCAGCTCTCCGCCCGTTGCAGGCAGTTTTATCCTATAGGAAGTCTTCCTTCGTGTTTCCCGTCTCGTCCCAATGCTCCGCACGGCACTGCTTCGCTTCACTTCGCACGCCCTGTCGGCTGGACTTGTCCTGTCCTGTCTGTCCTGTCTGTCCTGTCTTGTTGTGAGTACAGACTGTAACTTCTGTATACCGTACATAAGTACCGTACGTATTGTAGCTGCACAAATCACAGCTACTCGTACAGTTAAGGCCTTCGTTGCCGGGGCATAAAATACCCTCGTGAACGGCTCTTGGATCGGCTTGCAGATGTCTGCAGCTCCAGTCGGACCCGATGTATTTTATTTCCTCTACTTACATACACCGAGTACTCACTACGTAAGTACTCTGTACTACAGTACATAACCTACTGCTGTATGTATGTTTGTATGTATGTACTCGTAGCTACCAGTGCTCTCTCGCCACTAGCACATGTGCACTAACCGCAGCTACTCAGGTGAACACGCACGCACACACATACAGACACGGCCCTAGTTGGTGGTTACTGGTTGCTGGGCAATCTCGATCTCAACTCGAACTCGGAGGGAAAGGGAGCAGAGTGACGTCGAATTCGGGACGATCTCGTCCTAATATTCGCCCCGTTCATCGGGGTGGCCAAATCAAACAAAACCAACCCTGCATGAACTGTCGTTCGCAGCTAGTTACCGGGGTGTCCCTGATCTCTGCATCACGGAGACCGCTGCAGTTGCTTGCAGTAGTAAGCCACCTAGGTCCAAGCCAAGGCTCAAGCCAAACTTCGAACATTCCCATAAGCTCGTTGACTGGCCTTGTCAAGGTCAGCTTTGTCGTTATGTGCATGGTATATGTATGTAGGTCTGGCCCGGCCCTCTCTGCAAGGACTCGGATGTGCAAGGATGTTTTCTAGGATCAGCTCGAAGGACTTCTCCGAAATCCTGCTGGTGTCAAAGAGCGAAACGAAACGAAACGAAACCGCCACAATGCCCCACGACGGTGGTTTCTGGGTCGGGAATGAAATGCAGGCCGGTTTGCGAGATGTGACCCTCCAGAAAAAGAAAAGAGTTTAGGAATTCCGAGCCTCACGGGCTTTGGATTGGCCCGGCCGGCCCTACTTTATACGCACTCCACATCCTTTGGCATTCTATCCTTGTTTATGAAACGGCCACAAGCCTGCTTCATCACGCCCTGTTCCTGTTCTGTTTGTATATACAGACATACATACATCCATCACACGCATAAAGTTACATCGAGGCTTCAAGTTTCTTTCCTGGAAAGGAGATAGTACAATCGTATGTAACGTAAACCTCCGAGTCTCCTATTCGCACCATTCACGCCGCAATCCTAGCAATGTAAACTTGGATACAAGCTCGTGACTGGCTCTAAGTATATCACGCACTGATCAACAGGCTGATGATGTGTCGATCGTGTTTCATAAATGGTGTTGGGATCTCGGCATTTCTACTAGTAGTTTAGTCCAGTCACGATCCCCGGAGGCAACATTGTGCAACCTGCAACCCCAACGTAATCGGATGCGCAGGTGGAACTAAAATCCGAACTTGAATTTCCGGCACTATTAGTGGCCAGGTGGATAAATGAATTAGGTGCTTTTCATGCCCTCCGCCCATAGCTACCGCCGCTATATGCCCAAGTGTCTTCAGCAATCAGAGACGATCTCCCACTGGCACACCCACGCCCACATCATTGTGGAATATCTTTTCTCCCTTCAGGAGTCATGCATGTTATTACGTAGCATAAGATAGTACAAAAAGGTACCAAGGTGCCACGGATGAAGTAAGGCCGGGCAAAAGTACAGAATTCAAAATGAAGCACACCGCACCAATAGGCCGAACTCCCGAGTCCCGAAAGCCCAAGCGAAAGGGAGCAAAACAAAAAAGCCGCAGATTGTACAACCTGTGCGCACGTTTATCTCAGTTTCTTGCAACCCTGTCTATGCTGTGTAACCAGATCATCAAAAGCGTAGTCTCCGCCTCTGGCCCCTGCAGCCAAGACGTCCCAACCATACTGTATGCACAGACATACTAGCAAAAAAAGGAGACCAGGTACATACGTATGTACATTTAGCAGGTCTGTACAGAGTACTGGCAGTAGATACTACCCGGCATTGGCCAGGCCAGGCAATTCCAGGCAAAGCGAAGCGAAAAGAGATGAAACGAAACAAGTCGTCCAGAGAAGAAAAAGAATGGCAACATTATTAGACTCAAACCAAATGCAAAACTTATTGCAAGGCATTCCGAATCTCAACATTTACCTTCCCATCAACAACACCCGTCACAATCAAACTCCTCAAATCCTCAACAATCCAATCCGCACCCGCCGCACGCAATTGCTCCAACGAATGTGTCGTCGCCAGAGCAAGAACCTTGAACCCAGCAGCCTTTCCAGCCTTAATACCTGACGGCGCATCCTCGAGCACCAAAACGGAGGTCGACTCTGGATCTTCCAGCTCAATCTGCTTGCGACCAAGGAGGTAGCAACGCGGATCCGGCTTGCCGAGGGGCACGTCCTCGGCGACAACGAGTTTCTCTGGGTGTGTGAGGCCGAGGACTTCGAGCCAGCCGTCGATAAGGGCGCGTGTGCCGGAAGTCACGACGCCCCATTTTGCGCCGGAGGTTTCGAGGGCGCGGAGGAGGTCACGGCCTCCAGGGATCTCTTTGGCGTCGGAGCCGTATTCTTTGGGGATGCGGCCTTCGATGTAGTTCACGTCTGTGGAGGTAGTGGTGGTTAGTATAGACTGTAGAAGGAGGGGAGTGTCAGGGTCTGGCGTACATTCCCAATTGGCCTTTGACTCGTCGTAGAGTGCCATTGTATCGATGCTTCTCCGGCCATGGGAGGTGGCCAGGATAACCTCGGGGTCAACGCCTAGCTCGGCTGCAATTCTGCGAGAAGACCGGGTTAGTCGATATAGTTCTAGACGTGTCGTTGTATTTGCGATTGCACCTACTTGTACCAGTGCTTGACAATGGCTGGTTTGAAGATATATAGTCAGTTGCTGATCGCACTGCATGCCCCCATAGTTGCCCATAGTAGTCCAAGACCGACATACCAGCTGTAGAGTCCACAATCGTTCCATCAAAGTCTGAAAGAATGCCATCGAATGTGAAGTTTTGCGCAGGCGCAGAGAAAGATTCGATTGCGGAGAGAGAGGGAGACATAGTGGGGGAGGGGTGATGTGGGGGAAGTATTTGGTGTTGGTCGGAAGGTTGTTGAAGTGAAGAAGAAAAAAGACAAGAGTCTAATAGAGTCTAGAAAGGAAAGAAAGTCGTCAGGACGTGGGAAAGTAGAGATATGCAAGAGTCTATAAAGAACAGAACAGAAAAGAGCAGAGAAACAGTCTGCCAAAAGGAAGTCGCAATGTCCGGCGGCTGGCTTGCCTGATTTGGAAGGTATCCGCCATCACGCACTCGGCGATCGGCCAATCTTATTTTCCGGGATTGAATTTCGATAAGCGGAAAAACTAGAAACGCCGATCGCCGACCGCGCTCAACTTTTTCGAGGAAAGACTGTACCGCAATTGCGATACGGCACTTTGTCTTTCATCTCTGCCAGTCACCACATATACCGGCAAGATGGTCACTAAGTCAAAGTTCGGTATGTCACCCATGGCCCCAAGAATACCTTCATGTTTTTTTTGTCTTTTTCCACAGTACCTCTAACATGCAACAGGCAAAAGCTCCAAGCGGGTCCCAGTTCGCCTGCGGCACAAAATTGAAAAGGCCGCTGTTGCCAAACAAAAGAAGAACAGAAAGCTTGCGAAGCAGGTGTGTGATCCTGATATTCATATGCTCATTTAATTGGGCATTTTCTCGCATTTGTCCGGTCCCCAATGCTTACACATTTTTTTTCTTCTATAGAACCCCGAATGGCGGTCTAAGATGAAGAAGGACCCCGGCATTCCTAGCCTTTTCCCCTTCAAGGACAAGCTTCTCCATGAGATCGAAGAGAAGAAGCGTTTGAAGGCCGAGGAGCAACAGCGCATTCGTGAGGAGGCTCGGGCCCGCAAGATCGAGGCCAAGAAGGCCCAGGGTGTCGATGTCGATCAGGCGGAGATCGAGGTAGACCTAGACGGTGATGACATGTTGGATGATACCATGGACGCAGACGGAGACGACTCAAACCCAATGGCAGCCCTCCTTGCCTCTGCACGTGCCCGCGCTACCGAATACGACGACGATGATGACGAGATGGAGGAGGACGACGAGGAGGATGAGATGGATGAGGATGATGAGGAGGGTGGAATCACTTTCGACTCTGCCCCCGACCTCGTTGACGCACAGAACCCCTCCAAGGAGAGCTCACGGCGCCAATTCGACAAGGTCTTCAAGTCTGTGACTGAGGCCGCCGACGTGGTGCTGTACGTACTCGACGCCCGTGACCCCGAAGGCACCCGCTCGAAGGAGATTGAACGCGAGATCATGGCCGCAGACTCTGGAAACAAGCGTCTCATTCTTATCCTCAACAAGATCGATCTTGTCCCTCCCCCCGTTCTCAAGGCTTGGCTCCTCCACCTGCGCCGATCCTTCCCTACTCTGCCTCTGAAGGCCTCCAACGGCAGTGGCAACGCCCACTCCTTCGACCACAAGCAATTGACCGTCAAGGGTACTTCCGAGACCCTCTTCCGTGCTCTCAAGGCCTACGCCCACAGCAAGCAGTTGAAGCGCTCCATTTCCGTCGGTGTCATCGGATACCCCAACGTCGGCAAGTCATCCGTTATCAACGCCCTGACAGCCCGCCTGAGCAAGGGCTCCAGCAATGCCTGCCCTACCGGCGCCGAGGCTGGTGTCACTACCAACATGCGCTCCGTCAAGTTGGACAACAAGCTGAAGCTGATCGACTCCCCCGGAATCGTCTTCCCCAGCTCAAACGGCAAGACCGGCAAGAAGTCCAAGGAGAACGAGCAAGCCCGCCTGATCCTGCTCAACGCCATCCCGCCCAAGCAAATCGAGGACCCCATTCCGGCAGTGAACCTTCTTATCAAGCGTCTATCATCCTCTGAGAGCATGATCGCCAAGATGCTCGAAGTCTACGGCATCACTTCCCTCTTCCCCACCAACGGTGACAAGACCACCGACTTCCTGGTCCAGGTTGCTCGCAAGCGTGGACGTCTCGGAAAGGGCGGTATCCCCAACATCGAGAGTGCTGCTATGACCGTCGTCAACGACTGGAGAGATGGTCGGATCCAAGGCTGGGCCAATGCCCCTGCTCTGTCCGTTGTTCCTGCTGCAGCTGCAGCCGAGACCGCTCCGGGCGAGGGAGTCGTTACGGCCCAGGTTGTTACGGAGTGGGCTAAGGAGTTCCAGATCGAGGGTCTTTGGGGTAATGGCGAGGGTGACGATGATGCGATGGCTGAGTAAAAAAAGGAATTCCTCCTCCATCCGTCTCTCTAAGCTCCAGTTACGAAGTCATCGGTTCTTGTTTTGGATTTGGATACCAAAAAGTGGGCGTTTACATGTTTCTAGTTCGAAGAGGCAGCGAGTTTAAATAAGCATACCTACTACATTTTTCTTCTGTTCTACATTTTCTTTCTTATAGTTTGCCATCCGTAGAATGGTAAGCAGTGAAGGGTTTATGGCCCCTGCAAGCTTCTTCTGACTCGCTGTTAGCGCGGGGCGATGCAGTCACCTGATATTGATCAGCTCGACAGATTGAATCTTTGCATTTCTGCCTTGCTCTTTGAGCTCAGATATACCCGAAAGAGCTTGTCCATCGAGGACTGGAGACTTGAATCCTAGACGAAATATTATCCTAGCTATGGACCGACTGGTTGAAACCTCATTTGGTGGCCTAAACGAGGGATTTCAGTTTGGAATTAACAACGGTTCAGTCAACGCCGAAATATATCTAGCTCCACGTAAGTTATAACATGCCCTAGCTGATACAAGGCGTTTGTAGCAGCAGCTAAGAATGCATTCGTGTAACCCCCAGAACGGCCAGAAACTCCTCCAGGTCCCTGCTCCACCGTCCCGTTCAACCGCGACCCAGAATTCGTCAATAGGGGTACCCTCCTATCCCAAATACGCGAGAAAAGCTCACAATCGGCCCGAATAGCTCTTGTCGGGCTAGGTGGTGTCGGAAAAAGTCAATTACTCGTCGAATACTCCTATCAAGTCCGAGAAATAGACCCAGGAACATGGGTCTTTTGGATACACGCGAGCAATCCTTCTCGATTTGAGGCAGACTATCTATCACTGGCAGAGACACTGAAGATTCCCGGTCGCCATAATCCAAAATCGAACATATTTCAATTAGTTTGCAACTGGCTTCAGGATGAAAGGAAAGGGAAATGGATTCTGGTGATTGACAATCTGGATGACTATTTCCTTGACCAACCCGTTCAAGTTCCTTCACACACAGACGGCTCTCGGGGTGATGAGAGAACCAGACTTGATTCTTTCTTGTCGTTTTTGCCTCGATCTCAAAGTGGTTCCATCATAATTACTACAAGGAGCAAGGAGGTTGCTTTGAAGTTGGGTTATGAGAGAGATATCATCCTCGTCGAGCCGATGGAGCAATCTCACGCTTTGGCACTCGTTGAGAAGAAACTCTTGGTCCCCGCAGAGCCCGGCGATATATGTCAATTGATTGATAAGCTAGATTATATGCCTTTGGCTATTGCACAGGCAGTGGCGTACCTCAACAAAAGGGGAGCGCGCTGTTCCGTGACGCAGTACTTGGAGGAGTTTGAACGAAACGACCGAAAGAGAGTTAGACTCCTGAAAACAGAGCCAAATAATCCACTTCGAGATCACGAAGCAGCCAACCTGATCATGGATACCTGGCAAATTTCTTTCAACCATGTCCAGCGGATTAGATCCTCAGCAGCAGACATCTTATCTCTGGCGAGCTTTTGTGACCGACAGGAAATTCCGGACATCTTGCTTCGAATCGACCCAGAGTCCGAAAACGATACTGATTCAGTTGCGGGTGATGAATTTGAAGATGATCTCCAGATACTGACGGATTTTTTATTCATTTCTCCAAATGCAGATGGGAGAACCTTCCAAATGCACAGTCTAGTACAGCTGGCCACAAGAAGTTGGCTGGAAAAACACGGGGATCTGGAAAGGTGGAAAGAACACTTTATCAAGATTCTCGCGGTCGAGTTCCCAACTGAGATTTATGAAGACTGGGAACGATGTCAAGTGCTATTCCCGCACACAAAATCGGCTTTGAGGCACCGGCCTGTAACGGAGGGTACATTATCTACCTGGGCTACTTTACTTGACAACGCGGCAAATTATGCGGCCGAAAAAGAAAGATATCGTGACTCATTGGAAATTTTGCAAGCCGTTATCACCGCGAGGGAAGCCATACTCGGCTCGAACCACGATCATACACTCATGAGTAAAGGCTATATGGGTTTGATATATGGAATATTTGGCTTGAAGAATGAGTTTCAAACTATTTCCAAGGAAGTTTACTGCGCTTTTGCTAAGCTCCATGGGCCGGGGCACGCCGAAACGCTCGCCGACATGGTAATTTTGGGCAGGATATTGGTGGAGAACAATCGATTTTTCGAGGCGGAAGCACTTCTTCGAAGCTCATTAGAGATTGATAATAAGCTATCTATGGGGGTTGGAAGCCTTCGCACGAGTATAATTCTCGCCATTCTTTCATGGGCGCTTCTCCAACAGGGCAAATATCAAGAGGCGGAAAAACTACAGATAATGTCACTAGAAATCGACAAGAAGGTCCTCCCGGAAGTTCACCCTTACAATTTGAAGGCCAAGTTCTCGCTTGCTTCGATGTACCAGTGTCAGTCTCGATGGGCGGAAGCAGAAGAAATGAATCTTGAAGCTTTAGAGGACACCAAGAAGGTGATGGGGCAAGCAAAATCTTTAAGATTGCTTATCATGAAAAACCTCGGAGAGATATACAAATTTCAAAAAAGATGGTCAGAAGCGGAGAGTCTCTTTCAGCAGGCTTTGAAAATTTGCTTGGAAGTCTTTGGGCTGAATGACTCTGTGACTACTTACAACATAACCAGCCTCGCGCAAGTTTATTGGCAATCGGGCCATCTTCAAGAAGCCGAAATATTCCAAAAGAAATGGCTCGAGATATTTCAGGAGGATCACGGAAGAAATCATCCTGAGGCGGCGGTGGTGATGATGAAAGAGCTAGCTGTGGTCTATACACTACAAGCTCGCGGATCAGAAGCCAAAGCCCTTGCATTCCATACCATGGAAGCTTATGATAGAATGAAAAATGGTCAGTTTCTTGACCTGGAAACTTTGACGGATTTGATTTGGGTTTGTCACAAGCAAAATCTTTCGAAGGAAGCGGAGGCCCTGCAAATGGAATATTTGGAAGAATCAGAAAGAAGGTATGGTCCAAATAATGACAAAGTGCTACGTAACCTGGCTTCTGTTTACACGAAACAACGCGAATCGTCTTGAGGCACCTTGTACTATCTATCTGTCCCTTATTTCGGCCATCTCTTGCAAATTCGCTCACTCCTAGCTATATCCAGGTCTTTCTCTTGACGAGGATTGTTTTCAATGTAGGTATTTTGATTATCTGCTGATTTTTGAGTACAAAATCAACCTTCGAAGGCTGTTTTAAACTTCAGGCTGAATTTCAAGATCCTTTTTTATAGAAACGATTGTGCATATTGACTCCATACTAGTGGTAGTATATATCCTTGCAATTCAGCATTCTATATCCGCGGGCGTGGACTCGGATGAGTACTAGTAGTTGCGTACTGTATGGAACTAGAGACGTAAAAAGACGAATCATAAAACTTATATCATAATACCACTACTAGGCAACCTGTAAATGCCATCAAACCGACAGAGACCCAGATATGCGGTGTATAGCGACACCTTTTCCATCGTCCCCACATCCGCCACGCCCACCGCGTCGCGAATTTCGCGTTCTCACCCTCCCCTCCCAACCAACCACCAAGACCAAAAAATCCCCCCACAACATCGACTCCAACACAGGAGGTCATCTCAAAAGCAGACTCAGCATCGACATAAAGCCCACTACCGACGAATTGCCCGCCAAAACCCAACTAAACTAAAGCGACAAGGCCAGCCAGTCCCAAGGGGATAAGGCTCAACCGAATCAAAAATGCCTCCGCGCAAATCTACGTCCTCCGTGACGCCCGCAGACCCAGATGAATCAATCCAGCTCTCGCCGCAAGCGCAGACAAGCTCTGACAAGCCCATCACCGCAACAGAGCAGCAGTTGAAGGCGCGGGCAGAGGCTGGCGTTAGCGTTGAAGTAAGCACTCCGCTCCGCGAACAGGTAGATGGAAACTGGAACTGGACCAGGACCAATCTATCCTGCAAGAGGCAACAAGAAGAGTCGAAACTAATGACCGCGTTTCCAACTATACAGGACTATCTCCTCCCCCGCTCCCTAACAATTCGACTGGCGAAATCCGTCCTCCCACCCAACACAACCATCCAAAAAGACGCTGTTCTCGCGATCCAAAAAGCCGCCACTGTATTCGTGTCATATCTCTCCTCACAGTACGTTTCATTGCATTCTATGCTACTCTCTCCTCAAAACCCCACCCCGGACCATTCCAACGAAAACGAAAAGAAAAAAAAATTAAACTAACAACCACCCAGCGCCAACGAATCAACCCTAAAACGCACCGTCGCACCCGCAGACGTCTTCGCCGCCCTCTCAGAACTCGAATTCGACTCCTTCCGCACCCGCCTAGAAGCCGAGCTCGAAGCGTACACGGATATCAAGGCCGGAAAGCGCAAGGCGAAGAAACCCGAAGAAGGGGACACTGCCTCTGCCGGTGCCGGAGCTGGAGCTGCTGCCGGTACTGGTTCTTCGGCGGCGGCGCGGGACGAGGATGATGATGTTGAGATGACTGATAACCCTGCGAAGAGGGTGAAGAGGGATTCTGAGGGGAAGAATGGGGGAGATGTTGATGGGGATGAGACACAGGATGAGGAGGAGCATGAGCATGAAGATGAGGAGGAGGAAGAGGAAGAGGAGGATGAGGATGAGGAGGATGGGGAGGAGGAGAAGGGGCATGAGGAGGATATTGATCGGGTTGAGGATTTGGATGGGGAGCGTCGTCATGTTGATCCTGATGATGAGGAGTCGGAGGATGATGATGGTCCTGGGAGTCAGTTGCATAATGATTTGGGATTGGGCTAAACAGTAGCGACCGGGCACTGGCCGCTAGAGTGAGAGTTTTTTCTTTGCTGTACTATATATAATCATGAAATGGGTCTTGAGGTTTTTCATCTAGTTGCTTCAGGTTTGATGCTTCCATTGCGTACCCGGTTTAGGCGGGATTCCTGATGGGGTTGCAATAAATGGCTTCGTGGTTAAAGGGCAATAGTAGGGGCTACTAGTATTAGTACGCAGGCATATAGGCATTGGTCTTGAACGGATGAAAAGTTGATGGTCGTAAATAAGTAGGATTATTATCACTGTTTCCGACAGGACTAACCGCCACATGTAGTAAACTCATCTGTAACCGGACATCATCCACCCATCGCATGTCGGCACAGTAACTCCAGCAGGAGATAGAAGGAGAAACAAAAAACATAAAACCAGATAATGGTTATTCGAACAGGCCACCCAGGGCCCACAAACGCCGAAGCCGAAGCCAACGCCACCCATGCAACGAAACCATAATCTATCGTTGGTATCTTTCTCAAGGACAGATGCATCGAAAAAGGCTGAACGATCGAGCTCGAAGAGTCTCGAAAGAAACAGTGCAAGAGGTCGAAAAGAAGCAGGGACAGAAAAAGAGGAAGACTGGCAAATCCAGTAGAAAATGGCCATGAAGAAGAACATCCATGAAATCAGCATGGGGAATCATAGAACAAGAAGATAAAAAAGAAGAGAACCCGGCGCCATCTTGAAATCATGCACCATCATACGGAGAGAGAAGTGAAAAGAACAGAGAAGCTCATGAAAAGGGTCACACGGAACATGAAGTGTAATCAGACCGGTGTCATGCAAAAAGGGTATTATGAGACAACCTCGGGAATGGTAGCGGCGTCCTGCACACCAGCTTTCTTGACGAGGCCTGGGAACATGGCACCTTGTTTGGGGAGACCATTGCCGCGTGCGGTGCCGAGAGGATTCTTTTTGCCAGCAGTAGCAGCTGGAGCAGCCTTCGGCTTGGAGACCTTGCTGAAGTTCGTAATGGGAGCATTCTTGGCCGGGGTGGGCTTGGGGCCACGTTTCTTGGGTGCTGTTGAAGCGGCGGGCTTCTTGCGACCCTTGGCTGGAGCAGTATTTGTACCCCCTGCCTTGAGAACTTCGTTGAGGCTGAGGCCACGACTCGCCGGGTTGGCAGTTGATCCCTTGGCTGTCTTGACAGCCTTGGCGGCGGGTAGATTTGGTTGTTCGTCCTGGCTGGATGAAGGGGTCATTAAGCCGGTATCACTGCGAGGGCGCTTCTTCGGAGTACTGATGACAACAGAGATATTGGCTGTCTTATTCTCTCGCTCAGAATCGGATGCTGATGATTCCTCTTCGGATGTGGAAGGCCAGGCCGGCTCTGGGAATTCCCAATTCTCGTCTTGAACCTCTGTGTGCGGTGGAAGGTGAGCAAGATCGGCGATCTGGTCTGTGTTTCCTTGGACGATCAGGTCAAAGCAATCATCGAATTCCTTGCCGGGAGGTGGTTCATTGTTAATAAACATGGTGACGCCGTCTTTACGGCTCCGGATGACAGTACACAGACTCTTGACAAGGCGACGGACGCCAGGAATTTTCAGACTCGTACCAGCGACGATCAGGACACGGGGGCGAGATTTGACGTCCGCATTCATGACAGAGGTGATGGCCTCTTCGTCGGGGTTATGTTCGTTATACAGAACCATGCGCGGTCGCATGCGCCCGATGCCGTGGCTTCGTTGACCGGTGGCCTGACGGGCTGTATCGTTGTCACAGCAGGCTTCACAATCGGGCGGATCGGCCTCACAGAACTGACTCGGCTCCAAATCTTGCAGATGGCGACACTTTTGGCAGACCATCTTCTCGATGCTGCCGTGTAGTTGAATGGTGACGGGCCATCGACCCTTGGTGCCACCAAGGGGGATTTCGGATTTCAAGGGCTGCATCGAGGTTTCGAGGCCATCGATATTTTGAGTATACAGACGCTTGAGCCGATTTCCTGAACCGAGACTTGCCAGCATTTCGTGGAATTTGGTGGGCTTGCAATGTTTGATTTCCTCTGACAGCGACCGAACCAGTTCATGGAAGGGGGCGGTCAAAGCGTCATCTTGGTAGACGGCAGCATCAAAGAGGAGCTTGCCGGAAGCTTTCAATTTGTGCTTTTGCTGTAGAGACTTGAAAAGACCACCTTCGGAACGAAAGTCCGGAACTATACATGTGGTGGTTAGTTGGTCCAAGATTTACAGTATGTTGAGTATGATTGGAGAGGGGATCCCAAAGTGGGAAGGCGGCACATGAAAAACTTACTACCCGCAGAGGTGGAGATACCGGCGCCAGCAATGACGACGATGTCTTTTTGGTAGCGAAGAGTGTCAAAGAGCAATCGGACCTGATCTGACTGATCTTCTGAGGACCTGGAGAAAGAAAGGTGTTGGGTGGTGCGCTCCTTGGGGAGAGGGTTGCGGCGGCGTTTCTTCTTCGCGGGCGGGCAGTCTTGGCGCGTCGAGGGCAAATCCTCCGCATCTTGCGAGGAGGACGGGGTCGGGTACCGCAACTCTGGCTCGGGCGTTGACAGTCGAGATGATGCTAAGGAGCTCAAATCGGAGACGCTCGAGACATCGGAAATATCTGCAGACATGGCGAAAATGGATGGTGGAGGAGTAACACCTGGCCAGAGGGGAGGGATGATAGAGGTTGACCAAGGGCCCAGGGGTTGAACAGGTCGGAGAACTGCGGGAAGCAGGGGATTATTCTCCCTGGAAAATCACACAGACAAATGACCAGACGAATAATTAAATCATGTAGGAACCGAATTACCCCAGGTTGAATAATGGAGGAAATAGGGAGAAGGAGGGGGAGGGAGGAAGGAGATTGGGGATTGAAAAGGTGTGGGAAGTGGAAAGAGATGGGAAGTGTGGGAGGAGATGCGATGAGGTCAGCCGAAGAAAAGGGCCTTTGATATTGCAGAAAGAGGCTCGGTGTTGTGACCCACGGGAATTAAACGGGGAGAGTGGAATGTGGTTGTTGCGGGAAAAAAGAGAGAGAGAAACGGGAAGGGAAACGGTGGTATGCCCCCGGGACAGCCAGGTCGGCTCACTCGATGATGCGCGTCGATGCGAAGTAGCATTGGGGGAAATGGAATCTTAGGGGGAAATGCCTACGGGAAGGGGGGACGAGAAGAATATTGATGTTATATCTACAAGGATATGTGTTGTATATCAATCGATATCTATATATAGCATTTTCATTCATTTTCAAAAACGATCCTTTGAACACTTTCGATTTTGTTATTTTCTCGCGTGTGAATCAATATTGTTGTGTTTCGAGTTTCTCTTTGGGGCCCTGACAGTTCGATGCTGAGTACTCGATGCTGATTGGTGGGTTCTGATGTGGGGAAAATATTCTGCTGTGATTGGCTGGGAGTCGTTGGCAGGACTACGCATCACGTGCACACTCTCTTTGCAGCATCATGTGACACAAGACATCCAGCGATGAAGGTACGCCCTCGAATATCGATAGTTCCAGGCCCATTCTTCCTCGTATTCTTATTCTTATTCTAGACCCTTGGACTGCATTACATTGCACATATTCTCTGCCCCAATAATCCCCAGACTGTTATCATCACTACGACATTTTTTTGGTTTTTTTTTCTCTCCATTGAAGTTGAACCCCGGTTGATACTCGGCGGATCCCTCCCCGTATCAACAACCGCCGGTACTCCGTCGATCGGCGAAGCATTCAAGAGCCATGCGGGGCTGACTCCTCTCCTGCGCATGTCATAACTTTCCCTCCAGTCCCACCTCCACACTATGCCATTGATCATGGAGGGGGGCATCGATGTTGATGATCTCTTTGGCGAATCCAGCTCCCTGGGCTTGGGGCTGCCACCCCCCGTGTCCGTGCCCATGTCCATGCCGATGCCCGCCAAAGGCCTCGCCCAGTGCCTCGATGAGATGCGTCTCCTAGGATCTCGCCAGTAAGTGATACTCTTTATTCTGGCAGATATTCAACAGATACATATTGCCTTTGCCCGTCCTTGCTCTTTCTGGTCCTCAGACTGACCCACCCTAGGAAGATTACCTGGTCTCGCCTTGGTTGTGTCGCTTACATCTCCCCAGATGGCACTCGGGTCAGTGTCCGCCATCTTCAGTGCCGTCCTTCGGATGGCAAGTGGGTGCTTGGCGGGGAGTCATTTTTGGCTACCGTCACAGAAGCCCATAATGGTAACCGGCTTGTCCATCTCTCTTGCAACGAGACCGGCTCCGAGCTCGCTGTCGTCGACTGTCTCGGCCGGGTCTCCATCTACTCCATCTCGATGGCTCTGAACAGTATCACTGGACTGCGGCAAGCAATGCTTGACTCCAGTGACGACAGCAACCAGGTTGTTGGTATGATGTGGCTCAATACAACCCGCTCTGTAAGTCAAACCTCAATGTTGCCAACTTATACCACCTACCACAATTAGCCCCGCCACCACCTAACACTTCATCCAGGTCCATGCCTTCCATCAGGCTACCAAAGTCAGTGGTCGATGGACATATTCGCCGTTCCGCCGGCGTCCAATTGGTCCCTTTCACCCCGCCAACAAAGGCGCATTGATCTGTGTGACCCGAGCGGGCCAGATGCGGCTCATCTATCAGAACCCAGACAGCAAATGGGCAGAACTGCCGGCCGAGTTGAAGAACACCGGCTACTCAGATAGACTGCTAACGCACGCGTCCATGGTCGCAACTCAGGGTATATTAATCCCCAAGCTCATCGGGCTGTAGCACACAGCTAACAACTTCTTCTCTAGCTGGAATTCTGGTCGCTACATACTCAGTCTGCCAAAAGCTTTGCTTATACCGAGTACAAGTTAACTGGAACCCACCACAATGGGACCCAACGCAGGCCAAACATCCAAATCAATTCCCTCTACCTTCCTTTCGTATCCTTCAGTGCAAAGTGGACATGCCTAGTCCCTTCCTGAACATCGACAGAGGAGTCGATGAGCAAATGGCCCAGTCACTGCCATTTCCAAACACTGTATACTCATTAACAAGATTGGAGATCATGTCGGGTCAAGTCGACGGTCAACAAGGATCCACTTCCAGCCCGTGGATCCTGGCTGTCTTCTCTAAACCTCTTCATGCCACACCTGATTACCCGGATCAACAAGGGCCGCCAAGTGTGATTGTCCGGTGGCACCTCGAATCAGCACCGCAAGCCTTCCATCCCAAATTTGACGAAGTTCCGTCGAAGAAAAGCAATTTTCAACCTAAGGTAGGCATACATTTTATGCGGAAAGTTTGATTCTGGCTGACATGCTATCTAGTCCAAAATGGAGCTCCGTCGATTGGAAGACATCCATTGTGATCGATATATCATCTCTGTGGATATGGTAGAACACGGTACCGCTCTTGCCGTCACACACGATGACAGTTCAATCTCTTTCTACGACACAAGGGGTATGACGATATTTAATGGGTTGGATGACGGGAGTACCGTGACCTGTCTGGCCCAGGCTGGGTATCAGTATCCCATGGAGACGCCAGGTAAATTTCCTCAGTAAAAGCTGTCCACTTAACAATTTCACTGACATGCCATTCGCTTCTTGATAGGAATTGCTATCAGCTTTTCGCCGAATTCCTGCGCAGCAGTTTCTCTGAACTCCGAGGGACAACCACAACTACGATTAATGGAGCACTCCTTTGGGTCTGCTGGGGGTTTATACGATGAGAGTATGTTTTAAATGGCGCCACTCGTGATATTTGTTATCTACAGGACTAACTGATTACCACAGGTAAATTCTCCTCTGCCATTGCGGCCCTTACACTCGCCTTCAGCCGCGGCTGTGGAGCAGACGTCAATACGGATGATATTCTCATGGTCGCCCTGAGGCAGCTCTCAGCAGGTCAGTTTCCCTGTCACAGTATATTTTAACAGCCTAAACCATGACTGACATAAACCACAGACGGCCAAGCGACACTGATCACCGAAACGTTTCGCGCATTGCCGGTCAACTGCAACTTCACCGTTGATCAAGAAAAACTCATGACCCATCCTTATATACCCAAGTGCTTGAGCCTACAGGCTGCTCTGGGATACAATGGGAGATTAAAACGACGCACACTCGCATCCTCTGTGCCCTGGGCAGTCATTCAACTCCGCCACGCCTCGGTTCTCTTCGCATTCTTCTTCCAACACACCAAAGGATCACCAAATGAAGCCTACGATCCAGGTACGTTGGCCTGCAAATTTCCCGTCAACATCACTTGCCAACTAACGCCATTCTCTCAGAAATTCTCCGCATGATTCTAGGCAACGCAAAGTGGACACTCGATTTCTCCCACTTCGTCCTGAGCGAGATCTTGGATTTAGCCGCTGACTTCGAGGATGTCTTCAATGACCAGGAAGCATTTACTCAGAAGCGTAAGTCCCACCCATCCTACATCTACCACGCCCAGCTATATACTAACACAGCTCCAGTTAAATCAACAACCTCTATCCCCCTCCTCACCCTCCTCTCTAGCATGTCCCGTGCCTTCCTACGCTTCATATGCCGCGGCCTCCGAGGTGTACACGCCGGCTTCGCAAACACAAACCCAGCAACCCTATCCAACGATTCAAGAATCTACTACACAGAGATCTGCCAAGTCCTCGAAAACTCACCCGTGAGGATAGACGTTTACGAAAAGTTCCTCGCAGGCGTAGACTCCGCCGTGAAACACGCCTACCAAGGCGCCGGCTTCGGCGACGCCGAACGCCCAGGCCCAGAAAAAGAACTTCTCGTCAGCGCGCGAATCCCACCAGTCCTAATCAGTGCCGTAGCAACACTCCTCCGCCAAACCGTTCCAACGCTCAAAGCAGAAATCAATCGCAAAGACATCCTGCTGAACGATTACAGCTGGATTGGATTTGGGACCGATGCGCGGACAGCGCTGTATCGACGCCAGCGTGATGTGGATATTCTTAAGAAAGTTCCTCTCAGACCGCCGCTCGCGGTGGGGAGGGATGGGAAGATTCTTCAGGCGCAGAAGAGGAGGAGGTGTGTGAGGTGTTGTGAGGTTTCGGGGGATACGTCGTTGCCGAGGTCGTTGCCTTATTTTAAGATGCTTGTTAAGTTGAATCTTCTTCGGGCTTGTCCTTGTGGGGGGATGTGGATGTTGGAAACTGAGGCTGGTGCTGCGGTTCCAGGGGCTTCTGTTGGGGGTGGTTCGTCGTTGCAGGGGGCGAGGACACCTGCTGTCATGGGATCGGGCTAGTTGAGGTTCGAGGTTGAGCGTTGGTGTGGGCTTTGGGTGTCTTAGCGTCTATAGTTTCATGTATGTTCGTTCTTTCGATGCCTTCTGCACTAGTATTTGCTAGGGTGTATAGTACTAGAATATGGTTCTTTCTGAAAGGCAAGATTTAAGTGTTCTTCCCAATCACGGTTCCGAAAACGAGTCAAGAATACTAGTACATGGACCTCGGAGACATGCCCAAGTGCCTTTTGAAGGTTGAAGGTTCAATGTTGACGGTGCGACTACTAGTACTTGAACGACAACGCCCAGACCGGGCCATGAGCAAGAGAGGGGCGCAGGGGCAATATTCTGCATGACCATAGTGAATCTACTACTAGTATTACTCCATAGCTCAACCAACTAAACCAGACCAACAGCTGCAGTCACATCGAAGGCAAGGCATTGGCAGAGTAAAGGGGGAAATTTCTAATAATTCATGTCATAAGAGTCGATTTGCATCCTTCTAAGATACACAATCAAATTTCCATTTTTTGGAGTGTCACAAAAAAAGAGATAAAAACGACCCCGGCCACTCGGATTTCTTTTTAGAAAAATTTTATGTAGTCCAAGGGCAAACTCCCATCATCCTTCACACACACACACATAATGCAAGCCACACACGAACAAGACGACATTTAGGCCTTGACGGCGTACTTCCGCTGGGGGAAGTGGATGGCGCGCTTGCGCTGGCGGTCGGTGGTGCGGGTAGCCTCGTGCTTGGTAAGACGGCGGCGGATCTCGCGGGTCTGCTTGACGCGGAGGTCGAGGGGCAGGTACTTCTTGTTCTTGTAGAACAGACGCAGCTGGGCGCGCTGGTTGGCGTTGATGACGGTCAGGACGCGGGCGATGGACTTGCGGACATCGTGGCTGTGGGCGAGATGTTAGTATGACTGGACCTGGAGTGATTGTATTGGGGTGTATATGTGTGGGTGAGTGTGGGTGGATGGGATATGGGTTTTCGAGATTGAGATTTATGGGGAATTTGCGATTCGATGGGATTGTGCATGTGCAGAGCGTAGTGGTGATGGATGTGATATCTGTTGTATATTCTCCGTTGTCGCTTTCGTGGTGTTTTTGCGTTCTGATGAAATTTTCGTGGTTGCCGCCCAATCGCACTTGCACTTGCACAATCCCCGGTCTTCGCAGAATGATCCCCTTTTTCTTCAAAATCGAGTATGTGGGAATGGGAATGGATCGGAATCGAATACGCACATGCGCAGAGTCTTGGCCGAAGCACCGTTGGCGATCTTCTGGACGCGGAGCTGGTTAAGCTCGGTCTTCAACTCCTCGAGCTGCTGGGAGAGCTCCTCCTTGTTCTTGCCCCAGAGCTGACCAGCCTTGACCTTGGACGACTATAAAAACGACATGAATCAGTTCGAGAGCACTTATTTGATCGTGGTAGGCGGACATACCATCGTGGCGTTGTTGTATGTGCGGTTGTTTGGCGTTGAGAAATCGGTCTTCAATACGGGCCGGATCAAATTGTGGTTGTGGGACTAGGGCTAAGCGAGTTGCAACACTAAGCGTGCACGTGATGTGGGAAGTGCGGAAGTGTGGGAAATGGCAGAACTCAGGGCGGTGGGGTAAGGCACTCAGGCACTCAGGCAGTCAACAATTCAGGCACCTAGGCACCAAGGCACTCACCCTCCCAACACGGTTAGCTCCGCACTCACCTTGACGTTGGCTGTCCGGGGTCATCCAGCGCCGACTCGTCGTTTACTCTGTGATTTAATCTTCGATTTCCCGTTTGTCCCCCCTACACCATGACGTCCACCGGTTCCGGATGGACGCAGCTGCGCCAACAGACTCGGTCGCTCGAGACCCAGGTACGATCATTCCCTATCACACTCAACTCAACTCTACCTGATCCCATCCTATATCCTATCCGACAACAGGACTAACAGCTTCAAACAGACCGAGAACCTCTTTCACACATACGCACAATTTGCCGCACTCAATAAACCCCCACCAAACCCAACAGAAGAAGAACTCCGCTTAGAGTCTCAATTAAAAGACTTCCTCGAACAGGTACGCCGCCAACCTCCCACTCCCTATCACCCACGAACAGCACCGCAGCAAGCTAACACCCTCTCCAGCGAGATTCCCTGGTCGCCCAACTCACCCGTCTCCTCGACTCTGAAGCAACCCTCACATCATCAGCCCTAAAACAAAACTACCTCTCCCGCCACCGTGAAATCCTCCAAGACCACCGCCGCGAACTCCGCCGTCTCCAAAACGCCATCGCCGACTCCCGCACCCGCGCCAACCTCCTATCAAACGTCCGCTCCGACATCGACGCATACCGCGCCTCAAACCCCAATGCCGAAGAGGCAGATTACATGCTGGAGGAGCGGGGCCATGTGGAAAACAGCCACAACATGATCGACGGCGTGCTCAGCCAGGCATACTCCATCAACGAGAGTTTCGGCATACAGCGTGAAACTCTGGCCAGCGTTAATCGGCGAATTGTCGGCGCAGCGGGCCAGGTGCCTGGTATAAACTATCTGATCGGCAAGATTGGGACGAAGAAAAGACGCGATTCTATCATCCTTGGTGTTTTTATCGGTCTTTGTTTCTTGATGCTGTTATACTTCCACTAGATGGAATAGGATGGGAATGGGCTGGGCCTCTTTTCCTATTCATTTTGGGGGGTTCCTTTTCTTTCTCTTTCCTCCTGTCGTTTTAAATGGTTTGCAATGCGTTTTCCATCTTGCCTCTACTTGCTCTCTGCTGCAGCTAGCGTTTCTCGAGGTTCATCTTCTTGTTTCTTTACTTCTTGGTTTGGTTTGTCTCATACACTTGGCGTTTCGGGGTCGGGATATTATATTGCCTATGGAACCTTTGTCGCTGCTTGATAGTAATGGCGATAAGTCCGTTCTTTTGTTATTTTGTCGTTGTTTTTGCACACCTGGTCTGACCTGTAAAAGGCGTCCGTCTATGTTCTATTATACATTCTCTATTTTATGTACAAAGGCAATGGAGAGGGGGGGAGCCGCATCGCAGCAAATATCGTACCCAGGAAATCTCACCCTACCAGACGGTAGACCTAAGTAGTTCCTTTCTTCCCAAACGTACCAAACATCCCCGGTCATCTGGCGAGATCACCTCCTCTCCGCCTGCAGAGCAGCCTTCTTCTCCGCAATCAACTTCTGCAACCCATTATTGAGAGTCTCCAACTCAACCGGCTCAGCAGGACCACTTCCAGCCCAACGAATCCGACAAGCATCATCAACAAGATAAACATAACCCACCTTGGAATTCATCATCCCAACCGCCTCCTTCAAAAGCTCCGTAAACCCCTTCTGCACAAGGAAATACCTCGAATGCTGCGCCTCCGGCAACTTCTGTCGCATACGCCACATAAACGATTTCACAAGCCAAGCCTTCATGCGATTTTCTTCAAGATTAATATCCACCCTCTGCACGAGCGGACCACCGGCCGCAATAATTTCAGAGAGCTTAGGGTTCAGCGGTGCGCCGGTGAAGGTTGCGACTTGGCCCTCGGCCCAGACGCTGGAGAATAGGTTCACGATGGTGATTTTGCCTTCGAGAACCGGGGTGGTGTCTTGCGGATCCTTTGGTGAGGAGAGGGTTGTGCCGCGCATGTTGGGGAAGTAGAGGGCTTTGTCGGAGCGGAAGAGGCGTGGGTTCGACTTGAAGGTTTTTCCTTCTGCGAAGCGGAGATTGGACCATTCGCGGAAGTAGGGTTTGGCGACTTGTCGGGTTCTGGAAAATGGTTATATTGTTAGTTTACCAGCTAGTCTTTTCTGGATTCGAGGTAGAACGGAATTCAGGAAATTCGTCACCGGACAGGGTACGTACAGTTCCTTTCGGCGCTTGATGTGCGTATCATAGTCGACGAAGTCGTCTCGACGCTGGCGGTAGCTGCGGCTATCGACGCCGGTATTCTCGCCTGCCTCTGGTGGTGCGGCGGTACCGATTGGGCGGTCCAGGGTTGGAGGTATGAAGTTCTCATCGCTTGGATGGGGGGTTTGTCTTATGGGTTGGTTTTGTTGGAATTGGACGGAGGAGCGCGCGGGGTTTCCGAGAGCGGATGTCTTTGTCGTTGATTTGGATAATTGGCTTGCCTCGGCGTCCTTTGGTTTCGGGGTGCTGTTCTTCGTTGCATAGTTGCGGAGAGAGGCATTCGCGCGGAGATGTGCGAGGGCCGCGGTGCCGTGGAATTGGCACCTCAGACAACGAATTGTCGGGAGAAGGGGGAGATCCGATCTCAAGGTGTTGGTCAATGAATTCCTCCACATATTGGGCTAGGGTTGGGGTGTTTGGTCGGTGGGAGATTCGTCCAACGCGTTCCGGAGTCGTTTCTGATAGAGGTCACATGACATCGGCCGGTTGAAAGTTCCCGGTAGACTAGAGTGATTAGGAGCGTAATTTAGACAAGAGTTCTTTTATTTTCCCTTTTCATTCACAATAGATAAAATAAAATAAAGTAATCTGTAATACACGGCGGATGTAACATATTCACCGGTGGACTGGTCGCTCCTGGATGTCGTGCATGCTCAGGGACTTGTATCTACTAGTAAGGAAGTGATCTGCGTTCTAGATGTCGCCGAGTTTTGAGCGCTCTATACTCGAGGTATACTATACAGTGGAAAACCGCGTGAGCTCGAATTCAAGCCCTGAAGCTTACATTCTCTTTTTTCTTCCTTCTTCTCCTCCTCAAAGGATGGGCTTCTACGCCAACTCAAACACACCTAGTAGCAGGAAATATATGTGACACTTATTGATCGCTTTACTACTTAGTGACTTTTCCAAGGACACCGGGGGAGGCTAGCCTCAATTCAAAATCATTTCATTCGATCTGCTTGAATTCCGAACGTGAATTGCAAAGTCCATACCCTATTGTACTAGTGAGTCTACTGACTGTCGTCAATGCTCTTCGGACCAAAACTTGAAGGGTTAAATGGAATCCCGTGACTTCGCGACGGTCCACGCGGCTGCCTTCCGCGTTCTGGACTCTGCTGGCTAATTCTCGTCATGACTGCCTACCTTATACAAGCACCTATAACCATGGTATACTGTTCTTTCTATAATATATTGTTTCTCAGCCATGTCCCACGGTTTGGTATCCGTGGATGGGATCATTCGTGAAAAATGGCCGGTGCCATGGGACGCTCACGGGCGATGAGCAAGGCCAGCTTCTTTGCCGCTCTCGAGGATTTGGATGATTCAGATAATGAGCAGCCTGATGCAGGCCTTTCCTTTCAAAATATACTTGCTGCCTCTCGTCCCTTCCACGATATTTCAAACCAGGCTGCCGCGGTCGAGGTTGCTTCTCCCAATCCGCCTTCTTTGATCCGAGCAAATACGGAACCTCAGTCTTCTTCCGAACAAAGGTCTCAACATCTCACTGAAACCAAGCGGAATAAGCTTCCTATATCCACCAAATCATCCGAGCCAAAAGTGAGAGCAGTCAAGCGCTCAAATACGACAGGTACAATGCCAGGAATCACTGGCAAGGGCCCTTCTACGAAGAAGAGGAAAGCAGATGCGCTCAAGTCTGTCCCAGACGAGCAACAAGTTTTCAAAGGCCTTGTCTTCTGTATGAAAACTATGCCTTTGTTTCGTCTAACCCGAGGCTAACATCCACCCCAGTCTTCATACCGAACGACGACATTGCCCCCGCCAGACGACTTCGTATCCAACGGGCCCGCGAATACGGTGCACAGTGGACTCGACAATGGGGAACCCATATTACGCATGTCGTTGCTGAGAAAAGGCTGACCTACCAAAATCTGATCGATTACCTCAAGCTTGGGTGTTTCCCTGTTCGTTGGATATTTCCCAAGATTTGCCGACGTGCTGCTAATAATCGCGCCACAGAAAAATATAGCTCTTGTCAACGAAAATTATCCTCCTGAATGCATCACATACCGGTCGCTCCTGGACCCATCATACCCTCGATTCCAGGTTGTTGGCACACCGGTGCCTGCTGCAAAGGTAGAGCCGGTTCTGGCGGTTGAGCAGAAGACAGCCGACACATTGCCATTGAAACGGCTGAGGCGGGAAAAAGAGATGTCACCGGAGCGACCACAAAGTCCCCCAAAAGAGTACACTTCTGCTGGACCTCCAATCTCGGAAACTGTTGGTAGCGAACCCCCACAAGATGCGGAGATCGAAACAGAACCTCGTGAAAGGGATGCACTGGACGATATAATCAATGAAAGCAAGGCCACGAGCCATCTGGTAAGGACCATTTCTTCTAATAAGCATTTAAGACTGAGGTTGTTACTAACTTCTACGCTAGCCACTTGACTCGGACGAGGAGTCTCTAGCCGAGATATCTGACGCGGAATCTGACTCGTCAGAATCCGGACCAGCCAAGAAGAAATCACGAACTGCAGCATACGGTGAAGGCCAAGCGGGTCCCTCCTGGACGAGAGGATTCTCTTGCATGCGAAAATTCGACCCAAACGCATCACGAGATAATCCGAATGCGAGGACAATCGAAGTTTTGAAAGAGATGTTGGATTACTATACACGGAATGCGGATCAATGGCGGACGATGGCTTATCGCAGGGCCGTCAGTACCTTACGCAATCAAAAGGATAAGATTGCGACGCGAAAGCAAGCGTTGGCTCTTCCTGGTATTGGAACACGATTGGCAGACAAGATCGAGGAGATCGTGTGCACCAATCACCTCCGCCGACTTGACCATGCTAATTCTTCCCCTGAAGACCTTGTTATTCAAGAATTTCTTGGAGTTTATGGCGCTGGACTCGCCCAAGCTACCAAATGGGCGGCCCAGGGTTATCGGTCACTGGAGGATCTTCGCAACAAAGCCACTCTTACCCCGAACCAGCGCATTGGAGTGGAGCACTACCACGACTTTTCGCAGCGCATCCCACGCAAGGAGGTTGAGGCCCACGGGGCGATCGTACGCCGTGTGGTCCAGACGGCGGACAAGGATATGCAGGTGATTGTCTCGGGCTCTTACCGCCGCGGGGCACGGGATTCGGGGGACATCGACTGTCTCATCACCAAACCGGGCGCTCTGTTGGACCAGGTCCGGACCCTCGTCATGACCGTGATCGTACCGAAGTTATTTGAAGAGGGGTTTCTTCAGGTCGGACTGGCCACTTCTCACCGTCATAACGATGGATCGAAGTGGCATGGGGCATCCTGCCTACCGGGGAGTAAGGTCTGGCGACGAATCGATCTACTCTTTGTGCCCGGGCCTGAATTGGGAGCGGCTTTGCTATATTTTACGGGGAATGATATCTTCAATCGGAGCATGCGGTTACTAGCACGGAAGAAGCAAATGTGTTTAAATCAGCATGGATTATTTGGGGATGTTCTTCGGACTGTGCAGGTGAAAACCAATCCGGGTCGGTTGTTGGAGGCACTGGATGAACGGCGGATATTCGCGTTGCTGGGGGTGCCGTGGCGAAAACCCGAGGAACGGATTTGCTAGGGGGGAGTAGAGGGAAATGGGGAATTAAATGATATTACGATGATGATTATTATTATGGCTATATTTAAAAAAGTGGTGGTATCAAAATTCCCAAATTATGACAATTCTGACAATTCTGATATTTGGATGTATCGATGCGATGATGGAATGCGCAGGGTGACGCTGAAAGGGCCCAAAGTCAAATGAGAACAAAAGCTGCATATTTCGGCAGACTTTGCAACCTCCCCTTGTCATCGTCATCCCCTCTTCAAGTTCTCCTCTTCCTTTCTACCTTCCCACTGCTATTCCACTCCATATCCCATCTCTTCATCTCAGATACTCCCACCATCACCGCCAACACCGCCTTTGTCATTCATCACCGCCTTTCCCCCCCTCTCATCACCGCCTTGTGTGCGGTGAAGCTCCCGTCTTCGTGACTCTCCCCCAAACCGCCTAGACCGCCTCCTACTGCCCCCCCAGTTTTGCCGCATATCGCGATCGCTTTGTCGCATCATAAGAGCTTCGGCCTCTTTTTCTTGCGATACTTTTCCAGTCGTGGTGCTGACTGCCACGCTGGTCTAAGGCCGACCTCACCTTCCTCCCACCTCCATCCGCCTCTCCCTCCCCCTCCCTTCCTCCATCCGAATTTTCCCTTCGCGCTTTGGACCGCGCGTGTTGTGGCCAAAACCCGTGTTTTGTCCCCGAAACTCAACTTGGTGCTGTCCGGACGTGACATTCTGGCAATTAACATCGGGATCACTGTTGACCTTGGGCATTGACACGTTGACATCTTCCCCTTTCCCTCTTCCCTCTCTTCCTTCCCCCTAAACCCATCCGCCAACCACAATGGGACGCAAACCCAACCAACTGATCCTCGAGTTCTTTATTCGAGGTCCCAAGCTCGAGGATTCTAGTAATCGCTACCAACATACCTGCAAGGCCTGTGGCGAGAAATTTCCCAAAGGGCGCATCGATAGCTTGACCAACCACTTGGTCAAGAAATGCCAGGCCATTCCTCTCCGGGACCGCCAACGCGTTCTTCTTCGACTCCACGAACTTCCCGACCTCACCGAAGGCGACGCCAATAAGGACCCGAGTACCCCAGGAGGTAAAGGGAAATCCGCCGACGGTTCTTTCACTCGTCCCAACTTCGACGGCTTGAACGTGCTGGCGGAAGCTTCTCGTCAGGTGGGTGCGTCGGAACCGACAAAGCGTGGCCCTCAATACACCCAGTCCGTCACCGTGGGGGGCAAGACAGTAGTAGTTGACCCAGCGCTGGAGGCCGACTTTCAGGCATCTGCTTCTCAGCAAGGGGACGTTAAGCAAGAGGATAGTACCATGACTGGTAAGTGGGAAATACCCCAGAAGTCGACTGCGCAAAGGTCATCTAAGCTAACAAACCACCTCACAGGAACTTCTCAACCATCTGGAACTCCCACCATTCCTGCCCTGCCTAGTCATACCTCGGACCATCCAACTTCCATGTCCCCACCGCTTGATCATTCACTCAGCCCAGAGTCCGCATCCAATGCGCGTCAATCACAGCTGTCCATGATCGCGGCTTCAGCCAACGAGATGGTGCCGCAAGGCTTGACAATGGATACGGATGGTCTGGGCTCAGATGGTCTGAAGCTAGGCCAGTGGAACCAGCAATTATCGACGCAGGAACAACTCTTGTTCGACAGTCTTCAGGAACACGATCCCTCATTGACCGCGGCTACTCAGCGTGCTGCCTCCTACCCGCGTCCGATTGCGATGAACCCCAACACTCAGGCAAAGGGATTTGTTAACGAGTTTGGCAATTCCACAAAACCAGCCAAACCCAAGGTGCGCGGCCGCTTCAGTACCGAACGACGGAAGGAAGTTCAAGAAGTGCGAAAGCGAGGCGCATGCATTCGTTGCCGTATGCTGAAGAAACCTGTAAGAGCGATCGATCTGTTACTCGATGCCCATCAAGCGACTAATATGACTTCTTAGTGCTCCGGTGATACTCCCTGCACAACTTGCGCTAGCGTGGAAAGCGCCCGTCTCTGGAAGCACCCTTGCATTCGAACTCGTCTCTCCGAGGAGTTCGAACTTTATAATGCGAGTAAGTTGCGCTTACCCCGTGTCTTTAGTGTTACCACAGGTTGAGACTGACCCATCTAGACTTGCATGCCACTCTCGCATATCACGACACCAGTGCCATCAGGAACCAGGTCAAGTTTGAGCACTACGCTGGCCGCCTTGAAGTGACTCACCTTGAGGAAAGCATGGTCTATGTGACCTTCAGCGGAGTTCAAGGCCACCGTGCATCTGTTTCCGCACTTGACCCTCAGCTTCAGGGTCTGGGCGAAGATCAATTTTCCGGACCCCCACAAGAGATCTATCTTCTGGACAGTGATTCTGATGATATTCCGAGCAAACTCGAGATGTACATCAAGAAGACCGCTCCATTCTTCATCGAGCGCGAAGCTTCTGTCTTCATGAAGTCCACTCTCCTGCTGGCTTCTGAGTTGAGCCAATCCAAGAAGGTATGCATACATGGACTTGAGTGAGCAAAAGAAAAACCATTTACTAACAGTGTCCAGGATACTCTACTGGAGCGCGCAGTGGAGTTGTGGGTCGCCACCCATGTCTTGGTAGACACCGAACTCAGCTGGAAGACCTTCTGCAACCCTACCCTCCCTCCCACCTCTATGCACTCCCTCTCCCAGCCTTCCGACGAGGGCCGTCTCCCTATAGAAGAAGTCTCAGACCACGAGTCCTACGCCCTACTATGCAGTCAGCTGCGAGCTGGCATGGAGAAGCGTGCCATGCAATTGAGCAAATCCGTCATCACAGACCTCGAGCGTCGACTGCTCCAGCGCCAAAAGACCGGCTGGTTCGAGACATTCCTGGTCTCCGTCGTCCTTCTGAACTGCGTCGAGCGTACCTGCTGGCTCTTCCGCTCATGGGATAACGAAAACTTTGCCCAGCGCGTAAGTAGTGCCCTGCCACCCACCCGTGGTTCCATCAAAATTGATGAAGTCGCTAACTCAGCCCACTCCAGTGGCCCCTTGACAAGCGCCCCCTTACTACTATAACCAGTCCGAGCGTTTCGCCGATATCCTGCACATGCTCCTCCGTATGCGGAGTCTCCCACCCAAGACTACCGTCCGTCCAGACGGCACGCTCAAGGCCGTCGACGGAAGCGACGAGAACGCCATGCGCTGGTTCGACATGATTCAAATTTCCCGTATGCAAGCCCCTGCCTGCCTTTCGTTAATGGAATCAAATAACATGCTAACTTTGTCTCTCTGTAGCCTTCTACGTCGAAGAACGTGCCCACGCGATGTTTGACCCCACTGACTCTCGCTCGTTGGACCTCCACCATGTCTCTGGTCTCCTTCAGCCGAGTAACGCCTAGCTCAAATGATTCTTTCTTCTTTTTCAAAGCCAGCGTTTATTGTATGTTAGGAAGAAATTGAAACGTTGCTGAAAAATTCAGAATCAAGGAAGAAGAAAAAACCTTTCCCGGGTGCATCAATGGTGCTTGATGATTCAACAAAATAGGGAGATGAAAAAAAAGAGAAAAAAAGCAGATCTGTGAATTGCATGCACGGTGTGTGTGAGAGAGAGGCAGCGAGAGATGAAAAGCAGTTCCTCATGCTTTTCGCGAGGATACTTCTTCCCTTTCACCACCACCCTCTCCCTATGTTGTATCTGTCGTTTTTTCTTCCTCTTCTGTCCTCTTCTCGTCTCTTCTCTTCTCTTCGCTGCAAAGGAAAGAGTGTTAGTGCTGTGGGGTGGGGGTTGGATTCTCTACTTCTTCGCTCGGGCCTTGGACTTCGTTTTCGACTTCCAATTCTTTGCTTGCTTGATATCGTTTACTCTTGATATCTCTATAGGCCCTCGTGTCAAATCATAATAATGCCTTGAAATATCCGCTCGCTGCGTATGCGTACTAGGAATGTCTGTCCTTGATGGATGATGTCAATCTAGGTCAATTCACTTCGCTCGATTCAATTCAATTCCACCTCTTCAAAAGGATGACATCCTCTCTCCTCTCCTCTCATCCGATCCCATCCATTTGAGTAGAGTACTTTATCCCAACTTGAACGAAAGAACGCCAACATCAACCGAAGCACACACCATAAGAATCTTGAAAGAAGGAACGAAGTCAAACCAACCACACCACAGCAATCCAAAGCCCCCCCCCAACTCCCAGTCAACTCAATCAATTCTCCTCACTACTCCCCTCAGCCAAATACCCCTGCTCAAGAGCCCTAACAAATCGATTCCTCCGTCTCGGCGACCCACGTCTCGTAGACGTAGACGTAGGAGTCAACCCCAAATATCCCACCACGGATCCATCGCCCCTACTCCCATTCGAATTCAGCGCAGACTGTAAAAGAACATAGTGAAGACTCGAATCGTAATCTATCCAGCTGCGGTAGATGGCACTAGTCACGCCAGAGCCAAAGCACATGTCAGTAAATATTCTCCACGGTACTTTTATTTCATTTCATTTTGTCCTGTGGTGTCAACATACAAATTCCACAATCTCGGCTGTCGCTGAATATCCCCCGCAACAGCCCGAATCAATCCCACACTAGGCGTAGCGTCACGATTTCCATGCTGAGACCAGAGGTCTTGGAGGGTTCGGTAGAAGGGGGAACTTGGGACGATGGGGAGGCCTGGGTTTGTTAGGGTTAGGGTGAATTCGTCGTTGGGGGTGGTTTCGTAGATTAGGAGGTAAAGGGATAGAGTTGGGTCGCTGCTTCGGGGCTGTGGGGTGGGAGGTGTTAGAGGTTAGATCTTGGTTGGTTTGGGTTGTGGGAGAGGTGAGGATGTACTTCTGTGCTGTGGTTTCGGGAGCCGCGGGCCATTTTTGTTTGAGGTGTCAGTTGTGAAGTGAGGATAAGGTTGGTGGTGGTGTTGGTTTTGATTTTGATGGAATGAGAGAGGTGGAGGAGAGGAGAGGGTGAATAGAAGGGAAGGTGCTGGGTATACTTCGAGTTCGAGTGTTGCATTCACTGCAAATCCTTAGTACTAGTATACATTTCTATGATAGACGGTTTCGAAAAAGTGCTAATTTCCCGAGTACCTTAATGGTCTCTGTCTAATATGTCTGATATGTTTACTCGGACTTCGGGCTAGACATATGATGACTTAGACCTACACCGAGTATAAAATCTTTGAGACTTCCAAGACCGTAGAACTTCAAATCATCGGGCCATGGAGTATCTGTCTCAATATTATACAGTGAATGAATTTATTGGGGTACCTAGTACATGTTACATTCAGTTGCCATCACCGAATAGATAGGCCCCAGCACAGGGCTTGATATAGTCCAGGACCGGAGGAAGAAGTATCAATCCGCCTAATATCACTATTGTCCTGGAGACTAGCCTCGTTGAAATTGTAGCAATGAACAATTCACCCTCAATTACTATTCAGAACAATAATAGTCGTTGCCTGCCAGGCCAGAATAGGAACGGGAAGTAGAGTATCCGGTGATTCAGGGTTATTCTGGAGTCTCAATTGGGTATCAAATTGTTTCTGTTTGTTCCCTCCCGATGGGGAGTGAACGTTTCCTTACTTTGTTTACTTATTTAAGGTCCTTCGAGTTCCTTTCTACTCTTTCACCTCAACACATCCACACACCATTCCCATCTTTTCCTTTTGCCCATCTCCAAGCTGATTCTTACCACGAACTATTCTTGCTCTCGCTCGGTGTATGCTGATTCGTGCCGTCAGATATCGATCTTCGACCAGATATCCTGGTAGTACTATTAAGCGTCTTCCATTCACTTTACCTTTCCACTCACCTCGCTCTGCATTTCGACCAGATAACCTTCTGGTTAGACTTCCAGATACCGTTCTGTTGGTGCTTCCATGATTGTCAACTTCGACGTCGAACCACACAGGATCGACTTGAGTTTCAAACCTCGTCACCTTTACAACTTCACCATCGCCACTTTCAAGCCTTTCAGAATCGACCGACGACCTGCCCATACTAGCAAGCTGCTCCAGTTCAAGTTCTCAATTTCATCTATTATTCTGTTTTCATCTCGGGGTAGATCTATCCAAAAGCATAGGGTCTCTGGAGAAGCTGTGTCACCTCCGTTCAAGCAGCTCCATCACGAATCCGATTCAATCGTTCAGCTGTCAGCTGAAGCTGCAAGGGTTCAATACAATTGAACTTCATTCGGGCAAGGTGGTTAACCGAATCGGTGACCTGGATTTCCACAGAGAACTCTACTGGGTCCTTATTGTCGAAGTTCGCCTCTCTCTGCGACATATCCCGAGCTCCGCGACTGGGATTTTGGAAGGTCCTCTGTACTGGATAATCCTTGAGTACTGATACACTGGTCGACTGAGAGTGGGATTCGAGGGATGGGTTGATACATTCATCAATCATCTCGACGGTCAATTCTATTTCGCTCGCTACAATCTAGTCAGAAGAGAACGTACCGTTGACCACATACCTTTCGCCGATTGTCTGAATACGCTTACCTTGGGGATTATCCACCTCAAACCATTTACAGGGTACGCGAATTCCTGTCATTCCTGCAGACTGCGGAGACAAAAAGGCAAGGGCCAGTCCCCGGCTTTCGCTACTTTTTCACTTTCTCAGTTTCTGTGCCTTGCGAGGAATCTGTGGAATACCAAGAACCACCCCCTCTCGGTGCAAAAGGACCTGTCGTTGTTTCAGACTCCGAATACAACAAGGCAAGGTTATTCTCCATACCTTTTTAGTATCTTGAACGCTGCACATTCGGGGTTTGAATTCTTTCATATTTCCTGGGCTGTGCAAACGAAAACATTACACTGGACTGCCAAACTGTCAATTTATTGAGGCAGCTCTGAAGGCGATCAACCGAAATCCCATTGTCATTCGCCTGGAGCTAACATTTCCCTCATCCACGAAGACTAAGTTTCCCGCAAGGATTTTCACTTTCGTTCAATACAACACGATACTTCATTCAAGAGTCCTGACAAACGAGAGGTTCCGTACAGCAAAAGAGCTCCTTTACCACCATTCCACAGACGACGATCACGATAGGCACCCTTTCAATTTTGCGGTGACTCTGGCTAAGGCAGCATACTATCAACATGTTCACCCTAAGATTCCTCTCATTCGATGTCCACTACGAAGGTCGTGACCGCACTCCGCGACTGGCCCTGAGACTCGATTCAGAGATCAGACAAGACTCGCCTAAGTATCGTGAACTTATGGTCACCCGATGCCATTTTCCAAGCCTCACAATGATCCAGCTGGCTTTTGCCTTCCTGGGTCAAACAATCAATTCTCCGTATTAGTTCGTCCGCCCCGCCCTTTTGGTCGAAATCTCTGCTCACTTCTTCTGTCAGCTACGTTGTCGCCGAGGGATGGGACCATGGCTGGAGTGATGTTCCCGATGTCTGGTGGATTCTCCTGGAGTCCCGCATGCTGTCTGCCTCTACCCCGGCGGAGCCTGGTCGTGGCGACGATTAGCTGCCCCACAAGCCAGAAGCTGAGGAGCAACTCAGCGTGCCTCTGCCTACATCTCTTTGAGTCTTACATTCATGCTGGGGTTAAGGGTTCGTGGGCCCTTGGACATGGATCATGAGGAACTGGACAGTAGACTTCACAGGAGAATTGGAAGGTGTGGATGAAGTTTAATCCAACGAACGGGACGCATCGAAATCTCACCATCTTGGATAACTCTGATTTTCCAATAATAAGTTCTGGGTGAATATTCCTCTGTTTTCTAGTAATATCCCGTCAGTCGACATAAGACGTACTGACTTATAAGATTGCTGCCTATCTTGCTCTTTATTAGTTACAATGCCTAAATTTACGAAACCCCATTGGATCATCTTTCGTATCGGGGTTCACTTCCTCGTAATACCGGATTTTTGCAGGTCGAATAGTGTAAAATACCTTACAGTGAGATGCTTGAAACCCGAGACGAGGATTCACACTGTAGTGACTTGATACATAAGAGTCCTAAATCTAGAAAACATTATCCTGCCCCTCGATAAGCGCAAGCAAGGTTGAAGCAAGGCTCAAAGATAGCTTCCAATGGCGTATGCTCTTCAGGAGGCCGATGATCCCGAAGACCTGGTTCGCAGCCTTCTGCTCGAGTTGAATGTTCCTCAATTCTGCCGCATCGATTTCGCCAAGATGCACTCCAGCCAGTTCTAATTCTGGAAAGCTTCGTTCGATGATAGTTCCGTTGCAGCTATTCCCGAAATTTCCAAAAGAAAACCAGATGATCCCACAGTGGTAAAGGCAGGTGGGAATATGTAGCGGACACTCAGACCCAATGGACATTGACTCGAAGTGTTTTCTGATGCAAACAGCGTGTATTAGAGATCTGGTCGCCTCCTCGGAGTTTGCCCACTGCCGAGCGTATCCAATGGCTTCTCGAGCTGCCTCAGGGCCGTCTCTGCCGCAGGCTCGCTCAAGAGCGTCGATATTCGAGTATAAGAGGATGAAAGTGGAATGCCAGAGAATCTTTAACGGATATGCCCAGGACTCCACAGGAGAAGCAGCAGATAGATGCGTCTCGTACCAAGAGAGGAGGATTTCCTGGCATTTCTGGGCTGTATGGGGTGTAGTTGAGAAAGGTTCTTGGCATTCACAGGCCATAGCACTGATGGAATCAAGAGTGGCACAGAGTTGGAAGTTGCTCATCCTTCGAAGACTTCGCTCCTTCATCGACCTGTTCCCAGACTGCTGGTCCTGTTGTAGAGCCAGCTCTCGCCACGCATTTGCGTTGCTTGCAGCAAACATCTCATCTGAGGAGATGATCGGTAGACGCTCGATCGCAGGACGTAGGCATGGCTCATGATGATGGATCTTCGCTAACTCAGCATCAAGTATAAATATTCCGAGCACAGCGCTGTGGGATATTAGTGAGGTTATATCCACCCGAAAAAATGGTAGGCTCACCGTTTTCTCTCCTCTAGGGAGATCCAATGTTTCCATGAGGATTGCAATTTGTCATTCGGAAGACCTGGAAGATTTGTGGGTAGTTCTGGTGATACCGTATGCCTAAATAGTCGGACCCTGCGCGCCAACTTGGCTATAGTCAGCATTTCCAAGCGTCTCTTGTTGAGACAAGACGGTTTGCCAAAACTCACAGCAATTATGCTTCCATGAAAGGCCTCAATTCCAACCAGATCTTTGGGCCTCTGTAGAAAAAAAGCAGAGGTAATCTGTTAGTCTTTGCACACAGAGGGCAGTGTAAGAATCCTGTGGCTGGCAAAGGACGTACTCCCATAAGAAGACCAAATGTCTGCCCTAGCAAGGCTGACTGGATGGCCACGATTTTTGAATCTGGACGTTGAGTGATCATAGTATCCCACTACATTGTCAGGCAATCCATTAAAGTTACGGCTCAAGACCGATTGACTCTGCGAATCGGACGGCTGACTTACGGAAGATAAAACTGCTTTTTGGAGTCTTTCAAATATGCTAATCCCGTGCTCGATTACTCGCTGGGAGCTGAGAAATAGACTCCCTACAGAGCAAACGGACAGAAGAAGAACGGCATTCTGCCTAGAGGGCAAGAAGGATGACTCATGGATGACAGGAAATACGGGATGGAAATGGGAGAAGTACGCTCGCAAACAGAGATGCTATGTATCAGTCAGCACTTCATTCCTTGATTTTCCCTCCTTGCGCTCTTTGTGCCTCTTTCGAAGAGTGGGTGGTGGCACACAAAAATAAAGGCAGTAGAGCTTACTAGAAAATTGGTTGAAGGAACAATACCGGTTTGCACACGTTGCTGAAGACGATTAGCGAGCTCGTGGCGATAGGTCTCGTCTATTTGAGTCGAGTCATTCGTAGGGTCTGGGGATATGACGCCCGACGTGGCCTGCCCACAGTGGGTATGCCATTTCTCTGTTATTGCATCTCCACTCGGCACCAATGCCGCGTCCGTTGCCTGTTGATCAACGCCAAATGATCCAGTGGCAGTCGGGTTCTCACCCGCCATCCGATCAACAGTCAAGAAGTCTGCAGTAGTGGCATGCAATAAGGACGAGTTCAGGGCATCCAAGTCGAAGTTGTCGTCCATCAGCCAGGAATTCCACCCTGAATCTAGCTCGACACTGAGTATATCCGATAAATTCAGTGTTTCGTTCAGCTGGAGATTTCCACCTGGATCTTGCGAAAATGAGATGGGGAAATCTGAGGCCAACAAGTCGTTTGCATCAGCGTGCCCAGACACACTTGCCGTTTCCAGACGTTCTACTGTGCCATTTGAAGGCGTCCTTATCGTTGTGATATTATTCGTCGATGGTGACGAATGAGACGGTGACAAAGGATGGCATGTTGCCGCGGGAGCACTTCCAAACCAGACTCAGTCGTGGGAGGAGTGATATGAGGGACGCTCATTCCATCCTGCAAATCCAGAAAGTCTCCCGATCTATCCCTGCGGTAGTGGGACCGTGTATGGCGAAGCAATGTGTCTCTAAATGAAAAGATGAATATGATAATCAATTTCTTTTTCTTTCAGTTGGTCCACTCGGTGGAGTGCTATGTGTTCACTCACTGTCTGCTATAGCCTCTTCCGCAGTCCGGGCAAAGAAATGGCTTTTCCTTCGTGTGGGATCTATAATGCCTGGCCAAATGTTCTGCCTTGGTGAACTCCTTGGAACATACCGGACACACGCGTTCCTGCTTGGACGTCTTGGGTCGCCGACGGCCCACTGGTCGAGAGAGCACGCCAGATTGCATTATTACCACAAAAGTACGTCAGTCTGAGCCTCTTGTTTGATGGCTGAAAGATTATGGTGATGCTAATCGTGATGTTAGGCAGAAGATGATGGATGCGTCATGGTGGCGGTAAGATGCGGACTACGGGTTGTGGCACCTATCCGCCCGCCGAGATTGATACATTAATGCAAGTGCAATTGATTTCTTGCTTATCTCCTTTTCTATTCACTTGGAGGATAATGTTCTTCTCTCAATATTAGAAACTAGATAGTATGTAACATTAACCCCTCAGCGATATCAAGGATACCGGATGTCATTTTTGACGGACGCCACGCCTTCTATTTCCACCTCCACCACGTCCCCAGCCTTCAGAAATTCCCGCTTGAAAAATCCCACGCCGGCTGGTGTGCCGGTCATGATTACGGTTCCCTTACGGAGAGTCATTCCCCGCGAGAGGTGGCTGACAATCTGCCGGACACTCCAGATCATGTCATTTGTACTACTCTGCTGCTTGACCTGGCCGTTGACCCGGGTCACCAGACGGAGATCCTGGGGATCGGGAACCTCGCTGGCCGCAACAATGGTATGTCCAATAGGTCCAAAGTGGTCAAAAGATTTAGAATAGCCAAATTGCATCCCAGAAGCCTCGGGGAGCTGGAAATTCCGCGCAGAGAGGTCATTTCCGGCCGTATAGCCCAAGACATAGTCCAATGCCTCATCTTCGGAAATATTTTTAGCATCTCGGCCCACAACGACGGTCAACTCGCCTTCGTAGTCGAGCATTTCACGGGCGTCGGGGTGGATTTCAATGGTATCAAAAGGGCCAGCTAGCGCATCGGCGGGCTTAACAAAGATGGGGGGGTATTTCGGGACATTCAGCTGATAATATCTGTCAGCAAGCCATGTACGAATGATCAGCGATTTATGGAGTACGCACCTTGGCTTCGTTTACGTGGCTTTGGTAATTCAAGCCAACAAGGATGATGAGCGGAGTACGATCAATGGGACAAAGTAGCTGGCAAGTTGTTAAAGGGGAAAAAATGGAACCTTTCCAATGCAAGACCCACCTCATCGACTTGCACGATCTCGTCAGTTGTCAGCAGCTCAGTGAAAGGGTCACCATTCAATCGTCTGACTTTGTATGTGCCGCCATCAAAGCTGAGCAGATCGCCGAATAAGATACGCTCTCCTATGGCGAAACGGACTAGTCGCTTGAAGGCCATTTTTAGTATGGATACACGGAGTGTAAGAAACACAGTTTGATGTTAGAGAATGAAAATGCGTGGGAGGACTTCTTCTGAAAAAAAAAGCAAAACGGATGTCATTACGCGAGTATGAATTTATATCCAGGCCGAGGAAATTCAAGCCTCCGCAACATAGGTCCCACCACTTCGGCATGGTGAAGGGGATGTGGGGCCTTTGGCTGGGTATAGTATATTAGTGTTCAACCACATCTACAAATCGGCCCCTATTAGTTTCATGCAAGGGTGCACATCACTTTTAGGCTCTCTCGAATTTTTCAATTTGGCATCTCACCGTCATAGCTATCCTCACAATGGAAGTCACTGAATCTTCGGTCAAGGCAAACCACGGAGCCTCTGTGCCCGACACGAGCGCCTCTCGAGAGCAAATCTCTCAAGCGCATTGGCTTCAGTCCAGGGGCATCAAAGCCGAAGAGCGTGTTCAGTTGACCAGGCTCTCTCATATGCGATATCAGCATCCGGATTTGGACGTATTGTCAGATTTCATGCTAAGTTTGTGTCACCTGGTTTTCTTTTATGTTGAATGCAGACTTAACCTTTTAGATTTCGGAATGACGGTGGCAAAAAGAACCGAGAGTGAAGTCTGGTTTCGAGGCTATGGAGTCGATCAGTATGTTTACTATGCGACTAAGGGACCGAAGAAGTTCTTAGGAGGAGTATTCGCAATTGACTCGAAGGAGGAGTTCGAGAAGTAAGAGGGATTCTTGCCATGCTGATCATATGTGACTAATCCACTTATAGGGCCTTGAAGGTGCCAGGAGCATTGCCAGTCCAAAAATTATCTGAAGATCCAGGAGGAGGTCAGATGGTAACTATCGTGGATCCAGATGGGTTTCCCTTTAACGTGATCTTTGGCCAAGAAACAGGTGAAGATGCCTCTACACCTGCTACCACGAAGCTGAGGGCCAACTATCCACACGAGAAGCAGAGGCTTCGTGAGTTCAACCGCTTCGAACGTGGTCCAGCAGCCGTGCACAAAGTTAGTGGACTTTCAGTGCTCTGTTTGACGTGCTCTTCTATCCATACTAACGAATCCTCGCGTAACTATTAGGTGGGCCACTTTGGCTACTCCACGGAACGCTTCGAAGAGCTCCTCTCATTTTACACCTCCCATTTCAACATAGTTCCAACAGATCTGCTTTATATGGAACATGACGGCCACAGAATGGATGTGACGACATTTATGCACCTGGACCTAGGTCAAAACCATACGGACCATCACTCTTTCTTCCTCGGCGCCAGCCCAATTGGGTCTCACGTTCACCATTGCTCGTTTGAGGTTTTCGACTATGATACTCAGCATCTAGGACATCAATGGCTAGCCAGTAAGGGTTATCGATCTGTCTGGGGCGTTGGCCGGCATATCCTTGGATCCCAAATTTTTGACTATTGGTGGGACCCAGCAGGAAATATGGTTGAACACTACACTGATGGTGATCTGGTCAATGAAGACACTCCAATCGGAATTTTGCCGGCAGGCCATGAGTCGTTGGCCATTTGGGGACCCGAGGTCCCGCTAGCGTTCTTGCAGTAGTGTTCTCGTGTGGAGTTCTATGGTAATTGGTACTTTTAGGAAGGGTTGTCTAGATGCTTTATTTAGTTGAGTCGGACTATTGTCGAATATGGTCAATAAACAACTTGGTGGTATCTATGCGGACATTGATCAACTATATATTTGTGTATAAATCCTCATCCACGAAAACTCTCGCCAAGCTTTACCATGTGCTCTTCAGGAACAGTAGGTATATCTTGTAGCGTAGTGGGAAATATATTGATGGAAGGCCCTTGTCGATGTTTTTTTGATCTATCTATACGCTCTGTGTTTGGCTTTAGGAGCACGTGTATGGGAGAGGTTGTCACGTTGCATGGTTCCAGATCAGATGGAGAGACTAAGCCCACTCGCTGCAGATTCATGGGCCCCGTTCTTTGATTACTGTGTTCCCTACAAGATTTGATTCGACCTAAGGACCAGAGAAGGAAACTCATTCTCGTCAGTGTTCCGTTCCCACCAGTGGCCTCATACCCCCTTGGTACTTCTAGGCGTCCTTTGTTCTTCCAACTTCCTTCCTTACTATGGTGGCCCCTATTTGTGGAACCTATATGGGACCTATCTGTTGAGACGACCTCTGTGGCAACAATTTTCCATGGTCTATAATGGTGCCACAGCTGCCCCACCCTTCTTTAAATAAGACCCGGGAGGCGTCTGCAATAGACAAAACCGAAGTTATACATAAGCTGCGGTTGAGCGGGCATTGGGACGTGAGATCAGAAGTTTCAAAGAAATTTGTGGTCATACGCAACCAATATGTCGTCTGAGCACGTTTTGGAGACTACAGATGTACTCATCTGTGGTTGTGGGCCAACAGGAGCCATGCTGTCTGGCTATCTTGATGGTATGGCGGTCCGGAATATCGTCCTGGAGAGAGAGGCCGATATCACGACAGACCCAAGGGGAATCGTTCTTGACGACGAAGGCATCCGTTATTTGCAGGGTCTAGGTTTGTATGAGCATGTCTATACGGACATCGGTTCTTGTGCGTAGTGCAATATATTAGAGTGACAGCATTTACTAATGATTGATAGGTATCGAGAAGGTATTATTTTTGCCAGGAGAGCAGCAAAGCTTGGGCACAAAACCCATATTCAGTTTTAATACTGCTTCTGTAAGCCTTCTTCTCCCCCTACAAATCTCGTGATATGAAAATTTCCCAACTCTAACTAGATGCGATTCAGTCCGAAGGATTTACGGGACATGTCGGCGTCATAAGTCACAAACAACCTGCGCTTGAAAAGCATCTTCGTTCCCGCATTAAGGGGTCTCAGCACTCGCAGTTGAGAGCCGGATGCACCCTTGAGTCAATCGAGGAAGATAAGGATTGGGTACATGCGAGCTATGTGGAACCTGAAGGTAATAAACGACGCATTCGCGCCCGTTTCCTGGTTGGTGCGGACGGCAAGACAGGCTACGTGCGCAAGCAATATCTCGAACCACGGGGGATTAAATTGGAGTGGGCTGAACAGTGCGTGCTCTAATACTCATCGCGCCCTGCATAGGAAACCCCTCCAGAGCTCTTTGGACTAATGCGCGGATATAGGTGTCGCTACGAAGAAACCTGGGTAGCTTTGAATTGGGAAATCAGCATGCCAACAGCAGAAACGCACCCAGACTTCCCGCTATGGAGGCTGGGGTATTCGCCTGAAGATGTGTACAACCAGTTCTTCCCGAAGGATTTTCGATTCCTCTGTAATCCTCGTCGACCAGCAGTTTGCGGCCGTTTCGGCCAGACCAAGGACCGCCTCTGGAGGTTTGAATTTGTGGTTCAGGCTGGTGAAGATCCGCAAGAAATGTCTGAGCCACACAAGATTCGGGAAATTGTATTCCCCTACCTTCGTCATGAAGGGTCCCGCTATGAGTAAGTCTATGACCCATGAAGGGAATGACTAGGATCAATGAGAGTTCTCATTTGACAACACGTCGCAGCCTAGACACAGCCGTCGAATTTCCAACCGATTGCATCAAGGTCCTTCGATCTCGTCCATTTCACTTTGCCGCAAGAAAGTGCAATAAATGGGCCATGGGACGGGTCATCTTGTGCGGCGATGCCGCTCACGTCTTTCCTCCATGTAATTTGAACCTTTCTCGCCTGTATGGGATCCACGGCTAACTCTGGATTTCCTTTCTATAGTTGGCGGTCAGGGAATTGCTTCCGGCTTTCGGGATGCTATCGCCCTTGCCTGGCGACTTGCCATTCTCACTCGGTCCCGTTCTACTCGACTAGACTACGAGCAAGTACTCGCGGGGTGGTACTCTGAACGCGGTCAACAATTCCAAAAGTCACTTAACACAACTTTGCGAAATGGACAATTGGTCAGCAGCACCAATACAGTGCAGAACTTCATCCGGGACTGGTCGCTCTGGATCATGCAACTGATTCCCCCAATCAAGCATCAACTGGAACTCGGACCCCGAAGTGAGGGCCCAGTCAGGTACACCCACTCAAAAGGTATGCCGTTTTTGTCCCACCTCCACGGGGGAATCGCCTTTCCACAAACATATTGCACAGAACTAGTCGATCCCGATAATCTGGTTCGCTTTACCGATGATGTGATATTTTCCAAAAAGAAAACCAAGCTCTTCCAGATTGTTGTTTTGCTTGATAAGCCATGCCAGGCGATAGCGACAATTCAAGAGATGGGTGGTATTGATGCCTTTAGCGATGGCCACTTATCTGCCAAAGAGGCCACCCTGCTGGTCCAGGCTAAGACCTATCATCCTAATGATGATAGCATTAGTTTTGATAGTCTCTCCCTGTTCCGAACTGCGACTGCAAAGGAATTTGAGGAGTCCGACTTGTGCGTTGGACGGCCAAAACCCCAAGGCTACAACGACACTCAAATCTGGAATGTTATGCGGGGAAAGCGATTTGTGATTGTTAGGCATGATCGCTGTGTCTATGCCGCGTGCGGTACGAGGGCTGAATTGGTTGAAGCCGCAAAAAGTCTGAGAGAGACTTTGCCATTGAATTGAAATATATTCTTTCCTCCGCTCTTTTAATCGCATACAGAGACATTCACTAAAGCTGGCTTGGTGAAAGGTCTGGAACCAGCTCGCGGAAACCATAAATAAAAATTGAAAAACCACCGTGATCAGCAGACCCACTTAAGCATTCCTTTACCCCCGTATCAATATCCGACAATATAATGCGAAGCCGACGACTACGAGTTTCATTTTCTATGCTACTGCTTGTGAATCTGATACTCTAGCAGTGATTCGATAACTTAATAAACAGATTCTTCAGGAAAAGACTGAGACTGGGCATATTAGGCTTCTTTCAGTTGTTTTAATATCGCGCATCGGCCACAAATCACGAGAAACGCGTTTCTGAGCGTTTGCAGCCAAAATCGGCCCGATTAAGAGCTTGCCATTTCCTGATAACATTCCCCCGCTCTTCAGGCGAGGAGCACTAGAACTCGCTGATTCCCTGGGAAATTCTTGCGCTCTTGATATATGATTGGTTACGCTCGGATAAAGACTGTTGGAGGTACTTGTGCAGACCAGTCAATGGGTTGCCGCCAACCCAAACACCCCTGTCATAGTCTTAGCATACTTCTTATTAGCTTCTGCTGCCGGTGATGTTCGAGAGAATATGAAACAATGTACGAACCTGCTTTCTGTTTAGAAATAGCACCTGCAATGCCTTTCCTAATTCCGTAACGCAAGCCTTGTCCCCCGGAATGTTTCATACCCCGGTGAGGCTGAGAAACGAGTCCGCTGACACCGTCGTATACGGAAAATATAAATTCCTACATGATATAAGCCAAGTTCGGAGCTGAAACTGTCACATTCTCCGTGGCTGTACTCAGGCTGATCGAATTTGAGGTCCACCAGGAGGTCCTTCAGGAGGTCCACCCGATCCATGGCGAGAACGCGAAATTTCAGCTACGACAGAACACCCATATCAAGATCACACCTGAGTTCGCCAAATCCTACAACCGCAGAATGAAACAAGCCAATTTCCACGGCTGCAAACTGGTCAGGGCTGCTCTGATCTCTATCGGACTAAATCCCATTGATCCCCCCTGGTTCGTTCTTCCCCCCATTGGCAGGAATTATAGCTAACGTCAACTCTCAAGCACTATTCATTCAAATAGCTGGGATCTCTTTTCCAAAATCTACTGATTATCCTGGAATTTGACGAATATCTCCCTACAACCAAGCCTTCTAGCGTAACTTCCGAGAACCAGCTGGCCCCCAACGACAAAGATCCCTGGGTTTGCCACGACTTTAAGCCTTCCGATGCAAGTTCCGAGAACGAGCAGGCCCCCAAGTGAGAATTTATGGGTCAATACAACTTCAGTGGCCGACAGAACCCTTTCTGTCTTCAATACTGGGCTCGGACAAGGGTTTCTAATAGAACCTTGGAGTGATGGTTATGGAAGGTCTGCCGATGGAGAGTGAGGGTGTTCGGGTGTATGGAAATGAGGATACCAAATACATGCCTAACGAGTTTGATGGATCCAGAGTTGTCTTTCATGATCAACACTCTGGCTAATATGCGGTTTCCAGTGCCACCATTGGCAACGGATTGGATTTCGTCATGATCGAGGGAAGGGATCTTATCAAGGGGATCTGCTGATGCTTATTGTGGAGACGTGGGATTGCCAGCGGGGGCAAGCATAATGTGAAAGAGGACATGTTCATCTGTGGCTTTCTGCTTTATTTCCGGCTTTCAACATTGAGTTTTATACCTCCAAAAAACCACACAGAGTTCTCACACAGAGTTCTACTTCCATTTTATGTTTCGCCTTTCGGGCAATCAGCCGAGGATTTCCCATGACACGTCTTGTCTTTGGACTTACCGTAGTGGATTTCCAGTTTGCCTTTTATTTGTTGCTAGCACAGGGGCAATACTAAACAATTCAGATAAGACAGATAAGCCCATTGATCTACTCAGATATTGCCTTTCCTCTCACGCTGTAGAGATAAAAGTGTAGGTGTATTGACCCATCGCAAATCATCCCATATCTGGACACCAGTTGCCACTTCTCGACAGGGACAAGATTTGGATGATTGATAGGCACATATTACTAAAAACCTTTGTGGATTGTTTGATTCTCCGCGTCCTTGAAGAGCATTCCTGTGATTGAGACTTAAGTGCACTATACTAATGGATGCCTTTTTCTATCTAGATTTGAAGGTTTTCATGTGTGTTTGCATCGTTCTTTGCGGAAAGAAAGGCCAAACGTACTTATTTCAATTCAGGCAGTGATGTTAATTGAGCAAAAGGGAATCCTTCTTTCATTAAAACTAATATTTAAGCAATCTGGAAAGCTCGGCCATGCTATTTCCCTTTTCTCCAAGTCACACTGACAGCGCTGCAACCAACTTGAATTATTTACTATTTCTACTAGTACCCAAGTGCGGTTGATATCTATTCTAAATATAGTATTGACGTAGATCCTCTTATACTGCCGGTACCTGGAGATCAATGGTCAGCCCTTTCTATGATCATAGGGGTTCTGGTGTGGCTTCTCATCCCTGCCAGCCCTACTTCACGATATGCCATATCCAGTAATTAATTATCTTGGCGGGTATTCATCTCCACACCGGGGATCTACCCTGATCTTCTGTTATATTACCCGTGGCGGTGCCCCAGGCTACTCGCCTTCGAGGTCCGCAATACGGGCCAAATAGATCGACTACGCCTCAGACTCCCGAGGTCAATATCGGCATCGCACCTGAGTCGGCCATATACCCTCTCATTATGGAGAAGAGACATTTCCTCAATGTCAGATTGATGGAGGCTACCCTTATACCTTATATCCACCGGACTAGCTCACATCAACCCCCCCCCTTTGGCTTGCCCTCTTGTCTTCTCAGAAAAGTTTCAGCTAATGCCTACTTTCAAACTACGTTGTTACGGACTACTGGACCTTAATACGGTACCTACCGGCTTATTCTGGAGATCAAAGAGCCCTCAACTCTTATGGGATTTTATATATAAAGCATTGAGGGAAATTCTGATATTGAGTGACTTTGAAATCCGTCTGCGTACTCTTGTACCCATGCGAGGAATAGTTTCCTTTCTCTTCTCTCCTCTCTTGCTCTATTACTTTTCGTTTAATGCCAGGTCTTCAGTTCCTTTTCACATCAGGTTGCTTGTACGCACATTCCCTCATGTGTGATTCCATGGACTCTGTCTGTGGTACCACCTAAATAGCAGGAGAGGACCTCGCTCACGCGCCGGGAGCAGTTATCCGGGGTTTCAAATTACCTTGCGAAATACTGCTGGCAGTGTGCTATATGAATTATAAAGAAAGAACCTTAGATCTCGATCACAAAACGGCAGGAGCAATGGCCGGACCCTCGCGCCTGCCATTATGGAATTACATTCACTGGGAAGTTTGTCTTGTTTCCTTCCATCTAATCTTCTTCTCCTGTTCTCCTATTCTCATCTTCACCTCTTCTACAACCTAGACGATTTCGATTTTATCCACCACCACTTACTGATCTGCGTTTACTAAAATCTCAACCCAACCTGACCATCATCATGAAGCAGCTTGAGTGGCTCACTTTCCAGGTCCTTGAAAGCGGAATTTACGACCGACTCCTCCTAAATACTCGCCTGAATATCAACCGGGGTGATGCGAAGTACAAGGTTCTCATCGCGAACAAGAGCGAGAAACCAAATTGCAAAATGATTGAGGCCGCCCTCATTGCAATGGGCAAAAACCCACAACGCCCATCCTGGTTTGTTGTTCCTGTTCTTGTCATTTGAGGAATTATATTAGCTAACGTCTACACTTAAGCGGTGTGGTCGCGGATGGCTTGGACGGTTCAATGTACTGGATTATCCTGGATTAAGAGGTGCCTCATGATGTGTACCGATCTACAGATGATGGGTGATTACTTCGGACACAGGCAGAGTGGATCTTCTCCTTCAAGAAGGAAGACCTACGATTAGAGCTGAAGCAATCCAGCCTGTTTCAAATTGCAACTCTCTGATAGAACCTTCCTTGGAGGAATAAGGGAGGAAGTTACTGCTTCTGTTTTTGCTTTTTTTTGTTCTTTTTTACTTTCTTTGTTCTTTATCCTTGTACTTTGAGAAAATATTTTGACATTATCCTTATTACTATGCTCATTTTTATTAATATCTTCCTCCTCTTATTTTTCTCCTTCTCCTTCTTCTTCTAGGCTTATCAGTTTTGTCAAGCAGCTACTAAACGTTGTCTAATTTGCATCTTGATCTTTGTGCAGCTGAGAAATCCTATAAAGCTTAGTGTCTATACTTCACTATCTTTCACTTTATATATTATTGTTGCCATTTTGATTTAAAATCAAAACGCGTTACAGGATCTTCAATAAAACCTCCTATTTTCTGAAGTCATATATGAGGAACTGGCAGTATTACTGTACCAGATGCTTGAGAGACCCCTCGCTACTGATCAGGTACGGCATATTCGTGGAAATGAGCTGAAGCAAGCGACTCAGCTCTTAATTAATTGACCTCATTCTGAGATTCATCAAGGCTCACCTAGGTAACAAGCTCTACCAGAGCCTCAAAGCCCCTCGCCAAAATTTAAGTGGATCTCGGCCGCCCTGATTGCACTCGTCAAATGCTCAAGACGCCCATCCTGGTTTGTTGTTCCTGTTCTTGCCATTTGAGGAATTATATTAGCAAACCTCTACTCTTAAGCGGCATTGTCGCCGATGGATGGCAGAGCCCTCGAATGGGTAATATCTACTGGATAATGCTTGAGTATGCGTAAAGTACCCATGTGGGGGACGGTGCAACTCTACTGGGCTATCTTGGAGAAGGAGGTGCCTGCTGTCGAGGCTTACTGGGGTTCTGAAAAGGCAATAAACCTGCATAAGGCGGACTAGAATGTTGATTGGGGGGATGAGGACTGTCGTTCTACTTGTCTTTTTACTTGTCTGACTTGTTGTTTGATTTGATGTTTTATTTTTTTGGTTTATTTGTCCGCTTATCTTTCAATTGTCAAATCAGGATTTTTTAAGACTTGTCACAGATATTTTCCCTCTGTTTTCTGTATGTTAGTGTCCTGTTGAAGATCTTTTGGCTAGTAGGCGACCTGCAGGGGGGTGTTGAGACTGTGATACCTCAGCCTGCCCAGGTCCGTCTATATTATCCCTCCATTGTCATATTAATCTACACCTTACATCACCTCCGACTTCTATTGTCATCACCCGCTAGTGGCGAGACGGAAGGATGAGATGAAATATGGTGATGGGACTCAGTAATTGGAAAATTTGCACTCGCGCGTACAAGGTCGGTTGGCGACGTACATTTGCACTCATGAGGCGGAAGTTTGCTTTTGTCAAATTGGTTTTGTTTCGCTACAGAGATTGTTCCGGGATAATCCATATGTACCAACCGCAACATGTTTCTTTGATATTTCGGATAGAAGGGCCTGCTAATATGACTAGACCAGAGGTCCTAGAATCTTTTTTCCTACTTCAAACCACGAAAATCAAGTTTCTCTATAGTTCGTTGTTTTGTCTTTCGCGATCAAGAATCCAGCTAACATGTACTGTCAAATTAGGGGTAGTGCTGTATTTATTATGAAGCCCTGAAGACAGACCCTGAAACCGTTGAAACATTCACTACTAGTAGAAAGCGGAAGGAGCAATGGCCGGCCATTCCCACCTTTCACCTTCTAAAACTACTCCTACTAGTAGTACCAGGCAGAGAGGTCTCGCCAAGTTCCTTCCTTCCCACCTTCACCTCCTCTTTTACACCTTCAGCAACTTGAATTCCGACACACAATCTTTACCCATACTCTTCACGATGCCCAAAAGCCTGGCCTGGTATACGTTCATGGCGTATGACGGTGAACTACCGATACCACTCCAAACAAGGACGTACCTACGAATCTACCTGGACGATCCGAGATTCAAGGCTCTCGTCCAGAACCAGACCAGCAAGTTAACCTGCAAATTTATCGAGGTAGCTCTGCAGACGACTAGCAGGGACCCAAAATCACCATCCTGGTTCGCTGCTCTTGTTCTTGTTACTTGGGGAATTATCTAGCTAACGTCTACTCTTAAGCGGCATCATCACCGACGGATAGAACATTCCAGTGTACTGGTTCATTATTGACGACTCGAACGATAAATCTGAGGACAACTCGGAGGAAAATCTGAAGGAAAAGCCGAAGGACAAGTCGAAGCCTTAATGGACGAAAATTGTTCGAGGCAGATAGTACTCGGTACCTTTCTATGCCCATAGAGGAAACTTACTTTCCTCGGGTCTTCTGTTGACTAGCTCTACTGTCCTTGCTGGTGTCTTGCTTGCTGTCATTGTTGCTTTCCTTGTTGCTGTCCTGCTTATTATCTTTATTCCTATCTTTATTGCTGTTTTGCTTTTTGTCTTCTTTCTTTCTTTCTTTGCTTTTTATCTTCGCATTTTATCTTTGTATCTGGCTAACATGCGCTGTTATGTTAGGGGTCGTGCTATATTTATTATGAAGCTCTGAAGAGAAACCCTGAAACCGTCAAAAAAATCATTAGCAAACCTTCGGCGAGAGCAATGGCCGGCCATTCCTAAAAGTAGCAGGCTTCTCCAAGTTCCTTCCATCTCACCTTTCCACCTTCACACCTCCACACCTCCACGCATCGCTCTCCTCCTTTGCAGCTTGAATTCTGCGAGTCATCGCTCAACCTCATCTACCTCCAACGTAAGGATATTACTATCCATCATCTCTCATCTCGGTCTTCCATTTTCCATTATTACTCACAAATCAACGGCGTCGCCTAGAAAATGGAGTTCCCACGCCTTATGGCGTTCGAAGTCGTCCGCCAGGGCTCCCTGCTCGTGCTGCTCGAGAGACTCGGCGTGGTTCTTTACCCAGGCACATTCGAATACGACGTTTTCATCCAGTGCGTCGGAAGCCTTGTTAGCGTTTCGCTGTCCGATGCCTCAATCCGCGCCGTCAAGGGCAGCAGATTTATTATAACTCCTTTGTTCGTCTTGATTACCTTCCTTCACCATGATTATGGCTAACATGCGCTATCCAGTGCCATCATTGGCAACGGGATAGGTTTCATCCCAATTGAGGGGACAGACCGTTCTATGGAAGTGCACTGGGCCCTTATTGCCGAAGTATGGCAATTAGGGTTCCGAGAATAAAAAGCTCAACCCTTGAGCCAGGCCATAGGCCTTCGCCTGGATTCCAAATGAGGGACGATACCCAGATGGCCCGAAGCGGCCGATTCAAGATTTTTCTACTTTCTCTCCACTTCCCGATTCTGTTTGCTTGTTTACGATTTTAAGATATTTTTGCATTCTTCAATATGAATGCTTTTGCTCTTCTGGCTCTTTGACCTGTGTTTCAAACTCTTCTGGTGGGAATGTCGCGCCTTTGGACTCGTTCCTCCTGTGGTTCATTGAGGGTAACAATTCTTAGATAACGCCCGCGATGACAACTTGAAAGCTTGATAGTCCATGTTAGCCGCAGCATCGATCATAAGAAGAAAGACATGAACGACAAACTAGTGAGAGAAGGTACCTTCATTGGCAAGAGAAATAGTAGCATTTATTGGGTACGGGTTGAGAAGCTCGCTTGAATATTCCAAGATTTAATTGTGCCACTAATAGATAAACTAGGGCATAAGGTTGAAGTGATTAAGCCCCCGCACTAGAGGTAGGCCTATGAGGGCTTTGTCAAAATAATATAGATTTGTAGAGGAGGAAGAAACTTGAAGCATAGAAAATATTGGGAGGTCCCGGGAAGGCGCAGAAATTCACAGACATTGACTGCAACTCCCACTTCCACTTTGACCAGACATTCACTGCAAATGGAAACAAACCTTACAAACCTTGGAATAACTTCAAACATGCCATTGGCTTCCAAAAACCCATCTCTTCATCCATCTACAGCATCCTCCGTCCTCCAGCCTTCCCTACCCTTGTTGACTCTCGACCAGTCTACACCCAGTCCGGCTACATTCGCGAAAGGTCAGACACTTGAGCTTAGATCTACCACAGAACAAGAGCATTCCAAGGCAGCGTGCTACCAAGAAGCACGCTGTCAATGCAATCCGCCCTCACGAACGACAACGGAAGCTCCGACGAAAGCGAGTTGGGCACGATCACTCTCCAGTCGAGTACTGCCGAAACCAGCGTCGGGGCATGCTCTCCTCCAACCAGCGCAACCAACTCTCTACCAGGTGTGAGCTCCTTCGCAAACGCACCATCCGACCTTCTCCTAACCATGCCTGGTCCACGCCCGTGGAGGCAAGCTCCTCGATGGACCAGCAGACCCGACACCTACAGAACATGATCCTTAAGCAAGAGTCGGAGCTATGCCAGCTCAGAGCTGAACTATCTCGCCAAGGCCGGGCTATTGACCTGATGTCCGAGAAGCTAAATCACACTACCTTCCAGGTCCATTGCACGACCGAGAAAGTGAATCGCATAACGGAGCAGCTGGGCCACACAACCGAACAGCTGAACCGCATGGCTGTGCAACTGAATCGCACCAATAACAAGGTCACACACCTCTTCGACGATATCACCGACCTTTATGGGCACCTATCTCCCCAAGGGGAACTGATGCACCAGGCAATGGATGAAATGTCTCAGATTCGCTCGCGGTCTGCCGCTCTCCGCAATCAAGCATCTGAGGATACACAAGCTCGTGCTCTTTTGGCCGGAAATAACGCTTCCCTCCGCGACTGGGCTGCTTCCGTCATGCCTCGCAGATGGTCTCATACGTCTACCGAAGACAGTCTTTACTGGCCTTACCCTCCATCGAACCATGGACATTCATCTATGTTCTGGTAAGCCCAGGTACAGTGTGCCAACTATGCCAAGGGGGACTATGTTTGCAAATGGAGAAGGCTATGAGGGAATGGAAAAGAGATAGTAAAACATGCGTCAGAGGATGCTGTCATCTGCAAAAGTTTTAAACCTCTTGATTCCGGATTTACTTTCATGTCTGGTGCAGAATTTTAGGTAGGGATCCAATTTCACGACGGTTACGATTGTCGCCGTTGAAGAATATTTGAAATGGTTCATTCGTAGCATACTTTCAGGCATAACGTATGTCTCCCTTCAATCATCGAAAGGGAAAGTGTGAGTAATCAAATTCTGCCCATTGTCTAGGATCACTATTGTACTCTCGCCATGGATTTCAAGACTCGAAACGCCAATCCTCATCATTGTACATGTAGTAAGAAGAAGCAATAGTACTAGTACTCCTATATGTCGAGATTGCTGAGCCCAACTTCTCAGATAGAATTGTTGTATCAATATCCAAGGCCAACAATCCTCGATTTTCAAACCCGACGACTATTCTTTTCGTCTCCCAGATCTTGGCAAGATGATTTTGTCGACTGTGGAAGCTTGATAAAGGCTTGCCTTCCGTAGCATATCCACCCATATATACTGAGATAGAGATAGGGTAGCAAATCATCAGTAGCCTCCTTTTCTTCGCTTTTTTCATGGATGTCGTTCACAATAAAAGCACCATTGCTCGACAAAACGTGTTGGCCTTCCGATGAAAATTTCAGGACTTTTCGGGGCGTCTGTAATTGGAATTTCATCTTTTTGGGTTTATGACACGGGATGTGACTGCTGATAGTGTCTCCCAGGAATTTGGAAGCCCTCAAAGATCGAGAAACGTCCCAAATTCTCAAATCAAACGGATTTCTATAAACACCTGTGCCCCAAGTAATGGATGTATAAGATGCGATTTTCTTGCTGTCTGGAGAAAAGGCAAGACAACTAAAATTGCCCTGGTTGGATTTGAGTGTCATTTTAAGAGCTCCCGTCCGGATTTTCCATATTTGAATCGTGTCCGCGTCGAAGATACCCGCGGGATACTTGCCATTTGGGGATGCGGCTATTCCGTAGACAAAACCGTCTCTTTGCCATTGAAAAGTACTGGTTGCGGCCTCCCAAATAAATACACCGTCTAGGAGCCCAACAACAATTTTCTCGTCGCCGGGTAAGAATCTTGCTGTTTGGATGCCTCCTTTGTTAAACGGCACCGGTATTGTCTTCTGAGTAACACCAGTCCCGGTATCCACAACCATGAAGTTATCCCAATGACAGCACACAATACTTTTGCCATCGTGTGAAAAAGACACCTCTTTGGGGTCTGTAAGTGATGATTCTCTCCGTTTTTCCAACAGTGTTTCCATATTCCACAGATCAATTTGACACTCTGCTGTGAAAGATATAATCTTGTCACTTGAACAAAAGGCCAACGCTTGAACAACCGAGAGGGCCTTCTCCGAGAATATCACGTGGGGCCTATTTGTCGAAAGATCCCAAACATAGATAAAGTCATGGCATTTGGATCCGTATGCGATCTTTTTGCCGTCTGGTGAGAATGCCAGACATTCTTCATTACGAGCGCCACGATTTACAGCTTCTATCAGGCTAGTACGGCCTGATATAGTATTCCAAATCAGAATATCATACTCTCTGGTGTCACCCTTTTCGAAATGATAAGCCATCTGAGATCCATCTGGTGAATGAGCTGAGCAATGGAGAAAGCCTGGGGGCTTTACCAATTTCTTCTGGAGTCGACCGGTTGCGGTATCCCAAATGCGAAATTCTCGATCAGAAACATCGCATACTACCCGATTGCCATCGAGTGAGAAGAAAAGTCTCTGGTCATAAATTGAGTGTCTCAACAAAACATGGGTCCGAAGTTTACCAGTTGCGATGTCCCAAATAAGGATTCCATGTCCAGAGACTATAGATGCGACCTGCATGCTCATCGGTGAGAGGACCACGGTTTTACCGAATCCTGGATGTTCGACTGGTATGCTTTGAACGTCTCCACTCGTGATTTCCCATGAGTGAAGATAATTTCTTCTACAACATGAAAACCAAAATATTTTTTTGTTGTCCTCTGAAAAGCACATTTGGCTGATGACGTTGTTGGATTTCAAAGAAAAATCTTGCTGCAGAATTCCCGTTGCGATATTCCATATACAGATGTGTTGGGTAGTAGGAGTACCCCTCGAATAGTTTGCGATTGACATGGAGGAAGTAGCGAGCTGCTTACCGTCTGAAGAAACAGCCCATTGTATCCAACAATTGATTTTGAATGTCCGTACCCGAGATCCCCATGTAGCTTCTAGACCAGCAACACTCCTTAGCCATGGGAGTCGGTCCAAATTTCGTTTTCTCACGACACTTGATTCAGGACTCCAAATTAAAGCAGAGGCATAAACCTGTATTGGCCATTTTTCCAGGGTAGCATAGTGCGAGGAGACAAAGCGAATGGAATCGCTAACAAAGGCAAGTGATGGAGGTTCGTCCTTTGCCAATATTGTCAGTGGGGAACATGTTAAATCCAGCAGTAGCTTCAAAACCGACCTTGAATATGTTTTCCAAATGTTGGAGAGTTGTCATGGCAACTGGGAGTATATCTAATAGGCTTAAGCATTCTAGCCACTCTAACAGCTTTGTGTGGAGGAAGTCAATGATTGTGTCCCTGCAAATCGCGTCGCTCCGTGGATTGACATGATAACTATCCCGGAAATGCTGTCCCCAGAAGGTAGCCGCGTACTCCACAGTATCCAATGCGGTGCTTTCATTATTTTCCCTCAGTGCTCTTACCGTATCGATATTCGAGTCGGGTTGTAGGTCAAGAAGGTTGACCTTCAGAGACTGAGATAGGCAGGATAGGCAGTTCAGAACAAATTCATAGTGTCCGAATGTTCCGTGGGAGTTAAAAGCAAGCTGTGTGTCTTTTCCGGCTAGATAATCTCTGGCCGACTGGTGAACGAACTCAAGACTCTCCCCTCGGAGCTTGAGAAACGAAGCACACCGAATAATTAGTGACATAAGACTCACGTCATCGTCATCTTCTAAGCCAGAAATGGCCGCAAATTCTCCCATTTTCAGTGGCCGGTATGCTACCATCATCGCTTTGAGTAGTCGCATGCACATTTGTACTTCTCTCGTCCTACCGCAGCTCAATTGTTTGAATACTTGCCTATATAGAGGTTCTAGGCCGTGTGGTGTGTTTTGAATCGCAGCCAGGGCCTCTTCTGGACAGATACCTTCAAGCCTCTTGCACACCAAACTCACCCATAAAAAGGTTCCGCCGGATCTTTCGAGGAGCTGAAATTCTAGCGTCTTCTTCAAAGCTCTTTCGTACCCATGTTGACGACCAAGTTCATTCACTTTGTGAGTTACGTAGGCTTTTACCGCACTAGAGAGACGATCTGACTCTAGCTCGAGACTCAATTGAATCTGTTCATGCCCTGCTAGCAATGCTCTTTCTGCACTGTCCAGGGGTCTGCTTGTAAGAAGCCATTTGATTCTCATAGTAGAGTGGAGCCCATTTCGCACTAGGGCCTTCAGGAATTCATCCATATCACCATCCTGGCACTCATCAAGAGCATCCAAAACTAAGTAGAGTTTTGCGCAGTCACACTGGTCTATCATCTCAAGAAGGATGTGCCACAAAGTTCTCCACGAGGTGAGATCCTGATCGAAAGAACTTTTTGCAGCATCCCATCGGGATCGCAGACACTCCATAAGGGCTGGTTGCTGGCGAAGTAACTGCAAAATCAAACCTTTCATCATGCCTTCGAGAGTATTGAATTCGTTATCCGAATTTTGGCAGAAGAAGTATGTTATCGCACTCGACTTGTCGCTGCAGAATCGCAAAAGCTCCTCGATAAGACCAATGGATATCATCGTCTTTCCCTTGCCAGCACCGCCCTTAATCCAAAGTAGGCAGACTTCATCGCCGTCCCGCCAACTTTGGTACTTCTGGTCCTGGAGAATCCATTCAAAGGATTCAGCAAGCAATTTGTCCTTGCTCTCCTTCAGTCTGTTCTTCGCAAGCCGTGGGTCTGGGCAGCGGAGGTTTCGAAGACACAATCGATCGATTTCTTCGCAACTTTGGGCTAAGCGTCGGTCAGTTGCGCACAGCGCTGTTGATTTTGGGAGCTTAGTCTTACACTGGTTGAATGTAATTGACCCTTGGTTATTTTCGACTTGAAGTCCTTGGTGATTCTCACCGAAATTAGTATTTCTTGCCATGATCAAGGTGACACAGACACAGACACAGTCAAGGGGGGTCGCAGTTGTGTTGCTAAAATGGGGGCTGGTCACTCAGCCGCAATGCTGCATGAGGGGTAAGTCTAGCATCATCAGGTGACTCGATCGTGCTGCCCCAGCCAATAGATTAACATCGCGGTCATCAGGGCTATGAGTTAATGATTATCATCGTCAACTATCGCAAAACATGAAAGCTTCATGTCGGTCCCATGTGCTTGGATCAACGGGTCGGACCGAGACCCCAATCCGTGGATGATGATAATCACGGGATTTCCCCGGGTCCTATTATTAATATCTCATGGGGAGTATCATTTCACCCTATTTCCCCAATAATTCATCACCTTCGGTACTATCAAATAATCCAAGGCGATTTCAAGCAGCTAGACTCCCATTCAAATTCCCGAACGCCTTGCCGATTCCATAAAGGATCATCACGACTAGGATCATACAACGATGAGCTAGCTAGAAACTAAACAAGCGAAATACAACCGCGTATTGCTGAAAAGGAAAGCCATTATTAACCATCTACCACAGACCCATCCATCTATTTCGCACAATCTACTCCGTACATAGGGTAGATATCACTCGAGTCACACTGTACAAGTCCGAGACGGACCCAAATAAAAACAAGAGAGATAGAAAATTGAAAGAACAGAAAATAAAAGATATCAAGCCGGTCATAAACGACTACGGCGATCCCGCACTCCCCGCACTCATCTCCTGATGACCCTGAATCTGCTCCAAAACAACCGCATAAAATTTCCCTTCTTCAGAAGTATCATGATATGGACCCGCCGAGCGAACAGACCTGCAAGTACGAATCAAATCAGCCATCTATCCAGGGTCTTCAAAACCATAGCTCCAAGAGTGGAAAAAAGAAAAACACAAGACACATTTTCACGTTACATACCACCCCTTATACTTAGGCTGATTAAAAATCTCCGTAAAAGCCTTAACAATACGCAAAGGCAATTCCAAAATATCCGGCAAAACCGGGCCCTCCCCACAAATTGGGAGACCGAGCTTGTTGACGGGTAAATAGGCGATTTCCGCCGTGTTTGCTGGATTGCGCGCTTCTTGGAAGATTAATAATCGGCGTGAGGGTTGGGTTGGTCGGGTCATGTTGCTTGTGCCTGTGCTCATTGCTAGGCTGGATTTGTGGGGGTGTTGGGGGTGTTGGGTGCGGGTTGAGTCTAGTGATGTGTCCATTTCTGGTTCCTTTGCGGTAGTGGTGTGGTGTGGTGTATTGTAGAGTATAGCTAGGCCTGGGTGTTTTGTTGACGGTGGATTCGGTCACTGCCTAGCTAGGCGCAGGCGCGGGCGCGGGGTGGTTGATTTGGATCTGATTGTACGGCAATAGCTGACGGGGAGTTTTTCTGTTTCGCATTCTGTGTGAGTATAGGTTCCTCGTGGCTTGGAGTGATTTGCGCACTGTGGTGATGTGAAGATTTTCGCGACGCGACACGTTCGGCTTATCGCGTCAAGCGCGGGGCAGAAAGGGGGAGGGAACACAAGGTCGGTGGTTTTTGCTAGAGGGCCCGCGACAGAGGGAGTCGCGATATGAAGCGAACACAGTCGGATGCGACTCGAGATTGAGATTTAAAATTTAGCCTTCCGGCTTTGAAATATTGCAGAGTGGAGGAGGCGTTGGCGTTGGAATTGGCATTGGCATTGGCGTTGTGGATGTCGATTGGATGTGGGGGGATTCGGAGGGGACAGAGGAGATCGGCGTGGAATTTTCGAAGACTGCTGATTCGATGCTGAACATCTGGGGTACATGTAGGTTAGACTTATTTGGGGGAGAAAGGGGGAGGTAAATATAAAGTTTAAATTATAGAATAATAAATGTAGCTGGATCTGGAGGTATAGATATAGGTATGGATGTAAATACGAAGAGAATTAGATATCCCACGGCTCAACCATGGCACCTCAGGTTGTCAATGAAAAAGTACATCTCAAAAGGAATGAAAAAGAAAAAGTGGGTATCATAGTAGAAGAAGGAAAGAAGGGAAGGAAGAAAAGGGAAAGAAAAGAAGCAGACAATATCCAAAAATATACACGAATGGGCCGGGCCATCTCAAGTATCAAGCTCACCATCCAAAACCCTCCTCGCCGCATCCAGCCGTCTCCGAAGAATCTTCGCAGACTTAAGATCCGGCTCCGGAGAAGTCGTAATAGCCTGAAGATCCATACAGACATTCCCCAAACTAGAAAATAATTGCTCCAGCATCTGTGTATCATCATCATTGATACCACCACCACCCGACTGAGTCGGAGTCGCAGAGCCAGGGTGCGGGCTCGAAGCCGACGCCGCACGAACAGTAGATACAAGCGAAGAGACGAGAGAAGTGGGCGTAGCAGAGCCGGCTGTCGCTGATGATGATCGGCCATTTGCGTCGTGGAATTGGGTCTCGACGGGGGTGGTATCGCCGTCGCTCTCTCCGCTTCGTGGACCGCGGGGGGGTTTCGGATCGATCTGTTTCGGGGACGGGTTCGTCGACGTGGCGATGGCGTAGTTCTGTCATTTTTGTTAGAATAATTTACATTTATTAGATGGGGTGAAATCAAGTACATACCATGATTAAATCGACGATCCCAGTACATAACACTATTGACCTCATCCTCTTCCTCGGGAATATCCCCCTCGGTAGCAGTAGCAAAAGTTGCCACAGTAGAATCAGACATATTACTATTAGTACGAGAATGCTGGACCGGCCGATGAGTATGAGCCGGTCGTGTAGTCTCAGCAGATTCCCGAGAAGCACCACTCGCCCGACGAAGTTGGCGAGAATAGTTGCCCAGCGCACTATGCAAAATGAAATGTTCATAGTCGAATGCGTCCTCGCGCTCTTCGTGCGGTACGCCCTCCCCATTCTGCGGGTAGTCGAGTTGACTCTCCAGGTCTTCGTCGAGAGGTTCGCGGAGGATCTCATCTAGTGCTTCGCGGTCGATTTCGTCGTCGTAGTAGCCTTCTTCGGCGTCTTCGTACATGCTTTGGGCTGTGGATTGGTTTCTGCTGTCGTGGTAGGATGGTTGGTCTTGCCATGTAGAGCTGGCACGTTTAGACAGTGACTGCGATTGGGGCTGGGAGTGTGCCTGGGACTGTGACTGATGCGCATGACTCTCGTCAGTTTCTCGAGGGGCATCATTCTCCTTCAGATTCTGGCTGTGAGGACGAGACTCGTGCGCATTGGAGCCACGACTACTCGTACCATCTCGAATCTCGAGACCATTCTGGTACCAAGGATCCGCAGCGGTAAGCGGACTCGGCGTACGCAGACTTTGCAGACTGCGCCGGCGCAGATTATCCTCCTGGGTCCGGACCTTCAGAGAGGAGATCTTGATATGGAGGCCCTTCATCTGGTACTGAAGATCGCGAACCTGAAGTTGAGACTGTGCGCGGCTGGGCGGTCCATAAGAGCTATATACGGGACTGAAATCACCCCCATTCGTCGATCTGGATTCATCTTCGGCGGATATTCCCAGTCCCTGCGGTGACTCTTGGGAACTACCCTCGTGTGAAATTGAGACGGGTGACTGGCTGGCCACGGGCGAGTATCCTGATTGTCGTGATCTCGCCGACTGCGGAGACTGTGGTGAATTTTCGTACGAGGTTGATTGAGACTGGGAGAGTGCTTCGAGGTGTGGGGGTCGAATGGAAGATATAGACGCGCGATGCGTGAGATACGCTCTCGTCGGCGCATATTGGAATGACCGGTCATCATTGTGAAGACTCGAGCTGCTGGATCCCATTGCGCTGACCGAGCGAGATACTTTTTTGGTATCTGTTGACAGACTCGATTCTGGCGGGAAATTCGTCTCGCTGTGCACGCGCGAATGGCGATTCGTCGAGCCATCTTGTGGAGGGACGTATGATTGTCGGCGGAGCGTCGAGCTTCGCCGGTCCGTCTTGGAGATGGACCGATATAATCCTCCCGCTGGCATTCCCATTGGCGAGGTATTTCCTTGCGCCGAGGGTGAGGGTGAAGGTGTGGCGCGCACCGTTGAACGTGCACGGTTCAGGTTACCTTCCATTAGCTATTTGTGTACAAGTCAGCATTCCTGGAATCAATAGATATAGGTTTATTTTGAGTTCCACGTACCGTTAATCGTTTCTTTGCATTATCCAAAATCCTCTCGGCTTCGCTGCTCAAGATGGCCGATGAGAACTCGTCGCCAGGACCCTTGCCCTTTACGGCCGACGCGATGGTATTTTTGTCGGGAAGACCTTTAAGTTCATTCGATGCGCCCTGAACCAGATCTGGTTCCTGTTCCTGTTCCTGATCCTGGACCGGAACCTGGGCTTGATCTTGACTCTGACCTTGGCCTTGACTCGAAATTGACTCGTGCGACTTGGACACATCCCTCGCGCGCGTGCTCCCCGCACTAACCGTCGAACTGGAGCTACTCGCATTATCGTTTGTCTCATTCTCATTCGAGTCCGAGTCCGGCAAACCAGGCCAACTCGTCAGACCATGTTGTGGTGCACCTGCATATTGGCCCTGGAACTGTCCCTGGTACTGTCCCTGGTACTGTCCCTGGTACTGGCTCTGGTACTGGCCCTGCACTTCATCCTCCTGCTCATCAAATCCCACCGACCGCGCCGGCGACAACTCCTCCCCAATATCCGAGAGCCTGCGACTTGCGCTCGTGCTCAAATCCTCATGATTCCACGCGGAGCGCGAAAAATTCTTCTTCGGCCGACCACCGCTGCTGCTGCCCGAAGTGACGGCATGGGGGTCGGAAGCGGAGTTATAGCGGGCGTTCAGGTTGGACAGGTAGACGAGTTGGGAGGGTGGGGAGGGCGTTTGGGACTGTCGTTCGCTGCCGTCGTAAGGCAGGATCATATCCGGGTCGGTTAAGGTGAGAGAGGGCATGCGGACGGTTTGCCCTGGGGGTGGGGGAGCGGGAGGGGAGTGGGTGATTAAGAGAGGTCGTACAGAGGAGAGAAAAGCCAGAAATAGAGACAGAGACAGAACAGCTGGGCAGAAGAGAAAGGAGCCGTTGGAATCAAACGTCCCTGAAAAAGCTGCCCCTAATGGCGATGCGGTTTAGCGTGTGATCATTGCCCGATCGGTATGAAGCTGGGCCAATTGTTTTGATTCGGTTGGTTCTGGCGAATTAAATTGATCGGGATTGAATGGAAATGAATTGAGATGAATTGAGATGAGTGAAAAAGCAGTGGTCGTTGGTGTTGTGTTTGTGATGAGTCTATTGGCAGTCCAGGTATACCCACAACCTTATACAGTAGGGATATGGCCAGGACTAGTAGTAGTCTACAAGTACTCCGTACATAGACGTGATACAAGTACTAGGACTCTTCCGAGAAGCTCTTAGAGTTTTTTAGCTCGCCAGGTTAAATGACGGTCTGCCTGGCTCCACTTCGGTACTTGCAGGTGCTTACAGCAGAGACTTAGGGCATAGTACAGATCTATCTCCCTACGGAGCACGGGTGTGCAGGTGCAGGGTACACGGTCAGGCAGGAGGGGCAACTGGGCACCTGGGCAGTAACTAGCACTGCAGACTCGATCGCAAGGAGCAGGATCAAGCAAGGGCCCGGTGGAGGACTCAGGCTGAATGGTTGAATGGAACGAACCCCTGAGATCCGCGCAGTGTTGGACTCCACCTGGTGGAGTCCTCATCAGAGCCCAATTTCAGGACAATGCATTCATTGGGAGTGTACGGAGTACGGAGGACAATAGAGTAACGATGATTGAATGATGAATGACTATATGAATGCTTTTACCCTTTACATATTAACACCAGAAAGATACATGACCAGTAACAGTAACAGCCTCGGCTTCACCTTCACCTTCACCTTCTTCACAGCTTCTGCAACAACAGCTTCGCTCCACTGGCGGTAGGTCCCTTCCCATCCTTGCCCGACGCAGAGGCCTGCTCCAGCGCCTTCTTGTTCTTCTTCAGCGTCTTGAGCAGCTCGCTCTTCTTCTCAAAGTCATCCGACTCCGCCAGCGCAACAATCACAAATGTGTTTGACCCAGTCGCCCACTCCATCACCTCATCACAGATCTGCTCATACAGCAAATCGTGGAAGTTCAGCGCGGGCTCGACCTTCTCCACAGACTTGGTGGCCGGGTTGAACCGCCCACCCTGCACAAGCGACTTGAGCGTGCGACCCACCGACGCCGAGTCACGGGTCTCAGACTTGCTCTTCGCGGCCGCGGCCACGGCCTTCAGGGCCTCGGTCTTATCGCCCTCGGCTTGGAAGAGGACCTCCGAGATCAACTGGCAGCCGAAAGTGCTGTTGAGGAGGGCCTCGGCGCGAGCCGCAATGAATGCAAGGAGGGTGGGGGAGGCGGCCTTGGCCAGTTCCTGTTGACGCACGGCCGGTTCCTTCTTCGACGTCTCTTTACGCACCTCGCGCACCTCTTGCAGGATCTGTTGGTCGAGTTCGGGAAGGAGCCACTTTGTGCGGTCGCCGGCGAAGGGGTACAGCACGGGGATACGGGCAGTGAGGTCGTTCACTTGGAAGACGAGCTCGTCATTGCGGGCGTCCTCGGAATCGTTCTGGTTCAGCAGTTCGGAGAAAATAGACTTGCCGCTCAGCTTGGTGTCATCGATGACCTCGTAGGCGGCGAGCAGCACGATGTGGCCGTGCAGATCACCGGCCATCGTCTTAACGGTATCCCTGTAGAATCGGAGCAGCAACTTGCGGTCCTTGGCATTGGCGTAGGCAAAGGCCAGAGACATCAGACGGGAACCAGAGTGGGTGAAGGCCAGGTTCTTGACCAGATCGCCCTCCTCATCGCCCTTCAACAACTCAAGGAACTCGTTCGCCTCGCTACTGCCGGGCTTTGTGCTAAGGAAATATTGCAACATGGCATCGTGGAGCATCGTGAATCCAGTCGTCTTCTTCTGAACCAACCCGTTGATCAACTCGCGCAGGAAGTTCATGATGGGCGACCGTTTCTCGGGGTGAGCGGCCAGAATCTTAGGAAGGTCGGCGCCGAGATCCTCGTCATCTTGGAAAAGGACAAACTCGGGACCATACCACTCACGCAGGAGACGAGCCTTCTGCTCCTTGGTCGCAACACTGCGGTAGATATCATCGAGAATCCACGATCCCTCAGGGTGACGGATCAGACGCTTGACATTGCCGTAGAATTCGGGGATGATCAGATCGCGGGTCTCCGAATCACCGTGCACAATCAACTTTCCAACCAGGAACTTAGCGTAGCGGCTCTGCGCCAGCTCCTTGTAGCTACCCTTCAACTCCTGCGCAATCATCTTGCGCTGCTCGAGATTGCCGTACTTAAGGGCAGTCTGGACAACACGGACGGAGTCGTGCTTGAAGACAAAGTCCTTAACTCGGCCGGTGATGATGTCGAACAGTTCCTTGATGAGTTTCTTGCGCTGCTCGAGGGGGACGTGAGACTTGCGGCGCAGCTGCTCCCACAGCTTCTTTGAGCGGGCGATCGTGTCGGCGTTGGGTTTGGCGGCCTTGCGCTCCAGTTGGAGGGCTTTTTGCTTAGCGTGAGACTCGCGAGAGGCATTGCCTATAGGGAAAAGGTGGTTAGATTAGTTTTTGGAGAAAATAAGAATCAGTCAGTGGATGGGCGTCAACGTACTCTTCGCCGCCAATTCAGCCTCGGACTTCTTCTCGGACTTGGGCTTCTCCTCCTCCTTCTCCTCCTCCTCACTGTCAACATCCTCCGCATCATTCATCTCAACATCCTCAGCCGGAGACTCATCCAGCGCATCGAGGTCGTCACCATCATCCGAAACGTTGTCAATGTCGAAGTCATCCTCGTCCTCGGACTCGGACTCCTCAACCTTCTTCTTGGGAGCCTTCTTCTTGTCACTCTTGGAGGACTTCACATCCTTCTTGGAAGAGCTGGACTTCTTGACTCCGGCGGACTTGGACTTTTTCTCGGCGGAGCCCTTGGTCTTGCTCCGCTTTCCATTGCGGTCCTCTGCGGCATCGACGGAGCGTTTTACTCCAGCCATTGTGAATGTATGGTTCAGCGACTAGACCGGTGTCTTTTCACTGAAAATAAATGGGGTAGTGGTAGAGGTGCGAGCTGGTGATGCTCGTGCCGAACGATAATTTTTTTGGTTGCGGGCGGAGGAAGTTTTTTTGCCGTCCAAAGTTCGGGTTTGCACTGTTTGCACTGATAAGCAGCGGAGCGCAGCAGCCCCAACAAGAGGTGGACTCATAAAGGATCCAAGGTTATTATTTAGAATTGTAACAAAATTGCAATGGGTACCATCTACTCAAGTAACAATGGTCCAAATCCAATGCATCAGGTCATAAAATAAGTCGTGCAGATTAAAATGAAGATATACTAGTAGGACATCATGATCTATAACAAATGGACGATCCCTCGTGATTATGATCAATCCATGCACAATGAGCATAAGAGTCGAAAAATAATGAAACCAAAAAAAAATGTACACCACGAAAGAAATACAGCAAGGCCTTCTCCAGCCTTTCATCAAACAGCGATACACATCGCCAAAGGCAGCAGCAGCCCGCCACCACAACATATCACACAAAGAAGTGGATCAACCACTAGGTATAAACCAAACGCCAACCATCATAAGAGAGACATCAATGCAAAACTCGTGATCATTCAGCACTTCATTCAGCACTCTCAACCATCAACTTCGGCCCAGGACCACCCTTCATAGCCCCGAGTTCCGACCCAACCCCACTCTGCCCGCGCTTCCGGCCGGGCATGTGGAAACCAAAGGGCGTGGAAGATTTGGCAGAAGGAGAATGTTGGGAATTATTATCAGAATCGCCGAATCGGGAGAAAATGCCTTTCTTCTTGGGTTTCGCTTCCGTTTCGTCCGCTAGACCTACGTCTTCGAATTTCTCCTCTTCTGTTGGAGGGGGTTTGTCGAAGCTGGCCGAGCGCATGGAGCAGGAGTTTATGCGGGAGAAGCGGGAATCGAGGGATGTGCGTGATGGGGTTGCGTCTGGGTGGTGGATTGGGGAGCGGGCGGAGATATCCTGCGATGCGTTAGTGAGGGATGCCCTATTGAATGGGGTTTGGGTTTGGCGGGGAAGCGCGGAGGCGGGCACGTACAAATGAGCGGCGGTAGGAGTCGAATGATTCGCGGGATATGGAGAAGGGCTCGTTCTCGTCAACGAGATCTCGGTGATTATTGGCAGATCGCGAAGAGCCTGGGTATCGGTGCCAGAAGCTTTGTTTCTCTGGTGGCGAGGGCTGTGGAAGGCGTTGGTTAGTCGAGGGTCGATCAGACGCAAGTAATGTGGAGGGGTGAGTGGCAGTCTTACAGGAAGGTAGACGCCGCTATCGTTGACCACTGGAAGAAATTAGTATTCGGTCTCATAGTTCATTGTCTGACTGTCGAGTTCCACGGTGGACTCACCGCTTAATTGGTATTCATTGGGCTCGTCGTCGCAACTCCGGCGTATGGGGAGAGGGCCGGGACGTGGATGGGGTGAAAGGTGGTTCTCGTCGAATCCGTCGACGGGAGTCCCATTGGGTTGGGGCTTGCGACCGAGTAAATTGCGAAAGGGAGGCATGGTGATAGCGCGGTGGAGGAGGAGTGGGAAGTTGAAGTTGAAGTTGAAGGAATGGGGAGATCGGGAGATCACATTAATTGGAGAGATGGAAATGGAAATGGAAAATGGGGTTGCTCCACCTCGTCCCAGGACTACGTCACACATGGTTCAGGTCATTGTATGTTGTATGGTATTGTAACGCCCTATATCCATGGCTGGTCTTTGATCGCTGTTTGGTTATTGGCCTGGTTCCTGGGCCACCAAAGTTACTGTATATACCGGTATCTTTGGGGCTGTGTAGTCGTGAAGGGGACTGTGCGACAGTGCGAGATGGCCTTGCATGTACAAGGGCACAAGTGCACGAGTGTACGAGTACTAGTATACTCGAACTAAGAAATGTACCGGGCAATCAACCAATCAAATTACACTGCCACGTTGCCCTGCTGGAAGTGTACTGATATGCTGGACTGGGGCTTTTCCTTTGCAGGAGGCTTAACGTTTTAGTGGCTTATTGGGTTTGGGAATAGTAAAAATACCAGATATAGCCGAAGAGAGGCAAAAAGGGCTATATCTGAGGTTCGACGAACGAGGAACACTCAGGATAATTGTTGAAATCTGTTCATTTAATTGAAAATGTAAATGGTAGCAGTAACTTAAGAGCCCACGGAGGAGCCGCTGGCTTGCAGACCACCATGGGGTACTGCTGGACCCTCTTCTCACATCACATCCTCCTTCCGGCCCATGGCACTGAACCAGGTGCTCTCAAACGAATATGAGACACACTGGGCATGTTAGGTAACTTAAACCAGCCCCCATTCTCCAACCAGCTGATTGTTGAACAATTCCAGCATAATGTTGATCTCCTTCTCATGTTCGGCAAGTTCTAGGTATGCGCCAAAGTCGCCCTCCGTCAGCTCCTCATCTCCGACCTCGAGCCAGAAGAAACGAACATGGGTACCAGCGGCAACAGCCGCGCACAAGACTTTCTCCTCCTGTTCCTTGGTGGTCAGCTTCTTCATCTTCTTGGCGAACTTCTTGAGGATGCGGCCAATGCTCTCGGGGCTATCTTCATGCTCGCGGTTCTCGGAGATGAGGAAGAACATATTCTTCGGCTGCTGTCGCAGGTCCCGGGTGTCGGACTTGCAGGGTGCGAGGTACGCAATGGAGAGGTCGAGGGTTCCTTCGCAGGGCCAGTCCTGGAACAGGAGGCCGAATCCCTTTTCGTGGGGAAGTAGAGAGCGAGCAGGTTAAGCCAGAGAGTCTGGACTTTGCTTCTGTCCTCACGCTTGAGGAGGGCGTCGTACTGTGACTTGTACGCCTGCATGGAGAGGTACTGCGGAAAGTCAGTTTATGTACGTGACATTTTTGGGGCATCAACTAACGTGAGACATCCTGGTGGAAGTGCCTCGTGTGTCGAGGAGTAGATGAGGATGGAATGAAATGTTTGTTGAGGGTGGAAATGGAGAGTCGGAGATTTGGAGGATGGAAAGACGAGGAGATGGACGGAATCGAATGCAGATATGTAGGATGTAGATGTAGAGGTAGGGAGAGAAGCAGCGGATTGCATAGCTAGCTGAAAGCAGGGTTTTTAGTGAATATGGAAGGCACAGTTGAGTGAATGGCGACTGCCTAGGCAGGCGCGATGCATGCCTCATTTTACAAGCACTATACTACCAGTCGTATACCATATACTAGACAGCGCAGGTGTCGAATTTATAGGGCTATCGGTCTACCACATCCCCAGGGTTCCTCTACAATCACCTCGATAGCCCAGAGCGTTAGAAATACAATCTATTCACCTTCTCCAAGTGCCTCTAGATTGAGAACAAGGCAAATTTTGAATTAAATCAAGACCCCAGTCTAGAATATATGTGCTCATAAATCCTAGCCATCACATACTTATGCTTCCCTGTGAATGCTAGTCGTGATACTTCCAAGGTTGAGTCCCGGGTAGAGTAGAGTATGCAGCACTCATACTTTAAGGAGACCATATACAATACATGCTGACCAAGAAAATAACGAGATCAATATAGCCAAACTTGATTCATTTCTCGAAATTATACTTTGAGGGGTCCCCATAATGTGCTCGTACACCGATCCGTGGATTTATTCTTTGTGGCTCTGAAAGGGAAGAGGGCATCATAACGTTAAAATTCTTTTGCATGCAACTTTTTTCCACAGCAAAACATCTCCTTGTTTTTTCTCAAAAGAAATCTATGTTTCTATCAACACCCTCTTTTCATAGTTGATACCTGGGTGCAGAATAGCCATGAGCCGGGGAGGTACAACTTCCCAGTCTTCGCTAAAAACCATTCTCTATTTTCTTTTAACAAGGACTAATATTCCTAGAAAACCCCTTTACAGGCAGGCCTATTGAACTACCCCCATATGTGGCTTATCCAAGCAAAACGGCTAATCATGGGGACTCGATCCTCCCTTGCTATTCGAAACCTTGGTCACACGAGACTGACGGGTCTACAATTGATCGCGCAAGCATCTCACCTTCGACCGTAACTCGCAGTGTCACAGAAATTCCTCCCTCTAAAGCAAAAAATTGCCTTGGAACCTTCCGTGCCTGTATCTATTCTAGGGTATTTATTACTATCGCTGTTATTCTTGTACTGGTTTTCCTGTGCATCGGCGTCCCTCTTATTGTTTGCGTGAACAATTCAAATTGCTCAGATGACTTCGGACTGGGTTCTGATGATATAGTGTTTTGGCTCTTGCTCAAGGGCGAAAAAATGAGATGAGACCTCGCCGGGGCTTACTGAGGCTTGCTGGATTTACTGGGCTATCATTTTTTTGCGACGAGTATGGGAATTTGTTATATTAGGTTGTGGAGATCTACTCAAGTTGTTGTAAAATGGCTCTTGGCTTGATTATCTTGGGGAACTTATTGCATACTTAGCATCAGGAACCTTGAAGAGTGGATAACAGATAACCCCCCACCATGTGAGATAGCAATATATGGTATTTAACAAATTTGATTCAAGATACAAGACACTTAATTAATTTGGAGCTAGTTAATTAATCAGCTGTTTAGATCGGAACAGAAACGCTCTTGCCAGGTTCCAGCGCTAGCCCGAAACAAATCTAGACATGTGCCATGAATGTCCAGTAAAAGAGTGTGTATGACCAAGCAACTATCATTGCTGTCATACTTGGGCAATTTTGAGAAATTTTACTTTCAAGGGTCCACAGTGTCATGTACAAGCCAGACTTCTAGAGCAATATACTTTCTACATTAGGTGACGGAGCCGATCCATGGATGTCATCATTGTCGGCTCTACAAAGGGTAAAATTTCATTCGCATGTAACTTTTTTTTTATTCCTGTTTCTCCACGAAGATATTCCCTTGCCTTTCCTCGAATATTTTATCTGTTTCTATCTACACCCTTTTCTCTGATACTACGATACAAAGCAACCATGAGTCAAGAAGGTACAAATAGACTCCGGCTATCGCTACAAAGCAGTTTTTTCGTTGACAAGTAATATTTCTAGGCGACGCCTGGATTGAATTGCCCCCATATAAGGCCTTCTCAAGTGAAACAGCTGGTCATGGAGGTGCAATGCTCCCCTGCTACTCCAGACCCCCCCTCATATAAGTCTTCCGGGCTTGTAGATGATCACGCAAGTTCCATTCTCTCTTCGACGGAAAATCCTAATGTTACAGAAATTCCCCCTTCCGAGACAAGAGGTTGCTGGAAGAAATTCAGTAGTGGTGTCCACAAATCAGTTCATGGGACTGGAACTTTCCTGCAAGCAGCAGGAAGATTCATCTTGCGAGCATGGTTGGGATTCTGGAAATTTCTCGGGTCATGCTTCTGTGGAGTTATGGATTGCCTGGGAGCCATCTGTTCCTGTATCTGCTCCAAGCCATATCTTACTCTTCTCACTATTATTGTACTACTTTTCGTGGTGATTGGGGTCCCTATTATCGTTGTCAAAACTAAACATAATAGGCCCCCCCTCCGTCCCAGACGGTTGGGAAGCACATTATGACATGGGATTCAAGGCCTGGTATGTCTTAACTCCTCCCCGGCCAATCCTCCCAGAAAATGAAAAGCAAAAACCAACAAACCAGGAACTATGTCAATCCCGCCGCCGGAAAAGATCAATGGTACAACCCAAAAAAGAAAACACCCGCTGTGCCAGATGGTTGGGAAATACAATGGGACGTTAAAAACAAAGTCTGGTATGACTTAGCTTCCCCCCTGGCGCTCCGAGAGAGGTGAATGTGAAAGCTAACAAACCAGGTACTACAAAAACCTCGCTACCGGGAAAGAGCAATATGCGCACCCGGAATGGATACCCCCCCGCTGTGCCAGATGGCTGGGAAGCACTGTGGGACTTTGAAAACAAACTCTGGTATATCTCAGTTTTTCTCCCCTATCCTACGAAAAAAAAAGCAAAAGCAAAAGCTCACAAAACAAGGTACTACAAAAACCTTGCCACCGGGTACGTGCAATATGCGCACCCTGACTGGGTACCGCCCGCTGTTCCGGACGGTTGGAGAGCATTATGGGGCCCTGTAAAACGAAAATGGTGTGTCTCAACTTCTCCCACAATCGTCCCAGTAAAGTGAAATCAAAAACTAACAAGCCAGGTTCTACGAACACATCGCCAGCGGCCATACACAAAAGAACTACCCCGGCACGGGCTCTACTGAAGGCTCAAGTTTTTGGGATATTTTGTTCTCGGTCCTGACCTGGAAAAGAAAGCGAGACCTGGTCGAAAGAGGTGATCTACTAATCAGAAGAGCCCAACCTTTTGTCACAGTGCCACTGCCGATAAGTATTCCAGCGGTCAGTTCCGAGCTTCTGGAAGATCTGATCGCTACGTGGGATAGCGATACATCCTCGCACATCTCTGCAAGAAGCAATAGCCCTTTGGAATACCCATCGCCGAAGGATTGCAACACGGATAAAGACTGTGAATGGCCAAATTTCTGTTCTTGGGACCAAATGGCCCAGACAACATTGTGTATTTTGCCGGATACTATGTCTTCTACTAGTGTCACTAGTGGTATTAGTGCTAGGCCTTGCTCCAGTGAGGGAGAAAGATCACGGTGTTATTTTCGGGGGTAGTGCTGCGTACACTTGTGAGCTCGGAGATCGCGGGTGACCGAGGACCTCAGTGAACAATCGGGATTGTGAGAAGGGAAGGGGCCTTGAAAGGATTGTCGTCTGGAGCTGGTCATCCTGGCCACGCCACTCCAGGGCTCTGAGGTCAGGGCCTTCTGGATTCGCTACTAGTAGCTTATCATGTTTGTGCTACTGCTCTAGTACTAGTAGGAATATATTATGGTACTAGGTGGAGGAGGTGCGTTGTTATTAGCTGTTGGAATTACCTACCTAGGTAGGCACTCAGGTGCAATATCAAAAATCTTGGACAGGGGTTGGCAGAGACTACTAGTACCTAGGTAACCTCCCTTCAAGTAGTTGTGAGATAGCAATATATATCCAAACCATTTCATGATTCAAAGACACGCTACCAACCTTAGGTGATCAAGGATTGCTTAGTTAATCAATGCCTTAGAGTTAGCGATCGGGCTGAAAGAGCATTATCTAGCACCAGGTATCAGTACTAAGAAACCAAAGATCAAAACAGTTTACGATGAGTGTAAAAAGACGATGTTCCCAAATAGTGTTAAAATTCCAGAGGTCATGAGGGCCAAAAAAGAGGATAATGATAATCTGTCATGGATAACCTAGTGGAAGGCGCACCGCTAAGTCGGCAACCTAGCTGCGGCAGCAATGTCAGCAGGTCAAAGGTGCCTGGTACGAATCCTGGGGAAGTCTTTCTACTCGGGCGAGTAATCCCCGACGCTAGATGGCTTTAAGCTTGGAAATGACCCTTGAGGGAAGAAATTCTGCAGAGACATCTCCACCCTGGGATGGCGTCGCCAGAACACACCGTCCTGTTACCAGGACGCTGGCTGTTTGGTGTGACAACCACTTCATCTTCTTTTTTTTCCCCGGGGCAGGGTACCCTGGCACCCCCTTTATCTATTCTTATCTCGCCCACCTCCTTCCACGTGCCACGCCCTTTTTGTTGGCATCATTAAGCTTTGTAGTTAAACTCTGTCCAATCTCAAAAATGGTACACTTTCAATGCAGTCCAACTCTCTCAAAATATAACACAATGGGTAATCTCTCAAAATACAAAACAAAAAACATAAGAATAAATGCGACCGGCCGATCCATACCATGCGCCACCAACGGGCAAGCATCGACCCCCTGCTCGCTCAGATCACACACACTACTACAAACTAATGCCACTAGCCTCTCGCGACTCGGCCCGACTCTTGAGGTCCTCATTAAACTTCACAAAATCCGCCTTCATGAATCGCCCCAACAGCGACGGGGCCATAAGAAAAGACAAGGGCCCGCGTAGATCCTCCGACTGCGTGAAAATCGTGGCCGCCCCGTCCTTTGCGGGCTCCATCTTAAACTCATGGCGCCCGGCAACTGTAAATACCGGCGGGCCCTGCCAGGCGAAAAGATTCTCAGAGTTTTCCTATCGATCGAAGTTAGCAATCAATTGCCTTGCACTGTATTCCGAGAACCGTTGATCAGTATTCCTACCTTAACCTCTGCGGTGAACTTCTGCCCCTCGATGTTGGCATCAACCTTGTCGCCGGGCACAAGAGAATCCGGGGCCTTGGACGAGTCATCGTGCACTGCTAAGCTTCGGATAAACCCCTTGTGCCACTCTGAAAGGCCGGAGAAGTTGAGAAGCTGGAATGATGGTCATTTGGTCAGCGTCGTCACCCCTTGTTTTCCATTCGAGATATGTCCCAGGGATCACGAACCACTTCCCGCACCCTGGATGGCGGGGCGGCAATCTCAATACTGCTTTCGTTTCTGGGCATTTTGATACGAAGATAAAAAATGTAAATTATGAACGAGAGAGAGGAAGAAAGAGAGATTGGAAAAAGTCAAATCCGAAGGGGAGAGGAAGGCTGGGACTCTCTATTCCCCTGGGACGTGGTGCGTGCGCGGAAGATCTACTATGCTTATTGTGTGACCCACCCCTTCTCCCGGTTGGTTGAAACTGGTGAGATTTATAGGTAAAACGGGTATCCCCGTTTGCTTGGGCCTGTTTCAGCTGGATGTACTGTCAAGTCCACCACCAATGGACCAATCACGCTGACCTTGGGTCGAGAGTTATCCAGGAAGCCTCTCAGCCCTAGGAGGGAGAACGGGTCTCGGCATCATCAATACTGACCTCTTCGTGTCTGGCAATTTGAAACGTGTGCCCAACTTACCTTGAGAGATTTATTACTCAAATGTACATAGAGGGAAAGATAGGATATCCAATCATAGAAAAAAAAACAAGAGAGCGCAAAGCGGTGTCCATGGTATGTCGAGCCTTTCAACTACCGCCAATTTTGAAAGGAAGGCAAGAATAGTAGAGCATGCATTTCTTAGATCATGAAGTTTCGGTGAGTTTGACAATCTTTTCAGCTGCTTGATCAAAGTCCGCCTCCACAACAAGATTATCCAAGCCGGAGTCTTGAATCTAGAAAAGTTAGCCACGGGTCGCCTTAGGATCATTCCGTATTTCCGGGAACCATACCAATTTCAATCCCTTCTCGCTATTTGTTCCCTGAAGCCGGACAACCACCGGCACCTTGAAGCCTCCAATAGCACTGGCCGCAGAAACTATAGATTCGGCAATCATATCGCAGCGAACGATTCCTGAAGCAGATCAGCAGAAGATCCACCGCCTCACACATGTGCATAGACTTACCACCATAAATATTGACAAGTATTCCCTTTATCCGCGTATCCCGTTGAAGTATATCAAAAGCCTTGGACAAAGTCTCCTTCGTCGCTCCACCACCAACATCCAAAAAATTAGCACACTTCCCACCACAAAGGGTAACGAGATCATTAGTCGCCATCGCAAGACCAGCCCCATTAACAACATTCCCAATATTCCCCTCGAGTCTCACATAAGAAAGACCCAGCTGAGCCGCCTGGTACTCATCCTCCTCACCGGGCTCCAGCTCCTCCAAAGCAAAAAGCTCCCGCTGTCGAAACTTGGCCGAATTGTCAAAGTTGAACTTTGCATCGAGGCAGAAGAATTCGTGATCTGGGGTGCGCACGAGTGGATTCAGTTCTAGCAAAGTAGCATCTTTTTCTCGGAATAATTTCACCATCTGGTGCAAGATGTGCGTGATTGGCGCCATTTCCTTATCCGAGAACCCGAATTGGGCTTGGATGTAGGAGGTTATTTCGGGAGTTATGCCGTGGTACAAATTGAACCAGAATCGTTGGAGTCTGCTTGCGTTGGATTCGATATTGACGCCTCCGTCGTCGGATATTAGGAGTACGGGCATGTATCGGTCGCGGTCGAATGTGATGGCTACGTAGAATTCGTCTGCGATGTCGACGGACTTGTAGATGTAGAGCTTGTTCACTAGGAGGCCTTCGGGAGGTGTTTGCTTTGTGGTTAGGTTATAGCCGAGCATATTGGAGGCACTTTCGAACGCTTCCTTTGGTCTGAAAGATGTTAGATCTTGGTGTATTCAAGTTTCTGCATAGAGGTGAACTAACGAGGATACGATGCGCACCCCGCCTTTGCCATCGCTGTTGAATTTGCCTTTGCCGCGGCCTCCGGCGAGGACTTGCGCTTTCACCACCGAGGGTGCGTCTATTGGGGAGTGTTAGCCGGTAAAATGCCTCAAATACGCCGGCAGTAAGCATAGACTGACTGATGCTAGAAACAACATCCTTGGCTTCTTGCGAAGTGGTGACGACGGATCCCTGAGGCACGGGAATTTGAAACTGTCGACGAAGGGTAAGACTCTCTCGTCAACATCCGAGCTGTGGGGAAACTATACATCCTTGAGTAGTCGGTGGGATTGATATTCGAGAAGGCTCAGCCTCCGCAACTGCTGTGTGAATGGGCCGCGATGCTAACGATGGAATAAGTATCTTGTTGCTGATCGGACGCCATGGAGGTGGGGAAACAAGCTCATACCCCTTGCAAAAATCGCGAGAGGGAATGCCGACCGATCATTAAGAATGTCCGAGTAAGCCTTGGAGGGCTTTGCTAGCATTCATAACGAAATTATTGCCGAATAGGCGAATCGTGGTGATTTTAAACGTTCGGGCCTGGCGATGACATCAACACTGAAGTCACTTGGGTAGAGCCAAATACGGGGTTGAGGGTGTCACTAGGAAGCTTAATTGGGATCGAGTAAGTGGTTCAACCCCGGCTTTTTGTTATTAGTCATTAGGTTTATATAGTTAGTGGTTGGTCCATTCTAGGCAATGTGTTCCGTTTCGTAGTAACATAGTAGAATCATCTAGGAAGCTTTTCCAACCTACTGGCCCCAACTATCCCCGAAATACCCACAATAGTCTACTGCCATGGCTTCCCCGGGTCCCGTATCGAAGCTGCATTTTTTGAAAGCAAGCAAATACCTGTCCACGTTATCATTATCGCCCGTCCAGGAATGGGGTGGTCAATTTTTCAACCCGCAGATCGAGCTCTCGTTTCTTTTCGTTCTTTTTTTTTCTTCTCCGCGCAGTTGGTTGGGTTTTATAAGATGCAATTCAACTATCGGATACATGGATACCGTTTAATTGAACCAGATAACAGGCTAAGTGTAATGGAAAGTGAAAAAAGAAAGGGATAAAAATTGCGTGTGATAGAGGGAAAAAAACAATTGCTTAACCGAACTTTGATATGAAATCCTTAATCTGGAAAAAAAAGGGCGCATAGAATATTTTATTAATTGTGGTGGGCCAGTGAGAAGTTAAAAGGTAGGTGTATCTACCAGAGGGGCCTGAAAGCCGCCTTACACTCCGTATTGGGACCGTACGTCGAGCCTCCCATCACTGCCCCCCCCGTTAACTATTCTTTCTTGACAACACCTTATCCTTCCCATGGCCCATACATGAAAATGTATTCGTCCTCTCCGAATTTGCCAACGCGTGGGGCTTCTTCGCTCCTATGGTTGGCTTTGCTCTTTGCAAAGTCTACCCATGGACATCAGCCTGCTATCATACCTCCCAACCTCCCATGTTATGACTGTTCTGGAAACCATGGTGCATATTATACAACGTGCGTACTGCATCATGTCCTCCAAATTTGAAATTACCTTGTTCACTTATTGTTTTAACAGCAGGGGGCATCACATTCCAGCTTAGTTGCTTTTATGGCGCTGGAGTTCAAGACCTTCCCAACCCTCCCACGACGGCTACTCTAAAGGAATGTGCCGATGCTTGTGCGGCCCAGGAATCTCCTGTTTGTCAAGGTGCAGACTGGAATCCAAACACAAAGGTCTGCCATTAGAAAGATACCCACTTTCCCGGCCAGGGAGGTATGATATGGTACCAGTGGAAGCCAATTGCAGCGCGGCCAGATCACTCCTGCCCATCCCAACGCCTCACAAGCGAGCTCTCCAACCCTGATGAGATCGGCAAGCCCCAATGTCCCGATGGTACATTTTCCCGATAGGAATTCCTCTTCTTATCTTATATCTGCTTACACGACCATCAATTGAGTAGACAATGGAAAGGTGATAAAGTTTGCAGACGGTACTCAGTTTACTTTCATCTGTTGTTCCAAGAACAAAGATGGAAGCCAAGCTGAGACCACATCCGCACGTTTTATAGCATCGTCTTTCAAGGAATGCGCTGAAAGATGCTCTGTGACATCTGGTTTGCCAGAGGTATGTCATTGAACCTTTTATGATGTTTACAATATCGATGTATGAAATTTTCATAACCACGACCTTCATAGCGTTGTGCGCACTGTAGGAAAAATCACGAGAACAGATCCCACAGGAACATGCAGACTTTACGGCACTGGAGGATTCGCTACCGGAGAGCCATCAGATGGCTCTTTGGACTATGCCTATATCAGCAACCCACTACCCGTCAACTCGCCTAACCAACTGACTGCTATGTGTTCCACTAAGTGTCCAGGTGCTGATGGAGGTGTGCATAGATCAAATTCCCGAGTAAGTGCCATTTCTACCTCTGCAGAAAAGAAAAAAAAATACGGAAATCTCACAATCGTTCTAGCTCTTTCTAATGAATTGTGGCAAGCGCCATAGAACTCAAATATCTCTACAGGACACACAAGATACATTCGAAGATTGCATTGATGCCTGCTTCTTGATGTCCAAATGCCATAGTGTGGATTAACACCTGAGCGGTAAAATCTGTTCGTACGGACAACACCTGGGGCCGCCTGAAGTTTCAGCTAGTGCAAACACCAGTGCCCACTCTGTAGGGTGTGGGAATGCGTGTAAATGCGGCGAGAAGCCATATAAGCCCTCTTCTCACGGCAATTGATAAGCGCAAGGTGGTCAGTAGCTGTATAATGCTAACTGCTAGTATCCCTTTCGCAACTGAAATCCTGGCGGCTACTATTCATGAATCTGTCAGTTATTTTGATATCGATCTTGTTTCCTTATCGAGGTAAAGATGCAACCTTTGCCTCCGACTTCATTCTTTCAAAAGTCGCTACAGCTCATGCGTCTTTTCTTATATCCCGGTCAATTCCCGGGCAGTAATATCTGGGGATGTACGACGGCGCTCCATAGGGTAGACAGTAGTTGTATAGAGGGATATTTTACAGCGACGTTGCAAAAGTTTGAAAGCTCCTGTTGCCTACCATTATCGACCGCATTCTCACGTTAGACCAGTAGCTACAAAGACGGAATAGATTGGCTGATCTACTCCATCTCAGGTAGCTACTATAGTCCACTTAGGTAGGCGGAGACCAGGCCGGTCAACAAGGGCTTAGAAACTTTTGCTACGCCACTGTAAAATAACCCTCTATACAACTACTGACCACCCTGTGCTTATGGAGGGCCGTAGATGTGCCTAGTAGCTCCAACCTCAAAGTTGTATATGTATGTGTAGTTGATACATCCAACCTCGGTCCAACTTACTGGCCGTACATTTTGCCCAAATCAGGCAACTTCGGTCCATCGCGAGGTTTCCGTGCTTTGCTCCACGTACCCCGCCATCGGAAGTTGCTACTAGTTACTAGTTACTAGTTACTAACGACGAGAAGACCCCGATCTCAAAAAGAAAACTGCTCGCTTTGTCTAAAGTCCCGGTAGCGGCCCGTTTTGGCCGGTCGGACCCTGCCCTGATTTCTCCCGCAAATCTGTACTCCAGCTCAACCGAGACTCAGCCATAACCGGAGCTCGTCTATCACCCCCAACAGGCGCGTCAGAAAACCAAACAATGGCGATCCAGCACGGAATTGACGTCCTGAAAATTGATGCCAGGCACCTCCAAGGTCTTTTGGAAAGTGGCAGGGTGACAAGTCTCGACCTCGTCAGACAATATGTCACCCAGATCCAGCGTCACGACAGCAAGCTTCACGCCATGATCCAAACAACATCTATCGACTTACTCGAACAGACAGCTAGATCACTCGACCAGGAGCGAGCAGATGGCAAGATCCGGGGGCCACTTCATGGTATACCCATCACGATCAAGGTGAGTGAGGATCCACTTGCGACCGGGGCCTAGGCCACGTTGTTGATTCCCCTTTTTCTAGGACAACATTGCCACTCATCCAAGCTTTGGACTTCCGACTAGTGCTGGGAGCTTTGCGCTCTTGAGTTCGAAGCCTCGCAGAAATGCCAAAATTATCGACCAAGTACGAGAAATATCGGACTGATGAACGGGCGGAGACGCTGATGATTGTTTAGCTGGTTGAGGCGGGGCTTATCATAATGGGAAAGGCGAATCTAAGCGTGAGTAACCTCTTGGGACAATCGATGCATACAAGATGGTGGTTCTAATAGTGTACTAGGAATTTGCGAATGCCCGGTAAGAAGGATCAACTACCGAAATATTATCTTCCCGACATCCTTTGCTGAACAAAATATCAGAGGTACCAACATGCCGAGTGGATGGTCTGCCGTTGGTGGCCAGTGCCAGCCTGCCTACGTCCCTACTGGCGTCAATCCACAAGATTCTACCGAAGGACACTCCGTGAGAACTCACATTCTAGGCGTACGCAAACCTCAGCGCTGACAACTAATCAATTTAGAATCCCTCAGGGTCGTCCGGTGGCTCAGCAGTTTCCGTGGCCGCTGGGTATGCTCCTCTTTCCATCGGTACAGAGACAGATGGATCGCTTGTATGCCCCTCTGGCCGAGCAGCTCTCTACACGATAAAGCCAACTATCGGTCTCGTTTCCCAAGAGGGAATAATCCCCATATCAAACCATTTCGATTCAGCCGGACCGATGACCAAGACGACGCATGACCTAGCGACTCTTTTTGATGTCTTAGCTTCGAAAGGCTCAACGGACTCTTTTACCGCCAGCTTGACGGGGTCGTGGTCTGATATTTCGGTTGCAGTTTTGGACCCTTCGATATGGAAGTATCCGAATACCCTCACGAAGCCTGCTGATGCTGCAGAAGCCCAAATCGTGAGTGTATTCATTGACTCGGAAGGCCATGTCTAATAAGACAATAGATTCGAGAGATTCACAGAGCGTATGAACTCATCCGACCAAGAGCAAAGAAATTTGTGGAGAATGTCGATTTGATCTCGCCTGAAGAGTTTGAATTCGAAGGAGAAAATAGCGAGCTTTTGATCTGGTGTGAGTATAGTCCGAAGATAATCAACCTATTGAGCAAGCTTTTCTGATTTAGAGAGACAGTGGCGGATATGAAACGAAGTCTCAATGAGTATCTGGAAGACCTCGAAGAGAGTGAAGTCCGATCTCTTGCCGAAGTGATCGAGTACAACAACAAGCATGCGGATGTCGAGCTACCCCCAAGTAAGAGCGAGACGTCTATTTTTAATTGATCAAATGCGAAGTTGCTAAACTGAATTTATTTAGCCCACCCAAGACAGGACTTTTTCATCGAGTCAGAAGACCAAAGAACCTCCCCAGCCGAGTACGAGCGACACCTGGCGCATCTCAGGGAAGTGGCAAGAGATCGCGGATTCGAGAAAGTCTTCAAAACACACGGAGTCGATGTTGTAATCGGTCCGACCGACAGTGGCTTGAGATCCTTGGCCGCAGCTGGAGGTAAGAATTTATATCAATCACTCCATAGCTACACTACTAACCTGAATGATTAGGGTACCCCGTCTGCGGAATGCCTCTTGGGTACTTGGATTACAATGGACGAGCCTTTGGAATGTCAGCTGTGGCACGGAGAGGTCAAGATGCTCTGTTGGTGAAAGTGATGAGTGCATGGGAAGCGACATTGCCTCCTCGAAAGACTCCACGATGGCTGGAATAGGCTAGTGGTGTACGTCAGCCAGTTCAATATCACGACAACCGAGTCCGAAGACCGATGGAATCTCCAGTTAGTCAAATTAAGCCTAAAAAAGCTCCAAGCAAGGGTGGGTCTCCTGACTCGGCCGCTCGGTTTCCGGTTGCTCGCACCGTCCGAAAATCCGAGTATGCTACATTCGGATAGGCATGCCATTTTAAACATATAAAGTAAATGAAATACCTATTGCCAGCTTAGGCCTCGAATAATAAGCTCTCTCTTAGTATTAATTGACCAAAATACTGCGGGGTTTTGGAGTTTTGGAGCGGGTGAGTTTTTCATGCTGCCGTGCGGGCGAGTGCTAGACTCACCCGCATATGCAATAAAAAGGAGCTTGAAAATTTCATGATCATTGTTGACTCGTCTTCAGAACGTGAAGAGCAATTAAAAAATCGATATTTTATTTGGATATGCTAGCTGAGACGAAGTGATATCGAATCGACATCGGATCCTTGCCCAACACGACACACGCATTCATCCAGAAGTGGCCTCGCCGTGTCACCATTCAAAATGGCAGCTTTCCAGCCGCGCGTCCCAGTGACATTTTATGCTGTCTTATTGATAGTGTCGCAACAGATTCAGATGGTCGCTGCATTGCCGACCTTGACCGCGAGATCAGACACCACGGCCTCTGACGGTGGTCTTTCGCAACCAGAGAAAATAACTCTATACGTTGTCGCGGCAGTTGGTGGACTATTTGCTATTATGGGGGGTGTGATTTACATCTTGCGTACACGCCATCTGAATGAATGTCGAAATCAATCCCAGAAGATGACACAATCTCTTCTGAAAACCCTCCCCATAGTCCAATACAACAATGGCAATGGGCACTGTCCAAGCATGCGGGCATCAAGCATCGGCTCCGATGATTCCATGGATGAGAAAATCGAAAAGCAAAGGAATACAGCCTGTCCGATCTGTACGGATGACTTTATTGAAAATCAAATGCTGCGCATTTTGCCATGTGAACATCAATACCATATGAAATGCATTCAAGATTGGTTGTCCCGGGGTTCGAACTGTCCAGTGTGGTATGAAGAAGAAAATATTTCCAAAATATAGCTAGGAATTATTGCTAATATGTTTTGCTAGCCGAATTGAATTGACTTCGCCGATCAAAGAAAGATCTGCAAAGCATGTGGATCCGTCAGACGTCGAACAGACATGCTATCCGCAAACATATCCGCGAGCAAGTGATGGACACGCGAAGAAGCTCCATAATCGCTTGCTGAGACATCTTTATAGTGTCGGCTTGGGGCAGCACTATAACAGTGCTTGATTACTAGTATACGCTGTGTACGTAAATGTTTAATGAATCATGATTATGCTTCTAAGGTAGGGTTACATTGCCCCCGATATGCGTCATCGAGTCAACAAAAAAAATCTCAAGATATGGGAAAACCAAACCCTACCTTAGAAAATCATAGCAATCGATAAGATATAGATAAGCTATCCACAACGACCCTAGGCAGCCTCGGCCAAAAAATCAAAGCCATCTCATTTCCAGCCTGCGTGATAATGAGTCAAGCCAAGTGATTCTAATCAAGCATGCCAAGGCACTATTCTCAATCTGTACAACCACTTTTTGGGGCTAGACTGCGAGGCTATGTTCAAAAAAACTTTATATAAGCGTCACATGCAGAATAAGAGGGAATTAACCTGTCCATTTGTAGATCCTTGTCCACTCCGCCAAGGGTCTGCCAAGGATCCCCCTCGTAATCCCCGCGAAAGAGTGGCGGAAACCACCAATGAACCCTGCCTGATTGTTAGCTCTCGCCGCCCCCGCTCTGAAAGCCTGATGTCAGAAAGAGGGCGGAAAATGGCGTTGCCTACGAAGGCTGAGCTCTCTCCTGAACTGAAATCCCATCTCAACCAGGGAACTTTACAAAACAATCCCGCGGATCAGCAACTGACGCGACCTTCCCAGTACGACTATTCCCTCACCAATCTTGACGAGCTCTGTTGCAACACTACTAGTATTCCTTATATCTCAGAGCCTCCTCTGAGACCCCTGCAGATATCCCGCCCATGCAAGTTGACGGCCAGCGGGAGCGGAAAGCTGCAGCAATGACGGGGCGGAATGAACCCTTTCTCGCAACCAAGCCTCCCACCAAGCACCCAAAAGTGCTTGAGGATGTTCATGCCGAGCATAGCAATAAAAATTTCGCATCGCAAGGAAATGAGCCCAATGTTGGCTCCCCAAAGCAAAATGCGTTTTCTCTCACCAGTCTGTGGAAGAGAGGGGGGCATCACATGCGCCGCTTGAGTAGGCCAGAAAACACTCAACCTCAATCACCCAAGCCAGCCTCATCGCCCACTCCAGTCGAAGCGCCCTCGCCTAAACCAGAGGTGCAGCCTGAGAGAGATCCGTCGGATTTAAATCCAGAGATTTCGAGCGTGCCGATTTTGAAAAAGAGCAATGCGTTCGACCTAGACTCCATTATCTGGGACGAATCCTCTGGAAATCGCAAGAACTATCAAACCCCCGTCGACCTTGACAACATTATCGCCAGGCTCTTGCAGGTCGGACACTCTAAGCCTACAAAGAGGGTCTGCATCGAAAACGCCGAGATTATTGCAGTTTGCGCGGCTGCACGCAACCTTCTTCTGTCACAGCCGATCCTGCTAGAACTGGACGCCCCCATCAAAATCGTCGGTGATATCCATGGTCAATACCCGGATCTCATTCGACTATTCGAGCAATGTGGACGCCCTCCTCTATCCAACTACCTTTTCCTAGGAGACTATGTCGACCGCGGCAAACAGAGTCTTGAGACTATGCTTCTGCTTCTATGCTACAAGCTTAAATACCCGGGCAATTTCTTCCTGTTACGAGGTAATCATGAATGCGCCAGCGTCTCCCGTGTCTATGGATTCCATGACGAATGCAAGCGAAGATGCAACATCAAGATCTGGAAGACATTCACCGATGTCTTCAACTGCCTCCCGATCGCTGCGATAGTCGCAGAGAAAATTTTCTGTGTCCATGGCGGTCTTTCACCTAATCTTTTCGACATGAACGAAATTCGCAAACTCACACGTCCCATCGAAGTGCCCGAACACGGTCTTCTAACCGATCTTTTATGGAGTGACCCCGCAAATATCAAAGACTGGGGACCCAATCCCGACCGTGGCGTTAGCTGGTGCTTTGGGAAACCGGTTGTTGCGAAATTCCTCAAGCGCAACAATTTGGACCTAGTCTGCCGATCGCATGCTGTTGTGGAAGAGGGATATGAATTTTTTGGCAATAAAGGCCTTGTTACGATTTTTTCCGCACCGAATGTGAGTGTTCTCTTCCGTGGAGATTGTTATGATGACGTATAGGCTGACATCGTCTTTTTCAAAAGTACTGTGGTGAATTCGACAACTGCGGGGCCATCATGTCCGTTTCAAAAGAGCTTCTTTGCAATTTCGTTATGCTGAAGCCACCGAATTGGAAGCCACCGTCCAAGAGATCTGCAAATGTCAAGGAATCTACTTCTAGAGAGAAGGCTCTGTGAGTATCTATATTATCTATCTAGATAGCCCTCCCTTCCCTTGGAGCAATTATTAATCGTTCAACAGTCTTCGCCAAGTGACTTGGAAAGTGTCACTTTCATAGGCTCGGCCTGGGTGCATATCTTCTGGGATTTATTTGGCGTTTTTCTCCGACCCCAGAGGGTGGGACTTAAGACCTGTTTCTCATACCAAATTGTGATTTTACGTTGATATGAACACTGCATCGAAGGGAGGAGTTTGATAGCTAGTTTCCATAATTCAATAATTGCTCAAGTATGTCGAGCGAATCAATAAGTAGCACGTCTAAAAAAGCAACCGGGCAAATAAGCAAAAAAAAGATCACCGTTGAGTGACACCATTCATTCTCGCATTAGCGGAGATTGATAGTCCACACGTCTCCCAATCGTTCATTCGACTCTCCTAGCCCACCATGAACCACAATAGTGTTTTCACCGGCAACATCGGCATCAAACCAGCCCCGTGCGAAAGGAATCTCGGAACCGTGAACAATAATCTCTTCCCATTTCTGGCTTTTAATGTCAAACGCCCACATGTCCCGCAGCATCTTCCCCGCTCCTTGATGACCCAATGAGCTGGGGTCACGTTCGCCAAATAATGTGACCAAGAAAGACCTCCCTCCCAGACGAATCGGAAGCAAAGAAGCCACACTTCGCGGGGTCGGACCCGAATTACCATCGGGCTGATACGAGTGCGAAGTCCAGGTATTTGTTTCAGGTGAGTAAATATCGACACTGCCCCCCTGTTCCGAATTACCGTCGAATCCGTTCATTCGATACAACTTGGCATCGGAAAATGCGATCGAAGTACCTCCACGGGGAGGATCGAATGCTGGAGCAAGCTCAGTCCAAACTCTTTGGGAAAGACTAAATGCCCAAAGGTCGGCTAATCTCCCTGTTTCTGGGCAACCTGCATGGAGATAAAGTGTATCCTTCCCGTCGCTAGCCATGCAGTGATAGCTCCGAGCTGTGGGAGGCGTACGTGAGATTAGGTTCGATGGGGAAATGCGCGACCAGATTGCTGCGGACGGATCGAATTCCCAAATCGCACCCTCCTCTTCGATAGGAGCCATCCCGACACCTCCTCGACCAGAGAAAACGTAGATCTTCTCATTGAGAGTACACGAGGCAGTACCGACACGAGGAGATGGAGATTGGGATGTCGCCGGTTTAGAGGCAATGGTGGCATTTTCTGGATCTTCGAAAGTGGGGTTTAGTACCATGGTCGAATTTCTGGCATTTACCTTTTAGCAACACCTTTCAACTTACCACTGTTCAATGAAACGACGTGGACATCATTGTCGCGAGGCTCACGCGGTCGCAGCTCTCCACCGAAAATATAAGCTTTATCGCCAACAACGGAGACAATTTGTGAGGAGCGACGAAGGATTTCCTCTTCCAGAAGCTTGTGGCAGTTAGCAACGATTCTCGACATTGTAAAGATGGGCGCTAAGTAGATTTCCGTGATGAAAGCGAATGACAAAATACACCAGCGTCAGGGAATCCCTCTTCTATAAATAAAGCATTGGCTTCGTTGGATTGACAGATCTACCGGAGCTTCTGGAGATTCTGAAGGCTCCGGAAGACCTCCAGACTGTATATTTGTGGGGCAGTCATAAAAATGATCCGCGAGGCAATCTGAGGCGTGGCCTCCGAAACCGCCGGAACCTCCGAAGTCCCCGAAAACCTCCCTCCGCACTCTCCTCATCGACCAAGGCCGATCATCATGCCTCCGAAAAAGGCTTTTAATCCAAAGAGGGCCTGTGATATCTGTTACGCCAAGAAGGTACGTTGCCGTCTCCAGTATATCCGCGACATTGACCTCTTTACTGACTATTGCTATCCCCATCCAGACTGTGTGTCTGTTACCTACACCAGAAGGCCCCTGCGAGAGATGTGTTTACCGTAACCTTGAGTGCACATTCGATCGAGAGAAGCCCTCGAAGAAGCGGCGGATTAGGTGTGTGATGCCACCCAACCTTTTCCGGGTTGAAAGCGTACATATTCTTACGTTTAACACTCGACTCTAGGAATTCCTCTAGCAATGCATCAAGCGAGTCGCAGGCATTAGCTCAACGAGTCAGACAGCTTGAGAATGCTCTGGCTATCAACCAAGCCGATCCGAGACCGGGGGAGTCACGTTGCCATATTGCCAGCCCCAAAGAGCCAGGAACAGCCGCTTCATTGGCAGCTAGCTCCTTAACACGTGGTCGGAATGGAGTAGTCCTTTCCACAAGGTCCCCATGCTCATTTCTATCATCAAGTACAGTGACCAATACCTGCAGTCCGGTCACTGCGGATGATAGCGCCGGAGTCGATGTTTCAGCTTATCAATTGGGACCAAACTGGTTTTTCAATGGTATACCGATCTTCTCTGAAGAAGGAATTAAGTGGCTTTCGGCAAGAACAGACCAAAATGTCAAATCGGAAGAATTTTTGATTCCCATAACTGACCCAAGCGCGCTTTCTCTTATTGAGTCACCTGGAGAAATATGCCATTTGCCAGACCAAGATGAAACCCGACGAATATTGAATGCCCTTTTCGAGTCTCCATTTAGACTGACATTCCCAGTCATAGACGAATCTTTATTTGAAAGAACTATGCAAATTGCTTACGACCCTGTGGATAAAAATATGGCATCTGCCACACAGCTCGCTGCCAGGGCGTGCGTTTTGGCTGTTCTTTCTATCACAACTTGGTCAACTGCGTCACATCAGAGTACCCAAATTCTAGACAGAGAAATGTGTGCTGCAAAGGCCCAAATCATCCTGGTAAATCTGGCAGAGAATATCAGTTTAGACACCCTCCAAGCAATAATTCTGCTAGTAAGTCGAATCTACTGCGCCTTTTTCTCGACCTTGATAAGATCTCCTCTCACGCCTTGCTCAAGCAACTGCAAAAAAGTTTCAAGGGCCGCTGGAAAGGAGCTGCTTTCTTCAATTCTATTTCGTGTCGCATGATCTGCTCTTTAAGGGGCCATATCTACACCTCGCCAAAATCAGATCGTGAAAGTACTTTTTCTGAACGCGAAAGAAATCATACTCGAACATTGTTCTGGCTATGTTATATGCTCGACAAGGACGTTTCACTTCGCACTGGAAATCCACCACTCCTCACCGAGACTTATTGCGATCTTACTGCACCAGTTGGTACAGAAGATTGTGCCTACTTTCCGACAACAGATCTATCTCCTGAGCTCACCAGTCCAGCCTCTAGACCTCTCGCTCCCCTCGCTTCTAATCTTTCGGGCGATACTTGTCTCAGTCACATGAAGGAGAAGGTGTGCCGTCAATTATTTTCTGCCCAGGCCATGAGATACAATGATGATCAACTTCTTCTTAACATAAGGCAACTGGACGATGAGATTGAACGCTGGCGAATATCGCTTCCAAGTGATGTCCGCCCTGCACTTTCTGTCTCACATAATTCTTTACCGCATTCAGCTGAAGGTGATATACAATTAATTGCTCGACGAATGTCTCTACAACTGGAATATCACCATCTTATGACCGTTGTTCACACGACAGTCAGAAAATGCACCCCCGGTGATGCGAATGAGTCCGAAGGCCTTCATGCCGTTGTCCATTCAAGCTTCGATTTATCACTCGAGGCGAGTCGGTCAACCATTTTGTGCCTGAGATTCCTCCTCAGCATAATTGCAGAGCAATCCTTTCCGTAAGCACGATTTTTCAATTTGCCTTTTGGCCGTTTCAATAAGAGACGTATGATACTAAATCTCGGCATAAAGATTTTTCACGTCCTATTTCACTACCGCCGCACTGGCGATATTTCTTGACATAGTCATTCATCCACTTGGGCCCCAAGCACAACTCGATTTAGAGCTTCTCATGTCGGCTGCGAATACTATCAAGTCCATTCCGTCGCAAAATCTCGCGCAGGATGAGATTATCCTCGTGAAAGAGAAAAGCAAATTTGTGATGCGACTGGTATGGCTTGGAACCTGCGCAATCACCAAAGCAGATCGGGAGAAAGATTTCGTCAATTCATAGTTGAACCGATTCAGCAAATTTCATGGGTAGAGGAAACTACTATCTATAGCATCTGGGAAAATTTAAGCTTTTGTTTACCGTGAATTTGAGATTTAGAAACCATCGGCAACACTGTAATTGAGGATTTCGATCAAGAGTGATTCTAACACGTCAGATCTAAAAAATAACCGACAGATTTGATTGAAAAATTCAGTCGGAGTATTGTAAAGAGTCTATTCCTGAGCCTCGTTACCCTCAAGGTAGGCATCCCACACTTTGGATATGTCGTTCTTGTAGATAAAATCCTTGTCACCGTAGAGAAAACTATCGATCTTACTCTTCAAAAATCCATCGAAATCAGTGCTTTCAGCTTGCACTTGCTGCAGCTTTTCTTGGACCTCGTCTAAATGTCTATACCTGCCAACCAGAAAAAGAAGAATAATTAGAAACGGGAAAAGAACCAAATGACCCTGGAACCAATATTTATAGCACTCACATCCTATTGTAATACGGTGACCGGATCTGAGAAAATATCTCCAGAGAACCCGACAGAGGGCGACCGGTGAATTGTGTGAGCTCGAGTGCTCTTGCTAGAATCCATCCATCTTCCATTGCGAAAGTTGCCCCGGAACCAAAGGCCCCTAAAACATAGATGAATAATAATTCTCGGTAACAACAGGGAATACTCACCCGAGAGCGGATGACTCGCATCTCCAATGAGTGCAACTTTGCCCCATCCAGTGATGTGATCGAGACGCGGGCCAGCAAATCCAGCGAATTCCCACCATTCACCCTCTTCAACTGCATCAACTGCATCTCGGACTCTTTGATCGAATTCCTGAACCCCAATTAGGAATAATGCCCATCTTTGACGTATGAATACCCAAGAACCATACCTTGACGCGGGACGCGACTTTTTTCGTTGGCTGCCGGAATGCCCAACCCACGGTCTTCCCGGGAATCTCGGGCTCATGGTAAGACCGTACGGTTATTTCAAATAATGGATCGGCATTTTCAGTCTCATCATCCACATCGGAGAAGTAAACATGGCCAGCCTTGCCCCACCACCAGGCGGTTGTGGATGTGATCTCAGGGAGGCTAACTAGACGTGATTTGGGAACAAGAACCCGAAATGCCGTGTTACCTGTGAACCGAAGCTTGTGGTCGGGAAACAGGCATTTTCTAACAGCCTGGTTTTTTTTTAAAAAAAAGATTCAGCCCGAAGAAGCACATTTGAGAACCTCGATCTCCAACTAACCGAGTGAATTCCATCAGCTCCCACCACTATATCAGCGCGAACCTCGGTTCCATCCGCGAAGGTCAACCGTACACCTTCATTTGGCAGGTCATCAAGATGGACAAGCTTTTTGCTGTACTTAATGATGCCCTTAGGAACCTGGGCTAAAAGCGCTTGCTGCAGTCGGGTCCTACGAGCGCGAATAGCTCCACGCTGATCAACCGCAGAATTTTCCGGGTGTTCGACTACACTCAAGACCTTACCGGTATATGCATTTCTGAATTCCCAAGAAGTGAGAGGTGTAAGACTACTTCTTGTTGATTAAACCTGCTAGAAAGGTTACTGACCTTTGATGAGTGTTGGATTTGGAGCCGCCCTTGACACCACTACTTGCCCCAAGCAAGTCCAAGATCCTCCAAGCGTTGGAGCTTAGACTTAAGCCAGCACCGGCCTCTCGAGACTCAGAATGCTTCTCGTAAAGGGTCACATCAAGAAACGGTAACTCAGAAAGTGCGATAGCGGTTCCTAGCCCCCCCAGGGCCACCGCCAATAATAGCCACAGAGGTGAGAGTTTGCCCGACCATCTTGCCTCTGTGTGGTAACGTGTTCAAAGGAAACGGAGGGCTTCTACGAGTTTATGAAGAAGATGACATGGTCTCGGATGGTTTTATTTGTTACGGTGGTCGCAAACCAACCGTTCGATTGTCACATAGCACGCCATATCAGAACTTGAACGTGCCATGCGCTAACTAAAGATATCAATCCTCCACTCCGCTCTTCCGAGATTCCCTAGTCGTCTGCTAGGAGCACTAAAAATCCGACAAAAATTAAGCCATAGCAAGGCGTGGGAATGAAGCTTGATATTTTGCAGGCTTTGCTTGGGAAATTTGAAATCAACTATAGCTACTGGATCTCATAAGCCACCCATGTGTCACTATGATTGGCGCGCCGGCATCTGCGGGTACCGTGCCATGGTAATAAAGCAAGTTGTATTTATAGGTTCTTTATAAATAATTCGTTTCATCTATCTGCTTTGAGTCTAAGATCCTGCTTCGATGCGACCGGATCTCCACAACGCACCTTCGCCGCAAATGGACCCTTTGAAGCTATGGTCTCGGCCTGGCATTTCGAACGTGAATAAAATCCATTTTTTTAATAAAATACATCGCATTAATATCTCGACCAGAACATACTAAGAATCAAAGAGAAACATTCGCCACTCCCAATGCTATTCAAGTCCTTCAATGAGAAAGGAAAGTCGCTTAATGTTCACGTTTCGGTTCTTTCATGCGGGTATTCTGAAACAACCAGAAGATCAATGAATATTCATTGAAGTTCAACTCCTGTAGTACTATCTGACGTGACCCGCTGTTTTCATTCAATCATGGTGCTCCCCGAAGCCAGCAGATCCGTTCATACTTGACAACGTGCGGTGGTTCAAGTTTGATATTTAAAATTTCTTCGAAGACTGCGCGACACCAAAGAACCGATCGCATCGAGTTTTCTTTTTTCCATAGCAGCGCTGAGACATAGCCAGAATGGGAAGCTTTGCAAAATTGCTTCTTGCTTTAGGCGGAATTTCGATTCATACTTATATGGTCACTGCCTCCGAGTCAAATACAACTCCTTTTAAAAGAAGTCGAAATGACACTCTCGCCAAAGTTACATTCCAGCTAAAGCGGCAGGTTCTCTGGCTCGACGGTGAATGCACTTGCGCTGTACTGAGAAGGTGTTGCAACGACCCAATAAAAATCGTACATGCTGAAAGGAAATTGGTCGCAATGAACCCCTTGTGATCTTTGCACGTTTTCTTCTCCCTAGAGAACCATTTTTTATCCTGTCTGCTTCCTGTTGTAGTTCAGAGGAATTGATTGAGTTATTTATTCCTGAGGTGATACAGGAGGCTATATATACAACGAGAAGGTCAAGTTGATTTGCAATCAACTTGATTCTTCGTATATGCATCCCGGGATGATTTCCGATGTTGCAACTTTGTTCCTGGCCTGCGCAAGCCTTATATCACAACACCATCGTATCAACGTCGCAGAGACGGATCAATATACATGTGGACAAGCAGGAGGGACTGTGGAGCACTTCCTCTTTCGATGTCGGAAGTGGACGACTCACCGGACGGAAATGCTGCATGATCCCCAAACCCACCGAGGCAACATATTTTTTCCTGGGCGGAAAAACGCCTCCGAATGGCCGGAACTGGAACCCGAATTTGGAAGCAGTGCGAGCCTCAATACGGTTTGTAATCGCCACGGGCCGACTCGACGCCGCTTAAACGTGTCGACCAACACAAATTAAACCTACCCCGCCCCAACCCCAATCTAAACCCCACCAACCACCTCGTGCCAGAGACGATAGACGAGCTTCAATTGCCGAGGATAGGATGTTGAACACTTGAAGAAGCGCCTTCAAGCAAGTCTACTAACTAAACACTAACCCACAAGGACCCGCTAAGATATTGACATCCGAGACGACATACTGAAACGAATCTTGTATGGGCTCCAAGGAGGCACAGCATTAGCCAAGGCGTGTATATTTAGATCAGGGATAGTTACCCTTTCGGTTTCGCCGCCGGGCATTAATGAATTGTGCGTGTGTGTTTGTGTGTGTGTAACTGGTTCAACGCAGACAGAGCCTGGGTGGGCACATATCCTTAAGAAATCCCTTACACGCTCGATTCGCATACATTCTCTACTTGATGGTCTTGACCTATTTGTTTCTCGTCGCCAGCGATATGAGATGATTGTCGTTTCTTTGTCAATTCCATCATTTCTTTTGCAAATGGGGATCGTTCACGAATTGCTGGGCCATGGCGATAAAAGTAGTATATGGGTACCGTGACGAGTATAGAGACGCAAGCGAGAATCGTCGAAGCGTATTCATATGAGTGCGTATCGCCGATATTCTCAAACATTGGTGTAGAGTACATAGCCGCAATTCCAGCCAAGAAGTCACGAGCAAAGTCATTTCCGGCTGTGGCAGACGCTGCGTATGCACCATAAGCAGCAACGGTATAATCAATAGAAGATTGATAGATGGAATACTTTGAAAGGTCAGTTATGTCTTCAAAAAGGCACACGGACTCACGTTGGCAATGCCGATGACCACTGTGAAAATCATTGGGGCAATCCAGTGGACCTGCGGCGGACCAAGACTTGTCCATGCGAATCCAAACAGACCGATAGGCAGACACGGAATAACTATCGCTCCCATCCATGTGATTTAGCTTCTGCTCAGTGCGACGAATATCAATTAGAAAGAATTTAACTGACCATAGAGAAGCCACCACAGGCGAGCTTCTGGAGAGACGGATTCAGAGCCATACTTTCGCCGCCTTTGCCTAAACATGTGAATAGATGGTAGGAAGGAAAGATAAGCAATAAAGTATCCTATAAGAAGACTAGGTCATAAAATTCTGTCAGAATAGAAATCTCCATTTCAGGGTCGCTTTGTGCCAAATGCAATAGAAGAACTCACGGAATGAAAGCAAGGCTAATTTGAATTGTCCCGAACCCCCATTGCTTATAGATTGGCTGGAATCCTTGAAGAAATGTGAAAATCAAGGAGTCACTAAAGCCGCTTAGCAAAGAAAGCCACATCACGATCGGCTCGGTGAGTAGCATTTTGAATGGTCGTTTCCACACAGCCCAAATGTCGCGCGGCGATAGGGCATAGCCGTAAATCTCATGGGGTCCCCAAATGTTGATTGCTCCCGGGCCAGCCTTTCGTCTCTTCTTTGCAACTCTGTCAAGTATGATGGTAGCTCGGGTTTCCGGAACGAGAAAGAAGTGCATTATTTGAACAGCACCTCCAGCAATGAGTTGAACCCAAAAGATCCAGATCAAGGGCTGTCGCACTTCCACGAAGCCGCCTACCACCGCACCAACAACAGATCCACCAACAGAAGACAGCACAAGAAATGCAACGGCATATTCTTGATCATCGGGCTCCCACATATCTGCAATAACTCCCAATGTCACTGAGCCTCCAGCTGTACTCAGTCCCCCAAGAAAGCGCACCACTATGTAGGTACCGAAATTGGGGGCGAAAGCACAGGGAAATTGCCATATGTTCACAAGGAGGAGACTAAGCTGTTGGGTTGGCCATCGTCCAAGCTCTTCACTCCATGGAGCCCAAAGCTCACAGCCGAAGGCATAAGCGCAGAGGAAAGTCAACTGTGGGATCCTTGCAACCTGCTCACTGACATTATGCTTCTGGGAGATCGCTTGAACACCGTTGGCATAGAGACTCGCATTCAGATTCATCGAGATCTGAATGCAAAACATCACGCATAAAATCTGCCATTTTCTCCACGTGGGAAAACTATAGCCCAGATTATCATAAGCTGCTGCTTCCGTCAATTCCTTCTTTTCGCCATTTTTTGATTCAGCATTAGCTCCACTGTTGCGGCTCTCATCTTGATTGTTGCTTGGTCGAGATGTCAGCTCTGGATTCAGTATAGAATTGTTGCGATCGTCTTCGGAAAGCCGACAAGTTGCTGCCATGATATTGTCCATATTGATGTTGATTATGCTATTATATAGCATTAATTCTGAAAGACAGTATCTTGGGGGGGGATCCTCGTAGCTAGGCACTAATTGTAGGATGACAAACAAGTAAAATGTATGACGCAGCGGGGGAATAAAACCATGGGAAAATGTGGCCAAATACAAGATTGGTTACCACCGTACCGGCATGGGCCAACACCAATATGGTGAATTAGTCCGATGACACCGGAAACAATGCCTGTGCATAATTTCTTACACTAGCAAGCTTGGGTTGGGTTTTGACTTTGGTGAACCTGTTGAAGATCCGGTCACTGAGATTATCACGGGACTGGGATCACGTGCATACATCTTTAATAATTATTTAGGCCTCGCCAAAACCCGCCCTGCGACGTATATCTCATCCAAGGACAAGATTCATGTGCTAGCGTTGCTAAAGCTCATAGTCTTATGGAGACAGATATCGAAAAGTATAACAGCAAGACATACGCATGAAATGGCTGTGATAAATTGAGGCAAGGTGACTTCATATGTATTAGCTCTGGGGCACCCCCGATGCCAGCAGCATTACCAAATGCTGTCTGCGGACCACAAGTCCCAGGAACTGCACGTCCAACAGACCCCAAGGGTGGGCGAATCTCGGTTCTCTAAACCCATGTCCTGCTGGGCAATGTCTATGTTTCCCTACATTATGAGCTTCGCGGATGATTTTAACGATTTTTAGTGTGACCAAGGACAGTGTCAACCTGGAGCAAATTCCTGCGGTGCTGCAGTCGGCCCTGCAGTCAGTTCTACCACATCGACCACGGCTGCTGCCACCACAACAAAGTCAGTATCTACTTCATACACAACCATACGCATCACTGCGGATACAAGCAAGGAATCTACAACTACAACTACGACAAAGGCCAAAACGACAACGACTAAATCGAAAACCACAACCAGCAAAGGACCTGAGAAGACTGGTGGCTTATTTTCCATTGCAATATATAGTTCACGGGAATGCTCAGGCGATTAGTATGTAGTGGAAGGTCCCATCCTTGGCACTAACGATAAATGCCTTGGAATACATAGTGGGCTATCCAGCATTAGCACTGGAGAAAACACTTGGTGCAAGTGGTACTTTGATGGAGGATTCAACTCCACAGACTGTGATTCCGGAGACAAATTGGAAATAGGCTCAATTTATATCACATCTGGTTCATGCAACATTTATGATACGGAGGACTGCCAAAGCAACGGCAAGCTTGGGGGGTATGATTCTGGTATTTATACCAAGTGCCATGCTGTGGATAATGATGCACCCAAAACGCTTGGCGGGTTGAAATGCTCTCACAAATTGTGACGGAGGCTCTCTTGTGTCTGCTCTACATTTAGTGTTATGGAATTTGGCTATTATTTGAAATTGCAACATAAGCTTGACGACGAGCGAATATTCACGCGTATCCACTTCTTGATGAATGTCTCATTTAATTTGATAACCTATTTTCCCCGTCTCATTAGCTATTTGACCATGAAAGTGGTGGAATTTCTTGGCGTCTTATCATTCAATGGTCAGAATTCTTTCCTATTGCGGTAGTTTACTGACCCTGTGTCAAAATATTTGCCACATCCGAAGATTCCTGCGATCTTCGGATAAGAGAGAAAGCAAGGGAATACTATCTTCTAGTTGATGTGGGGATCACGAATGATCGACTTCCTAAGAAGAAAGCCAATCAATGCTCCATTTCCAATCAATCCTGCATTTCCAAGCATTATCGCTTTATCCAAGCGGTTTTCATACCACCCCACCTCGGGTAGCCCAAGTGCGGAGTACGGCAGGGATCGTTACAATTCATACCAGGACTCTATATAAGCAAGGCGAGACACATTTCTTAATTAGCTGTGAAAGTTCTTGCCAATTCCCTTTTCAAACCTTCCTCCAAAACGAACTCTGCCTACTTGACGACGAAGCCACCTCAAAATGCAATTCTTCAACTATCCCGGAACCGAGAGTAACTCGGAGGCATTTCATTACTCGCAAGCCGTTCGAATCGGGAATATTATCAAGACATCTGGTCAAGGTGGCTGGGACGAGAAGGGAAATATTACCACCGACGTGAATCAACAAGTCGCCATCGCGTTCTCAAATATCGAAAAGGCTTTGAAAAGCGTGGACAAGCGTTTGTCTTGGGAAAATGTCTACGCAGTGCGCAGCTATCATATCAATGTGGAGGAAACATTTGATATAGTCACAAAAAACTTCAAAAAGATAATCCCCGGGCATAGACCCGTTTGGACCTGTGTGGAAATTGGCAAACTTGGAATCGAAGGAATGGCTATTGAGATCGAAGTTGAAGCGCATTTTCCCTATTGAACTTAGGAAAGCTTCTCTATTATCCTACTCATCAGTGGATTTATCGTTGCTGAAAATGAACTATATGTGTGAACTATTTTTATGGATTTGAGCTTGCGAAGTTTTCCTAAAATCCTCGGGATCACTTCCCATGATATTTGTTAGAATAAAGAAATGTAGAAAAAGAAGTGTTCCGCGTATAGACCCGGCTGAACCGGCAAAATGGCCCGTAGGATATGCCAGCAAAAAGTAAATGCGGGGGTTAGCCGCACGCAATTCCCGACTAACTGTTTCTGGAAGGTTTTTGGGCATTTTTGTATTTGCCCCTGGTACACTGACCGTAGGCGAAAAGATAACCGAGCCAGGTCTCTTAAAATCACTAATGAAATCGCCCAACCCCGCAATTACCCCTCTGATAGCGAAATGGTATATCGCTACCGGAAAACTTGAATATGATGACAGTAAAAGATGCCGACGTAAAAGGATCCTGTTTGTAGTTTAGGTTTGACTTTCAGTACTCGGCCGCGGTTGGTCCGAAATATTGCCTTCTTCAGCATAGGGTGAAGCTTATCTTGGGCAAGAGAGAGACATAACGGCTGTATAAAAGGAATCTACTATTCTCAGAAGCAATATCCAGAATACTAGAGAACATCATTGATTCCATTTAAGGGTAAAGAATGGAGAATTCGAGCCCCAGCCTCAAATCGCTCGAAAAGAGAGTTAACCCAGAAATTGGAGATTACCAAGATGAACAGCTTTACCAATTGGGGTATACACCCCAGTTGAAGCGCACACGAAAGCTATCCACTATGGTATTCATGTCTCTATCAATTGCGTCAATCCCGTATGGAGTCGGTAGTTCGTTGATGAACGCTGTCTATGGCGGGGGTCAACTATCATTGTTCATTGGATTGCTTGTCGTTTTGGTATTGGACTCCTGTGTTGTCGTCTCGCTCTCGGAATTAGCATCCCGATATCCAACTTCGTCTGGTGTTTACCACTGGTCATTCCGCCTACTAAAGTCGAACAAAAATCGCGCTTTCGTTTCGTTCGTTACCGGCTGGATATGGCTTATTGGGAACTGGACTATATCTCTTTCCGTCAATTTCGGCATCGCATCCCTTATTGTCGCCACTGTATCGATCTTTTACCCTGACTGGACAGCCTCATCATGGCAACTTCTACTCATATTTTACGCCATATGTCTCGTCACATTTGTCATCTGTTTCTTCGGTGACCACCTACTGCCGCTAATTGATACCCTCTCCGCCGCGTGTTCTGTGGTGACTTGTATCGCATTTGCCATAACCATGGCTGTTCTGGCAAAAGCAGGTCGACATGATGCTCAAACAGGTCTTGTTGGGTATGATCCAAGTTATTCTGGATGGGAGGAGCATTTCACGTTTTTTATTGGACTCCTTCCCCGGCTTATGCATTCTCTCTGCTCTTGGGATGACAGTATCCATGGCAGAGGAATGCACAGATCCTTCTACGCAAATACCTACTGCGATCAGTTTGGTACCTGTTGTCGCTGGGATCGCCGCAGTGATTTTCACCTTGCCGATATGCTTCACTCTGCCGCCACTCGCCGATATTATCAATGCGCCGTATGGCCAGGCATTGCCATACATCATCCACGTTGTAACGGGATCACCGGCGGCATCAATTGTGCTCATGGTACTTGTCCTATTGGTCGCAATATTTTGTTCAATCAGCATCACTACCACAGCCGGGAGATGTACTTGGGCATTTTCCCGGGATAACGCCCTGCCATTGTCGCATTTATGGTCTGCGACCGTGAAAGATAGTCCGCTATCGGCTTTATGCCTCGTGACTGCAATTGAAATGCTCCTTGGTCTCATTTATCTTGGCAGCACGAGTGCATTTACTGCTTTTGCGTCAGTGGGGGTTATTGCCCTTGCAGTGGCCTATGCTATTCCTATTGCAATCAGTCTTTTTGTTGACAAGCGCGTCGAAGTCAGCCAATCTTGTTGGAAGTTGAAGCCAACGATCGGGAAAATTGCGAATGGTGTTGCGCTGCTTTGGATCGCATTTCAGGTCGTTCTATTCTGTATGCCGGTGACTTTGCCCGTGAACAGTGAAACCATGACTTACGCTTCGATCGTTTTTGTCGGCTGTGTTGGTTTAAGTATGTTATGGTATCTTTTGTATGGAAGAAAATGTGAGAAAATCTTCTATTTACTACTTTTTCTCTCTCGAAGATTTACTAACTCGATTCTCCTTAGATTTCAAAGGGCCCGTGGAAGAGATCGATGGTACAACACTCCAATAAAGGAAATTGAAGCATATCTCTGACAATTCGTCAAATTCGGGATAATACTATTCACTCGCATTTACTTTAGAGTAGATTACATCAAAGAACCAATACATCCCTTCCCAACGAAGAGAATAAAACCTTCCAATCGCCCTCCTGCCGATCAGAAGACCAAAGCTCTTCCAGAGCAGCCCGGATACTTAGTAATGAGTTGAACCTTATCGTGCGAAAGATCGAGTCCAACTTGCCCAGAATATGACTTTGGTGGTCGCTGGTAAATGAGTGTGCCCCAACCACATAAAGTGGAAAGACGATACAGTTATGTGCTTTCGAGTCGGGGCTAATAGCTTGAATACACCCATGCAGAAGCTGACATGTTGTTGTACGAGGCGATGGCGAGGAGGTAACCCGCAGACCGCGCGATAGAGATAAATCAAAGCGCTGTGTTGGAATGCCCTAGTAAATGCAGAAGTTTGGTTGGCTTTCTCCAGTTCGGATTTTGAAAGCGTTTCTTCTTCTGGGCAGCCGAAGTGATCTAGGCTCAGGACGGAAAAGCTGGGTTGGAGACGTCGTTCGAAGTCTCGAACTTGATCAATGTGTAGTTTTTCCTCGTTAGCTTGGATAGATTGTCGATAAAATGCCATCTCTGCCATTGTTTGAAATATGACTGATAGATTGACGCCATAGGGCTGCTTCTCCCACCAAACGGGTCCACGCTCGATTTGTTGCCAGATTTTACCCGGGAAGCATGGTGCTCGGTCGTCAAGTAGAGCTCGAGTGAGATCCGTTGAGGCGAACTCGGATAGTAACATAAGAGGGGTCTCCTTTTTGCCCTCACCCATAAGTGCATCAAGCCCTCCAAGTTGTTCCACGATCGCCTGTACACCAGCCTGGTGGCTAGCCGTTGATGCAGACTGTTCTCCACAGTCTATGAAACCGTCGAGAAAATATAGCAATAATACAGCAACTAGTAGTCTAGATAAAGACTCATTGTTGGAAATATTTTGATGTAATTGTTGTCGGACGGACGTTAAGCAGCTCAGTCTTTTTTCGCTTATGGACTTCAACTGCTTGGGACTGTTATCATGCTGAAGCACACGATGCGCCTCTGCCAATTCGCACATTGCAAGCAGGACAGGCTCGAACTCCAGTGCAAGTGATATAGGGGGAGGACAAGGGTGGGTGGCGGTAGTGAGCAAGGGCCAAAGGGCAGCTTGGAAGTAGTCGAGTGATTTGAGCTCGCCCGAGGCCAGTTGAGCATCATGTAATTGGCCAAATAAAGTTGCCTTGGGTGATGTGCAGGCAGCCTGGTAAGCCAAGGGGGCGGACTTCGTAGGGCGAGAATTCCAGCGTACCAGAAGTTTGTCGAAGCTGCACTTCGCGCCCGAGAGGATACATCGACGACAACGGGGCTGTACCAGGTCGCATTTGACCCGCCGCTGCTTACATGGCCAGCATGAGCCTTGAACTGTCCGCTGGCGCTTGGGCGTCATACTGTGTACGGTCGCAATGGGTCTAGAGTGAATAGTGTGGTACGGGATTTGAGACCGTTGAAGGAGGATAAATTGTCGGCGTTGGGTGATCGTCTCTGTGAGTGAAGTGGCACTTCTCTGCCGATTCCCCGAATTAAGAAGGTCACATGGTCTTTTGATAAAGTAGGACCTGAGCTGCAGAGCATCATAAAGGACTGATAAGCATTTCTAATGACGAGGACAAGTAAGTTTCTTGGCGCGGAATCAAAAGCGGGGGTTGGTGCGAGGCTCGGATCCTACAACTGATATGGGTATACCCGAGGCATCTGAGATAACAAAACTGCCGAACTTTTGGGATTTCAGGCCATTAGACTTTCCACCTTCGGTTAGCGGCTTGTCATGGCCAAAATACTTACCTTGAATGGTCTAGGCGTGAGATAAGTATCTGGGGTAGCGAACCTACCGATCTGATATGCAGCCTTCTGCATGACTCGGATCTATAAAACAGTTGCTTTCTCAGCCTGCTTTTCTAATACCACTCCCATTGCTATACATTCCATTTAATCGAAATACGGAACTCTTCGATATGATTTCACCGACAACCATATCATTACCAGCCAGTCCATTTCCACTTTTAGGAATACTCGCTTCCCTACTAGCCTGGCTTTTTGTCAAGACTTTCGCGGTGAAAACCTCCAAGATCGATCTACAACATCAGAAATTAGAAGAGAAGGAAGCATTTGTCACGCCACTTCCAACAGCAAATCTCGATGATCCAATTTCTACCTCGCCAAAGCTGTACAGGCCATTTCGACATGGCCCGAATTTCATCACGATGGGGATCAGGAAGTTGGGCTGGGATAACTGGATCGAAATGGACTCATACTTTCTTCGATATCACGATATGAAGGCCGCGGAGCTGAAGAAGGAGTTCAACGAACATGTCAAATACGTCGACAACGAGGCGACACGAGATGCTTGTTTTGAATTGAACGAAGAGTTGGTGCGGTATTTGACACATCGCTACCCAAAAGTGTATCGACTGGAGGGGGGAAAAGTGCACAATAGCCTGACTAGCGAGAGTTTTGCGTTTCCCGCGGGTATGATCGACATCTGTACCCCGTTCAATTGCACCCACTTATTTCTATTTAGCAACCCCCGATGAAGCTTTGGCCACCTCGGCTTTGCTTGTGCAAGATGACTTAGTGATCATGATGAAAAATGATGGTAAGGACCTACATCTCAAGTGCGGAATATAATGCTGACCTTTGATAGATGGACAGTATCACCTCGACGCTGCAGCAGTTTGCCTTCCTGGATTCTGGCGGTTGAAAGAAAAGTTCCGCATGTCGCTTGATACACTTCACTTTGAGGCCGGCGTCCCTCACTACGAAGCGAAATTGCAAAAGGCCATGAACAAATTTTTCCACAAGTTGACTCCAGACAAACCAGTGGAAAGAAATAATGTAATTAAATATATATCGCTGTTATATTATGGTTACGAACTCACTGACCTTTTCACTTAGTTTTTCATTCAGCTTGACGATGGATTGCATTGGTCTCATCGCATGGGAGACCAGCAGGGCACCAAAGTCGCTTGTTCGTTCTCCTCGATACATTCAAATGTCTCGGTCATCTCTAACAGATCTTCCAGCATGGGCTACAGCCAACAGCAGAGGGCTTGCCGTGGATGAAATCCACTTTCGCAGTGAGCGACAAACATTACGTCGGCTACCTCGTTCAAACGCCATTGTTTTTACGATTCGCACATATTTTGAGCCGGTGACTAAAATTGCCCAAGAACCACATGTCCCTGGCCGTTTGGCGGAGGCAATTCGAAGCTGGGACGACACTGTCTCCTTTTATAAGGGAAAATCACATTGGGACAAGATTTTACTGCCATATCTCGACGAACAAGACAACCTGCAGAAGGAACGGGGGAAAATCAAAAGCGTAGAGGCCAACTTTCCGTATTGATTTTATTTTTTAGAACTGATACTGTGGAATTGGATGTTATGTTTCCATCATCTGTTCTAATTCCGACTTCCAGGGCTGGCTTAGAGCCCTGGAGACATTTTCCATAGGATTAAAATTGAATTACCAGAGATCAAAGATCAACTAGCAAGACACGCGGAACATTGTGACCTTGTTTTCGGGCTTTTATTCTGGTGATGGCGCACCTGGGCAGTGTCCCGAAATTCGGGATTCCCGTCGGATGCGTCAAAGAGAGCTATGTTCCATTCTAAACTTGATTCTTCGGCGAATCATTCGTACAATTGCATCATTTTGTCTATAATTTCTAGCAAGCGTCGGACAAATACTCCCACAGACCGACCGACCTGCCCTCGGGCGGCCATTTATCGGATTTGCGTTACTCGGTCCGGGATCGGGCATGCCGATCATCTACATTTGCGCCCCCGGAATGTGCAGCTAAAACCCCGACAAACAACCCTCATTGGGCGCTGACACCCCAGCCAAAAGTTTAACGAATGTAACACTGCTTTGTTATGAAACACGTTCAAGCAACCAATAGCTTTCTCAAGATGATTCTTCCACGATCTCATCACATGTCTGCAATTTAAATCGGTATACGGTCGACGCCGGAGACCGTGTTGAACTCCTGCAAGATGTGATTTCATTTCCGACTGATCGACTCTGTGCCCTGACGATCTCAACTCGTTGATCCACTGGAAGCTGTGGTTTAAGACATCCTTCTTGGATAAAGTTTCCAGTCTCCATTCCCCGTGGGGCTGATGGAGACGGCGATGATGAAATGGTGTACTACAGGAGGATATAAACTGGGAGAATTTCTCGCGGTTGGGTTGAATAGGACAGAAAGAAAGCCTTCTCTCACTGTGACTCGAGACGATCCAAAATGGTCGGCGCCAATCTCCTGACTCTCGCCCTGCTGGTTCCCGCAGCAGTCTCGTCTGCTATTCATCCCGGGGCACATCGCCGTCAGTCAGGACTTGATGGATTTGTCAAATCCGAGTCTTCAATTTCACTTCAAGGCATTCTGAACAATATCGGTCCCAGTGGCTCTGCTGTTTCCGGGGCATCTGCTGGGGTTGTTGTCGCTTCACCCTCGAAAACCAACCCTAATTGTCAGTGATCTTGTATTTCCAAGGCCACGAAGGAGAAAAGACCCAGCTAACAGCTATTACAGACTTTTATACATGGAGTCGTGATGCCGCCTTGACACTCAAGGTATTGATTGACCAATTCATAGCAGGAGATAGTTCCCTCGAAACGGTCATCCAGCAGTACATTTCCGCCCAAGCCAAACTGCAAGCCGTTTCGAACCCATCGGGAGATCTGTCCAACGGAGCAGGCCTTGGAGAACCCAAGTTTGAGACCAATGTGACAGCCTTCACAGGAGACTGGGGCCGACCACAACGCGACGGACCAGCCCTCCGCGCAACAGCACTCATCGCATACGGAAACCACCTCCTCTCTTCCGGAAAACAATCAGTCGTCAAGTCGAACATCTGGCCCATCGTGCAAAACGACCTCAACTACGTGGCCCAATACTGGAATCAGACTGGATTCGATCTGTGGGAGGAAGTTCAGGGATCATCCTTCTTCACCATCGCCGCACAACACCGTGCTTTGGTTGAGGGAAGTGCATTCGCTAAATCTCTCGGAGAGTCTTGCGATGGTTGTGACTCTCAAGCCCCGCAGGTCCTTTTGCTTCCTCCAGGATTTCTGGAACGGAACGGCTGTTATCTCTAACCTCGCCAATAATGGTCGCTCCGGGTTGGATGTCAACTCCATCCTCAGCTCGATTCAGACCTTCGATCCCAGTGCTACTTGTGATGATAGTACTTTCCAGCCATGCTCTGCTCGGGCGCTCCTCGCTCACAAGGCGGTAGTCGATTCTTTCCGATCCATCTATAAGATCAACAGTGGTAAAGAGGCCGGCAAGGCCGTGGCTATTGGTCGCTATCCTGAAGATACTTACCAAGGAGGCAACCCCTGGTAAGCTTATTAATTCTCCGATTTGATCTACGCTTCTGCAGCTTGCTTACGAGTATATCAATTCTAGGTACCTTGCAACATTAGCCGCCGCCGAACAACTCTACGACGCTCTCTACCAGTGGAAGAAACAGGGATCGCTAGCCATCACACAGACCAGTCTGCCCTTCTTCCAGGATCTGGACTCCACTGCTCGCGTGGGCAACTACTCCAGCTCCTCGTCAACCTATTCCTCCCTCACCGGAGCCGTTCAGACATATGCGGATGGATTTTTCTCTGTTGTTCAGCAATATACTCCCAGCAATGGATCACTGGCAGAGCAATTCACCCGGGATGATGGCACTGCAATCTCTGCGCGCGATCTGACTTGGTCTTATGCGGCATTCTTGACAGCTTCTGACCGTCGTAGTGGAACTGTTCCTGCGAGTTGGGGGGGCATCTGGTGCCAATCAAGTGCCGACGCAGTGCCAGGGCAGCTCGGCCACTGGTTCTTATTCCACTCCAAGTGTGGGATCTTGGTAGTCAGTGCAGTATATGAAACCCTAGATAAACATTAAACTTGAATCAATATATTCCAAGTACTCCGTACTCCGTACACTTTACCCCTCCCTAGGCAGTACACCTCGACTAGGCAGAATGTCTCAGATTGGGGCGATACGAGGACTCCGACTAGGGTCCACTCGGTAGTTGCGAGCCTCATTCGACTGTCCGGAGTAATGACTAGACTGCTCTTAGACTGTTCGGCCCCAATCGCCCTTTTTATTCCAGTGGCGTGCAAAACTGAAACTGAATCGCCTTTTTCTTTTTCGTTTCTCCTTTCTTTTTCTCATCTCTCAATATATCTCAGTATACAAACACACTCTCTCATATTGAATTCCTTGATTGCCCTTGTTTGCCTGGTTAAGAATGGGCCGCTTTAACGACCGCCCCGATCTGCCCGCCTCATCTTCGCATTCTTTACACACTCTCGACCCTGACGAGATCAACGACATCAACGACGACGAGCAACCCCCTCCTTATACCGACGACCCCGATCTTGCCCCGTCACAGAGCACCTCCTTCCAAGCCCCATCCCAGAATGGCCGCTTCAGTCGTCCACTCGTCCTGGTCGACAGCGCCTATGTCCTCCCCGGCGCGACCGAGAGCAAAGCAGAAGACAAGCGCGCTGCAACCACCTCGGCAATCCTCTCGCAAGATGCCGGCGTCCTCTATCGTGCTATTCGACGCCAGATGAAACTGCCCCCGCGACCGATCCTCTCCATCACCGGCAGCCACACCGAGTCGAGCAAAGACAGCAATAACAAGAAGACCACCAACAGCGTGACGGACTTTGAATTTCAACTAGACTTGGCTGAGACAATGCTCACCGGATGGGAGGGAATTTCAGCAGATGGTTATGTAAATTGGTTCAGCGCCTACGTGAATAAGGACGACGACGACATCCTTGCCCATCGGGGTGGTAGACTTCGCTCGAAGGTCTACAAGGCTCCGCAGCCCAAGAAACATGGTGCAATTGCATTGGATGATGAAAGTGATGCTCGTCTTATTGGACCTGACGCCGAGACCGACACGATCGAGGAACTCGACCCCCGCGACCGAGATCATTATATTCTAAAACACATTGATAACGATTTGAAAATGTGGTGTGAACGATACTGTGCTGATCCAGCCCCGGTCAAATCGTACGTTGACAATCTTGCAATTACCGGATCCTTTGCTAATTCCTGTAAACGTATAGATTTTCCCTGCATCGCCATCTTCAAGCCTTCAGCACCAAAACCATCCGCAACGCCCTCGACACCCACATCCGAGACCTAAACTACCAAGGCTCAATCTCCTTCAAGCAACACTCAGCACACGGAACCGTAACAATCTACTCCCCACACTGGATCAACAGATTCCGCCTCAACCGCTACATCTGGTGGACAATCGTCATTCTCCAATTATGGATAATCACCTGGCCAATAATCTGGCTAATGGAAAAACGATACGAAGTCGCCCAAACTCACTGGAATGCCTCCCTGGAAGCAGACGCCACGACCGGCCTGGCAAAATGCTACGCCCAGGGCCGAGATGAGTCCCAGCTAGCGCAGTTCTGGGCCCCTGCTGTCAAACATGCAGCGTGGACTAGACGGAAGGGTGATAATGGTCTCCTTACGAGGATCGATGCGGAACGTTTGCAGGGTATGACTACCGATCAGCTTCTTGGCTTAAGAGATAGTCCTTCTGAGTCCGAGTGTGAGCGGCGGGCTCGTGTTGATCGTGGTGAGGGTGGGTTTGTTGATGGGATTATTGGTTTGGCTCGTGGTGTTTCGGAGATGTCTCAGGATTATCGTCTGCGGATGGGATGGGGTGGGAATCGTTAAGCTATAAATGCAAACTGCAAAACCCTTGGAACTAGGGGAAAATTCCCGCGGCTACACCAACTAGCGGAATTCTCTTGACTTTCTCAAACTGGCGAGCGGACGTCCCATCTCTTTTTGTTTTTGGCTATCTCCTTCTGCTTTCATGTTCATGCCACATTGCCAGCCACTCTTTATTCAATCAATACCCATTATCTTTCTCGCAAATTACTATCTTGAAAGTTCAAGGGCCGGATCCACTGGACTTCCATGCCAGGTGGTGCTCTGCCTCTATAAGACGATGTTGATTATCTATAACGTTGCCTGTGCTTTGTGTTGACTACATTTGCAACGAGAATCTACAATTTGGCATAATTACCGAGGCATACAATGAAATGAAGAGCATAAATCAATGTTCGTAATAGATTAGTATAATTCTAATTATCTGGAAATATCCAAGATGGACTCGTCCATCCATCATCAAGTCCAATTCAAGCCGCATCCGCACCCTCAGACTCATCCTTGCGATCCATCTCCTCCATCAAATCCATCCCCATAGGCAACTTCTTCGCCACCCTAACAGGATCAAAGATTGACTTCGACTGAATAAAAATCTGATCGATCTCCTCAAGTGACCTACCCCGAGTCTCAGGGTAAAACAGGAAAATAACAACAACGCCCACGGCACTAGTAACCGCATAAACAATATTATACTTCCACTTAATACTCGAAAAAGCAATCGGGCTAACCTCCGCAACCATAAAATTGAACAGCCAAGAAGACATCGCTCCCATCGCGGTAACCTGGTGACGAATATCCAGCGGCGCAATCTCAGCACCATACATGAATGGGATAATAAACATGCCAATCGTAAGCGTATAGTCTGCCATGAAATAGAAGAAAACCGCCGCACGACTGGCAGCTGTATTGCCGAGATTGGACGTGAGACCCGCGACGGCGGCTTGTTCAATGACCATCGCGCCTAGGGGAAAACATCATCAGCGGACGACGGCCGAATCGATCGACCACGAAAACGGCAGTCAGACCGCCCAAAGCTAGAGCCATTTGAAGACATGCGGCGAGGATTCTCGCGTCGGTTCCCGAGTAGCCGAGGGTTTCTTCGAAGATGGAGGTCGAGTAGAATGTGATTGCGTTGATACCGCTCAACTGGGTGAACATGGTAACGCTCATGGCGATAAGCAATCTGTGAAGATGGCGATTCTTATTCATGGAGAAAATACTGCCTGACTTTTTGGCGCCGTTGCTGGTACTTCTTTGGATCGCGGCGTGGATGATGGTTACTTCTCTGATGACTTCGGGATCATCTGCGGGGGCTGCGAGAAGTCGAGACATGATATGGGTTGCTTCGTCTAGCTTATCTTGCTTGACCAGCCAGCGTGGAGATTCGGGCAGAAATGGGGTCAGAGATAGAAGGATGATGATGAAGAGTAGTGGTAGAGCAATGGTAAATCTCCAGCTCACTGATCCGGTTGTATGGTACATGCCGAAATTGACCCATGATGCGATGAAAAATCCACTCAAAGCGAAGACGCCTTCGATCAGGACTAGACGACCGCGCTTCTCGGCGCTGGCTGTCTCACTCACGTACATGGGAACAGTGCCGGTGTACATACCAATTCCAACACCTAGGCGCAATTAGATCGAGTATATACAAGAGAAGTTTGAAAAAGCCCCATACTCACCGGTTACCGTTCGTCCGACCAAAATCTGAGCAAGCGAGTATGTAGTCGCTTGAATAATGATCCCGGCAGTAGCAATAGTGCCAGCCAGAATCATTGTCTTACGTCGACCAAGCTTGTCACCAATAAACAGACATGAAAGAGCACCGGCCGCAGATCCAATCTCGAAAATAGCAATCACAAGGCCTGGGAATAAGTCAGTCGATCAATTTCAACGCTTGGATCGCAACCAGTCACTAGTTAGACCAACCTTGAATGGTAGAGTTATGTGACTTCTGTGAGCCCGTGGTATGGGTAGTATCAACTTCAGGAACCGTTTCCAAGAAGCTTGGCAAGGTCATGAAGCCGTTCATCATAGCTTGGTTATAACCTTGAACAAGGAAAGCCACCGCTCCCAAAACGGCAATCATGCGTTGAAGGCTTTCGCCTTGTGCATTGCGAAGGCCCATGACTGAGTCCCTATGCCCCGTGGGGAGATTTAAGCAACAATTATAATTGACTCGTGGCCGAAGTATGCATCAACGTGCCCAACCACGATCCAACAGAGTATAAATCCGGGGATGGTTGATCTGGGGTAGAATGCAGGGTTTTGTCAGTGTGAAAAATTAAAAATCAACAAAAAGTGATACGTGCTAGGTTCACAGATCCGTTCCTGACTCACTGACCTCACTGAGCTTGTTTTTCTGGGGCGTACCCACTTTCGGAGTCAGGGGCGATTCTCCGAGATCTCTTAATTTTTCAGCTTGGTGAACCCGACATCGGAGATCTTCACCTTCTTTGATTGAATTATTGGAGCTAGTGACTGATGATCGGCTGATTGTTAATAATTATGTATCGCGGTTTCTCCTTTGCTTCGGCATGTCTTCATTGTCCAATCAATTAATCCTATTTGTCTGGTTGCCGATCGACCGGGCAAGGGATTATCCCTAGATGCTTGGTTCGTGTTTATCATATTCGGCGTTAAGTTCGATTCATGTAAAGAACGCCCCTGAGACACAAATAATCAATATTATATGTATGCCCAGGTAGATCTAGCTCCTTAGGTTCTCTACTCATAATACTCGGTAGATTATAACCTAAATCTCCTTATGAAAATGAAACTCAGAACAAGCAGAGTCTCGGTCTGACGCTTAACTTGTGATGCGCGGCGAAGAAGTCAAACTTTTAAACAAGCATTACGAATACCCAATTCTCCGGCAATAAATCGAGGCCACAGCATATGCTCTGGGCGAGCCTAAAATAAATTTCTCCAAGACTTTTCGCAATTTGTGACCCCGCAAATCCACTTGCCAACCAGGCGACCCACTTAAGCAAAGGGAGAATTGTACAATGTACATGGCTATCGGGAAATATGTGTATATATTCGTATAGGGACGAACTCTGGCGCCAGGCGTGCCAATTAAAGCAATCTAAGTTGATAGTTATTGGTAATTTATAATCACATGGTGATGACAAGAGGTTGCCCGATCGGTAAAGGTTCCGGGCCGCACTATGGTTACGGACCGCCCCATCTCTCCAAGTCAGATCAACACAAACATTTGAACCTTGCTTCCTACTCTATCCTCCTCACGAGCCACTTCTCAAGCTACCATTTCAATCATGTCAAGCCTCAATGCGCTCCTCAACCGACAGAGACCTGGGCCATGGCAAAAGTTCTGGGCACAGCCTTGCGTCTTCCTGGCCCATAAGCTTTACCGTTGACGGGAGTCTATCTCGGCTATACCCACGAACCCAATTACAATTGTCTGTATCTCCGACACCCATAACGCCCAGATTATCGATCCAGACGGTGATATTTTAATACATGCTGGTGACTTGACACAATCTGGACCGCTTAAGGAGCTTTAAGAAGCACTTCACTGGATCCATACCCTACCTCATCCGACCAGAATTGTTATCGCTGGTAATCATGAGTTATTACTCGATGCTAAGTTGAGTAACCAATCTACCCAAACATCATTAGATCGATTGAATCTAGATTGGGGTAATATAATCTACCTGGAAAATAATGAAGTTATAATCCGCTGCCCAAATGGTCAACAACTCAGGGTTTACGAAAGCCCTTATACTCCATGTCATGAAAATTGGGCCTTTCAATACCCCCAGAGTCAAGATATATGGGCAAACTTAGTCCCAGAAGGAACTGATATTCTAATTACCCACGGACCACCTCTTGCTCATCTTGACCTACAAAAATTAGGATGTCCCCATCTATTCCAAACACTATGGAGGGTTAAGCCAAGGCCACATGTATTTGGACATATACATGAGGGCGCAGGACTTGAGTGGATTTCTTTCAGTCGCCTACAAGCTGCCTATGAGCGTACAATTATCTCTGGAGGGGGCTGGAAAAATCTTCTATACACAGTATGGGAGTTTTTTAAAGGATATCTAGGTTTTCAAGGTGCTGTTGAAGCAAAATGTTTGCTGGTGAATCCATTGATTGTTGGAGGATTATGGGATAATGAGCGGAGAGGGCCCGTTAAAGTTCTTGTCTAATTTTCTAGTGGTGTTCATAGCTTTAATGAGTCGATTATTTTTTGATGCTTGAGGACAAGTATGCTTTACGTACCTTACTAGCATCTGGCTATCGGCAAATACAATATGTGACCTTTATTCACCAATGGGAAACTAGTAGCTACCTAAGATGGAATAGACTGGCCTATCATCTTGGGGTCCTAGGTAGCTACTAGTCTGCAGTTAGTAGGCGAGGACGAGAACAGTAAACAAGGGATTTCAGACTTTTGCAGCGCCACTGTATAGAGACGAATACTATCTTGGTATTGGAGGAGATCCATCATGTTAGCCCCCGTTCGGAAGATCAACCTAGATAAGCCTATCAGGAATGAGAGCTGTAATGCTGTCACCCCCCCGTGGGCTGCATATCTTGAGGCGCTAATGAGACTTGGTCTTGGTGCTACCAAGGTATGTGCTATCTATAAATTCGATTAAATTTGATTGCCATGTACATATACTGCCGCAGAGTTACGAGTCATGCGCCCATCCGTGAGGACAAGTCAATCGAGAACCCATGGAAGAGACAACCGTGTATATCCACCACGAGCAAACGATTTAACCGAGTCTGTTGCGGTAGCACAACATAGCGGAATTATTACTTGCAGCCTGCATGCTACTAAGCCCCACTGTGAGACTCGCAGTTGAAAACAGAGCCTAGTACTACTCCGAACTTATCGAACAGCCAAGCCTCATCAGTGCAAGCCCCGCATACGACCACGTAAACGCTAGACTTACAATCAGGCCCCCAATCTGACTGTGCTACGCAGATTATCGCCGTTTTAGCTTCTTTTCCAGTAGAAAGAGGCTGGACGCCGAGGCCCGCGGTGCGGGGAAAGGTCAAGCAGTGGCAAAAGTAACAGCTCAGACAAAATGGAACTAACCTCACAGCAAGCTACTGCACGCCTTAGTTCCCTTCGGTATATTTCACCCGTTCTCAAATTTCATTCTAAGCCACAGCGGCTATAACGAAGGTAGAAAAAGAATGTGATTTCCCCCGCAGCGTCGCCGCTGCATACTGAGATTGTCTTCTCTCTTTTTCTTTCTCGCAACCACGCTCTACTACCCCGCATTGCTGGGATCTTGAACTTCATCATGGCTGACAATAGTGCGCCGACGACCTCTATTGAGGAATTTGTTCAGACGAAGTTCGACTATATTATCTGTGGTGGTGGAACTGCTGGTCTCGCTGTTGCGGCGCGACTAAGTGAGAATCCCGATGTCACAGTTGGCGTAATTGAGGCAGGAAAGTATCGCATCGGCGATCCCCTGGTTGATTGTCCGGCTGCTTTCCTTGGAATGTTTGAGGACCCAGAGTACGATTGGTGTTTGTACTCGGAGCCGCAGGTCAGTAGATTCGGATTCGCAAATCCTTTCCCGTTTGGTCAGCTTTCAACTCATCTCTCGAGAGCAGGAAGGTAACAAGGGTCGACGCCATCATATCCCACGAGGAAAGCTCCTTGGAGGCTCCTCCGGCATCAATTATATGATGTACGTACGTGGCTCGACACAAGATTACAATGACTGGGCTGAGCTCGCCGAAGATGAGGGCTGGTCGGCGGAGATCATGCAGAGATACATGCGCAAGCACCAGGTTTGTTTCTGATACTGAGCAACAATCCCCCAAGCATAAAGAAACTCGTCTAAACCCTATTTATAGACCCTTGAGCCCATTGACCCCTCAATCAAAGACACATCCACGATGCCTTTTGTCGGCGAATTCCACGGCACTAGCGGGCCCGTTCGAACAAGTTTCAACGACAGTCTCATCCCAGTGGAAACCGACATCATCAAAGCCTGCGACGAGGTAACCGGCTACAGCAAAAAGCCCCTCGACCCCTGGAGCGGCGATCACATCGGATTCTACAACACGCTCGGCTTGATTGCACGCACTGGCCCAAATAAGGGCAAACGCAGCTACGCAGCACGAGGATACTACGAAAACAACCGAGCCACCCGTCCCAACCTAAAAGTCCTCTGCTCAGCACTCGTAAACAAGGTCGTTCTCGAAGGCAACAAAGCAGTCGGTGTCAACTTCACCCACAACGACCAAGAACACACCATCACCACGAACCGCGAAATCATCGTCTCCGGTGGCACTCTCAAATCACCACAAATCCTCGAACTCTCAGGAATCGGCGATCCAGACGTCCTCAAAGCGGCAGGCGTCGAGTGCAAGGTCGCTAACCCGGCCATCGGAAATAACCTCCAAGACCACCCGATCACATTCGCGGGATACGAAACCCAGCCCGACATCATGACGCTGGACTCGCTGTACCAGAATCCCGAACTGATGGCCGCCGCGCAGAAGCAGTATGCGGAAACTCAGAGCGGAGTCCTCAGTTGTGCTTCGACTATGCAGGGCTTTTTCTCGGCGAAGAGTATCTTGTCCGAGGCTGAGCTTGAAGAAGTGGTGCAGAGTATTCGCGACGTGAAGCCTACCAGTGCGTTTCATCAGAAACAATTGGAGCAGGTCATCGCTCATCTCCAGAGTGATATTTCTGCGAATTTGCAAATGGTTCTCGTTCCTGTTACGGCGCAAATTGACGGAATCGAGCACCAACGTAACCTTTTCCCGCCTGCTAATCCGAATAGACCAGCTGGGGTGACTTTCGCGCTTTGTCTTCAATATCCCGTAGCGCGTGGCTATGTGCATATTGAAAGTGCCGGTATGTTCTTTTCTCTTGCTCTTTTTCTTGTTCCTTTTCTTGTTCTTTTGTTACTTGTTTTGTTTTGGATATTTCTTCTCTCACCTACGCATCCCAATCCAATCCCGCTAACTCACCCACCCCAGATCCAACCAAACCCCCCAAAATCAACCCCAACTACGGCGGCCACGAAGCCGACATCACCATCCTAGGCGCCGCCTTCCGCTGGGTCAACAAAGTCCGCCAATCATCGCACGTAGCAAACTCGCTCGCAGCACGTACATTCCCCGCACCGGATGTCGACCTGACCGATCTATCGCAGTGCAAGGAACAAGTACACGAAGCGGTCCTGGGCGAGTATCATGTCTGCGGTTCTGTTGCGCTGGGTGATGCGCTGGACTCGCGATTGCGGGTGAAGGGGGTGGAAGGGTTGAGGGTTGCGGATGCGTCGGTGTTTCCGAATAATGTTAGTGGAAATATTGTTAGTTCTGTTTATAGTATTGCGGAGAAGTGTGCGGATTTGATTAAGGAGGATTGGGACTTTGCGCCGTTGAAGTAGGCTGTGGCGTAATTGGGAGTGTAGTGCATGATTTGCGCGGGTGTATGTGGTTATGAGTGTTTCTTAGTATGAAATTGTATACTTGTGGATACAAGTTAGTTTATTCTATAGTTCAAGTTATTGGTTGATTGAATGCCCGGTATGCCCTATTCCTTTTTTATATAATAGTAAGACTATGGACTACTAATGATAATATCACATACCCCATCGCCCAAGGTCCTTAGGTGAGTTTCCCGCGGCAATTGAAAATACCAATCGCAAGTTTCACATGGTGGTGACCAGGTGGATTAGTGGGCTAGGATGATAAGTAGGTGGATTCCGGGGCTCTCCACAGCGGTTTGAGACTGACATCGGCAGTTGGGGGTTATCCCGGGTTATACTAGTATAGGGTTGGCTGAATATAAGAAAAGCATACTAATCGGTCACGGTGGTATAGGTAATCAACCCCAAGGCATTGGCAATCTACGGAATAAATTCCAACTTGTCTCAGAAATCCTTCGCTAGCAAGCTTATTCAGCCAAGTCAACTGCCTAACTTGAACACAAAGGAAATCCAGCCGAGCCCACATGGATGGGGCCGACTAATTTAATCGGGGCCCAGCGGGTCTACAGTTCGGGGGTGAGTCAGGTCGGTTCCGGTGAGGGTCTGGCCATTCTCCCCAGTTTGGCCCAGCTTGGCCCAGCATGGACAATAAGCAATGCCAAGTTAATGCAGGGAAGGAGGTCCAAGAGTAACTTTAAAAAAGTATGGCACGATGGTGATTCCAATGGTTACGAGGATTTAGGTCAATGGGGTTAGGATAGGGCCAGAATAGGGCTAGGAGATCGCATGCGAGAGCGAGTCGGGTGCATGGTTGAAACGAGGCTACTGGCTAGTGATCGTATCGAGGTACGACGTTTAACCGTGGTTTCTCCCATTGGCGAACTAGGGACGAGTCTAATTCTTAGTTGATCCATCCGTGGCGCAGCAGAGGCGATAAGAAGGTTTGTTCGAGGCACTTTTACAGCAATGGATAGACATAATGGGTGAGCCTGGTTGCGGTGGTAGAGGGGGTAGTCCTTGGCATTCATAGGAATATAGCAATACTGCTGGAATGACAATCAACGGTCAATTGAAACCTCGATGAGACAGAAGAAAAAGAGAAGCGACTAGGCGATACCCTGGGTACTAGGCACTCCGTAATAAACTCAGTCATGCTTGTCTAATCTCAACTAGGCTAAATTGAACAGACTGGCCCAAGCAAAGCCAATGGGCGACGCACGTGCGGCCGCTGAACGGCAGAGCTACACTGCACTAGTCCCATTCCGGCTAGCTTGGTATCTCTCGTCATCAGCGGGGATTGGCAGAGCTGCGTTGCATCGCTTCTCCTTCACTTCGGCTTCATCCTTTTTTTCCCTCTTCCCCTTCTTCTGTCTTCATTCTCAAGATCGCACATTCCACTCAATCGAGCCTCTTCCAATTCACCCCTTCTCCCACCCCTCCATCACCCCGCATCACCCCCCCCGTCTCGCCTCCGTCATGTCTAGCCAGCCTCTCCTCCAGACTGCCCCGGGTAAGTGACCCAATAGCGATCTCTCCAATACCACGGAAAATAGACCCTGCAAACAATTCCCTTACGCATCTATACGCACCCAACCCCCGACATAAACTAACAACAAACCCCCAGGCAAGCGTATCGCCCTCCCCACCCGCGTCGAGCCAAAGGTCTTCTTCGCCAACGAGCGCACCTTTCTCTCGTGGCTGAACTTCACCGTCATCCTCGGCGGTCTCGCCGTCGGCCTGCTGAACTTCGGCGACCGTATCGGTCGTATCTCCGCAGCTCTCTTCACCATCATCGCCATGGGCGCCATGATCTACGCAGTCGTCACATTCCACTGGCGAGCACAGAGTATCCGGCGCCGAGGACAGAGCGGCTTTGACGACCGCTTTGGTCCGACCATCCTCGCCATTGCGCTTCTCGCCGCCGTCGTCGTCAACTTTATTCTGCGAATTCGGGACTCCGAGCTGAATTGAGGGCAGCTAGTGCTTCTTTACTTGCTCGGTCGCCCGGTCGCCCGGTCGCTAAATCCTGTTCTGCTGTGCGGTGCAGGAACAAAAGTTTCCCAGCTTAGCTCGCTCGCTCGCTCGTTCGTTCACTCGCTGGCTCCGCCTCGCCTCGCCTCACCTCATTCACACCCACACCCACACCCACACCCACTCATCACGATCCATTCAATTTTCTCCATCAATCCGCACATTTGCACTGCACGCCAGTCTGTGCTCATCTGTCCAGCGTTTCGGATCATATATTTGGCTTTCGGTCTCTTGTCCATTTCATTACTTGTTTGGCGCTTTTGGTGCGGAGGGTCTCGTGTTACTTTATTCGATCACGTCACGTGTATATTATATGCAGCGGTTGGGATTAGATCCAGGGTATGGACCACCCCACGGTGGTTTCAGTTATGATCAAGTCGACTCGACTCCCTGCGACTCGAGTGAACTGATCTCTTATCATGATATGATTTCTTCGGGCGCCTTGGGTACCCTACCCTCTCTGTTCGACTGTGTCAACCCAGGTCTATATATCCACGCTCAAGCAATGCAATGCCATTTACGAGGGTTTTCATTTATTTCCTATCTCTTGCAAGCGGAGGAGAGCTATGTAGTTCACCAGCTCTCTGTACTAGTAGTAGTTTATCCTCAGACTCGGATCACGGACCCCTTCTATCTCCTACATGGGTACACTGGAGTTTTATCCAATCATCGAAAGGACATCCATCTTATCTACTTATCCTCCGGCCTATCAAACAGACAAATTTGGGTTAACTGGAGGTAGTCTAGTCTAGTCTAGTTAGTTCAATATGTACCTGTGTATTGCAGTTTCAAGTAACTTACACGAAGAGTTTCATATAAAATACAGCTTCTAATGGAATTAAGTTTGTGAAATTCACTGTACAAGGCTAGATAGTACGTGAAAATATAGAAACCGCAACACTAGTATGATCAAAGCGACGCTTATTAATACCAGGTGAAACCACAATACTATTATGATGAAAGTGACACATATTAATGGCGAAGCCAAGAACTCCCAAATCACATAAGTAATCTATATTATTGATTAGTATCAGTTATATACCTCGATTGAACTTTACTCACCAGGAAAAGATGCCCGAGAAGTTTCCATCCTCGAGATGGAACTCGATGCAGATTGTATCCAGATCTTTTGTTCAGAAGTAGCTGTACAATACCTAAATAGTGATGAAGAATTGCAAGGTGTAGAGGTTTAGCTCCAGCGCTATTTTCTTCATTGATAGAGGTAGTATCATACCGGAGTAGTTCACAGACCGCTGAAGTGTAACCTAAACTTACAGCTTCGTGCAGTGCAGTATCTTCATTATGATCCTTTACATTAATCAATATTCTGTCGTGTAATAGCAGCACCGATATAATTAGATGTTGGCCAAATCGAGCGGCAAGATGTAAAGGAGTTTCGCCTTTCTTATTCACACTATATAAATATAGCGTTGGCCTCTTAAGCAGCTCCCGAGTGACTAAAATACGTCCGTTTCGAGCAGCATAATGCAGTGGTGTATCCCCGAAATAGTCCTTAGAGTTTATGATATCAATACCGTATGATAGTAAAACTCTGAGGACTAGGTGGTGCCCAAATCGTGCTGCATAGTGTAAAGGGGTTCGCTCCTCTTGATCTTGGATACCGATATCTGGCCCGGATATGCAAAGAACCCCGACCTTGTTCGCAAAACCGAGGGCTGCTGCTAGGCTGATTAGGCTTATATCTGTCCTATCACGCCAATTGACATCCACTCTGTAATCCGTTAAAAGTGCGCGGAGAGATCGAATATGGCCATGTCTGATGGCATAGAATACCGGTGTTTGATTACTCTCATCAGGTAAGTTGACCTTCATCCGAGGATGCAGCAACGGTCGCTGGATGAGATTTGAAATGCTATGCTCGATGGCCCATAAAAGGGCTGAACTATGTTGAACATCCACGTTCAAGTTATCAAGCAAACGTAGATAAATTGGACAGAGCTGATGACTTATACATGCCACTGAAAGAATATCTTTTGAATCATTGATATTGGCCCCTACTAGATTATGTATTTCAACAGGTAATTTGTGGAACGCCATCCCTAATCTCATCTAGCGCCAATGTACCAAGTTTAATTGCGAAATACTCATGTATAGTAAGGCTCGGCCATGTGGAAAGAAAAGCCACGATAAATTGAGTAGGAATGAGGTCTCCTTAAATGAGGATAGAGATGCGCAGGATTTCCCCGGAAGAAACGATACATGAAAAATGTTCCCAGGAAGTATTAGAGCGGTGTGAGGGAGAAAAGCGCACAGAACAGGTTTAAATGGGAGAAATTTTCTACGGTCCCAGCGTGTAATACATGTTCTTCAGGGGCTCCTGGGAGCTTAGATTATGATCCTGTGTAAGAATCATTCCTCGCCCTCCTGGGAAGATATACATGAGGCATACACGCTAGGTGGAGGAACGGACCCACATGGTGCATCTGGGTTCCCCTGAACGCGAGGGAGCTATCTTTCTTTTGCTTCCTCGCACTACGTCTTGTGTCTAGAGTCGACTATAGCTTTCGTTGATATTGATTATTCATCGGAAAGACACGCTCCTCACCAACAGATACGTGATACATTGATCCTGGGAGATTGATCGTTCGTAATATAACAAGGGTTTTACACGAACTTTGAACGCACTAATGATCGGTAGCTGGCTGTTTTAAGAGAAGCCACTGAGCGAATATTGCCATCATCGTTGACTCGACTGTCTTCGGAAGCTTGAACAATTTAGTTTTCCTTGTTTCGCTGGAATTTGTTCTCATATTATACTACTGCATTTCAAGAGACCTCAGTTCAGGTGGAGCATCAATCCAACCTAATCCAGCCCCTTCCTTATGGCTCAGCGAGTCGTGTATCTTGAAGGGATAAACCCTGTAGCTTATAAGTTGCTTCTTTTATCTATTACTCTATTACTTCTATAGTAACTCTGATTTATACAGTTAACTTCAGGCATAAAGAACTCGTTATGTTCTTTTAGCTTATACACTAAGCCATGCTAATTAAGCTCTAAATTTAGCTCAACAAGGGCCATTGAAAAGTGTTTACTACAGTACCGCAATAATCATCCTAAACAGATACTTAATTCGTGAGAATTTCGTCAGAGCAAAACTCAAACTCCTATAGGCCTTTTCCCGCGTACTACTTGAACATTACTCTACTGTTGATTTACATAATCAAAAAAGGGACTTTTTCTTCTCAGGGATTCATTAGCATGTACTCTGCAATTTCTAATATTATATCCTGTCAAGCAAAACTTTTAATTACTGTATCTTACTTATCCTGTATTTAATATTATTACGGCAATTCTCGAAGGGTTGTGGCTGGTGGTAATTTATTGTGGCTAAAGTAAATTTGTCATCAAGCTGTAATTTACGTGACGTCTGGCAAGTAGTGTGCTTTTTCGATCGTCGACCTCGCTTCAGCCTGCCGCGTCATTTCCGCTCTCAACGACAAATTTTTGCTCGAGGAACTACTGTAGCAGTACATATCGCGAATTATTAGGGAGGGACTATTCAGGGTTCTCTTTTCTTACACGTATCCAGATTTTACCTGCCATTCTTCCACAGGTCTCTAAATGCACCACATCCATTCGGGAGCCTGCATGGGTTGCTGTAACTGGCATTGCAGGATTCGAGCCCCGCGAATTCAAAGATACAGAAAAGGAGGAATTTACCAGATACCCCGGCACATTGCTCAAGTTGCGTCGATGGATCGAGCAGAATATGAATAAAATATACCCGCTCTTCCTGGCCAACTCCACGACTCAGGAGCAGTCGCGTGAACACTTTGAAACTTCCATGCAGGGAATTTTGAAGGACCCTGTGCTTGAGGATAAACTTATTCCGAAGTGGGCTGTGGGGTGTCGACGGCTTACGCCTGGAGTGGGATATCTAGAATCTCTAAAGCATGAAAAAACCAAAGTTGTTCATGGTGAAATTTCAAAGGTCTCGCCCGATGGTTGTATCATGGAAAATGGGGAAGATTATTCAGTGGACATTCTAGTGTGCGCGGTAAGGCACCTATATCCTTGGAAAGTCAGACAGGCACATATTTCTAACCGATTACAGACTGGATTTGATACTACCTTCAAACCGCGATTCCCCTTGGTTGGTCCCCATGGCCGACAGCTTGCAGACGATTGGAAAGATGAGCCGCGTAGCTACCTAGGAGTCGCCGCTCCCGGTTATCCAAATTACTACATGTTCCTTGGACCAAATAGTCCTATTGGAAATGGGCCAGTTTTAATTGGAATTGAAGGTAAAGAAATGCTACAATTGACGAGATGATCAGACTAATATTAAACAATATGCAGCACAAGCCGACTACATCTGCAAACACATCACCAGAATTCAACAACAAGGCATCAAATCAATGGAAGTGACCGAAGAGGTAGTGGACGACTTTATCGATTTCAAAGACCAGTACATGAAACAAACAGTCTGGCAACAAGACTGGCGATCCTGGTATAAAGGTAATACAGCCGATGGTAAGATCGTGGCATTGTGGCCAGGTGGTACAATTCACTATGTCAAAGCCTTGGAGAATGTGCGATATGAGGATTTCAAAGTCCGGTATTTCGGCAATCGCTTTGATTATTTCGGGAATGGAATGACGAAGATTGAGATGACGCCTGATGCGGATTTGGCCCGGTATGTTCGAAATGAGGACAATGCTCCTATTATTGGGTCGAAATTCACTTATATTAAATCGTCGCCGGATCAGACTTCTATTGATGTGTTGTCTGCGGATGCCAATGCAAACTAAAGTGTGGAAATGATGAGTTGATGATTTTTCGATTCTAGCTATAGTTGGCACTTCACTGGCTAGAGATTGAAAGCATTCTACAGAGCCTATAAGCCAAACCTCATTCGTCGAGGATATTCACAAGATGTGTTAACCAAGATTCTAATTATATAGTGTGTAAACTCTAAATCTTTACTTTATATTATATATACTAATTTTACAGAGGATTGATCGTGGCTCGAGCAGAATCGCGTGGTGCTTAATAAGTTCAATGAGTTGATGTTATTCGTTTTGAAACGGAATCCACAAATCAGTCTTGTGGTCCCGACTTACTACGAGCTGCACAAATTGCTTGATGATATGAGTGAGGGCAATGGTGGCTTTGCGAAACTGGATCGAGATATTATAACTGCAGTGAAAGAAGGGATAAAGAAATATGAAAAGTACTATTACATTATCGACGACTACGACACCTACTACACTGCCCTCGTCTTGGATCCCAAAGTCAAAGGTAAACTGATCTTCCGGGAATTACAAGATGGCAATGCAGGCTCTATGGTTCTGGAAACTACCCGCATGAACCTCCATCAAATATATGCAATTAGCAATCTGGAACATTATGTCAGTGTATCACAACAGTCTTCCACGAAGCATGCTGATGGAATCTAAAATTCTGAACAAATTGCAGGTCCGAGATTCACCGGTCTCGGATATTGACAAGTACTTCGACACCCCTCCAGCCAGCCTTACAGATCCACTGGCGAAAATTGACTCTGGAATTGGTGGACGATGCACAAGGGTAAGTATCCGCAGATGGCAGCAGCAGGCAGAGGCTATCTAGCGATTCCTGCTTCTGAAGTTGCTGTTAAGAGAGTTTTAAGCACAGCGAGGGATGTCTTAGGCATAAGGAGATGTTCTTTGAAGGAGAATACCATAAGGATGCTGATTTGATTCGTGATGGGTTCAAGTGGTAGTGACAAAGGGCCGAGGTTGGCCTAAATACGTCTTCGTGATAGTCCGGTCTATGTATTGAATAACTGTCAGACAAAATTACTTTATAACCTGCTTGTTCTCTAGGAGATTTCTAAAGACAAGTTTGCCGATGTCGACGCCGTATAACGATACCGTTACTGACAATATCGTCAAATTTGAAGTTCGCCCATATCGTATCGGCAATATCGTCAACAGCCCTACCCAGCAGATTTGTTGGATAAATTGTACATCCTTCCCTAAAGGATGCAGCATCACCACCTAGGCTTCGAGAATTCACATGATTTATTTTATTTTATTTTATTTTTTATTTTTTATTTTTCAATTTTCAATTTTTTCAATTTTTGCGGAACATAGAACAACTAAAACCCTAAAACCCTAATTTCCGATTTGGCCTTTCGGGATTGGCGTTTTGTCTATTCCCAAATTTTTGCTCTCAGTAATTTAATTGAGAACATCATGTATTACCCCTGAAAAAAATCCTAAATCTAAAATTTTATTAAGGGAATAGGATCTCATGAATATTCTCAATTTCGATTCAACAATCGCACGGCACCCCATGCCCCAGGAATGAACATAACCCTCAGGTAGTCGAAACTTTTGTGATGTTGATTTAACTCTTTGACTGATACAAGCTTACTAGTGTCATTATAGATATACCGATGGCTGAATACAGTTATTCGGCAGGGACACCGAGAGTCATTCCGCCGTCAACCGCAAGAACCTGTCCTGTAATCCATTGTGACTCCGGCAGACAGAAAAACAGAATAGCTTGAGCAATGTCATCAGGAACCCCCAGTCTTGACCACGGCGTAGCACCTTTCATGGTCTGCAAAACATCCTTGTTTTCCAGGTTGACTCGCGCCATCCCAGTGGCAACGACACCGGGAGCAATGCAGTTGATGTTGATTGAATCCCTAGCATGATCAATTGCACCCGATCGTGTCATGTGGTTGATAGAGGCTTTTGTAGCGGAATAGGCCACTTCCCCTGCATATGCAATGTTCGCTGCACAAGAGGAAACATTTACAATTCGGCCACGGCTTCCCCAGGACTCGTCCACATCTTGCGTTAGAAACTGACGGATGGCAAGTCGTGACATTTTAGAGGTACCAGCTGTGTTAATCTGCAGCATCTTCGCCCAAAGATCATCGTCTTCGTCGGCGAACTTCCTGAACGGTGCCCAGAAGCCAGCGCAGTTCACAAGGATATCGAGGCGTCCAAACATCTGTCAAACATTTCAGGAGATTAGCTACAACTATATATGTCTCTGTCAATGACAAAAAAGGTTATAGAACATTGGGGCAAACATGAATCATTAGATAACAGGAAGCTGTACCTGTGCTGTTTTTTCAAATGCTGCTTCCACTTGTTCGAAATTGGAGATGTCAACCTTCTGAAATATCGCGTTGCCCCCATTCTTTGTGATTACATCCACGGTGGTCTCTGCAAGATCCTTTTCGTATCCATTGGGATTGGCTTCGGCTTTGAGATCACAGCAGACCAATATTGCCCCCTCTCTTGCCAGGGAGAGCGCTGTCGCTCGCCCCATGCCAGAGGAGGCACCGGTCACAAGTGCGACCTTTCCTTCAAGGCGATTCTGAGACATGGTAAAGTATTTCAGATGGCAGCAACGGGTGAGGTTGAAAAACAAAAGGGAGTAAATTTCACTTTTTGACTGCTGCCAAGCGCAAACCATATGACGATACATCCACATGAAGGTGGCAAACTTGTCCTTTCCTGCTTCGGGGGGGATTCGATAGATCTCTGGCAGGTTAGTCCGACCGGCGCCATTTTTCAGACCAGGCCCTGGCAGCGTTAATAGTCATTGGTGGGCTTTGTTTAACGAACTGGTGTGCCGAACTAACTACAGTCCCGGGCAGCTTACCCGTGCGGGGTACGAGGTAGAAGCGTGGAGATAGCCCGATGATAGTCCGTCCGGTATTCAAGTCAGTGTGGAACATTTCGCTATCGTAATGATCAATAATACCAAGACATATGAGTCCTCACTAAATTTCAAAGAAAAAACGTAGACTAGAGAAGTGAACGCTTGTCAGCACCGTTTGTCCTCAGACACTTTTGGCTCACATTATAGAATCAGGGAAATGAAAAGTCCCGACACCCTCTTGAAAATGGCAGGACAAACAACTCCTGCTTGGGGAGTAGTGGCACTTTTAATCGCCTTTGCCATTTACCGTCTTCTTCAAATTGGCCGACGTGATCCCCGTATGCCCAAGGGACCCCCGACAGTGCCTATCCTCGGGAACTTCCACCAGATTCCGTCAAGTGGCCTATATGCGAAGTGCGTGATGAGAACCAAAGATATCATCTTATATGACTAAACCATGTCTTCCCTTCAGATTCCGCGACTGGTCAAAGGAGTACGGCCCGGTGTTTTCGCTAAAATTCGGACCAACCAATATCATTGTCCTATGTGATCGAAAGGCCATCCATGCACTGCTGGATAAGAAAGGAGCTATTTACTCCGATCGTCCTCCTAGCTATGTAGGCCGTCTTTTGACGCAAGGCGACCACATTGCTTTGGAACAAATGGACCCGGTTTGGCGCGAGAAGCGGAAGGTCATTTCTCATAACTTCTCTCCAAAAAACTTGGACGAGAAACACTTTTTGGTTCAAGAAGCAGAGTATGTGTCATATAATACCGGTTGGATCTCCCTTGGATCACAAACATGTTCTAACTTGGAATCCAAACCCCGCGATAGAGCGACTGTTCTACTAAATGACCTGATGAATACTCCGGACGGCTTCTTCAATCATGTACGGAGATACACTGCTTCATCCGCTTCAGTGCTTGCTTTCGGTCACCGTGGTCCTACCTTTGATTCATTTTGGGGCCATGTATGTATTCTGTCATGTGAAGCGTAAATCGGAATACGTCGACTGTAGATGTTAACAAAGTCACAGGTCGTTTACGACGTCATGGACCGATGGACCGAAGTGATGGAAGCTGGCGCCAATCCACCCGTGGACGAATATCCCATACTCAAGCTTATTCCAAAGCGATTCGCCTATTGGAAACGACGCGCGATCGCGGCAGGTGAGGTGTTTGACTCAATGTGGGGGAAAGCGCGTGGCATTGTTGATGAGCGTCGAGCCAAGGGTATCAAACGGGAATGCATCATCGACAACTTGCTTGATGAGTATGATCAGAAAGGCTGGCCGATGTCCCAACATGCATTCAACAACTTGGTGGGTGAGGTCGTTGAAGGCGCAGCTGATACCACTGCTGCTCAGATTCTCACATTGATTCTGGCATTTGCCAAATATCCCCAGGTCCAGGAAAAAGCACGACACGAAATCGACAAAGTCTGCCCTGCTGATCGACCACCGACATTCAGTGACTTTAAGAGCATTACGTACATCAACCAAATTGTGAAAGAAGGGATGAGGTGGCGGCCAGTGTAAGTATCATGACATGATTCCCAAGGATGGCTATAATCTGACGTTCAATTCAGCGCCGTTACTGGATTGCCCCATCGTGTCCGCGAGGGTGAGATTGGCATTACGTTTTGCTTCTATTGTTGCTAATCACCATGTATAGACGACTGGTATGAAGGCATGTTGATTCCAAAAGACTCTACGCTTTTTGTAGCCACTTGGGCTATTCATCATACAGAAGAGCTGTTCCCTGACCACGACACGTTTGACCCCGAGCGTTACGCGAATCATCCAAAGCTTGCAAATGACTACGCTGGAAGCCCAGAATGGAGCAATCGAGATAGGTTCTGTCGCCCCCTTGTTTCTGGATCTGACTAATTAGGCTCTGATTATTTACATCATTATGGCTATGGTGCAGGCCGTCGTCTCTGCCCAGGGGTGCACTTTGCTGAGCGCAACATGTGGCGCATCGCAGCCAAGCTGCTATGGGCGTATGAATTCTCCGAACCCATTGACAGTGTTACCGGGAAGGCCATTCCCCTGGATGTGAATGCATACAATCCGGGGATTTTGCAGGCACCGCTGCAATTCAATGTTAGAATCAAGGTCCGAAGTGAGAATCATGCCGCGACGATAAAGAAAGAGTTGGTTGGGGCATTGGACTTCCTGAAGAAATGGGAATAAATGATATGGTCTTGCCTGTTTTGACTAGAAGCCTCGGAGATATGCGCTCTGGGCCTCGTTGCTCAAAAGATATACATCGTTGGGGAAGTCTCGCCGAAGGTAGTTTTACCACGGACATGCTCATTTATCTTCCTGTCTATTCAAGTTTACTTGTACTACCAGAGCTTCAATTTACAATTCAAGTGTGGCACCATTAAAAATTTTCCAACAGGGAAAGAAGATATTTGTGCTCTTCCTCGGTTATGATAACCGTTGGCACAGTAGAACTGAATAGAAGTTTGGAAATTCTGGCTACTATTCTGTTCTAATTTGGCTTTGGCAAACAAGGCTCGCTGTACGGATTACTGCGGCTACAGTAATACTACAACACTACAATATTGGAACAGCCGGACCAATTTGGAAGCAATTCTAAACTTTCACTGCTCATACATATCACCAGGGTCCCGCAAGCGGGGTTGTCAGTCGGGGAGGGGGAAGCGAATTACGAGGAAAGAGTGTCCCTTGGTGGGATTGGTTGCTGTGTATTATTAAATTCAAACAGCTCCCAGTAACACTAAGTCATATTCGCGAAGTTATTTGCAAGTTTAGCCGGTAATCGCTTTTACAGAATCAAATTTACTGCCTCGAGTATGTGGTCCAACGAGAATACCGACAGAGATAACTGGTGAAAATCAGATATTGCTTGAAGTGTGCCGCCGGTACGTTGAAAGCTCACATATCTAAAAACTGTATGATGTTGAAGGCGATGTGGAATTGACATGTGGTGAGAAGTAGATGCAAAGTGAAATGGTAAGGGTTTCTTTTGGTTGATGAATATGCCCGCAGTCTGATTCAATATTCCAGCGATCGTCAATGGCCCCAATGTTTAGTCTGTATGGATACATCCCAGGATTGCAGTTACCCTGAAGGGCCATTGAGGCCAGGGCCAAAGCTCAGTAAGCGAAGAAATTGTGGCTCCGTTTCTTCTTATCTTTGTTTAACCATCTTAATCATAATCAACTTAGCCCCTTCAATTTGTAATGAAGCAAGACGTCGGCCCACAAGAGCATTTCCATTTGCAATAGCCGTTCATTTCCCCCATATTTTAAGAAAAAGTATATATCTTGACATGACTCGTACAGCATACGTAAGATGTTTCTGGCTGCCAAAGGGATTGGTGGGCGGCGATCGGGTTGCAGGGTCGACTTGAATTGTCCCAAAGGCCGAGTATCCATGAATGGGATATGAAATATCTTTTATAAGATAACCAAGTTCGCGACCATTGAACTCCTTTGTGAGCAGTGTTGGTCTGATTGAAGCTCCAGAGACACCGGCTTGAAATGGACTTTGAGTTGGCTTATACCCATTCTACCATTTCGGGCCCCAATTTCAGGAAAACTGTAATCCTTTCTACTCATGGAGGGGACCTAGAACATTGTGAAGGTATTCATCGGCTTTAGCCATGTCGTCCTTGATTCCGATGGATGGTTGATGTTTGTTATGGGGAATCCAAGCTCCGCCTCCAGAGAAAGATATTGTGCCGCCAAAGTATCTCGTCTTTTCCAACACCACACCTCGAGTCTGGGGTTTGCCGCAACGAATACCGTGGTAAGGCTCGAGCAACCACAACGATCACATTGAATTGTTTTTCGTTGCTTTTGGTCTAGGGGGTCTGGTCAAGAAAAAGGAACGCCTGTTACCACCAGGGTCGTATCAAACATACAGGCACTGTTTTCGTGTGGTACCAGAATTGGCCAAGAGAGCGCGTGAAGGGTGTAATGCGCAGAGCACTTTCTTTGAGGACATGATTGTTGCAAAGAATTCTTGTGCACTCGGATCCAATTGTTTAATTAAAGTTCACCGAGACGGAAAGAGAGGCGAAGAGGGTTTGAAGTATGCTTTTGTGCGGGAGTATACGTGCGCACGATTTAGCACTTTGGGGCCGCTCTGCTTCCCTTTCAAAATGCCATCTCCTTGTATGGATAGTCCACTCGCATTGAACGGAGCTCTGCAGGGCCTAGACTGATCGGTCAGCTCGGATCATCTTCGGAGCGACTCTTGGGGCTCCTCTCACTACCCTCTCCCTCTCCGTTTAAAGCCCCATGCTGTCAGTTGCTTACGGAAGCTTTGGTTTCATGTCAGCTTGAAAATAATCTCAAAGAGTCAATCTGACACCAGAGGCTGCGAGTGACAAATCTTCTACTTAAGATACATTCGAGGCCCGGAGAATGCTTGAGATAGCTACATGGTACGTTATTCTGTTAGACCGTCTAGTTCAGAAACTATTGCGTCATTGAAATACGGAAATCTGACTGACAGGATCCGATTTCAAATATTAATTTTAAAAGGCGAATTGGTGGCTGCATTGGAAATACTGCACCAATCCGAGAGGCATTCATTCATAGAAGACTTCGTTGATCAAGGTTCCAATCTTCTCGACCCCAACTCGAATATCATCGCCATGGTTCAACACCACCTTGGGATTGCACATAGCCCCAATACCCGGCCCTGTGCCAGTCATCACGATGGTTCCCCGCTCAAGGGTGGTACCACGTGAGAGGAACGAGACGATCTGAGGGATAGTAAATATCATTTCTCTGATTGCAAATTTGCATATTAGCATGTTATTAGGACCTCAGGTGTTATGAAGCAGAAACGAACCTCGTATTCGAGTCTTGCACTGTTTTTCCGTTGTACATAGCCTTAATTCGGAGGATATGCGGGTCACTGATAGCTGCGGGGGAGACCAGGACCGGCCCTAGAGGACAAGATGCATCAAGACCTGCGAACAGGCTGTTAGAAGAACATAATGAAAAGGTACGAAAAATTGAGAAGGTAAACCTTTTGAAAAACACCACTGGCTGTTTTTGAATTGCTGTCCTCTAGCGCTCACATCATTGCTAGCGGTGTATCCCAAGACATAGTTCAAGGCCTCCTCCTCCGGAATGTCCCTCCCTGTCTTCGAGATGACGAACGAAAGCTCAGCCTCATAGTCACTGGTTCCATCTTGAGCAATAGCCGGGATGGGAATTTTGGCTGGGAAAGGTCCGTTCAGGGCTGTTCGAGGCTTTATAAAGAGAACTGGTACATCCGGAATGGGCATATTGGCCTCTCGTGCATGGTCGCGGTAGTTGAGTCCCATGCAGCGGATGATAGGAATTTCATCCATACTGAGCGGTGACAAGAGCTATTCAAATACCAATTACTTAGATTTCGATTAAATTTGCTGATCAAAAAATACCTTTGCAACATGGAAGGTTTTATCCGTGACAATACCATCAAAAATGGTTCCGTTGATAAGCTTGGCGGAGATTTTGTCGCCTCGAAATGTTGATAAGCCAACGTCGGGAAACTTTTCGGAATCGACTTGACCAATATGAATCAGGCCATCCTCTTCGGCAATGAAGCGGATCAGATGGGTCCAAGAGGATGACATCTTGCGGGTGTTGCAGTCTTGGTTAAACAACGGCTAGGCGCTGCAAGGAATTTAGAGCCAGGAAAGAAAGAGGCAGAAGTCATGTAATTGATATCGTTTACATGCTGGCTGTTATCCGACCGAGACATTAGACGAACGTTATTATAACGCACAGACAGAGGGATGTAGACGCGGAGCAATTTCGGTCAGTTTAATATCGGCCGAGTTGGTCCGGTATAGCCGGGCTGGGCTCTCTTGCATCACAGGGGGCTGGTAACTTAGATTTAGCCAGAATTATACAACCCAAGATATGGGGTATGATGCGTACGAATAGATTATCTGGCTTCCCCGAACCTTTGTATTTTGCAGCTACAATAGAGAATGGGACTCAGCGTTGAATGGCCTGAGATGCCGGATTTGTGGTTATTCAAAGCAGGAATCATCGCCTTTTGTTCTTTGCGACGCAGATTATTCTTTTCTGTCGGAAATTTTATCCATTCTTAATATTTAGCTACAGTACTACGATTAAACGACACTACCAGATACGCTATTAACAAGCACTGTAACCACCATCCACGACCCACTGTGCTACTCAGATTTAGTGATTGATTCGCAGTGTTTTTGGATAGATCAAAATATGATAGACAAGCATACCTCCTGTTACGTATGAAGCATCGTCACTCAGTAGAAAGCAAAGTACCTTTGCCACTTCATCTGCTTTCCCCATGCGCCCTAACAGCGTAGTAGCGCTGATAGCCCCGGAATCAAAGAGGCCTTTTTTCTCGCCGTCCCTGAAAATGGCAGTATCAATCGGCCCCCTATTTAGAGTTAGTTTCGTCAGAATGAAAATTAAACCTTGTTTTATGCCTAGCACAGGGAGTCTTACGGAAGAATAGCGTTTATTCGAATACCCTTGCTTCCAAACTCTCCAGCCGCCGATTCTGTCAATCCAATGACACCAAACTTGCTGGAGGAATATGCCGCGTTGTGAGGAAGACCTCGCAGTCCGGATGTACTGGAAACATTGACGATTGCACCGCCCGGGGTAGGCAGATGAGGTATTTGAGCCCGCATACAATGCATGACACCAGTTAGGTTGATGCTTATCATTGCGTCCCAGTCACTATCTTTCTGTATATTATTGTTAGCCGAGAAATTCGAATTGTTGGGAACTGAAGAGTTCGAGTACCATCGTTGCACAGGTCGTGTTGCCAGTGCCACCGGCAATACCGGCCACATTCGCTGCACCATCCAAGCGACCAAATTCATCAATTGTATACTGGATCCATTGTTGAACTTGGTCGTATTTGCTTACATCCACCTTCTGAGCGATGGTGCGGGTCTTGAAACCGGTACCTGTGGGCTGTTCAGTGTTTAAATTTCTTGGCTCTAGATTGAGACTCACATAGTGCCTTCGTAGCCTCTAGTCCCACAGTGTTGACATCGCTGATGGCAATTCCAGCTGCGCCGAGCTCCGCCAGCCGAACCACTACAGCCTGACCAATTCCGGAGGCCGCTCCGGTCACAGCATAGAACCGACCTTTCATGTTGGGTGTGATATCGCAACGGTAAATATTGCTAGTCTTCAGAAATGATTCTCTGTGAGTATGCGGTGTAATCCGATTTTTTATTCGGAGTAAAGTTACTCTTCTCGTGAGGTCAGCTTCTTCGATTCCCGTTTCCCCGCTCGAGCGGCAACGGAAAGCAATTACGGACGGATTGATTTCGGCGAAACTCGAATTTGCGAGACAAGGGAAGAATTCCAGGAGAAATTTGCACAGAATTTATGTTGCTGGACTTCGGATTCGGATTGTGATGTTATTGAAGCTATGTGGAGTGATACGAGCCTGGTGCGGATCGGGAAGGAAGCCGCAGCATCGAAAATACTCATCGAGGTGTTGATAGAAAGAACCAAGCCGATTTCAAGTTCTAATTAACTTGATCATGTCGTCGTACAGTTCTGGATCCTCACCTATACCCTAATTTGAAATATCAACAATCCCCTCATTTTCCTCTGGCCCATGATGAGAGCCTATACGGATGGCCGCTGAGGGAACGCTGGGCGGCTGGCCCATACCGACGAGCGGCCTACAACACTAGTCGTACGAATGTGCATGCCCTTCATTAGATCCACATGAAAACGATTTAATGTTTTCTTATCTAGACTAGCTACAAAAATATGAAATATCAGGCGAGCGAATAAATAATGAATATGCCATCAAAAAGTCGCAGGACTGACATCCGAATTTCGCCCAAGAATGGCACGCATTGCTTGCGACAATCTACTCTCGCAAGAGCTTTCTTTGGCTGTGAGAACTGCCTGTGCCCTCCAGCCAACTACTCGGTCGGGCCTGACAAGAATCGCGCCATCCTCATCTACACCCCTTAGTCTCTCCCAGTCAAAGTAGACGTCTTCCCAATCCTGTCGAAAGCCAATGGAATGCACATTGATGGGGACACCCAGCTCCTCGGAAACTTTGTCACCCGCGACCTTCCAAGCATCTCCTCCAATACCAGTGAAAAGTGTAAAGGCTCCATGTCCAGCGAGGTCGATTGTCGAGACGGGTTCTGTGGGAACCGCCTTATTGAGCCACACGTGGGGGAGACGACATCCGGGGTGCGTACTTGGCTCATAGTATAACACATCATCTTCTGCTGCAAGACCATGCCGTTCATATGGCAGGGGCTCGTCGGCATCGTAGATCCCCGGACCATGATATACTTGACCCATTTCAACACCAAGGCCATGAAATTCATGCGAGGTTTGCGTAATTGCTTTCTGCAACGCAAGGCGACGCTTGCGCCCTTCCGGGGTTGCCTCTTGTAGCTCTGACAGCGCCTTTCGACGAACTTCGACTTCCTTTGGCAGAGTTCCTAGCGCATCCCAAACCGTGGAATGATCGCGGAATGCTTGGTTGGCGCGGGTGATGATTGAACGCCCGACCGGCTGGCGCTCGATACTATATGTATCTAGAAGCGAGGGCGGAGCGTGGCCCTTGTGGACATATGCGACCTTCCAGGCCAGATTGAAAGCATCCTGGATACATGTGTTTGAGCCAAGGCCGTTCATGGGTGGATGTCTGTGAACGGCGTCTCCCATGCAAAAGCTGTTGGTGAAAAGGAAAAGTCAACACTGATTAGGCATTCAAGTGCGTCACGCATGAGGGAATGGTAGTGATTAAATCTCACATATTCCCCTTTGAGTATTTTTCTGCCACAGTTTCATTTATATACCACTTGGAGACATCAACAATCTCTGCAGGGGTATCATCGCCAATAAAATCCCTCACCCGCTGAAGATACGCCTCTTTCGAAGGTTCAGTACTGAGATCACAATCGCGGTTAGGGAACAAGATAAACATCCATTCGTTCCACGGTTTCACCATACGAACGATGCCCTGCCAGCCAAACTCAGGGTGCTCCTTATCAGGCTGCATGACCCAATGAAGATTTCCTTTCCGGTGGTCAACGAGATGAGAGAGATCGGTTTTAACAAGAACATTGATTGCGAGGCCTTGACCAGGTTTAATGGAGAGGGGGGGAGGTCCAACTGTTTGACTACTTGGCTGCGTGCACCATCAGCACCGAAAAGATACTTGGTACGTATCTTGTACTGGATATTCGAAACCTCATCGTGGACAGTGGCGGTTATCAGTCCATCCTTGTTGTCTTCAAATGATAATAATGCCGTGTTGAATCGCGTGTTAAATCCATTCTGTGCAGCGTATCGAACGAGAACTGGCTCCAAGAGAGTTTGAGGCAAATCAACCGGAGAACAGGGACTGGCCATTTCGTAATCACCCTGACACCAAGTCAACGGAAGTACTGTTTGCTTGCGGCATATTATCTTACCTTGCGCCGTGGCGCATGACCCCATGAGTGGATTCTAGCATATTCTTCACCAGCCATACTATGACACCATCTAGTATGGATCATACAGTGTCCTTTGGAGGACAGTTCACGAAGTTGTTCATCGAGGCCAATGTCACGAAGGCATTCTTTACTGGTATTAGCTACCATATTCTCGTACGGGGTGAGTATATCTAACCTAAGGCTGCCATGTTGGTGATATGCGCTCGCGGCGTATTTGCCGTTGCGGGTGCGGCACTGATCATGACACCCTCGAGACCTTCAACGAGTCAATATGCGAGAGAGCCTTGCTATGTCATGCTGCTCACCATAGCTCGTCAGGAAGCAAGCCAGAGAGGCTCCGGCGGGCCCAGCACCAACGATCAAAAACTCAGTCTCTACCTCGCCGTGTTTCTGTTGGGGTGAGTCCGAGCGGTGCACGTTCATAGCCCTCGCTTCACAAATCCCAGGAATTGGAATTTTGCTGTCGTTAGTCTCACTGGTGACGTTTGGAAGCATGCCAATATCAATTGAAGGAGACATGACAGACTTTTTGGCTGAAAGAACCGAGAAAGATTTAAACTGAGTGTGGTGAGGAGCGGAAGACAGGCAGGATGGAACATATACTTGTCTTTGCAGCCGAGGGTTCACTCTGCCACGTAAACCTAATGCCGAATTTTCGTTTTCCAAAATATTCAAAATTGAGTAGCAATAAAATGACGAAGTCATCATGTAAATTTTCGATGAGCTTGATCCCCTGGTGCTGTGAAAGCTCCAAAAGAGATCGTCCGAAGACAACCCGAGCATGCCAGCCCCAACTTGCTACCAGTTACACCGGACTTGCCGAGCTCTTGAACCGATTAATTAGGCCGTGCTTTGGAAAACAGTCCGATAAGTCAAGAAAATCATGGGTTTTCGGAAATATGGATTAAAAAACTATCCGTTAGACTCGTCGGCCTTTCGGCTGGATCCGTTATCTCAACAACCTTTAAGCTTAGACGCCCTCAGATCAAAGATTTTCAGACCGACCTTCACATTTGTAACGACCAGAATGTCTCGGAAAATTCAACTGGTGCGCATCGCACATGTCTTTTACACCCACAAAGACATCGATAAGGCGCGCATGTTTCTGGAGGATTTTGGAATGCACGAAACAAAGCGCGTGGGGGACGATTTCTATTATCGCGGCACCGGCTCTGAACCATTTGTTTACTGTGCGAGAAAGGGTCAAGAAGATGCTTTTGGCGGGGCCGCATTTGTTGTGGAATCTGAGACAGATCTTGAAACCGCTCAGGCTTTACCCGGTGCGACCAAGATATATGACTTAACTGATGCGCCGGGGGGAGGAAAATGCGTTACATTTTCCGACCCCGTCGATAAATTCCCCTTCCACCTTGTTCACGGTCAGACCACGCTGGCGGATGTGAAGACACTACCTCTGTTAGATTTCAATTTTGTGAGTTATACCAGCGTTTATTCAACAGCCGCGCTTTAACCATTCCATAGCCCGAGGTAAAGCATCGCCCGGGCAATAAGACCCAGCAATTTCAGAAAGGTCCGCAGAAATAATCTCCACGCAGGAAACCATTGTTTCTAATAATACCGCAGGTCCTGCACCAGTGCACAAGCTGGGGCATTTCGGGATGTGCGTTACCGATTTCACGAAAGCATACGACTTCTATACAGTACACTTCAATTTCAAGGCAAGCAATGTAAGTATAGGCTCATCGCTTTCAGTTTCGGAAATACGTGATTTGCTTTCCATTTACTGAACATTTGCTGATGCCTGATAGCTGGTTTACGACGATAGCGGAAGGGACATAACTACTTTTCTTCATCTGGACCGAGGATCTGAGTTCGTGGACCACCACTGTTTCTTCTTTTTTGAGGGGCCGAAGCCCCATGTACATCACTCGTCATTCGAGACCCATGACTTTGACACGCAGCTTTTGGGTCACGACTGGCTCCGCCACAAAGGGTATGAGAACTGCTGGGGGGTAGGAAGACACATTATGGGCAGTCAAATCTTTGATTATTGGTGTGTGACCATAATCCTCTCCTTGATAAGTACTAGACTGATCTCTTATCACAGGTTTGACACTTCTCGTTTCATTGTTGAACACTACGTCGACGGTGACCTGGTCAATGATACCAACCTTACGGGCCGAGAGCTTGCCTCACCTAGCAACTTGCATGTTTGGGGTAAGTGGTATTCTTGCTTGATAAACTAGGCTCGGGAAACTTATTTAAATTTAGGGCCTGACCTTCCTCCTACCTTCATGATGTAGATTATATGAATTAGTACATTTTCCCCATACGTCTATTTTGATTCTTTCTCATTTAATATATTTACATCTGCAAAAGCAACAGAGGGTTTCCGAATATTTCAACAATAAGTGAGACCAAATTTGAATAGATCACAATAGACAAGATTGACTGAGCTAGACCCTCTTCAGGGATAGGTGGGTCGGCGGGCCAAGACCTGAAAGAATCTCAAACAGAAGAGAGTGAGGGAGCTGATTTCGAGCGGCACTGTACATTTAGTGCGTCTGTACAGTGAACCGGTATATCAAACTCGAAAAGGAGCGGCCCTGTATCCAAAGCGGATCAAATGGTACTCTGAACAGGTAGGAGAAAACCGACTTCGAGCGAAAAGATCCGACCAGGAAGCTTATTGAACTATACGGAGGTTCTGTACACTGTGAGGTACAGTTTACGATCCTTGAGCGTGCCACGTGGCGACGGAATTGATTTTCAATAATGGCGGGACGGACCGCGATGCGGACCCCTGAACCGCCCGACCGCGAACACAAAGATTCACCGCCACGATTATCGAGACCGCGACGCACTACCAGACCACTAAATAGTTACGCTCGGGAGCAAGAGATCACTAATGTGCAGAGAAAGACACGCTCTCAACAGAGGAAGAAAACCCCGAACAGCAACTATCTAAATCAATAGATAAGTATCTGAGGCCTAAAGCCTTCCATAGACTAGTCTACCTTAGGGTTCTCTACTATCCCTTATCCTATTTCTCTTTTTTTAACGCAGACCTTATACAGTAACAGATCAACGGCTAGAGAGGTATAATTACTTTTATAGATAACTTTACAGTATAGGTAACCAGACCGACTGTACAAAGCAACCGATAAGGTATTAAAATAATCGTTAATAAAGTACTTAACTAGGAAAAAAAGAAGCAGAGCAACTTTTAAAGCAGAGAAAACTACTTTTATATACTTCGCCCCTAAGGTCAGTAAGTTAGACTTAGAGCTATTTACTATTAAGAAAGAGACCGTTGAATCTAAAGACTATATTAAGGTTCTTAGCGTTATTATAGATATAAGACTTAAATATAAGGAATATATCGTAAGGACAGCATCTAAGGGACTTAAGGCAGCGATAGAGCTTCAGCAGCTTTAGGGTCTATCCTAGCAACAGTACAGCAGTTATTTACATTGACTATAGCCCCGGTAGTAGACTATACCTCTAATATCTAGATATATATATTTAAGAATAAGAATATCGGGCTGATTAACTAAGTACAGAGAGTAGAAGTATAAGCGATTATCGGTGTGAGGATGCTCAGATGCTCACAGAGATCAACGTACGGCGTAGCATACGAAGCAAAGGAAACAGTAGCTGTTCGACGAAAGTAATAGCTTGAGGAGAAGAAGGAGGAAGCTGAGATAGAACTAAGTACATGTAGGCGTGGATGCCTAAGTGGATGCCATCTACGTCAGGCATCCGCGAATGGTAACAACCCCAGTTCGTTACAATCGGGATATTCCTTACAGTTACAACCAGTATAGCAGAAGCAGAGGCTTATATCTCTACAGTACAATACCAGCTCTAGAGATAAGCTATAAAGATATAGACAGATATCTATACCCTACCAGCAACTAATTCCCTCTGTAGGAGTACTACTCAGATTAAGAAATTCAGAAGATACTATCGCTTACCATTATATCAGATTATAGACGTACTGAAGAGTATTAATATAGAAATACTTGAAACTATTAATCTATTTATATTAGTACTATAGGAGAAATATATACAGGATAATAGTCAGAATATACTAGAGATACAGACCGAAACAGACAGAATAATATGAATTACGGTTAGCAGTTCGGTACAGAATAAGATAGTAGGATTTAGCGTAGTAATTAAGAAACAACTACCTCAATATCGAAAACTAAGGCTGAAAACCTTCTCCGTTACGCTAGGTATAAGAACCAAGCAGAACCTATACTCTAGTAAATTAGCAGCAATAGTATATACACTAGGTATGCTATAGGGACTAAAACAGTACAGGGTTATACTGCTTACAAGTAATAAAGTAGCGGCTCTTACGCTAAAGAACCCTCAACAGTATTTAGGACAGAAATACATCTACTAAGTATATAAGCTAATTAAGAGACTACAGAAGTATAAGAACTATATTAACAACTATTAGGTCCCGACTAGCAAAGATAATCAACTACTAGGCCTAGCAAAAGAGCAGACTCAGACTACAACCTAAGAGAATTCTACCCTATAAGTATAGGTCCCCCGGGTAAAGTTAACTATACTAAATATCTTAAGATCCTAAACAGTCCCTAAAGATTACCTACCAGAGAATATAGGGAAATATTCTAAATAAGTAGATATAGCACTCCTAGGAAAATATACCCGGTAATATATAATTAATTATCGTAGAAATAAGTAAGTATACTAGCCTAGCTCCGGACTAGTATAGCAAGACTTAATAGATACCTCTATCGAATCAACGTTACAGAGTTAGATTAGTATATATATAGGTAATCAAGAGAGACCGTAAAGTACTTTCTCTTTCAATGTCAGAGGTAGACTATACACCGGACAGAAATACTACAATATACTTATACTTACCGAGGCAATATATTATTTTTCCTAGGCGGGAAATCGCCTTTAGATAACCAGAACTAGAAGCCGAATTTAGAAGCAGTATAAACCACAATACAGTTTGCAATCACTATAGGCCGACTCGACGCTGCTTAGCCGTATCGACTAACACAGATTAACCCTACCCCAACCCAACCCCTACTAACTACCTTATACCAGAGACGGTAGACGCACTTTAATTGCCAAGGATAGGATGTTAAACACTTAGAGAATCGCCTTCAAGCAAGTCTACTTACTAAACACTAACCCACAAGGACCCGCTAAGATATTGACATCTGAGATAACATACACTGAAAGGAATCTTGTATAGGCTGCAAGGAAACATAGCATTAGCAAAGACGTGTATATTTAGATCTGTGATAGTTGCCCTTTAGGTTCAGCCGCCGGGCGTTAATAAATTGTGTGTGTGTGTGTGTGTGTGTGTGTGTACATTTAGTTATAGATGTATTAGAATGGTACTTTAGATTTGCAAAGTTCCATATTTGCTTGAGATTCGCGGAGGAAAGTAAGTGTGGACAGACTCTTAGGGAAGTTTTGTTGTCTTTGTACGTAATTGACTATTATTTATGAAGAAGACTTTCTTACAAGCCAACTAGTTGCAATAACTAATTGTGGTAGATTCCACTATATCATTATCTGATCGTACTCGACTTCAAGTCGAGGTGACCATTAAATGCTCTAGACAGGTGAATCTCGGTCTTCTCCGACCTTGCTTTAGCATCACACAGTAAATCTTGAAATTTCCGAGACGACTTCAAGCTGTCAAACTCTTCCGGGGTTCTGCAGCTGCAGGTCCTAATCTTCAGCATGCGTGTTGTGAGCGAAAAAAATTATTATGGTTCACTTACCGCACCCACAGGGTGAGCATTTTCTCATCTCTTACTTCTTTGAGTATCCCAAAGCTCTGCAATGCTCCATCAAGGTTCTTGGAAGCATCCAAAAATGTCATTATAAGGTCTGCTCGACGAGTCTTATCCGTGGCCCAAAAATGATATATCGCAATGTGGCTTGTTTTTCCATCACGTTCGGGGTCGTCCGTTCGCTTCAACCAACCACCTGCCCAATCGTAGTGGTGTAGATCGTAGTCTCGACTGGCCAAGCCCTGCTCATTTCGTAGCAGCTTATCGGAATCTACCAGAGCCATTTCCCGCTTGAAAATACCTGTTGAGACATGTCCAAGGAAAAAGCCGACTGGGTGAGTGTACCCTTCTAGGCCCCACAGGGTGTCGGGCTCGCCATCAAGATCTTGTCCCCAATAGTAGGAATCGCCCAAAGTTTCAGTGGCAGAGACGTTGCACAGATGAACAAGGCGCTCTTTCCACTAATATCCATGCAATTGTTCCTTTAGCTTACGCGCAGTGGATGGCATGACTTTGGGTGGAATCCAAGTTCGCACATACCAGTGGGAGCGCTCCGTCTCGTCCAACAACGCGCGCCACGACAAAGAATTTAGGTGCTACCATATTCGAATTCTTGCTCTTTGGCGGGGGAAGCCATACTGCATGAGAGAAGAAGACGCCGCACTTTAAACCTGCCTTTGCCAAGAAACGGAACGATTTCGGCCTAACTAGCAAGTGCACGGACAGACCAAGACGGGGCAATTAGCAATTACAGCGTGGACAGTGAGATCGGCTTGTACGGGGAGCTGCCGGCGCCCATCAGTGGCATTCCTAGGGTGGGGATGAAAGAGGGATAGCTTAAAATCGGGATAACTTCGCGCCTCTCAGCAACCGGATGTACGGCGCTCCAAACGGCAACCGCCCTAGCAGCCACTCGTATCACCAGTGTCCAAATTTAACAGCGTTCCCCATACAAATCTGGATGGCGGTTACACTGCCCTTGTTAAAACTATTTTGCCCATATAAATTGCTCAATCTCAACAATTCAGTATGTCGAGCTCGTAGCTACTAGTATTTGTGAATCCTACACTGCCATCTACTCCTACCATTATTGGCCATCTACACCGACACATGGGTCCTGATTAAGTATTCATTCCCCAGTCCTGGCTGAACTTGCTTAGTATAGGATCCAAAGAAAAAGGGGGGCAATGGTAAATAGTAGCTAAGCAACAGTATATTTAAAGAGGGTAATCAGAGAGAGCAAACATTGAGAACAAAGGTGAGCAGAGAGGAGGCGGCGGCGGCGTAGGCAGTGTATAGAATACAGCAGGGGAGACTTAGGGTGTGGGGAATCCTAGTAATTTTGGGACACTCGTGATATAGGCGGCCCCCTTTTCGGCCGAAATTACCTTGGCAGGCCTACTGGAGCCGGTTTGAAGGTTGCCACTATGGAGCCCTGTAGCGCCGTAGTTGTCCCGCTTTTCTACCTGGACCGAAGGCCCCGTACGATTGACATCACCCTCCATCGTGGCCAACACATGCTACCAGTAACAGGCTTTCTGTCACCACTTAATCTCAACCCAATATGCAACCGAAGATATATTATTACCATTATTATGATTATTATTCGTCGCATATTATCTTTGACTAGTAATCAGCAGGCAGATTTGGGAAGTAGAAATGCGATTGGTAACTAGTTGGCATCAAAACCCGGGGGGTCGGAAGGCGGTAGGGCTCCGAAAGGAATAAAGGAATGCGAATAAACGACATATTCATATTCGCATTCCGCGAATATGAATATATGAATTTTTTATTCGCGCGAATTGTTGAGTATCACGGTGGTCAAAGCATGTAGTGGGGATCATCAAGAGACAGATAAATAGATGAGGAGCCCCACTTCCAACAAGATAGACAACTTAACCAATACAACATACCTATCTCAACAGGTTATGAGCCCGGGTGGCCTAACCTTAGGCTTGCAGAAATTTAAACAGACAATTTATTACCTGCCATTTACAGCTAAGCCTCCCTATCAAGTGATAACTTTATCAATCCAAGGATCTGACCACATTGCATCAGTAACTTGGTGAAAATATCGAGCTCCAGTGTACAAACCATCTGGATGGAATGAAGCGGATGGACTTTATCACCGCGACTTTCACTGTCACACTATCACACTATCACTGTCACACTGTCACTGTCCCACTATCACTATCACACTGTCACACTGTCACACTACCACCTTGTCGCCATTGCAGATATCACATTGGCACAGGATAACACAAAATTGAATCCATAGCTGAGAGATGTCCCCTTCGACAGCGAACTCAGAAATTACCTTCTCAGGGCCACCATCTCGATCTCAGAGAAGGCCAGCTCAACTTCCGAAGAAGAATGCAAAACAGCAAAATAGACACTCTTGGACAGATGAAGAGCTAAATCTTCTTTCGCATTTTCGATGCATTCATCGCTGGCCCTTCAAACAAATCCAGAAGTCATATTTTCCAACACTTTCACCGAATGCACTCTTGGGAGCCTACTGGCGCTTATCCACTGAAGACCGCATACGCCGAGCATCAAGGGTCACTGTCCCAATTACGACCCCTCACAGCACTATACAAGACTCTCGAAGCACCCCCAAAGCTCAATCCACACGTCCCGGCCTTGAGAAAGGACCAAGTCACTATAATACTCCTACTCCTGGCACTTTCTCCCAGACAAGAAACGGCGTTGGGGCCTCGATTTTGACCTCGCCAAATCCTGCGGCTGGAGACGAATCATTAATATCCAGTAACAATAATACGAATCGCTACACGCTTCGGCCTAACAGACCATCAACTTTCTCGCAAAAGGAGCCGCGATATCTAGTTGACTGGCGTCGTTTCCCTCACTTCTCCAAATCGTATAGACGATCCCTGAACCTGCGCCGGTTTCCAGACAGAGACTATACTCCACCGTCTCGAACACCTACGCCAAACTCATCAGACCGTAGCCTTTCCATCGTCTCGAGCCTTCCCAGTGTCGCATCAAGCCTTGAACTCTTTGGCTTAGAGGCGCGTTCTCTCCACTCATCAGATCGTGACTCGGTTGCTTCCACTCTACAGGACGACATATCCAGCCCAGAATTCTTCAGCTCGGAGGAGCATCCGTCTACAACATGACTGACATCGCGAAGTTTGAGCAGTTTGGATTGAATACATTCTACAATGGCATCCCGACACTGGATAATGCCAGCGACTGGTTTAAGTGGAACCAGAAGGTTAATGAGTTCATTCGGATATCTGCCGTTGCCGACGATGGAGCAACGCCACCGATAGAAGAAGAAGACGCACGGCAGTGGACTCGTCGCCAAAAATTCTACTCTGCGATGATCACAGCGAAGCTGACGCACAATGCGGCACAGAGAATCAACGCTTTTGAGATCTCCCAAGTTCAGCCACTCCTCAAAGCAGTAAAGGACAACTTCAAACCAGAAGGCACTGGGACATACGTGAATCTCCAGAGACGGTATATTTCACTTACAAGAGAAAATGTGGAAGTGCCCAGGCCCTCGGAGCCGAGATAAGGAAGATTCACGCTGAGAAACTCCTGCTTGACCCTGACTGCGTGACTTCCGAGATTGAGCGAACTTTCTTTTTCGTGCATGCATTAGGTCCTGAATATGAGAGCTTTCGTGATCATATTTTTCGGCAAATGGATCTTGTGAATGAAAGGGATCCAGACGGAAACATCACGAAAGCGGCACCCACGTTCGACTATATCGAGAACAAGGCAATTGAGGAAGAGCATAGGAAGGGTCAATTGAGCAAACAACCAACAGAGACCCAAGCGCTTCCTGCCCTGGCCCTTATCCGAGGACCAGGTGACAAGAAGCTGATACCATCATCAGACGGGACCAGGTGTCGAATCGAGATTGATAATGTTCCATATTGCTCGTTCTGCCGAAAACCTTACCACGTGGACTCCGAATGCTTCAGTAAGAATCCCGGAATGAGGGATCAGAGAACAGATGGAAAGAGACACAAATCAAAGCAAGGGACTCCACATACGGGCGCACGCAGGCCGCCGAAAAGGCAGCCCTCTACTGACGACGAAGACGATGGCACAGGCAGGCCGAAAGACCCCAAGAAGCCCACCTTCATGTCGGCCAAGGTCTCTGCACAAGATGTCAATGATACATTTGGAAAAGATGTCGAAGGCAACTTTGCTCTTTTCGACTATGTTCCCGCTCTGATGGCTACTAGAGCCCCCTCGATCCGTGACGCTTGGATAGTTGACAGTGGATGTGCCCAGCACGTCTGTAATAACGCCTCAAGATTTGTAGAGATGAGCAAGTACCATGGGCCACCACTGCGAAGCATTGATACGTCGACGATTCCCTCCGGAGTTGGGACAGTAAATGTCCTATGCAATGTACGAGGCAGAAGGAAGTGGTTGGTGCTCGACAACGTCCTCTATGTCCCAACTGCACACGCAAACCTTGTCTCCGTACTCCAACTTCTCCAACGGGGAGCAAAGATCGAATTTTCAAGCCAAGGTGCCATTATTCGCAATAAGTCGACCGGAAAGAACCTTTACACCGCAAGCCAATATCATGGAGTCTACGCACTTAATTTGTGGACCAATATCAGCTTTGTCTCCTACCATGTTAGCCCGCAAATGATTCTATGGCATAGTCGGTTGGCTCATATGAGTGATGCAAATCTACAACGACTCAAAAGACAGGCCTACGGCATTCGGGATATGGAGCCACGTCAACCATGTAACCCATGCCTCCAGGGACGAATGATTGAAAAGCCCCACAGCCGGTCGCGAAAGGGCAGAAGAGGAGAATACGCAATGGAACTCCTCCACATTGACGTTGCAGGGCCATTTGAAGAGGGCCTCGATGGAAGTCGTTACTGGCTCACCATCGTTGACGATTTCACGGGATGGATAGAGATTATTCCGATACCCCGACGACAAGAATTTGTTATAGAATCACTACGTTTCTTTCTCGACCATAATGAACGTCCTGACCGAAAATGTAGAAGAATACGCCTTGACCGAATACCTGAGCAAGTGGGAGAAGAGATGAAATTCATGCTTTTCTCACGGGCAATCCAAGCTGAGGTTACAGGAGTTGACCAACACCAGCAGAATGGGGTTGCCGAAAGAGCCCATAAGACAATTTATGATAGGGCTGGGCCTACGCTAGCACATGCAAGGCTACCTTCTAAATTCTGGCCAGAGGTTGCTCGAACCGCAGCCTTCCTCTCTAATCGGTCGCCGTCATCAAAACTCAATATGACTCCGTACCAAGCATGGTACGGCGACAAGCCCGATCTATCCCGACTCAGAGTGATTGGGTCCAAAGGCGAATATATGATTCCGCCAAAACAGAGGAAGAAGCTCACGGAACCACGAACAAGACCGTGCATTCTGCTAGGCTATGAGGGAAATACCAACTACCGTATCCTACTGGAAGACGGAAGAATCGTTGGGACCCCAAATGCTGAATTTCACGAAGTCCTTACAGCTCCCTCCACACGGACTATAGAAGATGTGGGAGCCAGACGAGACGGCTTACCTGAGGTAACGGCTGCTGCCGCAGGGGGAGTGGGACGGTGGGACTAATAAATCAA